CAAAAGGACAAGCTGTATGCTGACAAGATTGACCTCTTGCGGAGCGTCAAGGCACTCCAGCTCAAACTCCACGAGGCCAACAGCAGGCAAGCCGGAAAACGCCGCGGAGATGCTGCAGCAGACGAAGCAAGCGATCCAGACCAGCTGCTGGCCCACGTCGACATGAAACGCTCAGAGTTGATTGAGCAGCTCAATGTTGATAGGACTCGGCTCGCAAACGAGCTGCGGGCGACGCACGAGCAGCTCGAAAGCGTCCGCATCGAACGAGCAGTCCTTCAAGACAAGCTCACCAGCGCGACCTCTCAGCAGCAGCAGCAGCAGCAGCAGCGCCCCGATGGTGCAAACTCAAAGTAAGTTCGCTCTAGTTTGGATAATTTGCGCGACGATGGTTTTGTGTGCGTTTGAAACCAATCTCTCAATCTCCATCTCTTCCCCCGCCGCCCCCCCCCCAATCTTCCCGACAGGCCCGAAATTGTGGCGGCCTTCCGTGAACACCGCGAAGCTCTAGTTGAGCGCGAAAGCCGCATCGCCGAGCTGTCGGCACTGGTGGAAGAAAAGAAGGACCTTGTGCGTCGCATGGAAGAGACGGTCAAACAACTCACTCTGCGCGTCAAGGAGAGCGAACGCGCTGCTGCCGCATCGACAGTTGTCGCCGCCGCTGCTGCAAAGGCGGCGGCTGCTACTGCTGCTGCTCCTCCCCTTGCGCCCGTTACGCCTGCGCAACCTGCGACAACTTCTGCGGCCGATGCTGCTGCCCTGGCTGCCCTGAAACAAAAGCTCGAAGAAACAACCCATGCATGGCGCGCGGCAGACGCCCAGCACGTTGCAGATCTCGTGGCATTGCGACAAGAACACGCCGCACAACTCCAACAGCAACAACAGGCCCAGCAAGCGGAAAGCGACGCCGCGCGACAGACACTCCAGCTTGCTCTCGAAAGCGAAATGGCCCAGTTGCGAGAGCACGTAGAGCAACTGCAAACCCAGCAACGCAGCGCCACGCTCGGCAACAACAACGATCTCGAGCAAGCCCGAGGGCAACTTGTTCAGCTCCAGCAGCTCCATGCCTCTCAAGAGCAAGAGATTGAGCAGCTGGCGCTCGAGAGCCAGCAACACATTGCTCGGCTCCAACGCAAGCTGGAAGATGCGATTGGTCAGCGCAGGGCCGCCGAGGAAGCCGCACAAAGCGCCAACGCGGCTGCAACTGTGGCCAACGAGTCGCTGCACACCATCCAACAGCAAGCGACCGAGTCCAAGGATCAGGCAGCAGAGCTCCAAGCTGAGGTTTCCGACATGCGAGGACATCTCGAGAAGGCGCACAAAGCCCGAGACCAGCTGGCAACACAGCTCGAACAGCAAAAGGCCCTGTCCAAGGACCAGGAGGCAGCGCTCCAAGCTGAGGTTGCCAACTTGCGAGCAGATCTGGAGCAGGCGCACCAAGACCGAGACCAACTGGCAGCGCAGTTCGAACAGCAAGAGACGACACATGCCGGCGGTGAAGCTGCGATCGACATTCTGACGACCCAGCTTCAGCAAGCCGAGCAGAACAGCCAGTCCTTGCAGAAAGAGCTGGAAGCGCTAAAACTGATGCATGCCGAGCACCAGCAACAACATCTCGACCTCCAAGCAAACCAACGCCAGCAGCTTGCTGATGTGCAAATTATTGCCGATCGGCTGGCCGAGGAGCGCAGCGTTCTTACCTTGGAAGTCGAACGACTTACTGCCGAAATGGAGCTGCAAACCCTCGAGATCGAAGCCCGAGATGAGCAGCTTGAAACCAACCAGAAGGCAGCAGAGCAACAACAACAACAGCACGATCAAGCGCTCGAACTTGTTCAGGTTCGTGAGCGGCAACAGCTGCAAGTCTACCAAGAGCAACTGCAAACTGTCATGCAGCAGCATGCAGACCAACTTGACAGTACGACGGCACGTTATCAGAACGAGTTGAAACAGGCAGCCTCGAATGTGCAGGCCACTCCGACTGGGCGGCAGGACGTGGATGAAAAAGAGCAGCAACTGCGAGCGGAGGTGAGCGCATTGCGGCAGCAGCTGCTCGAATTGCAGCAACAGCGTCAACTCGATTTGGCGCAAGCGCAACGACAGCAAGCACAACAACAACATCAACAACCTGTCAGTGTTCCTCAAAGTCAACCATCTCCTCATTCTTCAAAGCCCGTTGCCGCACCTCCCTCGGGCTTGGAGCACATCGAGGCAATGCCCACTTCTGCCTTCCGTGAGAGTGGGAAGGGCGGCATCAACTCTGAGACAAAACAAGCGTTTGTCTCACGCTGGGACGTTCTCGTCCAAGAGGCTCTGCGTGATGTGGACGAAACCCTCTCACGGGAGCAGCTGCTCCAAGAACTCAAACAACTACGAGGGGACAATTCGGCGCTGCACGAGCTGCTGCAATCCCGAATGCAGCAGCAGCCGCAACAGCGAGGCCTGGGTGCTCCGTGGACCCCGAAATCGCCCTCTGGCGACACAAATCAACTCCTCCTGGCAGGTGTTACACAAGCTGACGCCAAGCTGCAGGCTGGCCTTGCCGAGTACGACACACAGACGCGTTTGGCTCGCGAAGAAGCAGCACGCTACTTTGCCGCCAGCACGATTGGAGGTGAAGGCAGCTCCTCCAGCAGCCAAGAAGTACCTGGTTATGTGCATGACCTGGTTGACTTGGTGCTGGCGGATGTTGAGCCTGAAGTGGGAGCCGGGTTGCAGGATGCTCGGCAGCTCGAAGGCAACGCTCGCCGCCTCCATGCCAACCTCACGGCTCTGCACAAGGTCTTGGCGCATCCAGGCCCAGTTGCATCTACCTGGCCTCCGGCTGATGTTGGCAACATGGTGTGAGCGGGTATCTGTCTTGAGTCGTTGTTTAGGTTTTTTATTTCTTGAAAATGTTGTTGTGAATTAAGGCGTTTTATTTTTAACTACCAGGCGTTTTGCTTTTGTTATTTCAAACATCTCACTCGTGGCATAGCGCTGTTGGTTGCAAGTTCGTTGCAAAGAGAGAAAAAACAACGAAATGTTAACGCGGTTGCTGCCCGCCGATGAACGACTGCAGCAAATGGGTGAATGGGCCGGGTCGGCCCTGCTGAGCCTCGTGGGACAGGAGCATGTTCATGGCAAGGTTGATTTGCTCGTCAGACATGGTTTGCTTTCCACGCGCGCCCTGTTGAATGACGCATTGCAGTCCCACATTGCGAAGCTCGGCATCCATATGCTCCATCGCAGATCGAATGCTTTCGGAGGAGTTGTCTGGCTCGCTCAGGGGAGGGTCGACATCATCGGCCAGGAGTTGGTCAATCGCGTCGTCACCAAACATGGCCTCTGCCACTTTTTCGTCACCTTCATCATCACCGCTGTCGTCCGCCTCTTCGTCCTCATCGCTGAGGTCATCCTGATCTTCCGAAGAATTCTCGTCCTCACTGGTGGCCGGGTCGTCAAACATCTCTGGGCGGAGCCCTGTGGAAGTTTTCACGCCATCAATGTCAGACTTGCTGGTCATGAATGACTGCACGCCTTTGAGCAAGGACGCCAGCTTTCCGAGCTGTTGCACATCCTCTTCCGTCGAACCGTCGCCCTTGGAGGATGGCGAGCGGGTCGTGGTTGGTTGCTGCTCGCTGGCTTTCATCACTTCTTGAAGGGCCGTCTGCATCTTGGTCATCTGCTGCTCGAGCTGCTCGGGATCAACCTCCATCCAATCAGTCGAGTCATCGGCTGGAGCAGGAGGAAGGACAGAACCTGGTTCTGGTCGCGGTTGTTGCACGGCTGTTGACGAGGACGCGTTCGTGTTGACTGGCGCGGAAGCTGGCGCCGGACGCGAAGAGCCAAACATGTCGTACTGGTGCAAAGAAACGGGATTGAAATGAACAAGCAGCGTAGCGTCGATTTCTCGCGCCAAGTTTTGCGTCACGTAGCCTGCCACCAACTGCTGGCGAGGAGGAGCAACGGCGGGTCCGACTTGGCCAGCTCGCGCCGACAGCTTGTGCTGCCTGTCCGCAATAGCGTACATGATCTCAAAGCCGCAGGCAATCTTGACGCCGAGTACAAACGCGCTGTATGCCGCAGTGTTGCTAGGGGGCGGTGCAGCGCCAAAAACACGCGGCGGAACAAACTGCGGCTGCGAGTTGAGTAGCACAAATAGACTTCGAGTCAGCCGTACACGCGTAAGAATTCGATGCGTCTCCAAAAGATCTGACGGAGACATTGACGGCTCGGGCGACGTGCCCACAGGAAAGCGACTCATGCGGGCACAGGCTCGAGAATCAATAGAATCGCGTTGGACAAATGCCTCGATAGCAGGAGCAACCAGCTTGGGCTGCACGTGCATTAAATGTGCAATTGTTGGTGGCAAAAGGGCAAGGGCGTGCTGGACGTGCTCTGTAGCTTCGCGCACGGCCAGCGCCAGTCGTGCCCAAATGCAAGACTCGATTTTGGCACTGGCCAGCGTCCAAGCGGCGGTGGTGGTGGTGGTGGTGGTGGTGGTGGTGGCAGATCCCGATGAATGGCTCGGAGCTGCATGCTGAAGAATGTCGAGCGCTTGCACAATATCCAATCGCTCGGCGAGATTGTGAGAGCGGAACGTGGATGTGGCCGGACTCTTCTTTGAGCTCGACGCTGCTGATGTCGACCCTTGAGGCACATACTTTGTTGGCACAATGTGCAGCCGGCCTTGCCTTAGAAACACGCGATTGCGCGCAATTCGCGGTGTAATCCATTCCGGCAGCTCGTCGGCCGCTTCAATCAGCAAAATGTCTCCGTCGCTCGTGTCTGCGAGCTGAACGGTCAAGTCTGGTATCCGTGCTGTCAATTCCCGCAGAATGTACACGAGCAGCCATTCGTCGCCGACATTATCGCCGTACGACGAGACGCCTGCCAAGCACTGTACTGTCTCCAACCGCGGCAAGGAAGCGGACGAGGTCGTAGCTCGGTTGGCAGTGTTGTCGCCGTCCTCGAACACTGCCAAATTCAGTCCATCCTTGTGCCAGAGATGGTCGCTGCACAATGCTTGAACCGCCGGGTCTGACTTGACAAACTCGGTGATGGTCGTCTCGAGCACATGTTGCAAGTCTCGCGTTCTGAGACTGAGACTGAGACTGAGACTCGGGTGGTCGTGGTCTGCAGTCTGCAGTCCTGCCTCGTCGGCTTGAGTTCCTGCTCCTGCTCCTGCTCCTGCTGGATTGTGGGCGCTGCTTGTCGGTCGAGTGTCCATGAACACGCGGTATGCCAGTGCGTTGGGAGCGAGCGTGTGGGACGTCGCCTCGTCGTCCAGCATGGATGCATGGTCGTCGTCCTCGTCGTCGTCCTCAGAGTCGTCCTCATCGTCCGCAGAGTCGTCTTCCTCGCGCTTGCTCGTCATGGGATGAGTGGATGCACCACCCGTCGTCTTGGTGCTGTTGCTGGTGGTGGTGGTGGCTTGGCGTCGTCGAATCCGCGGGAAGACGGACTGCAGCACGGCGCGATTCCGCTCGACGAGCACCGCGTCCGCTGCAGTCAACGACATGGTGGTGGTGCAAAGCAAGTTAAAAGACTGAAATTGAACAATGAATGAATGAATGGGAAGACTAACTGAGCGAAATAAACCTGAATCGGATCTCTCTCTCTCTTTCTCTGTCTGAGTTTCTATCACAAACCAGGGCTTATTGTGTATCAGAAGGGATGATCTTGGTGGTTTGTCAACCAATGATCACGATGATGACGATGACGATGATGATCAGTGCTTTTTGGTGATTCTCAGATTCTCTCAGTCCCCTTTTTGTGTTTGTTTGTTTGTTTGTTTTTTGCTGTTGTTTTTTGCTTTGTGTTTGCAATGCGAGCTGTGATTCAACGTGTGATCAGCGCCAGTGTGACTGGTAAGCAATCCAATAGGAACATCCTCATTTATGATCATTATTCACCCATGTTTGGACAGTCGATGCAGAGGTCGTCGGATCGGTTGGACGCGGGCTGTGCGTGCTCGTCGGGATTCACAAGAACGACACGCGCGACGATCTCGAGCTATTGTACGCCAATTCGAAAACTCGTACCAACATTTTTGGAGTGTGCATGTAGTCTTTGAAGAGCAGCTGTAACGACGTCTTGAGAGCGGGAGTCTCACTCAGTGGTTCTTTGGTCCCAGAGTCCGACGCATCCTCAACGCCAAGCTCTTCTCCTCCGTCCCAGAAGCCGATGGATCGGGAGGCGACGCTGCGTCCACTGGCAAGCCGTGGCAGCTGAATGTGACCGAGGCAGGCCTGGGCGTGCTCTGCGTCTCCCAATTCACCCTGTATGCCACGCTGAACAAGGGCAAGAAGCCCGATTTCCACTCTGCCATGGGTTCAGCCGAATCGCGCGAGTTTTATAATGACTTTCTGGCTGAAATGCGGCGGCAATACCAGCCCGATCGGATCCAAGGTTTGAGTTTGATCCGTTCGTTGGGTCGTCTGGCTATTTTGGCTGATCAGAAGAATCTCCACCCTCTCACCATCTCACCCCGAATTGTGCTTTGCAACAAACAGACGGACGATTCGGTGCCATGATGCAAGTCCAGCTGATCAATGACGGTCCGGTCACAATTATCGTCGATACGGCAACAGAAGTTTCATCCGCGCCTTCCTCGCGGAATATCACACCCAACGCGTCGTCCACCGCCCTATCGTCGCTCGCAGAGGCCTCAGACAAGGCCCTCAAGCAACCGAAACAGAAGGGCCCCAGCCAACCCAAGCAATGGCAGCCGAAAAACAAACCTCAGGCTCCAGCCGAACCAACGGCAGCTGCGTCAAGTAGCGCGTCTCCCAGTTTGACAACGTCGCCAACAGATGCTCCTGAACCCACCACTGCCTCTCGATAATTGATTGATTGCCAGGATCAACACGTGTATTTTTTGGAAGAACAAAACTTTGACATTCACACACGAAATTGTTGCAAACACTGAAATTTCCCCCCCCCCCAATCATCACGCTCACCTTTGAAAACCCGCCATCATTAACTCTAGTTCAGCAAAGGCTCCTCGCTTCGCATGCACTCGTAGCCTGTGAAGGTGTGGCTGAGCAGCAACCAGGGGTTGGAGTTGCAATGGCCGTGACGGTTGGGCAAATCGGACTCGCGGTACAGATGGCCAACGCTACGAGTGCCCTTGAACTTTGCCTCAATGTGGTCAACCAAGCTGCTCCCGAGAACAAGGCGCATGCCTTGAATGACGCGAGCAGAGGGGCTAAACACGTACGAAATGGCATACAGTTCGCGACCATCCACCTCGTTGCGCAGCAGTGCCTCAAGCGCTGCAGCATGGCGCGTACGAAGCAGTCCGGCAAGCACAGCGTCAAAGATTGCATTCGTTCGTGCAGGGCAGTAGACGCGCATCTTGCCTGCAAACGCGTCCATGTCGTACGTGTCGACAATGTTGGCAACAATCTGCGCGTTCCCGGCGTTCCCGGCGTTCGCCTGGTGCCGCTGGCTCAAAACCAGGTTGCAATGCTTGGCGGCGTCCGCGATAATGGAATCATGCTGCGTCATCACGTTGTACACTCGTTCGGTTGCAGAGCGAACTGACGACGAGCTGACAAAGCGCAGCGACTGCACCGCAGCGGCGCGCTTCACCTGGCGCTCCAACTCGCTGGGCATGCCGAGCTTGCGGTAAACATCGGTAACAAAGGCGGGCTCAAACTCGTGCAAGATCCAGTCGAGAGCCTCGTTCGCCTGCTCGAGGGTGGCCACACCGCGAGGCACAAACTGCTCCTCCTCGATGCCAATGACTGGCGCGATGGTTGGAACGCTGGCACGGGCAGTTGTCAGAGCTCTAAAGTATGAGGCAAACTTGGCATCCTCGTCGTCGTCTGCCGGACCGGCAGAGGAACTTTCGGCGAGCGCATTGCGCTCGGATGCTGGAGCAAGCACAAGCTGCATCACGCGCTCGAGAGCAGCGTCGCGATCGCCCGCGTAGGCGTGCATCATCTTGCGATGCATGGCCTCCTCGTAGAAGGCAGGAAGCAGCTCAGCAAACACCCTTGCCTTGTCCTCTGGGGCAGAGTCCATGGTGGTAGCAAAGGCGTGGCCAATCACAGTTAGCAAGTTGGCAGTCTCTGCCTTGGTCCGCATGGTATAGTTGGTCGAAAACTGCTGGACATAGTCCAGCGGGATGACGTGCATGGTGTCTCGCAGCGTGGCAACAGTAGCGCACAGACGGGCAAACTCGTTGAGAATGAGGCGCGCTCGATCGTTCATCGGGGATGGCAGCCGGTGCAAGATACCACCGAGCACGGCAAACAGGCCAGCGCGTTGGTTGCGGTCGTAGCCAAATGGAGACAGGGTGAACATGTAGCCGAGGAGTGGTTCAATCACGGCAATAACACGCTCCGCGTGCGCCGGGCAAATGTACAAGGGCAGGAATGCGTTGATGGGCTCGCGTGCCCGTCCGACAAGAGCGCAGCCGCCATTGCCGGCAAAGTTTCCTTGGGCCTGCTCAAGCCCGTGCTGCTCGACAGCGTACAGCACGGCCTGCTCAAAGGAGGAGCGACTCAGCAGCGTGCTCGAAATCCCGTCCACGGCAATCGTCGAAGGTGCGTCAATCACGTACTCTTGGCGCGCAACACGCAGACCAAATCCAAGGACGTCATCGGGACTGTCGGTCATGACTTCTCTCAAATCGAGCTGACTGACATCGCACACAAAGTTCTCGAGGTCGACGCCCGCCAAGTCCTGATCCGGATCAAACGCCAGCTTGTTCACGCCCGATGAGATGCCCTCTGCGCGGCCTGCATTGAGACTTGCACGCTCGTGCATCTTGCGCTGGCGTCGGGCCTTGGAAAAGCGAAAGTCGTGGTTGAGATCGCGCAGCTTTGCATCTCGCACCTGTTCGCTAATGCACTTTTCGGCCAGCACACGCGAGTACTCGGTCAGACGCTCCATCACAAGCTGCCGCTGAGCGAGTAGCTCTCCGCGCTCGACCATGGTGAAGCGGCGGGAAAAGATGTCCACGCCGCCGAGTTCTGCGACGATCGACTTGACCTCATCGAGCGACGTCGGCATGCGCGTTTCCAACTCACGCAGACGGGCCGCCGAGGTCGGGGTGGTCTCGATCACTGGCAAGGTAATGTTCATACCGGCCTCGGTCATGATGGTCAAGTTGGGCACAGCAGCAGCGGAGGCGTCCTGGCTTGGCTCTTCTCCCGCCAAGCCAACCAGCTGCTCCCGAGTCAACCAAAGGTCGCAGGTGGCAACGCTGACCTCGTTTTCCAAAGTCTCCACCGAGCCGCTCTGGTCGCGCACGAGCACCTTTTGCAAGGTCACGCCAGCAGCCGTCTTGAGGCCATCGATGGGTCCAGGCGCACTGAGCGTGATGCCAGTGAGATTGCCCATGACATCGAAGAGATCAACCAGCTTCTCGTACAGGGCCGCCGAGTTGTCGCCAGTCTCGGCAAAGCGGGCGTAGCCCGGAGCAGTGCCAATCTCGGAGAGCTCTCGCAAGAAAGCAAGGTTGGCTTCACCACCGAATCCCACTGTCGAGACAACGACGGATCGATCCGGGGAAGACTTGACCATGCGCTGGAAGTTGGCCTTGGCAGCAGGAAGGGAGCTCATGTCGGTGTCCTGGCCATCCGTCATGAACACCACCGAGATGGTTCCCTTGTGTGGCATGCAGGCGTTCGAAATGGCGTTCAGAGCGGCGCAAAAGCTCGTGCCACCGCCCGCTTGGAGGTTGGGCAGCACGTTGGATAGGGTGCTGGTCTCCGCGCGAGTGTCAAACGTGATGACTGTGGGATCGGCGCCCTGCTTGGCAACATAAGCGAGAACGGACGCGACAGCCTTGATGGGCGAGCCGGACATGGAACCGGACTTGTCAATCACAATGATGCACTTGGATTGCACCTTGGGAGCCCCGATCGTGTTGACAGGGAACTGGATGCTCAGCAAGGCCTTGCTTGGACCAAATCGGGTCAATGTGCAGCGTTCAAGTGGATCTCTTGAATCCGAGGCCAGCGCTGAAGCGGCCGCAGGAGCTCGACTGGTAGAAGCGGATGAAGCAGCACTTGCACTCGAAGTCGCGAGTGGCGATGATGCGCCACTGGTACTTGAAGCGGATGAAGCAGATCTTGTACTTGAAGCGGCACGTGGCGATGCTGCGGCTTGAGGCAAACTTGCTGCCGAAGCATCAGCGTTTTCTTCGCGAATGATCGTCATGGAAGGGTTGAGCGAAATCAACCAATCAACAAAGTTTCCTGAGATTGTGATTGGAGAGAGTGAGGAGAGAGTCGAACTTGTGAGCGTATGGCTTTAACGAGAAGTTTCATGTTGAAGAGGGGCAGGGAATGGAAGGAGCGAGACGACGGATGGTTTCGTGTGCTCTTCTGCCTCTCAATCGCATCGTCAATGTTTGAATTAGGGGAGACAATTGATCCCAAGGAAAAAAGAGTCGCTTTGGTTGGAGGAAAAGAAAAACGCGAGATGCTCGAGCCAAGACTTGAAACTGTGACGCGATGCACAACAGCTCCAACAACAACATGATTACACTTACAAGAAAAAGGGGCGATGGTCTGTTGCAAAAACGAAAAGAATTGAAAGGTTTGCCGTGAAACAGAGGCAGTCGAATGAAAGAAGAGTGAGTTTCAAGTTGGTGCTGGATCAGGACGAATTTAAACAAAAGAATTGCATCATGCACCAAAGTAAAGCGTCATCCCCCATCCCTCCAAGATGGGTACTTGGCCATGACGCCAACACGAGCGCAAGTGAAAGCATGACGAATAAATGGCACTCGAGCGAGGGGGCTTGCGGCAGTTTGGGGAGGGCGAGAGAAGTGTTCAATTTTGCTGCGGGAATCTCGGAATCGCCTGCACCAACACCGCGCTTCATTGCTCGTGTGTATCGTATGCCTATATCATGCTCTGTTGAGAGACGGTTCGCACCATCCAAAGACCTAATCAGTAAAGCTGGAAACATTAAAGGCGCGATGATTCGCCGAGACAAAGTTTATCATGGAAACCAACAAACAACAGCGTTGACAACCAACATCAACGACGCAAAACGACATCAACAAAGCGACCAGGTGCACCACCACCAAGCTGTCGAACAACGTGTGTAGCCTCACTTGAGCGGCGAGAACTCGCGCGGATACATGATGGTGCAGTCCATGTGCTGAATCAAAGGCACTGGCGTTTTCAAAGAGCCAAACAAATTATTTGACGCAATGCGATGAGCGATTGCCATCACAGCGGACTACGGAGCATGCTTCACCAACAAAACGTACCGGTGTTGTAAACTGTCTGTGCCCAACCATCCACTTGCCAGGCAGCTTCACGAGTCTGCTTGCGCTTTTCGAGATCAGCATAGAGCCAAAGATGGTACACCTTGTTGAGATCGCCGACATGGCTAAACCACGCTCCAACAGGCTGGCAGAATTGGCGGCGGCACTCGAGGCCCCGGCGCCATCGTTGCTCCCACTCGAGCAGCTTTCCGGGATGCAGAATGTACGACCGCAGTTCGTAAAGCGATCCTGGAGTCATGGGCGATGGGTCTAGCTGCCAGAACTGGAATCGCAACACGACATTGACATGACGCGAACGCAGGGTCGATCTCAGCTGTGTCGTGTACGCTGCATGCGCGGGATTTCTCGCAAGAGCCAGGCTCGTGTCTCGCTGCGCCGCAAATCCGTCGTACTCGTAAATAGTGACTACACGAGATTTCGTTTCGTTTGATCCGAGAGTTTGGTGGAGGTGAGTCAAGTTCGCAAAGTGATGTACCAATACATTGTTCCAGCAGGGATTCTTACGTGCTTGCTCGGGATCGCCAATCGCGGTGGTCCAGCTGCCAGTCATTCGACCCTTGAAGTCGGGGCTTGCCAACAGCTTTGGCACATACTGCGATCTGTTGTTTGTTGTTGTTGTTTCGCAGGCATCGCACAACGATCATTCAACCGGAACGAATTGAGGATGTTTTCGTCGTTTTTCCTTGGCAAATCTCAGAAAACCAGCGATGGTCGACAATTTCGACCTATTGAGTACTTACGTCAAATCCATATACTCGTTCCAGCGATCGGGCTTGACATGGTGAACTGTGTGTATCATGATTGTGTTTCCAATGTAGAAGCATCATCAGTGAGTTCGACATTGCGCACTGGTTTTGAGAGCAAAATTTCGTATGGGGGCTGATGACGCACAGTGCATCTCGTAAAGCTGGTTGGCGCCGACGAGTTTGCTGTGGGACTCTGCTGGCTGCGTTGCATCGCTGTTGGACGACGTTGCAGGATCGCCGTAGATGATGCGGTTGATGAGGGACTTGTTTGGCAGAGGAGAAGGAGGAGAAGGAGGAGCGCTGTCGGACGTAGTTGTCGCATCCAAACCCGGCTTGGTCGGATTGGATCCAGTCGCAGCAGCCCCGGTCGATGAAGCAGCTGCCGTTGAAGTTGCCGTTGCCGTTGCCGTGGTCCTTGTCGTTGAGATGGGGGTTGGAGTGGGGTGGGATTGCGCCGACCAGAAGCGGAGCGACTGCGAACAGCCAGCGATGGCAGATTTCAGAATCGCAGATTGGCGAAACGCTGAGGCAACCAGCATTATTTTTGTGTGCAAATCCCTTCGAGAAAGCGGAATTGAAATGAAAAGTGAGCTGGGAGGTTCAGAGATGGGAGCAACCTTGTTTGTTGGTAACTGTCGAGACCAGGCAATCATCTGAGAAGCGCTTTCACTTTGGTTGGCAAAATCGATTTTGCAAACCACCGTGACACTGTTACCAAGGTGGCCGCTGGCACCAAACAAAGCTGGCAGGACCCTTCCTCTTGACCAGGAAAAGTGCATTGCAAAAGGCGAGGGTCGGTCTAGGGAATGATCCGAATGGAAAAACGAAAGAGAAAAGAAAAACCCACTTGTCCTTTGGAAGCGCAGACAAAACAACAGGCCAACTAGCCAATCACATCCACAATGACAATGGGTTCAAAAAAAGCCAGAACAAAAGAACAGAATGTCAATACTTGAAGAAAAACATGCAGAGAGGGACGAGAACGTCAAACGAAGGACACCCGCCCCAACAAAGTCGGCTCGCCTCGAACGAAGGAAAGGAGGGAAGCAAGCAGCAAGAAATCCCCGGGTCAATCAATTGGACACGGTGCCCGAAATGGAGGCGTACTCGACCGTTGAGGCCGAAAGCGGCTGAGCAGCATTCCTGGAAGCCAGGTCCAAAGTGTCCGCGTAGGTCACGCTCGAGCCATCGGTTTGGACATCCTTGCGCGCATTTTCGTACAGCACATCCGCAGTAGACGGTTGATGAGTGCCGATGGACTCATACACGGGGTTGCTGAGCCCTTTGTTTGCGCTCAATGCTTCGTACGGATGCTCTGTTTCGACATTGCTCGGGTTGCCCTTGGCCTTTCGAGGTTCAGTGCTCGAGTACAGCATGTTGTTCACTTGGCTCTGCGAGCTATGAGACTCGAGAATTCTGCCAGAGGAAGATTTGGCGCTTCGACGACGACGGAGGAGGATGATTGTCGCAACCAGTGCAATGAAGGCGAGACCACCGACCGTGGCACCTACCGCAATGGGCACCGTGTTGGAGCTATCGTCGGCGGCAGCTTCGATCGAAGCGACGAATGCTCTGGAAGTCGACGCTGCGAACGACGCATCCGAGGCGATTGATGCGTCCGAGGCAATTGATGCATCCGAGACAGCTTTAACCACAGATGCAGCAGAAGCGGCGGAGACCGACATGACGGACTCGACGGACATGACGGACTCGACGGACATGACGGACTCGACGGACATGACAGATATCGTGGAAATGCTCGTGTATGCCTCCACGCAGACACCACCTACCATGGCGTAGCCAGTGTAGCAGTACTGGCAGGTGGAGGTTGTGTTGCAGTACAAGCAATTTGCCATGCAACACGAAGCATTTCCAGCCGCAAAGCAAGTGTCGCACTGGCCATCGCATGCTGGCGCAGACCAACGAATGCAGTTAACGAGCCTATTTCAGCATTCTGGGGACATCAACCAAGGAGGACTTACCAGCATAACTGTTAGGGGGGGGTGAAATAGGTGCTGGGCTGCCCTCTCGTGATGCCATCCACAACACGACCGGCAATTGAGACGTGAGTCATAGTGAGAGTCTTGAACAGTCCAGGGGGAAGTTGGAAGGTGCTGCCCATGTTGGAGGCATAGCTGAAAAAAGCGGACGAATGAGCATCTGCCTGTAACGTGTGGCCCCGCATTCTGTTGAGACATACAGGAATTTCAGTTGAGTGCCCTGGAGTAACGTGGCAGGAAGGCTGGTCAGCTTGTAGTTGAGCGCGAGATTCCTGCCATGTGACAAAGTCATTTTGCATGAAACCGAGTTAGCCAGCAAGTTCCAAGCAGTCGATGTGATCGCTTCCACATTGCACCAGACGTTCTAAACCAGTCGATGTGATCGCTTCCACATTGCACCAGACGTTCTAAACCAAAAGTACTGACAGATATGTCAAACTAGAGAGTCCTTGCAAAGCGCTGGGTGAAATGGAGGTCATCTGGCCGCCGTTCAGATCCCTAATGCGGCCTCCATCAATAAGCAAGTGCAGCGCAAGACAGTGTTGGGTATGCAGTTCTCCACATCCTCGGAGTGCATTACAGCATCTGCAGGTTGGTAAGAGAGCTAAAGGCATGATCTGGGATGCTGGTGAATGCAGGATCCCTCCAGTAACTGAAACAATGGACGAAAAGTGAGGTAGGCTATCGATGAAGAGTGCACGACGAGGATCTGACGACTCACAGGCGCTGCAACGAAGTAAGTGTCGCCAAGACTTCGACAGGGACGGCTGTGAGGGAGCTCGCGACGGTGACACCCCTGAGCATTCAAATCAGGTTGGTACCACTACAACGCTCGTGAACACTGTATCACAGACTTACAGGGCTGTGAGGGAGGAAGCAGGTCCCTCAAGCATGCTGGCGGTGAGGCTGGCCAACGGAAGTCCCATCTCGCTGGCAGCAGGATACCCAGACGTAAATCAACCCGGGTCAGCTCGAATCGCACCAAGGCACGCAACTTCAAACTTACAAGATCTGAAGTGAGGTCAAAGTCGCCAATGCAGAATCCGGAATGGTCGTGAGAGAAGGAGAGCTCAAAATCCTGAGTGGTGGAAGCGAGAGAGAGAGAGAGATAGCGAGCGAAAACAAATCAGTGATGACCAGCAGCCTGCTGCAAGGTCACAAAGCGATTTCAAGCTCATTCTCCGAGTTGGCCAGACAATGGCAAACGTACAACGCCGTCAGATGAGAAAGAGGGCTCAAACGGGGAAATACGGAGATCGGGGCCGAAGATACCTGCACGATCGCGAGTGCATTTGTAGATGTGAGCAGCAAGGTGCAGCAATCGCAGCTAGAGGGTGATGACGAACAGGGTTGTCAAGAGAGGAACGGGGTCGAACACGTTTTGATCGAGGACAGTGATAGGCATGTCCGTAAGGTAACTTTGTTCCAGAACAAAGGAACAAATGTGAGCACTGGATTGAATAAACCAGAGACCCAGGCTCCTCATGCTTACAGTGCCTGCAGGTTGCCAAGTCCAGCAAATGCATTGCTGGGCAGAGCTGTGATTTGGGTGCTCGAAAGTGTGCTGTATGACAAAAACGAGTCGTTCGCAGTTAGTAACGTGGAAACACCAAGGACACGCGATAGCACGGCCATTTGCATGCTTACAGCGTGGTCAGTGCAGTCAAACCGGTCAAGAAATTGGCGGGCCAGCTTGAAAGCGAAGTGTACGACAAATCTCTGCTCAACAAGGCAAGTCAAATCGAAAACAAAAAGCCCTCATTGAGCGAAACAAGCAAGACACACGACCTTCTTCATCGATGAAAAGCGGTGGCAGTGCAATTTGCATGCTTACAGCGTGGTCAGTGCAGTCAAACCGGAAAAGACATTGGCTGGCAAGGTTGAAAGAAGCGGATTATGCCTCGGTAGTCTTGCTCAAAAGAAAAACACAAACTCACAATGAGCAAACAAAACTGGCAACCGTTCATGCACGTGGCGACAACGATGGTGCACATAGTCAAGTACTCGGCACATACAGGATTTGGAGACGTGTCAAGCCAGCGAACGCCTGTGGGTCGATCGATTCAAGTGCCATATCCGACACATCCCTACGAGGCGAATGGGTCAAACGAAGTTCAGCGCGGTATTCTTTTCAGCTGACCTGGAGGCTGCAGTCACGTACAAGTAAGTCAGAGTGTCGGCGATTGAGGCGAATGCGTTGGCAGGGATGGTTGTAATTTTCGTTTGCGACAAGGATCTGTAGCAGCAGACTCGCAAAGCGGATGATGAGCGGACTGCGATATCGCTGGAAGCAAGAAATAGGACAAACACAGGCAACTCGTACAGGTAGCCAGAATCATAGCCAATCCCGGTATCAGGGTCGTATGGCGGAAACGTTGTCGGCACCGTTGTCATGTTCGCGGCACACAGCGCGACATTAGTGCAAGTCCAGTCGCAAATGCTGCAGAAGTTGTCGGCGTTGCCCATGGACGCAAAGAGGGCCAGCAGAGCCACAATGGCCAAAAGCGAGTTGCTTGGCTTCATGACGAGCACGAACTGCAATCAAAAAAAAAAATCCAAAGTAAAAATACAAAGTCAAAATAATTCAGAACCAGACAACAAAACGACAAAAACAACCAAAACAATAAGCTGAACGAATCGAAAGCGACGAGACATGCCGCACAAAAAGGAGAGACAATACACAGACAAAGAAGAACAGAAGAACAGACGGGAAATGTCAGATGTAAGGAGCCGCAACGAGTCAAGTAGAGACAGCAACAGTGAGTTGGAAGAGTGACGGTCAGCACAGAAAGACGACAGGACCGAGAGCAGAAAAAACAAAAAAAAAAAAAACAAAAAAAGAAAAAACAAGTAGCGAGAGCGACAGGACAGCGCCAAAGCGATGGAGTGAGAGTGAGAGTGAAGGAGAAGGAGAAGGAGAGCAAGTCACTATGGTTGAATGTGACTGGGGTCAGGTTGGAACAAGGCGGAGTGTCCCAACAAGGCTTGCAGAACAGAAAGAGAAAAATTCAAAAAACAAATACAAACCACACCAACCGTGTCGCGGCGCGACGCTCTCAGAGAGGGGGAAAGATCACGCTTAAAGGAGCAGGCGGGAGTGGACTCGATGGACACAAATGGACACGAAATGCGCAGAACCACTAGACGAGAGTGGGTGTGTGAGTGTGAGAGTGTGAGTGAGCGTGTGACTGGACAAAACAGGCGGATCTTGTGACGAACCTCAAAAGCACCAAAAGTGGAAAGAAGGAAAAAAAAAACAAAAAAAAAAAAACAAAAGGTGGAGAGAGGGTGATTCAAATCGTACCGATTCGGGTGATGGAACCGATTTGGGGGAGTAAACTTGAACTACAGTTAGATCGATGAGACCTGAATGCGAGTGGGAGAAAACGGATGTGCGTGTGTGTGTGTGTGTGTGTGCACTGCAAGAGACTCAGGCTCGACTTGCGACTTTCGAATCCAAAACACGACACCCACCACCACCACCACCACCACCACCCCAGTTCCATCCACTTGCTCCAATCAAGATAAGTAATGTTCTTACTTTCATACAACGCCAGCGGGGGCAGTTATTTTGTGCATTCCAACTGAATTTCTCACCCCAAAAAAGCAGGATCGACCCCACAACAACGACACTAGTTTGACCCAAGCCAGCGAGCTCGGATTGCGGACAACGGCCGACGAGCCATCGTCACAAGTGTCGTTGTTTAATTGCATTTCTAGCGAGAGCAGCCATGCCGCTGCTCAGGGAAGAGGCTGCTGCATGAGACTGCTGAATGAATGAAACTTTGATTCGCGTCGCGATTGTTGTCGTCATGAGATCCCTCGCCGGTTACTCAGGCGATTAAGCACAGACTTGAGGTTGTAGGAAGGGAAGAGGCGGGCTGCGCGTGAGGAACTGCAGGTTTACAAATCAAATTTCCACAAGCTCCCGCCCAAAGGATGCTGGCGATGTGTTCTCAAGACGAGAACAAGGGGAGGCAACTGGGGTGGTGGGAAGGGTCGAAAGGAGCGCAGCAGGCTTCGAAAATTGCAATCACTAACCATGAATCGCGGCTGGTTGCTTCTGTCGAGTAAGAATGCTTATCTGTCGAAATTGAGCTATTGAGGTTACTTCGCTCGGCGCGAGAGGAACAAGATCTGCTGAGCATCTGAATTGCGATGGGACGAGCGAAGACGAACGAATTGGTAATCATAGGATTGGGAAGCGAGCAGCAGCGGTGCAAATCGGATATGAACGCTCAATACAATAGAATAGCAAGCAAATCCATTCATTCAGTCAACCTTTTTTTTTTTTTTTTTTTCTTTCTGCTTTCTCTTCCATTCTCTTTTCCATTATGCTTGGCTGCAGTCGCCTCGTCGTGGGCTCTGCCTCGCTCACCGTCGCTGCTGCTGCATCTGCGACCTCAGCATCATCGGTCGTGTCCAGTGCCGGTGCTGCTGCGATGGCGTTGAGTGGCGCTGCTGCATTGGCTCAAATGCGCGATCGCTCCATTTCCCCATTGCTTGGCCGCGTGCGCCATGCGTCGACCACGGGAACGGCGGGTCCGGCCGCCGCGACGCCTGCTGCGACTCCTGCGACTGCTGCGACTCCTGGCTCCGGCAGTGCAGCGCCAGCCAGCGGAGTGAAGGGATCGCCAAAGAAGCACGCTGCCGCCACCACGATCGCACGCTGCCGCCACCACGATCGCAGCAGAACGACGGCCCACTGCGACTGCGACTCCAACCACAAGCTCAAGTGGGTCGAACAAGGCTGCAAAAGACCCCAAGAAGAACAAGTACAGTAGCAAGCCACCGCGTGCCAGCCCTGCTGCTGCAGCACCTGGATCGGCCACTGCTACTTCTGCTGCTAAACCTGCTGCTAGTGCTGCTCCTACTGCTGCTGCTGCTGCTGCTACTGTTGCTACTCCTACTGCGCTGGAGCTGCTTGCTCGTGCTACTCAGAAGCGTGCGCAACACGCACCGCGCGTCGCAGATCCAACGCCCGTTGCATCGACAGCTGCAACCGCTGCTCCTGCTCCTTCGACGACGGTCAAGCCCGCCACACAGCCTGCGACCGCACAACGCCAAGATCAAAATCCCAACGCCAACAAGACCCCGTCGCAGTCGTCCAGCAACAAGCCTGCTGCACCACCGTCCACTCCGTCGTCGTCGGACAACATCACCAGCTTGCTCGACTCCATTCTTGCAAACGGCCAACTTCCGCGGCGCCAGCATCAGCAGTACCGTTCTTCTCAGTACCAGCAGCAACAGCAACAACAACAGCAGCAGCAGCAGCAGCAGCAGTCGGCGAGCACCCCTGAAGCAGCACACGAGTTCAACCGCATTTACGCCCTCCTCGGCATGAAGTCGCCGTCAGCCAGCACGGCCTCCAGCGCCGACCAAACAATCGACTTGCTAACATCGCCGCGATCACAGCTCGCAAGTGCACGTGCCAAGTCGGCTGCCCGGCATCTGCAGCAGGTCAACGCCCGCCTCGACCAAGCTGCGTTTGCCGAACGTTCCCGCGCCAACGCCCTCCTCTCTGTGGATGAGCTGACCATGGAGGAAGTGGCTGCCCTCTCTCCGCCCTCGCCCGGCGTTTCAGAGTCGCTTGCCCCAGGCACTATGACTGACGCCCCCTTCCGCCAGCTGCAGTACGAGCTTGTGCCGAACCTGAGTCTGCCTCGCACGCTGCCGGCGACGCAAGAAGAGCAGCCTGCCTTCCCACCGTCGGTGATGACCATGTACAAGCAGCTCGTGAGCAACCATCAAGCTGCGGCATCACTCGCTGCCGGTGGTACCAGTCCCACTGCCACATCGCTCTCCCCAGCATTGCGAGAGGCGCTCCAACGTGAACAGGCTGTTGTTCCATCCGAGTTTGAGTTTGTCCAAGCCGTGGCTCGTGCGCCTGTGACCTCGCCTTCTGCCCAATCCTCTCCTCTGTTCTGGCCTTCATCAAGGGCTGCATCGGCTGAAGCGTCTTCCTCGCCCTCCATCAAACAGCGCCTGCTCGAAGTCCTCGCGGAGAATAACGCATTGAGCGACGGGCTTTACAACACTGCAGCAGCTGCACTGGTGGAGTACTCTGGCCAGGTTGCTCAGTTTGGCCACGAGCACACGCCTGCCATGCTTGAGCAGTTGGATCGCGTTTGCGACTTTGCGACCACATCATCCGAGCTGGAGATTGATTCGGACGACTTGCAGCGTCAAACCGCCTTGAATTTGGGTCTGATTTCACCAACATTGCGTGGGGCCTCGGCCTTCTTGTCGGATGCTCCCTCTGAAGTGACCGAAGAAGACGCAGACACGTTCCAGCTGGCTCCTCTGACCAAGGACGCCCAGCAGCTTTACCAGCCGTTGCTGCTGGGCAAAAAGCTCAAACTGCCAGAGTTTGTGCTTGACGCGCAAGCCCTGGAGCCGGTCTTTGTCAACACGCAGCGCAATGTCGAATTGGCCTTCCAAGAACAGTTTCAGCCCTCGTCGGAACGCACAGACTTCCCCACGTCGACCAGCCCTCTTCCTTTGAGTTTGGATGCACTTGCACGGCTGTATCCTTCGCATGTTGCTGCTCCCAAGAAGTCGTCGCCACCAACCAATCTTGTCAGCGCCTTCCAACACTCTGCCGTCTCCGCCACTATCGCCAACCCTACTCCGGACGTTGCCACCCCTGCTGGTCGTTTTGGCGCTGACTTGGAGCGCGCCACGCTCATGCTGCAAGACACTGAGCAAGTGGTGCAGTACCAGAGCGTTCAGTTCGACGCGAAACCGACCGATGATGAAGACGTTGATGCTGACGAGGTTGATGCTGACGACTCTAGCCGTGGCCCACGTGCCATTGCGCGAGACCTCAGCGCAAGCATCGTTGAGTCGATTTTCAGCCCCCACGGCCACCTGCTGATGCAGCCCGTCGCGCATGCCAAGCTGACCACCCACCAAGCAGACTTTGACACTGCCAAGGAACGCGAACAAGTGTGGAAGAACAAGATGGTCGAGCAGCTATTTGCCCAACCGACTTTTGACAGCATTGTCAATGCCAAGCACGACGAGGTCTTTGCCGATAGCAAGCCTGGCAGCGATCTTGCCACGCACGGTCGCTTCCGCGCCTTGTTGCAAGAGCCCTACACCAACCACCTCAACCTCGAGTCTCTTGCGCGCGGCTCGCTCACCACCATTGCGCCCTGGAATCAGCAGTTCCTCGTCAACGCTGCCTCGGCCTTGGAGCGAAACCCTCACCTGCCTGCCCACACCAAATGGAACGCCCTCGCCGCGCTCAACAATACCTTGCATTCGCTTGTTGAAAAGAGTAAGGTGGAGGCCCGTCGTCGCGAGGAGACTGAGGCCCGTGCCGCGGCCATTCAAGCCGAAGTCCTTCGTCGTCAGCACGCTAGCCTTGTGGTTGATCCCACGTTCGAAAAGATTCACAAGGATGAATAAGCTTGATCTTCTTGTGAGTGTGTGTGCGTGTTTCCTAGTTCCGGGTGTACTTGTGCCTTGACTTGTATTGTAATGAAGTACTTTTTTTTTGTTTTGGGATGCTTTTGGTGCATGCTTCCTCCGAGTCAACGTTCTTTCAGATGGTGGTGATTTGTTGAGCACTTGCTCTGTTTTGAGCCCGACTCGACTCCTGCTGTGATTGCCATTTAAATTTTCCACTCTGAAGCCTCAGTCTTTGGTTGTTTTTTTTTTTTTTTTTTTCTTTTTTGTAAGTCTTGCATTGAAAAACGTGTGGTTTTTTTCCCCCTGCTTTTGAAACACTGCCTGTCGCCCGTGACTTGAAGCCGTCGGTTGAAGTGAACGGTGATGGTGATCTGAGATTGGCGGAAGTCGGGTGGAAGAGGCGATGGAAGTGGGGCAGGGAGGGAGGCAGGGGAATCGCAGACCGACCACGCTCACTTCACTCTGCTGCCAAACTCAACTCCCACAGGACGAAAGCATGCTGGACGTTGACGACATGACGAGCGATCAGCACGACATGTTCTACGCCGTCTGCGATAGTTACGGATCGCTCGAGTAAGTAACAAACAACGCAAGCGAAAATCGCAACAAATCCTTGCTTTGACGGTGCTCACGGTTGGACAACGGGAACGTGAACTAGCTACGAGAATGAAGATATCGGCGACGATCTTGTCGCAGCATTGGCTGAGGCACTCAAAGGACACCCCGCTGTGACATCGCTCAAGTAAGAGAATTGATGCGCATGGCTTGTGTCCAAGGGATGAAGGATGGCTCACCTCACACATCTGGGATTGTTTGGACGTATTCTCGCTAGTTTGAGCTCCAACGAGATTGGGATTTATGGAGCGTGCTCGATTGGTGAAGCCTTGCACGAGAACAATGTCCTGACAAAGCTCAAGTATGTGACCTTGGTCTGATGATTGATTGATGTGACGGCCGTGCTCACCGATTTTACCATGGGCGGACAGTATGGGCCACAACCAGATTGGGGCTCCTGGAGCGAAAGCCATTGCCGGTGGGCTCAAATCGAACAGGACACTTCAAGCGCTTTTGTAAAGCTGCCTCACTGTTGCCGACTAGGGATGAAACGGGGCGGATTCGGACGACGGACGTTGAAGCGTTCTCACTGTCGGGAGGGTTGATCCACAGACTTGAAGAGTGTGACCTCGGCAACAACGGAGCCCAGACGCTTGCCTCGGCGCTCAAGGTGAACACTTCGCTGACCAGGCTTGAGTAAGTATTGATTCGATGGTTTTGATGATGGGTGATGGATTCAACTGCGAGCATTGGTGTCGCTCACCGCCGGATGAATGGACGGACAGTCTGAGATTTAATGGCATTGGTGATTCGGGCGCCAGTGCCATTGCTAGATCTCTGTATTTCAACAACACGCTGACCTCGCTTGAGTAGGTTGACGCGCAGTTTACTGCTGTTGATGTTGTATTTCCCCTTCATGCGCGGACAATGATGGTGCTCACTGATCGGAAACGGACAGCTTATCTGGCAACTTTTTCGAGTTGGCTGGCGTGCAGGCGATTGCTGGGGCACTCCAAGCGAACACGACGCTGTCTGTGCTCTTGTAAGGCATCTCACTTGAACGGATGCATGTGAGTGGGTGATTTTCAACAGAGGACATTCAAAGTGCTCACTGAATGGAGGGAACGGACAGTTTGGAACAGTGTCGGATTACCGACGCTGAAGCGCAGGCGATTGCCTCCGCACTCAAAGTGAACAGGGGCTTGACTTATCTCGAGTATGTCATTTTACTTTTCCTGATGCATGAGAGTGGCTAATTCAGCAAAGTACTCACTGATGGAGGCGGACGGGCAGTCTGCAAAGAAATCAGATTGGCGATGTCGGAGCACAATCGATTGCTGAGGCACTCAAAGTGAACAAGACGCTGACTACAATCCAGTAAGCCACTTCCCTTTGACTGATGCATGTGGGGTGATTTCAGCAAAGAGTATTCAGAGTGCTCAACGATGGAGGGGATGAACAGTCTGTTGCACAATCAGATTGGCGTTCTTGGAGCGCAAGCGATCGCTGAGACACTCAAGGTGAACAAAGCTCTCTGTGTGCTCTTGTACGTCGATCGGGCGGATAGTGCTTGTGGATTACTTGTTTAGACGTACATCGTGCTGACTGACCACCAGTCTGCGAGAAAACCGATTTGGCGCTGCTGGAACACAGTCCATCATTCAGGCTCTGGGGACCAATCGCACTCTGGAACGGCTGTCGTACGTTGTGCTCAACATTGTGACTGATGCCTTTGAGCAATTCCTTCGAAAGAGCCCCACTCATTTCTGCAAACGATGAGCAGACTGAGCTGCAATCACGCGGGTGATGCTGAAGCGCAAGCGATTGCCGAAGTACTCAAAGTCAACAAGACCTTGACGCACCTGTAGTGAGTTGTCGTACCGCTGCAATTCAAGACTGTTTGATTGTTTGATTGATTCAGTTGCGAGTATTGATGGGCCTCTTACACATGCATCCGACAGCCTGAAAGACAGTCTGATTGGCGATACTGGCGCGCTATCGATAGCTGAGACACTCAAAGTGAGCTCGACCTTAAGATTTCTCAAGTAAGCTGGCTCTTAGCAACGTGTCCTTGTTGCTTTTCTTTTTTTTTTTTTTTTTTTTTGATCTTTTTTCAGTGTCCTCATTCCCGACGCAGCCTGTTCAACAATGAAATCACTGACACAGGAGCACTGGCAATTGCAAAAGCCCTCAAAGTGAACAAATCACTCGGCACACTCATGTACGTGTGGGTTCTGTTTGAACGAGTTCAAAATCATTCTTTTTTGCACTCATGCTTCAAGCTGCACGACTTCACACTGACACAACAGTTTGAGCAAGAACTTCCTGACCAAAGCTGGAATCACCGCACTTCGACAAAGCGGCAACCCGAGCTGTGAAGTTGAGTAAGGCTCTGCGCGCATCGTTTTGAAGCATGCTCAAAAATAACCAACATTGCCCTGGTTTCTATGCAGTGACAAGGACGAGGGTCGCCTCGCCGATCAATTGGTTCCATCCCCGGCGCACTTCCAGCGGCTTGCAGCCCGCGCCGGCGAAGCCTTCACTCGGGCGAGCCGCCTTGAGGCTGAGAATCAGAAAGTGCGCTCCGAGCTTGCTGCTACACTCCAGGAACTCCAACAAGCACGATCAGAACTGCAACAACTTCGCGCCAATTTCTCTTCCCCGTCTACCGCAGCGCTGGATCCCCTTGGAGACCTTCAACGTGCACGGCCGTCTCACGAGTCCATCCCGCGAATCCCTCTCGAAACGCTTGTCAGTGCCACGAGCAATTTTGCTGCCAAGTATCTGCTCGGCGAGGGAGCATTTGGTCGCGTGTACGGCGCCAGTGTGTCGGGCTCTCGTGTTGCCATCAAGAGGCTGTCCGCTGAATCCTGGCAAGGCTCGGCCGAGTTCAAGTCGGAGCTAGACTCGTTGTCGAAATTCCGCCACGCAAACATCATCACCATCCTGAATTACGCAGAAGAAAGAGGTGAGCGATGCTTGGTCTATGAGCTCATGCCGAACGGTTCTGTGCGCGACCGTCTCAGTCGCAAGAACAACTCGCCTCCGCTGACCTGGGCGCAGCGCCATCGCATTGCGGCCGATGTCGCCCGCGGCATGAACTATGTCCAAACCGCATTCCCGGCTCATGTTCTGTTCCACCTCGACCTCAAGTCGGACAATGTGCTTTTGGACGCGCGTTTCCATGCGAAAGTGTCGGATTTTGGTCTTGTTCGTGCTGCCCAACACCTCGATCAGAGGAGTTACCTTCGCACCCACAATGTCCGAGGTACTATGGTTTACATGAGCCCCGAGTACCTTCGCGAAGGCAGAATGTCGACCAAGACGGATGTCTACGCCTTTGGCATGATTCTGCTCGAACTGATCACCTCATCACTGCCGGGACTCGCACTCGTCACCGACACGCGCAAGGTGGTCCGAGACAGGCACACGCTGTATGCTGATGCTTGTCTCCTCCCTCTATCTGCCGCGGTACAACGACAGATTTGGCAGGTCGCCGTTCGTGCAATCGAGTGTCTGGATGACGACTGGAACGAACGTCCGTCCTTCGGTCACATCCTGGCCACATGGGGTGCTTGAGAGTTTGACCATTTCCAAAAAAAAAAAGTGATGTGGCGATTGTGTGTGCGACTCTGGCCTGGTTGGCAAATTTTGATGTGGCGTATTGTGGATTGCTCGTAGTAACGCATTGACATTTTGTAGTGTAGATTGAAAAAGACAAAAACACCCGCATGCACGCACATCCAAGTGCACGAACAAGCCGAACTGTTTTGCGCAATGTTATGACCTGTTTGTGGAACGAACCGAATGACTACTGAAGCATATGAGAATGAATGTGAAAGTATCGTGTACTAAAAAATGATCAAACATCAGCAAGGGGGGGGGGGACAGAGACTGCACCCTTCTTCGCATCAAGCATGCAAGGACAGGCGCAAGGAGAAAAAAGCGAAAAAAAAAATAAAGCGCGCGCACGCTTCTTCAATTGGTGTTGCGCATCTCAGCGACGAGACGAATAATAGCGACCACGATCGTCATAGTACTGCTGCTGCTGCTGCTGCTGCTGCTGTGGCATGGCACCAGCTGGTGGATATGCGGGTGCCACGCCTGCCATGGGGAAGAACGGAGGGAAGGCACCAGGTTGCTGAGACTGCGGCTGCGGCTGCTGCTGGGGCAAGTAAGGATAGCCAGCCGGCGGGTAAGCCATAGGTGCTCCCGGAGCGTACGGTGCGCCGAACGGGAAGGGTTGGATTGGCTGCATCGGCTGCATTGGTGGCTGCACTTGAGGCTGTTGTCGACTCGGGTGAACAAACGACTGGCCTGGGGTGGCCGCAGCAGCTGCAGCAGTAGCGCCGACGGGCATGGCGGAGTACAGTCCACTTGACGCAGGCAGCATGGAACTCGAGTGGGAAGAGGCAGAAGAGGCAGTGGAGTGGTGCGGCTGGGGGTGCACCCGGGATGGCTGCGAGTGCGCGTGGCGCTGTTGATTGCTGGAAGGAGTGGGATCGTTAAAGTGGACCTTGAACCACGCAATCAACTTGGCGATCAGGGCAAAGCCATGACCACGGAACCGGAAGCCATCGGGTGTGAGGCTGACATACTCGTGGCGCACACTGTGGGAGGGCAAATAGGCCAGCAGCAAGCGACCGGGTTTGTCGGGCACCAGTGCGAGCTTGTACGGGATGCGACCGCTCTGCGCTGCCTTCTCCTCGCGCAGCGACTGATCGATTTCAGGCACTGGAGCGTTCGTCCAGAACTTTGCGCTGCGCGCGTCCTGCAGCAGGTTGAACATTGGCGAGACGTGGCGAGCAAGGATTTCGTCCAAATCATCAAAGCGCTCCTTGCCAATGTACAGCTCACGGCCAAGTTCAGTAGGACTGGGCTTGTTTTGCTCGACAACCTCCAGATGCTGGTAAACACCCTCAGCCAAGCGCCAAGTCACGACCAACGAGTCGCCACCCTTCGAGGACGGGCGGATGATGACATCGCCGTCATGGCCAGCCTTGAGCAGCGCCAAGGCTTTGCGCAAGTCAACATTCTTGAAGCGACCGTGCTGGATGGTGCGTGGGACGTACGTGGCGCGCTTGGCCAGCCGGCGGGCACGCGCTCTCGCCTGCTCCTGATCAAACTTTTCGCAATCGAGGTCGTAGAAGGTGTCGCGACGAGGTGTAAAGACGCCGGATGTGTTTTGCAGGTCGGAGGACTTGGAGGTGAGGTCTGCAGTCATGTTCAGCTTGTTGACTCGCGTGATTCGCGCGTGCACGTGCTGCCCAGGACGGACATAGTCACTCGGGTTTTCGACACGCGAATCGCTCAAACGAGAAATGCCGATAAAGCCAATCATGCCATTGTCCAAACGAACACGCACACTCTTTTCTTGCAGTGAGACGACAGTGCAGTCCACAAGCATGCCTTCCCACAGAGTGGCGTCGGACTCTCCCGTAACCAACGTGAACTTGTCGTCGTCCGACAACGGACGGAAAGGAGGTCGCGAATCGACACCGTGGTACGTGAGCTCAGACCGAATGTCGTACAGAGTGGTCCGAATGCGTTTTCCGACGTGTGCGGCCTCCATGTGCTGTGCATAGTGGTCGAGATCGACCTCGTTCAGCTTTTGTCGCTGGCGCAGCAGCTCTTCCACGTGGTGAGACGGGGCGCGCTCGTCAATCGTGTCATAGTCGAGGGCGTCTCGAGCAATCTTTCGAGCTACATCGTAGTTTTCAGGATGAATCAGGGTCGTGTCCAAGATGTCAATGTACGAAGAAGGCTCGCCTGCGTCCTCGTCAGGGTCGCTCACTCCAAAGATGCGCAAAAAGCCAATGCAGTTCATCAGGACGGTTGGGCCAAGATTGCCCGTCAACCCGATCGCTTCGCGGCTGCGTGGTCGACCGCCTGCCGCCTTGATGGCCTCCAGCAGTGCAGGTGCCTTTCGCGGACCCAAGCCGGCAACAAACTGGAGCGTGCTGGCCGTGTGCGGGTGCAGCAGCGCTTGGGTCATGTCGACACCGACGAGCGCAACATTGTCGATCAAAACTTGAATCAAAGCAGGGCGCAGTGCCGTCGTCGGGATGATGGATTGCAACGGATGCAGTCGTAGCAAGGTCAGCTCGTCTTCGATGGCCACGCCCGAGTGACTCAGCACAAGGGAAGACGCCGCGCGGACGTTGGCGCCAGCCATTGTGCCCGTGCCGAACGAGCCGCCGTTTCCACCCACCAGCGTTGCGCCTTCCACGCAAAGCGAGGCGATTTCTGTGAGAGGGTCTTGCAGGCGACGGCCGACGGAAATGGCGCGTCGTAGGAGTGGAGGGTAGTCGGGAAATTCGCGCGCAAAGCGGGCAGTGTTTTCCTTGAGCAGGGCTGCCGCCATGTCGACAAGCTGGACGGCCACCGAGCTGACAAACGGATACTCGTCCGAGGGAATATCGCGCAGACAGCGCTCAAGAAGATCCTTGTTGCGACGGTACTCGAGACGGTCGAGGCCCAGAGCGATGGCGTGAGGACGCTTGGACACAATCATGCTCTTCAAGCGATCCAGTTCTTCTTCACGCACACGAGCCGATTCGGATGTGAAATCGCCCTCGCTCACGCGCTTCAAAAAGTGTTGGAGCCGAGCAAAGTCGAGCACCCGTCCGTTTCCATCGAGCATGACTGCAAAGGAAGGCGTGTCTTGCGAACCAGGCACAACGGCGAGGACACGCGCGCCCTTTTCCAGACCGTCGTCAATCTCCATCTCTTCGTGGATGCCAGATTTACGTCCGCTTCGAGACGACTTGTGCGAGCGATTGCGCCGTTCGTCGTCATCCTCGTCAGAATCGCTGTTGTTGGCTTCATCATCATCGTCCAGATCAAAGGACTCTGACTCCCAGCTCTTCTTCTTGGCCTTGTTGAGTCGACTGGAAGTGTCTCCCGTCGTGGTGCGACGATAGACACGAGTGGTGCGCGGGAATGGCCCAACTCGAACCAGCTCGTTGAGGGCGGCTGCGCACTTGGATGCGACAAACTGAATCGCGCGGTCTTCCAGCTGCACACGAATTTCGCGCTCGATGCGCGGCAAAAGCAAGAGTTGGAGCGCCCCGACCAGAATCATGCGCCGTTGCTCATTCCACAAGTTGGCCGTCTCAGAAACGCCAGTGTCGCAAAAGAAGCTGTCAAAGAGGGCAAACAATCGTGTCTTTCGCACAGATTCCGCCGCTGAAAGCAAAGACGTTTGGATGGTGGCGGGAACAAACTTGGGAAGACTCGAAGTCGCTGCTCCGACAGGAGCAGCTGCCTCTGCCGCGTCCACTGCGGCGCGTGCTTTGCGATCGGCTTCCACTTGGCGATCCTCCTCCGCTCGGTTCTCGGCCTCGGTGAGCGGCAGACCAAAGTAGAGCTGCAGCAGTCCCTCCTTCTCGGCCTTGAGCATCAGCAGGAATTGCTCGTCCTTGAAGGAGGAGAAGGGCTTTTTGGTAATGTACTTGAACGGCGCGTACTGGTGCGATTCGTCAAGTTCTCGTGCTCCGCGCGGGGTCGGCCGCACGGAGAGGTAGCCACGCTCGGTCATGTGCTGGCGCACGACGGTGCGAATGACCGGGTCGCACGCAATTTCCTGGGCTGTTGCCATGCGCACCGCCGAGAGAACCGTCTCAGCGCTGGAAAAGCCATGCCGTCCGGTTGCATACTCTTGAGCAGCAGTCGTCGGGGTTTCAACAGGAGACTCGGGCGGATAGTGGGCCTGGTAGTCCTGGCGAAGATTTTCAGCAAGCTGCTCGACGGCGAGACAGAACTGACGTTGGAGGCGCAGCAAGCCAGCCTCACGCGCCACAAGGTGTTGGTCTCGCTGCACGGGCTTTTTCGTGAATGGTGCGTCTCGGGCTGCGTCTGCGGCCGATCGCTTGGCACGAATGTTTGCCAGAGCGTCGCCAAAGTGCAGATTGAGGTGGTCTGTAATGTCGTCCACCTCAAGAGGAACATGCGACTCGGTCAAGAGATGCAAGGCTCGCTCCACCAAGTCCAATCCGTGGTTGACATTGGCTGAGCGCTCGCGATCTTCCGATGAGCCTGCAGTCGATCCGAGCTCAAAGTTGGACTGCGACTCAAGACTCTGGTTGAGGGCCGTCGAAGCAGCAATCAGCGCCTCTTGCAAGTAAGAGCGCAAGTCGACCAATCCCTTCTGGACGGATCGCTTTCGACGAACAAGCGCCGACCAAACCACGTCTTGCGCGTAAATCTTCCAAAGCTCGGGCGTTTGGATTTCGGTCTCGATATACTCTTTGCGGAACTTGGCGATAAATGGCACCTCCATGCCCTGGTTGCGAATTAAATCAAGCGCCGCCTGGATTTTGGGCTTCATGGTGGCCGCATCATAGTCGGTCGACTGCGACTCTGAGCTCCACTGCGACCCAGAGAGAGGGAGGAAGACTTGTCGGAAAATCCAGTCGGCTTCAGAGACAAGCTCATTCTCGCCCTCCCAAGCGTTCTGCTGCGTCTTTGACGCGAATAGCATCGTCCAAGTCTGTTTGGAACGATGATGCGAGGAGAGATGGCTCGAGAACCTGACAAAGACTCGGGTATTGAGTAAACCACACAAAAAGAGTCGATTTTCAAAACAATGACAGTTGAAGGACAGATGACACGATAAGCGAGAGAGTTCGGTACCTCTGACAATTGCGCTTGCACTTTGGGTTTGGGCTGTCGTTTGGCGCGATATTCCTCGAGACGCTGTTGGCGTTGCTCTTCATCGAGACCCTCCTGCTGGGTATCAATTTCCTAAAAGTCAAAATCGACCGAGAGTAAGGATTACGATGTCAAAGAGGACAGCGGCAGGATTGGTGTCGCGCTGAAGGAAAAACCCTACCAGCTGTTCTTCGTCCTGCTCGTCGAAAAAGTCGTCATCGGCGTCCAAGTCCTCCGACGTCATGTACTTGAGGTAATCTTCGCCGAAAATTTGAATGGCGGTTGCAATGTTGCTGCTGCTCGTAGTTGCAAGAAAGGGTTTTTTTTTTTCGAGAATCAGTGGCTTGCTGCGCAGAGTTCCAGCAAAACGAGCGACAAGTTGGGGTGACATACCTCAGTTGGCCCTTGCGATCGTCCAAAAAGTCTCGCTCGTCCTCTTCCGCTCGAGCATCATCCGCTGCCGCAGCAGCCGCAGCAGCAGCAGCATCATCGGCATCGGAACGGGAGGCGCGAGAAGCGGATTTTTGCACGGGCGCCTGAGGCCGCTTTTGCGGGCGCTGCGCACTCCCGCGCTCTTCTTCCTCGTCGTCCTCGTCGCTCATATCAAGGCCAAGATCATCGTCTGCTTGCGAAGCAGCAGTTGGACGCTCTGTGCGTGTTTGCTCGACGCCCTTAATGAAACGTTTGCGCGTGCGCGACGAGTGCTGGAAGGGTTCCCACGATCAAAGAGTCAGGCAACAACGGTTAATCGTGAGCACACAAAGAGGGGCTGAAAGAAATAAACGCCCACAGCGCACAAACGCAACGTACCGCGCCAAGAAGATCCACATTCTCCTGCACGAGTGCCAAATCATCGTCATCCAGATCAGGATAGTTGTCTTCTGTCAAGAGGGGGGGGTTTGCGAAATGGACGAGTTGGTATGTCTGAAACACAAGCAAAGCACAACAAAACGAAAATACAAAAAAAAAAAGGCAACGGAACACTCCAAGGAAAAAAAAAACCCCTCACCTCGCGGCTTGCGTGCATTTGTCTCTTCACCAGACCCTTCTTCTTCTTCTTCTTCTTCGCTGTCATTCCCCGAGCCCTCTTGATCATCGGAGCGACGCTTTTTCGAGGATTGGCGAGCCTCCTGATCGCTGCCCGCGGCGTCTTCGTCGGAATCACGGCGACGCTTTTCAGTTGTACGAGGCTCTTGCTCGTCCTCGGACTCTGGAGCAGCAGTTGCGGATTCAGGTTCGTCTCTGTATGCAACGAGGAGCATAGTGGACGATCAGACATTGGAAACGCGGAATGCACAACAAGCAATTCCTCCCTCTCCACTCACTCGTCGTCACTCAGAATGGCACGTCGTTTGGGACGCTTGACTTCTTCCTTGGCTGACGACTTCTTCTTTGTCTTCTTTTCGTGTCGCTCCTTGCCATGGCGGTCGGCATGCTTGGTGCTGTGGCGGTCGTCCTTGTCGTTGCGGTGTTTCTTGGACTTGTGTTTGGCCGCCTCCTTGTCCTGGCCATCCTTGCTGTCATCGCCAGCAGCAGCACTGTCGTCCTCTTCGCCCTCGTCGTCCCCTGCATCGTCGTCATCGGCTTCAGAATCGTCTTCAGAGTCGTCTTCGTCGTCCGAGTCGTCCGAGTCGTCGTCGTCATCGTCGTCGTCCTCATCGCCAAAGTCATTGTCGTCTTCATCGTCGTCGTCATCATCGTTCGCATGGTGCCCTCGCTTGCGCGTTGCGTCGTCGTCGTCCTGGCCCTGGCTCTTGCCAAACGAGCGACTGACGCCCGTCGTCGACGCCACGAACGCCTTGAACAGATCGCGGTCTGACGCTGCGCAACACAACCCAAAGAAGCAAAAAACAAGCAGCCCCACGTTCAATGCAAGAGTGAGTTCCAGGCACGGACGCTCGGTGCAGAGAGAGACAGAGAGCGAGACAGAGTGAGGAACGGTTGCTATTGCGTTGCCATTGCGAAGAAGGTTGGCGCCACTCGTGCCGTCATCACGCCGTGCTGGACTTTCTGACTTGCTGCACTCATGCTAGCTCTGCGGTAACTGTCGTGTGTGCTTCGTGGTGGTCGTCGCGACAGTGTGGGTTCAAAGCTGAAGAAGCAAGAAAACAAAAAAAAAAAAAAAAAAAAAAAAAAAAAGGCGATCGTTGGATTTTGATTGAACTGGGTCGCGCAAGGGGATGCCGCGGGAGAAGAGGGGAGGGCAGGGAAGGCGTTTCGGGTGCGGGATCAGAAAGCATCCACAGGTGCTGGAGATGGAGAGGCGGGTGGCTGGATGCTCCAGTTGGGGCTGCAGCGCAGCAGACACGAACGAACGCAATGGAAATCCAGCACGGAAAAAAAAAAAAAAAAAAAAAAAAAAAAAAAAGGCTCAGGTTTTCGTTTCGTTACGCATTGGATCGAGTGAAGTCGCGATTGGATTTGGAACGCACGAGAATGTTGGGTTTGATAATAAATATTCAGCAAAAAGGAAAGGGAGCAATCAATTCATCGTGCAGAAGGGGCGAAAAGTCGAAATCACAATAAAGTCACTTGAAGTGAGTGAATTTTCAGTTCCTATCCTGTTCTCTGGTCTGTCTGGCCGACATCACCCATTGATGGTTGGAAAATCACATCATCAATCTAAAATTTTGGCCGAGGGGTGTTTTGGAGAAAGCGTGCGAGCCGAGCGATCGCACAAACACAAACACACGCCCAGAACATTGCCGCCTCGCCTTACTGAAGACTCGAAACGTACCAAGGAGTTTACTGCACAACAATCAGCGCCATCATGTCAATGACAGCGACGAGCGACACCAGAACACAAGCATCAAAGCAACTGAACGGTTTCTTCGACCACGATCTTGGCCGCGCGACGCTTGCGCAAAACCAACACGACCACAACCACCACGACAACCACCGCGACAACTCCACCAACAGCGCCACCGATGGCGGCAACGGGAGCAGAGCTTGCGTCGCTGGGGTCACCACCTGGTGCATTTGTCGCGCTTGTTCCCGCAACAGACATGACAGATTGGACGCTGGCACTCGATGCCGACATGGCGGATTGTACGCTGACACTCGATGGCGACACGGCGGATTTTGCGCTGGCACTGGATGCAGACATGGCAGATTTCGCGCTGGCACTCGATGCCGACACGGCGGATTGCACGCTGGCACTCGATGCCGACACGGCAGATTTCGCGCTGGCACTCGATGCCGACACGGCAGATTTCGCGCTGGCACTCGATGCCGACACGGCAGATTTCGCGCTAGCACTCGACGCCGACATGACAGATTGCACGCTGGCACTCGATACCGACATGACAGATTGCGCGCTGGCACTCGACACCGACATGACAGATCGCACGCTGGCACTCGACGCAGATATTATACTGTGACTCGCCAACGCGGCCGAGCGCGACGCGGTCGCGATGGATTGAATACTCGCTCGGGACACCGAAACAAGCCCTGCAAGATACTCGGCGGCTGTTAAGCACATGGTAAATGGCGCCGCCGAGATTGGGTACTCGGGCGAGCAGTGGTTCACCGGAACGCACCACCTCCACAAGCGGTCGCTGTAGATGCTTGTCGTGCCGCTTGTCGCGCACTGATCGGCCAGCACGCATGCATCAGTCTCCGGTAAGTAGTACAGATTCGTGGCCACGCAGGCGCACATGCCGCTGGTCACGTTCAGTGCGAGGGCGACGCTGCTGCACGCATCGCACGTGCTGTTCACAAAGTTGAGGCCCAGGCTGTGTGCAGCGCACTCTTCCGTGGAGAAGCAGCGGCGGTCGGCCACGCTCGCAAATGGAGTGGACGCAGAACACGACGATTCGGTCAGGTTGAGGCACTGGTGCGTTGGCACGTCGCCAAACAGACCTTCGGGGCACAGATCGATGCAAAGTGTGCCCAAAGCGAATGGGTAGGCGGCAGAGCACTGGCTTTGTGGCACGCAGAACCGCGTGAGCGGGTCGCCAAATGAATTGGGCGCAGTGCAATCTGCCGAGCTGACACAAGCAGAGGTCGAATTGTCCCAAAACAGACCCTGCTCGCAGGGGCGGCATTCGTTCGTGACAGCGTCGAGCCAAGGGAGGCTGACTGGGCAGTCGCTGACGCAAGCAGCGGCGATGGGATCGGCGACGAGACCAAACGGCAAGCACCCAACGCCAGGCACGCACTGGAAGTTCGGATTGGCGTACCCGTAGCCGTAGCATGACTGCAGGCTGAGAGGGAGGGGAAGTGGGTGAGGAAGAAGGTGAGTGAGTGCTGAAACAACCGCGGACCAACACGAAAACGGGGAGAGGAAAGGAGCTGTCGAAAGGGTCTCTTTGTCCAAATTGTTCAAGCCGATGCAAAAGTCACAAAAGTCGCAAAAGTCGACACGTACCACCGCGCCTCGGGCGCATACTGGAAGACAAACGGAGCGAGCGTGCACCCCAAAGTGCACGATGGCAGCGGCAGCGTGTCGGAATGATAGTACTGCGGGACGGAGTCGTCCGTGCAGTTCATGACCACGGGTCCCGGTATGTTGTGTTTCGATGGGTAGACAAAGTTTGGCAGCCGCGGGATGATCGATGACGCACAAAAGTCGGACACACTGGAACGCATCGGCAAGGATACGAAAGACATTGGGTGTGTGGACATGCGAACCTTGACCGAGCATGAGTTGTGGAGAACTACACTGGTGCGCGCCCCGGTCGAAAGAGTGAACATGACGTTGGCCTCACCCGTGTTGTTGATAAACTCTGTGTTTGCCACCGCAACAAACGAATCGCCGTAATAGTTGCTCACGAACATGGTGCCGCAATTGGTGAGGGAGGTACCGTTGCACCAGTTGTCAAGGAAGTGGGTGTCTTGCATCGACACGCCCGTAGTCGGGCCGTCTAGTACCACGCTCAGCGCAGAGCTCTAGGTGGAGGCGACAACAAGCAGCGTCGTTGGCAATAAAGGGGTGGGAAGAAAGGAAAGGGACGAACTGCGTGAGCAAAATGACAACAAAACAATCCACAACAATTCATGCAGATGACGCGTGAAATGAGTTGGCACGTACGCAAGTAGCTGTGAATGGCCCAGACAATACGTTGCCCACAAACCGCACGTTGCGGGTGACCAGCGTGCAGTCGTCCATGCCTGGCAGAGGCGCCATGAACGCGGAGACAGCACCGCCGCCGTTGCGCGTAATGTTCGAGTTGACGATGCGAAGATTGCTGTACTGTGTGTAAATGGCCCCGCCGTAGCTCGCAGCGTTCTGATCGAAAAGGCACGCGCTGAAGCGAACATCGGCCCACCCAATGACAGACGCGCCATCGCCGGATCCGCGGGACATACCAACTGTCAGGGGAGGGGCGGAGAGTGGGTCCCACACAGAAAAGGGGTATGAGTAGAAAAGAAAAAGTGCCCAGTCGAAAAACAAGACGAACCAAGACGAACAAGGAGCTGAAAAAAACAAAAGAAAGAGACACGCCACCAAAACAGAAACCAGACCTAGAAACTTACAGGCACCACCATATGTGGCACTGTTATTGGTAAAAGTGCATTGCGAGAATGTCATGCGAGAAACACTCGACTTATCCGTGTAGATGTGCAGGCGCACGGCGCCACCCGAGGAATATGAGATCCCGTAGGACACAGCACGGTTGTTCCGGAACTAGCATCGAAAGGAGCAGCAGAGTGACAAATGGATGAGAAACCGCAAAGTGAGCGCGAACGCAAAGCACAACATTTGACAGAAACCGCAAAGTGAGCGCGAACGCAAAGCACAACATTTGACAGCATTTGACAGGTCCACATGTTACCTGGCAGTTGATGAACGTCCAGTCCACAACGGCGACGGTCGAATACCCAACCCCAACGAAAACAGCCGCACCGCCGTTGCCGTTTGGGCGATACCCATTCTCAAAGATGAAGTCGATGATGGTGACATTGTACGTGCCGCCAGTCCTGCCACCATAGTCGCCAGCAAACAGGCCCTGAGCGCCATTGCCCAGAATCTTCACGGGCGACCCAGGCACGGACGAGCGGATGATGACATGCAGGCCGGAGACGGAAACCAGCGTGGTGCCAGTGCCAGTGTACTCGCCGGGGGGCATGCAGATGGTCTGCGGTGGCAGGGTGTTTGTTGTGCCGAGCGCTTGAAGAGCCGGGACGAGCGCGGCAAGCGACGTCACTGTCTGCACGCAAGCCACGAACGGCGGCACCATGACGACCTCGTCGCCGTACGAGCCACTGTGGTCGTCGTCGTTGGGGTTGGTCGCGCGCGCGCCCGTCACAGCGAGCAGCGCCACAAGCGCAAGCAGCAGGCTGGAGCGACTCAGAAACCCCACGCAGCACGGCCTAATAATTTTCGGTTTGAGCATTTGTATTGCTTTGGGGGACTGGCCTCGCGCGCTCTGGTTGGTCTCCTTAAAAGCTGCGGTGAAAAACAGAGCAACAGCGACAGAGAAGGAGGCCGAGAGACCAAGCAGACAGAAGAGAGCAAGCACGACCGAAACGTTTAAACAATCAAAAACAAAACCATAACAATCAAAAACACCTTTTTTTTCTGATTTTTTGGGGTTTTTTTCTCCCCTCCACTTTCTCGCTCTGTGGCGACACGAGGACACCGCAGGCTTCGTAATATGATGCTATACTTGCATTTGTATCGATTTATCGAGGAGAAGGGGCGAAAGGCCGAGATCACGCCGTACAGCAATAAGGTTGTCAGACTTTTCAGTTGCTGGTTTTTATTTTTGTGCTCCGGCACGCAGAAGCCGGCAGTCATGATTATTCTGGACGATATCTCACACAACGATGGATAGAAATACCATCGTCAATCTAAAATTTTGACCGGGGGTGTGATAGCACTTTGGAGAAAGCGTGAGGTGGCGTCGAGTTTGGCGCGAATGCGAAGCTGCCCAATCGAGTGGACGTGGCATGGTAATCCACCATCCAAGGAGTACAATGCACAAAGAATCATATTTTTGAGTTGAATTGAGCTGTGCCAGGGTCGCGCGGTACTCGATTGTACACTCTACCGACCATCAAACTGAGATGGTTGGCGCTGCACCTTTCGGACCAATCGACCGACGTTTACCCGGCCAACAGCTCTCAAGACCCAGCCCCATGAGATCCACAATCTCACACAAGCTGTGTTACGAGGATTTAGTGCATTCGAGTGGATGTGGATGCACCTGCTTTCGCAACTACCCTCCAGCTGTGTTGCTCAGCACGACCAGCACCATTCTCTCTCCACCAGCCCTTCTCTTGCATGTGCAATTCGATTGCCCAAACAATATTTCATCGTCCATGCAAATACAAACTCGATCGCGTTTTCACTCTCACTCTCACTCTCTCTTTTTGGTGGTCAATGGGGGTGCTCCAGCAGGTGCTCATCCTGCTCGTGTGCCGGGTGCCCGACCTCCTCCTCCTCCACAAGCGACACTTGGTTGCGTCGCCATTGTTCTGGGCTGGCCTGGACAATGCAGCGCATGGCCTGCTCGCCTTCATCCTCTGCTTCATTGCTGCGAACGGCTCGCTGTCGGGCCTCCTCGCGCTCAAGACCACCGCGTTCGCCCTGTTCCCTGCGTCATCGTCAACCAGCAGCAATAGTAATAGTACTAATAGCAATGCTAGCAGCAATAGCAATAGCAATAGCAATAGCAATAGCAGTAGCAGTAGCTCGTCAGCGTCGTCAGCGTCGTCCTCGTATCAGCCGCATACAGCTGTCAATCTGAGCCATCTCCATCCGTCAACGCCAGTCGGCGTGCTGGCAATGATACAGGCTCCGTTTGTCTTCCTGGCAAGTCCGCGTGCCAAGGTGCTGTTTGCTGGACCGGTCGGGTTGGCCATTCTGTCTGCGTTCCTCGGCTGTGCAATGGACCTCGACCACTTTATCACTGCGCGGTCGATGCGAATTCAGGTATAGAAATCAATCCATGTGTTGTGTTGGGAGAGGAACCCAAAAACAAGGGTGTCGCATCTCAATCCATCTCACTCGAACATTGTCAACTTGTGCGCTTTTGCTTAGGACGCGACAAGTCTGCCACGACGACCATTCGCACATTCAGTCACCTTTGCGGTCGCGTTCGCAATAGCTGCGTACATGGTGCCAACCATCCTGCAGCGAATTCACCGGCAGCCACAGAGCGACCTCCCAACGCAGCTTTTCGGGGTCGTTTTGGTTGCCATGCTCTCGCACCAAATACGGGATGGATCGCGACGGGGTCTGTGGGTTCCTCCCTTTGGCGAAACAGCTCCTCTCCCGTTGATTGTCTATCTTGGGCTCGAGCTCTTGCTTCCAGTGGTAATGCGACCCATCTTTGCCAGGCGCATTTCGATTGCCGCGCCGCTCATGACTTCAGTTTAGCTTAGTGGTTCGCTGCGGATATTTTCCCCCCCCCGCTCTGTATCGGCAGACAGTCAGACTGCTGAGCGTATTTTGTGTTTCATCAGGACGTCGTCAACAGCACGTCGTGGACATACAGTCACTGTCCTTGTTCTTTCATGCTTCAGTTTTGTGCTCTTTGTTTGTGTTTCGTTTTAATTTATCAGTTTTCAGAGAGTTTCAGTCTTGTCAAAGCCACACCAATTCCAACTTGTCACTTTTCGTGAAGGCGACACAATTGTGTGAACAGAGTCTAAAGCTTGCCTGAACACGGGAGAGCGCTAGCAATAAAGCGACCATAGAGTCTCATATCCGACAAAAAGAAATTCGAATCGCAATTCTTTGGCAAATGCGCGGGGGTGAACATCCACCTGCCAACCTTCGCGCATTTGTCGCAGGATTGGAGCACTTGCTGGCCAGATCGTCACAAGCTCGGTGGTCGAGCCGACGAAAGTGGGTTTCGCAGCGCATGTGTATCGAACAGTACCTTGCTCATCTCGGACAATCACATCAACAGCCAGAGGGGTAGTGTAGGCGTCGAAATTGTACTTCCGGTCACGAAGCACTTGAATTACTTTCACTCGGATTGAAGTGTCACTGATGCCTCGAACTCTACTGATCGTGATCAAAGATTCACACCAGGAATCAATGTGTGCGCTGACTCGTGGAATTGCCCGAAAACCCGGCTGGACGCAGCGACGAAATAGAGCAGAGTGATGTGTCGACTTGTTCCACCAAAGCGGCATCCTCAGAAACCTCTGTGTTTACGCTACATTAGTGGCGAGGCGGGGAATGGGTCACTCTTTCGCAAGTAAACCAAGCAGACACTCTTTATTTTGTCTCCTTTTTATTTTTTCCTTTTCGAAATTCTATTTCGTTGAACGTCGTTGCTCAGAATTTCGCACACATGCCGATTATCACGGTCGAGTACGCGCATCCGCAGTCGCCCTTCCCAGGCCTGCTGGTCGACCCAGCCCTCTCTGGCGCTAGCTCTGCCAACCTGGAACGCGTGGGGAGGTCCAAGGCGGTTGCTGTGCTGCGTTCGCTGCCTTCGAGCCCGCTTTCGCCCGGTTGCGTTGTTTTCATCCCGGGCTCGCCAGCGCCTTCCTACCACTCTGTCGCCCTCCTTCCCTTCTCACAGTCACCATCAACGCTGCCGTCCGAATCAACGTCCAGCACTCTGACACTCATTTCCAGCAGCACGTCCGGCGACACCCTTTCCAATCCCACTCACGGCAGCAACCAGCAACGCAATCGAAGGAGCAGCAGCAGCGGAAGACGAACAAAAGCGAAAGGAAGAAGAAGAAGACCAGGAAGCAGACGAAGACGAATTGAACGATGACGATCTTCCTCAGGAGCGCGTTTCGCTCTTGTCGCGCGAGGCCTCCATTCGAAGTCTCCCTCCGTCCTACTCCGAGTCTGGAATGTCCCCACTGAATCTCGCAGTGCAGCGGCTGCGACGCGGATTTATGGCGGCGGGAAGAAGCAGCGGCGGCAGCCAACGAACAAGCGGCACCAGCACGCCCGCACCTCCTTACACCCCTACCAACCACTTTCCCGAGCTCCTCTTTGCCCTGACTCAGCGCCAGCAGCAGCAACAACAACAACAGCAACAACCACAGCAAGAGCAACAACAACAACAACAACAGCAAGAGCAACAGCGTTCGCAACAGCAACAGCGCCAGGACGAAGAAGAACGCCGGCAAACTCCGACAACGGTCAACTCCAATTCGCAAATCGCTTCGTCGGCGTCGTCGGCGTCGTCGGCGTCGTCGTCCTCCCAGAGCGCGCTGGAGCAGTCGCCGAGCCTTCAGCTGCAGCTGTCACGCTACTATCCATTCATGTGCGCAGCAGCGAGCCCGACGGACTCGGACGGACGGAATCGCTTGCTACTGGTGCCGGGGAGTATGCCGACGAGTCATCGGTCGCTAGGTCCGTATTCGCGAGAGGTGTTGGCATCCACAGCCATTTCGCCCACCCAGCTCGCCGCGTTCCGAGCCAAGGCCGATGCTGCACGAGAGGCAGACCGCGAGGCTCGCGAAGCTCTGGTCATGTCCTCGATTCGCAACGAGGAGCGCAAGGATCGCTTTTGGGGAGCGTCGCTCAACGTGAATTTGCTCATCGTCATCAACGCCATCTCGGCTGTCGCTCTCATCGTGTCATTCTACATGAGTGGTGGAGTCAACATGTCACCCGATTACCATGGCGCGGTCGCGCCGTTCGCCGATTACTTTGTCACGAAATACCCAACCTTGCTCGTGCCTGGATCGGCAGCCTTTTTCGTGTGGTACGCCGTGTTGCTCGGAGTCTTTGTCTTTGCCATGTACCCGTTGATTTTCAGCGGACCCTCCGTCGATCTGAGTCTTCGCGCGGTGGGCATTTCGATGCCAATCGGCTGCGCCTTTCTTTGCGCGTGGTTTTTCGTCTGCGAGGCAGACGTGGACTATGCACCCGCCATTCTGATGTTTTGTGCCTGGGGCGCATTCATACCTGCGTGGATGCGCGTGCTTGGTCGATGCGATATTGAATTTCTCCAGCAAGACGACGCCGAGCTGCCTTCACCTGCACACGTCGCCTCGTTTGCCAGGTTGGTCCGAACCGGCACGCGCGTCCGCGTCGAAATGTCCGTTGCGCGGCTGCTCAACGTTCCACGCATGAGGCCCAACGTGAATTTCTGGTGCGCTCAGGTGCCAATCTGCCTCGTGAACGCCTGGTTGGGCGCGATGGCCATGATCAATGTTACCGTGCTGCTCCACCACCAGCTGGACTGTGCCTGGGGCAACGCGACGTGGTACTGCGGCATTATTGCAGGCTTTTTGTTTGTGCTGGGCTTGACGGCCGTCTACTCTTCGGACATGGTGTGCGGATTGACCTTTGCCCTGTTCCTCGTTGCCGTGTCGCAGCGAAGTGACCAAGACCAAGTCATGAATGTGCTGTGCCTGGTCTTTTCCATCATCCTCTTCATCGTCACCGCCGTGGCAGCCGTGTTCCACCTCTACCGGCTGGCCGAGGCCGTTCGTCGGTATCGACAGCGTGTGCTTGACGTCGCGCTCCAATCTCTCACCCCGGTCGAGGCCCAGGCCTAAGAAAAAAAAAAAAACACAATTCGGCGCATGATTCTGGTCCCTCCATGTGGATGAGTGTTTGTCTGTACATGCCGAAAAAGAAGCAGCAACAGTACCGGTGACTCGTTTTCGTTTGTGCCATGTATCAGTCGGTTTCGTGTAACATAGTCTGCATGCTTTCACTTTGAGTTGTCTTGCCCAGTCGGCTTTGTGCCAAACCGTTTCAGATTAAAAACGCTTGATGTTTTTTGAAGTTTGGGGGATTCAAATGCATTTACAAAGCAAAGCACCCAGAGTCCTACATGCATGCCAAAAAAGCAGCACGGTACAATCAACGATCAGAGGAGAACCAACCATCAAAACCAGAACAACAACAAACAAATTCAATCTGTGCAGTAGTAGTGTGTGTGTTTCAAATTTCTTGACGACCAATTGGAGAGAAAGCAAACTTGCAGAGCAGCCTTGTGGGCGTTGTGCCATGTGCTCAAACAAAATTTTGATTTTTTAAGGCCTTGAAGCCTGGTGCAATGCATTTTCGTCATAGTCCACGTACGAAAATCCTCGGAACTCGTTTTGGAGGGTGGAGCTGAGGGTGGTCGGGTCGACAAACGAATCCTTTGGCGTCTCGACCGTAAACTCGGGATCAAAGTTGCTCACATCTTCAAGGTTTTTCAAATGCGGCTTGAAGGGTGGCAGGAGCTTTTTGGAGACGAGCATGTCGAAATCAATCTCTGCAAAGAAGGGGTGTGCCTTGATGGGTACGGCGTCGTCGGGGCCCGCTCCAAGGCGCTCTTCTGGGTTGCGCTTCAGGAAGCCGCGGAGAATGTCCTGTCCGACCTCGGACACCGCGTTGGGTGGGAAGTTAATGTCCGAGTATAAAATCTTCTTGTACATGAGATTTGTGTTTTCAGAGTAGAACGGCGGGAGGCCAGTCAGCATTTCGTACAGCAGTACGCCGAGTGACCACCAGTCCACAGAGCGCGAGTAGCCCTGGCCCTTCAGCACCTCGGGCGCCAAGTACTCGGCAGTGCCGCAGAAGGTTTTTGTTTGTGTGTCGTACTCCATGTTCTCCTTGCACAGACCAAAGTCCGTCAGAACAATGTGTCCCGAATAGTCGAGAAGCACATTCTCGGGCTTGAGATCGCGGTAGATGATGTTGTGCGCGTGCAAGTGCTCGAGCGCGACGACGAGCTCGGCAGTGTAGAATTTGGCGCGCTCATCCGAGAATGTCGTCACCTTTTGCAGGTGCAGGAAAAGCTCGCCGCCATGCACGTAGTCCAGCACCATGTAAATCTTTTCGGGTGTTTGGAAGCAGTACTTGAGACTGACGAGGAAGGGGTTGTCGCATTGTGCCAGCACATGACGCTCTGCCTTGGTGTGCTGCACCTCGTCGCGCGCCACAAGCGTGTCCTTGACTAGAATTTTCATGGCATAGATGCGTCCAGTGTCCTTCTTGCGCACCTGCATGACCTTGCCAAAGCTGCCCTTGCCCAGGACCTTGAGCAGATCAAAGTCGTCAATGGTGACGGGTTTGGCCTGCAGAACAAGAGCGATCAAAAGCAACGTAAGATACACAAACGCCCCCAGCATGGAAGCAAGGCAAGCAACAAAATAACAACAACAACAACAACAACAACAATGCATTACATCGACAAGACGATAGCAAAGCGCGAGGTGAATCTCGCCCTTGGTGCGCTCCTTCCAGTCCTTGGGAATGAGCTTGAACCAGGTATCGTTGACTTTCTGCTCCAAAAGCACGACGTAAACCAAGCAAAAACAATGAATTACAACCAAAAATCAGAGACAAGCGCCCCCCCCCCCACACATCTCCACATCTGAGGGTAGCCAAAATCAATTTGCACCCGCCAAATCCCAAATCCCAAATCCTAAATCGGCGAAATTTAGGTCTGGTTTGTTGTGATTTTTTTGGATGCAGCTCTCAAACTCGACGCCAGCGACCAACACGAAGCCACACGGCGAGTGCATTGGACAATTGAACTCCCGGTCTTCCCTGTCTCCCTCTGTCTTCTCTGTCTTGCTACGTACGTTTGGAATACGAGTGGGGCGAATCTTGAAGGTGCCCAGAAACTCGTTGCCAGCCGAGCCAGCGCGGTCCCACACGGCGATATTCAGCTCTGCATTGGCTTGGCACACATCACTGTGGGTTGTTGTACAGGCAGTGAACATGAAGTGATCAGGCAGTGGACAGGAAGCGAGATAAGCAGAGCAGCCGCAGCAACAAGGAAAAAAAAAAAAAAGGTGACGGAGGTTTGGGACTGTTTTTTTGGGAGTAGCTCGACTGCGGGGGCACTGCTTCAAGGGAGCGAAAGAAGAAGAGAGAAGAAGAGAGAAGAGAGTGTGTCATATTGCTTGTGGAACGAGAAGACAGGCGAACACGAGCGACGAGCAAGGAACAAAAGCAGAGGAAGAGCGGCAAAATAATAATAATCATAATAATAAAATAAAAGAGACGGCGGACTGTTATGACGAACAGCAGCACCCAGACACAGTCCAACAGGAACGGGACGAAAGAGAGACAACGACAACAGGGTAAGGAAAGCGAATGCAGAACAAAAAAAAACCAAGGTGAAACTGCCGTGTGGAGCGCTGGCGGGAAACGAAAGAAAACCACAGCGAACCATTCAATGCATTATTGCTCTGTTTACAATGTGAAGGCCTGGTTCCAGACGCAGCCGTCGCCAACACCGTCGGCGTCGTGCGTGAGGACTTCTGTGCCGTCGTAGCCGACAACGCAGTAAGGACGGCCGGGGTCGCGGCCGCGCTTGGTCAGCCCGCGCGCTTCGACGAGCTTGACAATGAGGATGCCTTTCATAAACGAGCTCATTGTTGCGGCAAGACAAAAAAAAAAAAAAAAAAAAAAAAAAAAACTCAGAAAAAGACTGAAACAAACAACCATTTTGGTTTTGGTGTTTGACATTTTGAGATGGTGAGATTGAAGAAAAAAAATGAATGCAAGTTGTCATTCAATTCATTCAATCCATTCAATTCATTCAAATCCAAGGGCAAGCTGCTTTCACCAGATCCATTCCCAAAGCGCAAACTCACTGAAAATTGACCGACATTTTGCACTGTACTGTTATTGTATCGAAATGGGAAGTGGAACAAAGTCGCTCAGTCATTGTTGTTTTGTTTGGTGATTAGGGTCTCTTTTTTGCAAAACGACCAAACTGAAACAAAAAAAAAAAAACGCGGGAAAACATGAACGCCAATTCAACTATTGTCCCACTTTACGCGCGGGCGGACGCCGGATCCAAGCACAACTCGGTGGCAGACGTTGCACCCAGACCATGCCACGAGGATTACGACGGCGGAATGGACGCCGACCGTCGAGAGGCGAGCGAGACCGTGCCTGGGACAAATCCAGCAGCTCCCGAACGAGCAACGCTGCAACTTGGCGACGAGGCTGTCGTGCCCGACTCGCTGGGTCGCCAGAAGACACCGTCTGATCTCTATGTGCCCGAGTCACCCCAAGCGACGACCCGGATTGAGCCTGACCGAGGCGCGGCGCCCAGCCCGCTCAGTTCGCCCGACAGCGATTCGTTCGCTGTGTTTTGCTTCTCGTTGCAACCTGCTGCAAATGCGGAGGCAGCTCCACGAGACGATCTGGACCACTCTGTGCGGTACATCCATCCTGGCTTGCTTGCTCCAGGTCTGCAACCCGACGTTTCGAGTCAGTTGGATGAACAACCTGATGCTGAACAATCTGATGCTGCACAATCTGATGCTGCCGATTTGGAATCCAAGTCTCAGGAGCACACAACATTGCTCTGCGAAGATGACTGGGTCCAAATGTCATCAGTGCATCACGTCTCGGACGGCCGTCTTCAGTCGCTTTGCAAGAGCGACGACGATGACGACGACCAAAGCAACGAAAGCTACGACGATGGCGACGCTCAGCTCGGGCTCTGCTACATTCGTCTGCATGACTCGAGCGACATGGGTGATCTAAGCCAGAATAGCGCTGCAGATGATAATGCAGTCGAGTTGAGCCAGGACCAGCAGCAGTTTGACGATTGCGAAAACTTTGGCGACACGACCATCCTGCCAGAAGACTACGCCGATCAAGAAGACTTGGCAGCAACTGCTCCGGAAGTGCACATCTTCTCGTCTGTGCCAAAAACATCGTAGGAAAACAAGTTCAGAGGTGTGCAGACATGTCATTGCAGTGTACTCTCACATTCATTCGGGGGGGGGGGTTTTTTCAGGAGGCAGCTTCTTCAAGACATTGAAGGCATCGTGCTCAATACCATTGCAGCCATCGTCGAGGAAGAGGTTCCGTACTTTGAGTTTCACTCTCGTGTTAGACAGCAAGGCATTGTGTAAGTGAGAAAGCGTACAGGCGCCATCTTAGGTCATTGTTGACTGGTGAACGAGCAGGTTTGACCCGCAAGTCGGATTTCGTGTGCTCCTTCACAACAAGTTGACCAAAGTGGACATGTTCAACTCGCCCAGGCGCTTTGGTGCGTGCTTCTTGAGGAGCAGTCGTCTTAGACGAAATACGGTGTTTTGATCAACAATGCCGACTCATTGCTTTGCATCCATGTGTCACAGCCGTCATGTGGAAGGTCCTCGAGTGCATCTTTGAGCTGCTTCGTCGCAAACTCAACACCACCAAACGGTGAGCATCCTTGCTTTGTGAAGAGGAGGCTGTGTTTTGTAAAGCTCATGAGCAAGTGTGCTGCCCGCAGAGACCTCTTCTATCTCGACGTTCCGCTGTTTGGCAGTCAAAAATCCGTGGACTGTGCCATTGACGACATTGCTTGTCTCTTGCAAGTGTCGCGTGCGCAACTGCACTGCGTGAGTTTTGGCACACATTCGCTGTGTTTGGACAAAATGCTCAACCGCCTCACTTTTCCGCGCACTTGCGTTGTAGATTGCATCCTTCAAAGGGCTGATATGCGGCAATCTGGAAGTCTCATTCGAGCCATTGGATGAGCTTGAAGACCAAGAAGACGGCGAGCAGCGCGCGTTCTTGAGCACACAGGTAAAGTGGACAAGCAAAACCCGACATCACGACAACACGGCAACGTGAGACCTGACTATAGCCAATTGCTGTTTGAAAAAATGCACATTTAGCTTGAAAGCAAGTTGCTCCCGCGCGATATCGATGACATTACGGTCATGCAGACCACCGCCGAGTTTGTGCTGATTGTCGAGAAGGAGGCTGTCTTCCACCGTCTCCTCAACGATCGGGTGTTTGACCATATCGGCGACTGCATTGTGATTACGGTATGACAGCCCTAGCCCAATGAACGCGGCAGGTTTTCGTCGTTGTACTTAGTGAATGTCTTTCAGGGTATTGGTTATCCAGACATCCAAACAAGATCGTTCGTTCATCGCCTTGCAGAAATGTGCGGCCTGCCAATGTACGCACTGGTTGACTGCGATCCCCACGGATTTGACATTCTGTGCAACTACAAGTATGGCTCGCGTGCGCTGGCATTTGACAGCGAAAACCTGACCGTTCCTTCGCTTCGTTGGCTCGGCCTCCTGCCCAGCGACATTGACAAGTAAGAAGAGCTCTAGCTCCAGTCCTGAGCAAAAGTGCAGCGCATTTACTCTTAAAATTGATAAACGGACTGCCTGTGATGCTCCTCTCCAACAGGTTCAACATCCAAGAGGCAAACTGGCTCGCATTCAACCAGTACGACACTGGCAAGCTGACATCCTTGCTCAACGCACCGTTCCTGACATTGCCAGATTTGCACCTGTGGCGAGAAGAGCTCGAGTTGATGCAAGCCCGCGGGATCAAGTGTGAGCTGCAGGCACTCAACGTGGATGGGGACCTGACGTTTCTCACCGGCAGGTTTCTTCCCCACAAGTTGCAGTCTGGGCACTTTTTGTTGTAGCGGGACCGTGAGTGCCCAATGAGAAATCAATCGATGGAAGTCGTTGCAGCGTAGAATTGTATGCTTGGCCAAACACAAAAAACAAAAAACAATCAAGAATCACAAAAACACCGCACAGCAAGAAACAGAAACCGGCAAATCAAAGCAATACCAAGAAACAACAAACAAAAAAATCGTGCAAAACGACTACTGACAAGAGCAAAAAAAAAGTTAACCAAAAACGGACGGGGCGAGTCACAGCAGAACCAGCTGGGGCGCGACATCTCCATCTTCAACACACGTCCACACCTTGACATCTTCACAGACACGTTTCTTCCTCCGACTCGAGCGAGGTGTCATTGCTGGCCGAGCTTTGAGACGAGTCTGAGGTCGCAAGCAAGTCATCCGAGCTGTTTCGTGGTCGAATGGGCTCAAGCTGCGAGTGGTGGAAGAGCTTGCCTGCATCCGAGTCCGAACCGTGCGCGGCGCTTGCAGTGGACAAGCTTGATCGACGCCAGATTGTTGGAATGACTGCTGGTGGCTGGTTGTCACTGGCTTCCGCAGGGACAGCCGCGCCGCTGCCGCTACTGGTGGGACCGACGAGGTTGAGTGAACTCGCCTGACTGCTGGACACGCTTGGGGCGCGGCTGCTTCGTGCGCTTGGAACAAGAATGCCAGGTGCGCTCAAGTGACTGGCAGCTGCTAGGGAAGGTGAAGAGTTGCTTCTCCGCAATTTGTTTGCGAGAGATCGCGTCACTTGCTCGAGCTGGGTCAGCACCTGGTGGAACGTGGGCCGGTTGTCGCGCTGAGGCTCAAAGCACGATTGCATGATTTTGGTGATCTTGGAAGGAATGTCGCTGCGAACCTTGGACACATCCGGTTTGATCAACCCAAAGCCAACGCGGAACAAGATTTGGTCGGGCATCAACCCATGATACGGCAACGAGTTGGTGAGCATCTCGTAGAGGACGATGCCATAAGCGTAAACATCTGCCAAAACCGTGAACGGCTCAACAGGGTTGCGAATGACCTCCGGGGCCTGAGAAGCAGGTGAAATAACAAGATGCAAAAGGAGGAAGAGTGAGTGACCGCGTGCCATCGAGAAAACAAAAAAACATTGTCAACTGATGTAAAGAAGCAAACTCACAATCCAAAGAATCGATCCCATCAGCGCGCTCATTCCAGAGGCACCGAGCGCAGAAAGAGTCGACAAACCAAAGTCACCAATGTTAACTTTGCCATCCGAGTCCAGGAAGATATCTGAGGGAGGTTGTGATATAGTCGAGGTGAATACCAAAGCCAAGCACACTTGCCCCCCCCCCTATCTTCCGACCAAAACAAAGCCAAAAAACGTACTCATAGACTTCAAGTCGCGATGGAAAATGTTTTTGGCATGCAAATACTCCATGCCTTGCGCGATCTGCCGCGCTGTCTCGAGAATCTGCGAAATGTCAAACTGGGTTTCGTCGACGTGGAGATGTTTGTAGAGCGTAGACCCTTCGCACCACTTGGTCACAATGGCGAGATTCGGAAGGGCAGTACAGGCGCCCATGAACAAGACCACATTATCGTGTCGAGTTTTCCTGTGGAATGCAAACAAGTTCCAGCAGGATTCTCGCGTGAGAATGAAGCTGTGCAAACATGTGCAACAAAAGTCGTGCTCCCAGGAAGCAGAAGCACGCCAAACGCAACAAACGACACACACTCACCGCAATACAGACACTTCATTTCGGAAGGCAACGAGATCCGATTCGGTGGGCGAGGCAACATTCAGCAGCTTGACGGCCACAACGCCGTGCCAGCGACCCTTGTATACTGTTCCAAACGCACCCGAGCCGATTCGTTGACCAAATTCAATTTCCGAAAATGGAATTTCCCAGTCGTCACCCGACACATGCATGCTTAGCCGCGCGTTGTTGTTGCTGCTGTTCGATGGTGTGCCTTTCCGGGACGCAATGGAGGTCTGGCTGCTGCTTGGAGCGGATGCAGAAACCGTGAAGCCAGCGTCGTCAGCAGCAGCAGTGGTGCTGCCAACGTCCCCAGACTGCGGTGTTCGAAGAGGCGAATTTCGATCGTTCGACCCGGCGTGCCAAGCTTGAGCGTTGGCGAGCTTACTGCCATGCTGCAGGGGTTCGCGAGACGCGTGCACCTCAGAGAGCTCTGCATCCTCGCTCCCAACAGAGGACTGTCTTAGATGCTGCTGGGAGGAGGCGCCAGAACCGGAAGAGCTCTGGCTGGCGGCGCGGTCATGGTCGTGGTTGTCAGCATTGCCAGTGCTATCTGTGCTGCGCTGTCGAACGTGCTGTAAGGAATTGGCAGAAGCGCCAAGCGATTGCGAGCTGCCGCTCGGACTGCCATGGTTGGATCGGCGAGCTTGAGCGGTATCGTCGTCGGCACTCGAAGCCCGCGAGTACTGGGTTTTGATCTTGGTGATGCCGCTGCCAGTCGCGGACAATGGTACTTTTGGTGTGGTGGGCGTTGGCGGGGTGACAAAGGTGACTGCATGTTGTTGCTGTTGCTGTTGTGATTGTGGCTGCTGTTGCTGGTGGTCGTCGGTGAAGGTTTGCGAGGATGACGGCGGCACACCTCCGCCGGTAGTTCTGGACGTGCGCGAATCAACATTTTCGACACTGGATGAGCTGTCGTCTCCGATCTGGGGATTTAGCGAGGATGCCCGTGCGGTGGTCGGAGAGGAACTCGCGACCGCATCGAGTAAGCTTGGCTCTGACGAACGCTTGGTCAGTGTGGAGCGAGCATCTTGCTCATGAGGCAAAGGTGTTGCCGCGAGCAATCGCTGCAGTACGTTCGGGTTTTTCGCCAACGACGATGAGGCGGGGGAGGTGACTGTCAGTAGTCGTTTGACTGACGACAAGCAAGAGAACAGTAGGACAGAAAACAGTGAGCTGGCAAAGAACCGGAGGAAAAACAAACCAACAAAAAAGTAGAAAACAATCAAGAATCATCAAAACCAAAAAATTCCGCCACGTACAGTATTGCTCCGACTCGACCGTGATGCCACAATGGGTCGAGGCATAGGGAGTGCACTTTTGGTGACACTTGTAGCCGCAAGTAAAGCATCGGACGCCTTGAAACATGTACTTTTTGCAGAAATCGCAAAAAGTTGGCGAAAAGAATGTTTTAGGCTCGAATCCATGAATGGGCTTGTTGCCACCACTGCTAGATCCAGACGAGCTGGGCGTTGTCAAGCCCGAGTCCGAAGACGCTGAAGGGGAAAGAGTGCCATTCTTGGCTGAAGCCTGACGGGCGAGCAACTCTTGCTCCTCTCTCCGAAGCTCCCGAATACCTTGCTGAAGCTCCTCCATTTCCTACAAGCAGCGCAGGCAAAGTGAATATATCAGAATCCCCACCGAGGCAGAGCACACACACACACCAACAAAGAGAGCGCAAGCCACACAACTCAAAATCCAACAAACCAACAATACAAAATGTCGTAGGGGCGTACCTCCATGAGCACTTCGCTGGCGCTGTCCTCGGATTGAACCTCGGCTTGCAGCACATCCAAGTTGTTCTGCTTCATGGCGATGACTTGGCGCAAGCTCTTCAGCCGCACGTTCAGGTCGCTCTCGGCGCGATCCTTGGTCTGCTTTTCGGCCTTCTCGCGTTGTTTTTTGGCCTTCTTGGCCTCCCTGTCCTTTGGGTCTTTGGACGAGCCGTCCTTGGCCTTACTTCCGCTGCTTCCTGCGCTGAGGCTCGCTGCTCGCTGTTGTTCGCTGGCGGACGGACTTGCGTTGGCTGAGGCATCGGCGCCGCCGAGCTTGGTGGACGAGGACGACCGCGTCCGCCCGGGGCTGGTAAACGCCATGAGGCTCATCCGATTACTATTACTACTCGCACTGCCGGTGAGTGCGGCCGCAGAGGCAGCGGGCGAGGACGACGCCGCCATTGAGTTCGACAGCGACGCAGCTCCCGTCCCAGCGCCAGCACTCCCACTAACACCGCCACTACCAGCAGCAGCACCACCACCACCACCACCCGCAGCAGCAGCAACAGGGAGGCTGTGCGCGACGGCGGCGACGGCAGCAGCAGCAGCAACGGCAGCAGCGATGGCTGAACCTTGCCCAGCTCCTACTGCTGCTCCTCCTGCGCCACCGCTCTGTGCGGATGCTGATGCTGATGCTGATGCTGATGATGACGTCGGCTGTGAGTTGTAGTTGAAGATGAGGTCCGAGTCTGGGGGTGGCCCTGGTGCTGCTGCTGCTGCTGCGCCAATGCTGTACGATACAATCTGCCCACCGCCCGACGAGAGCTGCTGCAGATACGCGTCCGACGGCGACAACCCGCCATTATTATGATGATGATGATGATGATGGTGATGGTGATGGTGATGGTGATCGCCATGACCCGGATGACTCGGATGGCTCTGGTTCTGGCTACTCTGGCTCTGGCTCTGGCTCTGGCTCTGGCTCTGGCTGCTCTGCTGCGTCACTGCCTCGGCCAGCATCATCGCGCTGTGCGACATTTTTGTTCGTCGATTTCAAAACTCCTTTCTTTTTGGTTTGGTTTTCGGTTTTTCTTCGTCTTTTTTGTTCTTCTTTTCTTTGTGTTGAAAAAGTCAAAAGAAAAAAAAAAAAGCCTTTTGTTTTTTGTTGGCTTTTTTTTGTATTGGATTTTGTTTGAAGAAAAAAAAAAAAGAATAAATCCAAAATAAAATTATTTTTGTGGTTTGATTTTCTAAGAAAACAAAAACTCGACAAACAAGAAACAAAATGCATTGCAAAAATGATTGTTTGATTTGGTTTTTTGGTTTTTTGGTTTTTGAGCCGAAAGTGTTCGTTCGATTCAAAGGCAAAAGCGATCCAACAAGAGAGTTGAACGGTGCGCTGCGATGCATTGGAGCTGTTCAAGTTACTCTGAAGCTCAAAAGCTTTTAAGGATCGCTTGTCAATATGTTACGCATCTGCTTGTTGGACAAAGCAGGGGCGGGGTAAAACATCCAGACTGCGACAAAAACCAAACTTCAGTGTATATTTTGTTGTTGTTGTTCGTCCTTCACATGCAATGTCAGGCAAGCAGCAAGTTCCCAGACAACCAATTAAGAAAAAACACAAAAAATTCATCAAATACAACACGTTACAAATCGCCTCGACTGCCGGAGGCGGACGCGGTGGATGCCGGAATCTTGTACAGCTGAACGTAGAGTTGGATCAACACCAGCAACAAGAGAATCACGCTGTTCAGCAACAGACCGCTCCTGGAGTTGGGGGCGGCGGCGGCGGCGGCGGCGGCGGCGGCGGCACCATGGTTGGCCGGGCCACCTCGCGCAAGCAGCTGCTGCGCAGTGCGAAGTTGCTGTTGCGTGGCCTCGAGTTGGATATTGATCGCAGCCAGTTGATCGTCAGCAGTCTTGCGCCAGGAGAGAAGGTGCTCGACCGCGCGGTGCTGGGCCTCGGCCAGTTGACGCTGATTGTCGGAATAGTCGTGCGCAGCTGGGAACGGAGGCAACGAGACATGGCCAGCAGCCTGAGCTGAGGCGGCAGGCTTGTGTGCAACCACCGCGGCGTACGTCAACGCAGCGTGTCCATCCTTGGAGGCCGCAGGGAGAGTCAGAGTGTGCGCGGGCGCCGGCGTGGAAGCACTAGACGTGGAACTCGAGACCACACCAGAGGCAGCCGCGCTGGCGACCGAGACTGCAGACAATGGTTGGCGCGTCGAGCCGCGACGATCGCGGGTGCCCTGGGTCGCGGGCCGTTGCGCAAGAGCAGCCGCGCTGAGGGTATGCACCACACCCTCGCTCTCAATCTCGCGAGCATCCACCGTCGGGTTCCACTTCTTCTTGTCCATAAACTTGTACACCCAGGTTCCGTCGTGATTTTTCCGGAAAAGCTTGGGCACCCAGTCTGCGTTGTTTGCCTTGAGCTCCTTGTGCACAAGGCGCTGGTTATTCTCGAGCACAGTCTTCTCTTCCGTCGCCAAGTACTGGTCGCCGGCCTCGATGGCGGCCGTGACCTTTTGCCAGAGCCTGTTCAAGAAGAAATGTCAAAAGTCAGTCAGACCTCGACAAAGAAAAGTGGGTGGCGAAAGCAACACCGTACCGTTCAGACTCAAACTCGCCCTGAGCGTCTTTGGCAACTTTGAATCGGGGCAGGCGTCGTTGGACGGTATCCGGCGAGACAGTCCACAGTGCCGATACTTCCTGTGATGGGGTTCAAACCGAAAAGGAAGCAGGTGGTGAGTATGTTTTGGACGCCTCCCCACGCCGTTCCAAGTACAGCCGTGTATCGTACATTTGTCTGGCAATTGGTGATTTCAATCGTCTGGTCCCAGCGGCCATTCACAGTGCGCAACACACGATCGGTCGCATCCTTGATCTTGCCCTTGAGACCATTGATGTCACCGCCAAACATGGGCTAAACAGCATTGATCACAGAAACAAAAAGGGTCAGAGAAAAGTTCGTTCGTTCGCTCAATCACAAAACGCTCATGCGCTGTACCTTCAGCTTGAACTCGAGCTCAGCCTTCAGACCCGTTTGGGCGCAAATAATGGAAGGAGTACCACCCATCTCCATTTGAAGAGGAGGGAAGATCAAGCTACAACAGAACAACAATTCGAACGAGTCAGTTTACAAGGTGATTCCCGTGCAACTCAAACCCACCCACCCCACTACTCACCCTTTGACTTGGACCAGCGGGAAGGTAATCACGTATTCCTCGCCAAAGTTCAGCAAGTGAAGGGTGGCGGCGCCTTCAAGCAAACTGACAGCCGAGGCGCCGTTGAACTTTGAGCGCGTCAACAGCGAGCCGTTCACGCAGTAGCCTTCTTGTCGGTTGGCAGCATACCACGCAGACACCGGTGGATGATGGGAGACCTGTTCCGCAATGTAGTAGGTGCGGCTGTCTGTGGGATGCTTCCAGTAGCAGCGGAAGGTTTCACCGATAATGGGGTTGTACGGCTTCTTGCATCCTTTCGGTTGAGCATAGAAGCCTGAGAGGAACCACTTGGTGATGATAGACATGCGCTCCACAGGATCCGCATGGTTCGCGGCGCTGTCGTGGGAAACAGAAGAAGGTGGGTTTTGTGTGAGAGACGAGTTACAGCGGACTTTGGAAAAAAAAACTTGGTGCGAGACTTACACTGAAAGGACGTCGGAATGGAAGTAATAGTCGGATAGCTTGTCAAGGAAGGAGCGAGGCTCGAGAATGAAGGTCGGGAGCGGAATCTTGGAGAGATCGACACTCGGGCGCAGCTGTTTGAGAATCGACCACATCAACGACTTTGACTCTTCGCCCCACTCTTCAGTGACCGGGCCGACGTTGATTTCTCGAGAGGGCTCCTGGGCATAGGGCGTTTCCTTGACCGCATCGGCCTCTTCCTCTTCTTCTTCGTCCTCAAAGTCAGAGGTGGGATTGCCAGCGGCGGCAGTAAGAATGGGTGACAGCGGCACTGTGAGGGATGCCGAAGCGGGCGGAGATTGCTGTTCGAGATTCTGAGCATCGCCAAACTCGTCATCGTCCGATTCGTCGTCTATGTGATTCGCATTGACCAGGCAAGAAGTGGAAAAGAGGTCGAAGAAGAGTGAGTTTTTTCCACCATCGCAAAACAACGATGAATTGAATCCATACCGCGAGGATCATCGTGGTGGCCAAGAGGCTTAAGAGACGCCTCTTCGATATTGCTCAGCCATTGCTGGAAAAGCGAGAAGAGAAGGAGCATGGAGTGAGCAACAAAATCCAATACAACGACAATTTGTCTCGAGAGCAAAGTACCTGTCCCTCGGCCTCAGTCGGAGCACGAAGAATGCAATGATCGTTGTGAATGGGAACCACAATGGCAATCTCGCCCTTGGGACCGCGAGTCGAGTAAATCGTGTGTTCCAGAGGGTGGTAAATCTTGAAGCAGAAGCCAGTTTTCTTGGTTGGTCGCTCAATCACCTGCACAATTTGCAAGAGAAAAAGCAATACGCATGGGTGAGCATGAAAACCGAACAAACAAACACACGCAACAACACAAGGACAGACCTCGGCACCGTTCAGGAGAACCGAGCCAGACCACTCTGTCCGCTTCTCGTCCTTGTAGTACAGCAGAACGCCCGGACGCAGCACGCAGTAATACTTGGACCAGTTCTTGACAAAACCGCGCATTTTGAGCCACCTAGAGCAGTCACATCAAGGGATGAGTGCAGGATCGGTAAAAGAAAAAGTAGACTAGAGCAGAAGCAAAGCACATACCCGCTTTGCACATTCTCCGCATCACCACCAAAGGTGTTGGCAGCACGCAAACGAGCGGCTTTCGCCTTCTGGTAGTTTGCCTTCTTTTGCTTGAGCTGAGAGTCACACAAGGCAGATCAGCAGTGAATAAACGAGAACGAAGATCAAAAAACAAGCGGCCCTCAGACAGAAAACTCACCTTGGCAACATCGTCTTCACCAACCATGGAGAGTGGACGGCTGCCTGCCGCGCGAGCTACAATGCCAACCAAGGAGACAGAAAAGTTAATCGGAAAAAAGGCACACTTCCCACGCAGCAAAACAAGCCAAACCCCATTTGTCGTACCATCATACGTTGCGCCGTCGGACGGCTGGCGACGCAGACTCGGCCGGTGACCAGAAGGCGACGCCATGGATGCATTGTCATAGCCTTCGAGGTAACCGTCGGAGGACGACTGCGAGGTCGAGAGCATCACAGAGTTGGCCGTGTTCTGGTTGATGGCGATCGGAATTGGCATCGTCGGCGACGAGATTGAGTGCGGCAGCGTCGTTGAGCTCGGATTGGATGTCCGGGCCGTCGGAGCCGACGCCGACGGAGCGATTGTCATCGACGCCATAGCGACAGAGAGAGCGAGAGAAACTGAGACTGGGTGACACAGAGACTGAGACGGAAAGTCTTGGTTTCTCAAAGCTTCCTGTCAAAAAGCGACCCAACGCACACACACACAATTTGAACACACAAGTAAAGTCACCAAGATCAACGTCAGAGCATCGAAGAAGTGTCGAAATCAGAAGAAAAAAAAAAAGCTCCAAATCACGAAAAGCAAAAATGGAACAAGGATGTTCAGATTGTGACACCAAACATGCCTCGCACTCGAATAAACAACAAAACCCCAGAATCGAAGCGAATGAGACCAAAGTGACCCAAAGTGACCAAAGTGATGGATGGATTGCGTGGATTTGCATTGCATTGAGAATTATTTGGATTTTTTTTTTTTTTTTTTTTTTTTTTTGGCTGGTTGTTTTTTTTGTGTGTTTTGATTCTGGTTGGGTTTTTGTCTCTGCTGGAAGGGGAGTCGCATTGAACACGACCACCGCTCATGACAGACAAACAGAGGGAGTAGTAGTAGTAAAGCTGAGTTACACAGTGACTGGGGAAGACCCGTTGAGGAGAGGAAAGTGGAAGGCGAGAGTGCGAAAGAGGGAGTTCGATCGAACCAGTACGCCCCTTGACCGCTCCTTCAACCCTGACCCCCTGCTCTGTAGGACTGCTCTCGTTGTCACCAAAAGCGACAGACCAGACCAGCGCGGGGGGACAGCTCGAGTGAGAGGGGGGCGAGTGGGGAAAAAACCCAGAGTGAAAGGCTCGAGTGTTGGAATGAACAATAATCCATACAAAAAAAAAAAAAAAAAAAAAAAATAACGAGAAATTGATCAAAAATAAAAGATACGGACGAATAACTAAAAAGTGGGATCAGAGTGAAGCGCGTGGTAACGAGTGAATCTTACGCTCCAGTAAGCAATCGAGGGAAGAAAAAAAAAAACAAAAAAAAAAAAAAAGAGAGAATGAGCAAATCGAAAATCATCGACCGCACAATGGAAGCAGTTGACCAAAGACGAAACAAGTGACATGGAGAACCGAGGGGGTAGAGGATTGGGAGGCGGGGGCGGAGGCGGACGAGACGAGACAAGCCAAAGCTGCTCAGAATCGGCTGTTTTGCTGTGTTTTTGGCTGGGATTTGCGAATACCACCCGCATTCCCTTCCCCCTCACACCTCTGTGCACAATGCATGCACACACTGTGATTGAAAGGCGAAAATGACGTTCACAGGCAGCTTTGCCTGAGAATCCATGCCAGCGAGCTCGCAGATTGACAAGACGAGCAAATCTTGTTCCATGGCGAATCCGTCCAACCCTTCGGGATCGGATCTCGTCCCGCTTTCACTCATCACTCATCTCTTTTCCATCCTCACTCCTTTTATTTTCTCTCTCTCTCTCTCTTTTCACTCACTTTCTTCACTTGTAAGTCGCTTCAGCGTAACGCTTTTTTTTTTCTTGTTTTTTTTTTTCTTTCGACCAAATCGTCACTTTGCTGCGATTGCGACGCTCGTCTGCCGCAGTCCACGTCGATGCGCTCGCCTGCAACTCGGTGCCTCAACTCACTGCCTCAGCACACAGAGGAGGGGGGTGCCGGAACAGACAGAGAGCGCAGACAGCGAGGTGAAAACGAACAATAAATAACGATAAAAAAGCACATGCAGGCCCTTTTGCACTGCTTTGGAAAGGGGACCCTTCTGCCCCAGGGAGGACGTCTGTGCGGGTGAGCTTTGCAGGGGTCATCGAACGCTCTCTCCAATGGGGTTGGACTCGGCTGGCTGACAGGGGCAGCGGCGCGTCACAGCGTGAAAGTGAGACATTGGAGACCAAGCACATGCTTGGACTTCCGTCGCTCTTTGCCCCCCAGGCTCGGTGCTGCTCCTCCGAGGGCCCGATCCGGACTCCCACTTGCATCACGTTCAGCACTGTGAATGTGGGCTTCTCGCACCGGGCGCTCCCCCCCCCCCGCCTCTCGGCTCTCGTCGACGTCTAGCGAAGTGATCGTTCGCGCTTTTTTTTTTCTTTTTTTTTTTCTTTTTATTCTCGCTCCTCTTCTTGTTCCTCGCATCACATTCTCATCGCCCTTCAGCAAACACAACCATTCTGTGATGCTTTGGGTGTCCCTTGTTCTGATCAGCGCGGCCGACTCACTTTCCAGCAAGTCCGCAAAACGCAACGATCGCTCGTTGAAAAAAAAAAAAAAAAAAAAAAAAAGCTCCACTGTTTATCATTGAAAAAACGCGCCAAAACACAAAAATTCTGAGTTTTTTTGGCAAAGCAACAAAACAAACATTGTTTGTACTTCTGAGAACCGTTTCATTGCAAAGCACTGGGAGGGGGGTTTTCAAAGCATTGACTTGTTGCTGTCGTTGGTTTGGGTCTGCACAGGTTTCCCGCTCAGCGTCTCAGTGTGCTGCATTTTCGCACACACATCGGCCACACTTGCCGGGAAACAAGAAGAAGAACCACAGCAAGCCATCACAGCTGCAATTCAGTGGCGTCCTAAAACCCAAGTCACAACTTGGTGGTTGCTGAAAGGTTGAATCAATGGACCCCAACCAGTACTCGATGCTGCAACAGCAGCAGATGCAACAGTCGCAGCAAGCCGGTATGCCGATGCATCCCATGATGATGCCGCACATGCAGGTTGCGCCCGTGTTCATGCCCGGAAACCAGTACATGCAGCCGGGCATGATGATGCCCATGGCTCCGCAGCAAGCAGCGCAAGCTGTTCATCCTGGCCTGGCGGCGTTCGCACAGCCGCAACCAGGGGCGCAGTCGCAACACCAACAGCAACTTCAACAGCTGGTTGGCTCCTGCGCGCAGTACAGCCAATTTTTGCAGCAGCAACGACTTGCCGTGGCGAGCCGCCAGTATGCCAATCCAACCGAGTTTGAAACCGGCCGCCAACTCTTGGCGTCGCTCGATGCCAAAATTGCTGCGGCCAATCAAGACATTGAGCGAGCAATGAACGGCTTGCCCCCGAGCAACGGCGTGCAGTGGCAGTTTATGCAGCAGCAGCAACAACAACAACAACAGCAGCAGCAGCAGCAGCAGCAGCAGCCGCAACAGTTGCTATCGCCCACCCACCCTGGCGCCGCTGCGGCTCATCCTGGGTTGATTGCTCCCCACCTTCACATGCTGCCCGATCAGTTTTTGCCTGCCGCCGCATCCCAGTTTGACACGCTTCCTGCGCAGCCACACGGACCTGGTGCCTCAAACGGTCACAAGCAAAAGCAAAAGTCGCCAAAGCAAAAGAGCAAGCACCCTGCTGCCCAGCCGCCAGCCCAGCCAGGCCAAGACCCATCTGCACCAGTCGCGGCAGTCGCGGCAGTAGCACCCGTGCCTGCACCTCCCAAACCCAAAAACCGCCGCAACCGCGATGACATTGCGCACGAGCGAGAAATCTTGGATCGACTTGCGCCAGAGGTGCAGAGCGCCTACCGAATTGTCCGAGATTTGCAAAATCGCGAGTATCGCTACTTTTCCTTCCCTTTCCTGGAACCAGTTGACGTGGAAGGCTTGGGCCTGGTGGACTACTACGATACAATCACGCATCCGATGGATCTCTCAACCCTCCAAACGCAACTCGAGAATGGCGAGTACACGGATCTTTCCACGGCCGTGCGCGACTTGCGATTGATTTTTGCCAACTGCTATCGATACAACGGCTCGGATCACGAGGTGTCGCGTATGGCACACCGTCTCGAGCAAGTTTTGGAGCAAAAACTGGCGTTGCTGCCTCTGGCGCTTCGCGAGAAGGTGAGCATGGCTCGAACCTCCCCGCTCGCCCTCATGAACCAGCCCCGCACCACTCCGCTGCCCACGCTTCATTTTGCCAATGCAGCACCGTCTGCGGCCGCTAGCCAAGGTTCCGAGGCATCCTCCCTCCCCGTCCGTGCCGCGCGACGAGTGGCCGAAGCCGCCCTCCACACGGCTGCCGTGGCTGCTTCCTCGACCGCACACATCCCGCATGCACCCCCGAATGCGCTGCTCGCTCATTACGAGGTAGGCGCGCCTTCGCGTGCAGATCGCAACATGAAGCGAAAGTCGACCTTCTCCATGCCTGCTTCCGGCCCGTTTGTGCTCACAGACTCGTCTGCTGCGGATGATGTTCAGCGGTTTATCAAGGATCAACCCATCCCGGAAGTGCAGGCCTTAGTGGACTCGATTGTCGAGCCGAATGCGATGCGACAGCTGCGATCGCTCTGGCAAATCCCCGCCATCGGGCACGTTCTGACTCTGTTGCAGTCTGCGGTCCCCGGCTTTGGCTTGTTCTCCTTTTATGAATTCGAGCTGGCGATTCTCTTTCCGACGCGCTCGACGTACTTGCACAAGATCATGCTCATGCTGCTCAATCCGATCAAGAACTATGAGCGCTCGCTCAATCAAGCGGTTGCTCGCAAGCAGCCGATCGGCCCCGACGACTGGGTCCTGCACCTCGGCCGGCACGTGGAGAACTGGTATCGCCGACTTGGCCGCGTTCTCAAGCTGCGCATTCCCGATCTCGAGCTCGTGTCGTACAAGGGACGTCAACACAGCGGAGCCAGCTCTCGCCCTGCACCCCAGCGCGGTGCGGGTGGTCGTTTCTTGCCGTTGAGCCAGAGCAGTGGGGCCATGTACAACAACCCCGACGCCATCATTGCCACTGCCAACAATGCCAATCGCGGCCTGGCTGTCATGTCGGCCTCTGAAGATGAGGATGACGACGACGGCGAGGGTCTTTTCGGTGACGACGACGGTGCCACGTTCGCCTCCGCTGGCGCTTCGGGCGCTCCACTGAGCCTCGAAGAATCGCGCGCCCTGATCCGCAAGCGACTCAAGTCGACCATTCGACAGCTCCTCCGCGATGACGACGAGGTGGACGGCCTTGATCGTGAAATGCTCAAAATCCTTGGCAAGGCAAACCCCCTGCACGACCTGAACTTTGCCGAGATTGACGTGCGCCAGCGCGTGTGGATTATTTACACCCTGTGCATGATGCAGTTTGAGCAAAAGCCAGAGCTTGTGACCTTCCTCGACACATTCGGCGCCGATTTGACGCGCACCGAGCCCATGGGCATGGACGACGAGGGCAACAAGTACTACTTTTTCCCCGAGCTGTGCACCACAGACTTGATTGTGTATCGCCAACGGCCAATGCCAGAGACGGAGAGCTACGTCCCGCCTCCGCAGTCTCCACCAGATTGGTACACGGAGTTTGACAGCACGCGCATCACTGGCGTCGTTGGCGTCCTGAAGGATCCCACCCAGTTTGACGATGGGTTCCAGACGATGATTGCTGTTGCGCCGTCTCGCCCAGAGTCTCCCGTTCCCAGCAAGAAGCGGTCTGCCACCGAGGAGGCGGAAACGCCATCCTCCAAGCGAGGCCGTCTGGATTCCCAACCAAGCACCCCGACCGCAGCAGCAGCAGCCGCAGCCGCCGATTCCACCCCGGCGGCGACCACCCCGCGTGGACGTGGTCGTCCGCGGTCTGGCCCGCCCAAGTTGTCCCAGCCAGCCCCAGCAGACAGCGAGCGCGAGTCCGAGCAGTCTGATGCAGGCGATGGAACTGCGCTGGCCGAAGAGCAGCTTGGCGACTCGAGTTCCTTCTCTGACAGCTCAGATGAGGACTTTTCCGACGATGGCAAGCGCAGTGGTGGCAACGCCCAACGCAAAAAGAAGGCTGCCACCCCAAGCCGAAGCTCTCCCCGCTCCCGCGGTCGCCCACCGTCCTCCAAGCCGTCGACTCCTGCGAGTGCTGGACGCCGAGGAGGTGTAGAGCGCCAATCCGAGCGTCGGTCCTCTCGCCGCACAAGGAATGGCAGCGACGCGGAAGACAGCGCTCCCAGCGACACCCAAGAGCAGGATGCACCTGATGATGCCGAGAGCAACGAAGAAGAGACACCGCGGTCCAGGCGAGCCAACCGCTCGCGCAAGCAGCCTGCCGAGGACGAACAGCCAGCATCAGCCTCGCGTCGCCCGCGACGAGCTGCCGCCGTGAAGTCTGAGCAGTCTTCTGCTGGCCAGGACGTAGAGTCGGCCGATGAAGACTCGTATGACGCTTCCGAGCAAGAGGCCAACGAGAGCAGCGAGGCGGAAGAAGAGCAGGTTCGCCCCACCCGCAGTCGCTCGCTTCGCAGCCGCGCTTCTCGTGCTGCTGAAAGCTCTGAGAGTGAGGAAGATGGCGACAGCGACGCCGGCTACTCTGCCAAGCGTGGTCGCTCGACGCGTGCCTCCTCTTCCCGCAACGCTACTCCCAGTCGCCGTTCTAGTGGTCGCACTTCAACGCGCTCGGCGGCCAGCATTTCGCCAGTCGCCACTCCAACTACCTCTGGTCGCACGACACGCCGCTCTGCAGCATCAGCTGTGGACGAGCCTGCCGCTACTAGCGACGGCCAAGATGCGCAGTCCTCGAGCGACGTCCCCAAGGAGACCAGTGAGGTGAACGGCATGGACGTTTCCACTCCGTCCAAGCCCGTTGCCAAAGTCGACGACGAGCCAAAGCCCGTTGCCAACGCCGACGACGAGCCAAAGCCCGTTGACAACGCCAACGAAGAGCCAAAGCCAGAAGTCGCTGCCACCGTCGTGCCAATGGCAGAAGACGCCCCAGCTGAGACCAACAGCGTGGCCGCGCCGCCCAGCTTGCAGTCTGTCAAGACGGAGGCGTTGAGCGAATCCAGCCCCTCGATGTACCGCCCGACCTTGACGGACAGCACAAGCCGCCCGAGGCGAACGCACGCTCCGGCTCCCCCGCCTGCGGCGCCGACCTTCCCCACCCCGCCGATCGTGGCAATGCCCGCTCCATCCTCCATGGACAATCCCGAGCGTGCAAAGCTCATCGAGGCGTACCAAAAGCGAGTCAGTCTGCCCGAGTACTATCACGACGGCTTTGAGGCTGTCGCTGGAAATCTTTACGAGCTGCGTGAATTCACTGCGACGCTCGAGGCTCGCCTTGCCGTCATGGTTGCTCCTTATCCGCCGCTGCTGGCGCGTTTGAAGGCCAAGTTCCGGTTCCGCCCAAAGGCGGCCGCCACTGCTGCTGCTGCAGCAGCTGGTGTCGCTGCCGACGCCGCGGCTACTGCAGAGCCGGTGGCGATGGACACTGGGGCTGACCAAGAGTCGAAATCAGACGCCGAACACGCCAACACTGAAGCCCAACCTGCCACCGACGACGCGGAGGCAGAGGCCGGCGAAGAGGACCAGGCCGATGACGAGGAGCCGCCAGAGTTGCAATCGCTGCCAGAGAACCAGCGGCGCTTGTATGAGCTTGTTCGGGCGCTGTTTGGCATTCTGCAGCCGTTCAACCGCATTTCGGAAGTGACGCGCGTGGATCAGAAGCGCCGTCGCGCCATCAGCAGCTTTATGCGCGACTACTTGTTGCGCGAGCCGACACCTTGGCCGACGCCCGAGCGTAAGGTCAAAATGACCCGCAAGCTCCGGCTTGCCCTGTTGGCCAAAGAGGAGGCCGAGGAGCAACAGCAACAGCAGCAGCAACTGCAGCAGCGCCAGCAAGAGCAAGTGCAGCAAGTGCAAGAGCAGGTGCAGCAAGTGCAAGAGCAGGTGCAGCAAGTGCAACAGCCGGTGCAAGAGCAACCGCCGCAGGAGGGTGATTCTACCATTTCTGCTGCACCGGCAGAGCCAGCTCAGCCAATGCAAGCATAAAAAGCCAGATGATGGTGTATGCAACGGGCTTTTTAACAAGGAATGTGGTACTCTTTGTTGCTGTGCGCGAGGTGTTATTTCTTTTCTGTGTTTCATTGCAGATTTTTGTTATTGGTTGGTTTTTTTTTTTGTCATTGTCGTTGTCGTTTCGCGGCCATCGTGCCTTCATTATCGCAAATTCTAGCGTCGATTCTCTTCGTTGTTATTGGAGTTTTGCGACATGTCGAAACGAAAGAGGACTTTATGCGTGGTTTCCAATTCACAATGACACCATTCTTAGCAAAGACGCTTCACCAACACGTGCGCGCCCGCTGGCTCAATTCGCTTGTAATACTGGTCCAAAGTCTCGGTGACCACAAAGCCAAACTTTTTGTAGAATGCGAGCGCATCCTCGTTGCCGACCTGGACGTGCAAATATACCGACTCGACAGTGTTGAGGTGATGGTCGCACTCCTTCAGCACGTGTTGGAGCATGAGAGCACCTGATCAAGGAGTAGTGGGGGGACGGGGGGGGGGAAATAAGTTGAAAGTGAGGATGCAGGTCTTTTGGCAACAAATTTCACAAAAGCTAAAACCAAATTCGTACCAAGTCCAAGTCGTCGGTAAGGAGCAAGGCAACCCAGCGTCATGATGTACAAGCGCTTTTGCTCGGGCTCAATTCGGCAGCACACTGCGCCGACCATAATGTCGTTAAAGTACGCTGTCAGCAGAAAAGCAAAAACCACGGTTAGTGACAAAAACTCGTCAATCACAAACAAGCAAAAAAACTTTGTCAAAGTAGATTCTCAGAATTGTCGACGAATTTAAACTCCCGAAAAATTACCAAAATCAAAAACAATTGGTGAAATTTGCTGCGTTTTCCATTGAAAAAAAAAAAAAAAAAAAACGCGGGAAAATAGCACATGGAAAAAAAAAAAAAAAAAAAAAAATTTGAGCTTGGAAAACGAACGAAAAGGGAACAAAAGTCAAGCAAACGAAGTGAAAACTCGGCAGATCGCAACTGTTGAAGCGATGGCGAATCGACGCAAACACACACGCGACGAGCGAGAGTGAGGGAGAGAGAGAGAGAGAGATGGATCGACCGCTTTGTATGGAGCACCATTGCAAGTCCGACACTGCCACTTCGCTTCTTAACCACCCCGAGTTGACGAGGAGAGGAGATCGTTGGGACTGCCCGCTGCTTGAATCATATGACAATGCATTTTGGGCGGTTGGAACGCACCGAGCTTGGCAAACTCGCCGAGGGTGGGCGCGCTCTGGTAGAAGGCCTCCTGGTACGCCACAGGGAAGATGGCCGCGTTGAGCACACGCAGCTGGCGGACATTGTGTGGAGTCACGTCGCCGAGCTCAAGGGCGTTGCGACCAGACGAAGCAGCAGCAACAGCGGTCTGAGTCATGATTGGATTGGAAGAGTGGACAAGTCTGAGAAAAAAACGATCAGAACAGACAAAAAAAGACTGACTTGGACTGACTATGGCTTGATGCTTAGAAACCGAGCATTCGGCAAACCGCCATCATGGCAAGCGGGCTTGAAAACGCTGCAACAAGGATTGGAGAGATTGTTTTGTGCTTCTTTATCAACTTCGTTCGTGCCAATGCAAAATTGGAGAGGTTGTCGCATGGCTCAGTGCTCATGGAAAAGAGAAAGACAACTGCACTGGAATGAAACACTGTGCATTTTGACAATTGTCGAAAGATGGCATTTGAGCGCGCTTCGGCACAATCACGAAATACTCTTGAAGGCGCCTTTGCTCGATCGAGGGCCGACGTTGGTGTCCCGCACGGCAAACTGATGGGTAAGACCGATGAGGAGAAGGTTGGCGACCGCGCTAAAGAGGAAGATCACGTCAAACCAGCGGTGGTAAAAGTTGAATTGGATATCGCCCAGCACCTCGGTGATGATGATTCTGGCAAACGGATGACAAGCAGCCCGTTAGAAAAATTGGGTGCGATGAGGCAGCACGACAAAATAACCGAAGCGTGGTTTACCGATATTCGAGTGGCATGTTCATTCGCATCAGCAAGACCGACGAAACAAAGTACATGCCCATGATTTGCGCAAGGAATAGCACGAGAATATTGGAGGACGAGCTACTTGAGATTGCATAGAAGAACTGTAGCGACGAGGCAGAGGGGAAAAAAAAACGAAAACAAAAGTGCGTTATTTCGACAGGATGATTTTCCTGGCGACACGCCAAACGTACATACCTTTGTCAATTGGATGAGTAAGCCTCGAATAGAGGTCACAATAATAATGCCCACAAGAATGAAGGAAATGTGCTGAGACCAAAAGTTGACGTCGAAATCCATGTTCAAGTACACGACGGTAATTTCAATGCCACGCGTCACTGGATCCACCTTGCCGACACGGTCGAAGATGATATTGATGCAGCACTGTGAAAGACGGGTGTAGTAGGACCGAATCACAAATGTTTCAGTTCAAAGTCAGAAAATCCACGATGCAGAAAATGCTCGGTAACCTGCCAAACCTCAGACCCGCAATATGCTGCGTACCATGAAAATCTTGTAGACGCAGTACACTGAGAAAAAATAGCCGAGAGCGTTAAAGTACCGACCCTTCCAGGTCTGGGAATACGCTTTTCGGTCTTGCGCGTCGTGCAACTCCGAGAGCTCCAGGAACTGCTGTCGACTCGATTGCTCCAACGCGCGCATCTCCTGCTCGAGAAGCACAATGTTCTCGTGCTCGGACTGCCGTCCAAAGAGGCTGGCCACTCTTCCGAACAAGGATGGCCCTGACTCTGCGCTCTGTTGTGTTGGTGACGAGCCTTCCATAGTTCTGCACATACATATACACACACGCATGGGTGGCACGACGATGAGAAAGCAAAAGAAGGAAACTAGGGGCATTGAGTACTTTCGAAGAGCACAAACACACCTGTCCTTTTTGGTCATCACCACTTTGCGCTTTTTGCTGTATATCAAGTCTAGCGTGTGCAGATACTTTTTCTCCAAATCCTGCAGCCCAAGGTCAAGAATGCACGTGAGTGACATGCTCTGGAACGAACGCGAAAAATCCTACACGAAGCGTCACACCTGAACTTCAGCATCCTCGACAGCTCGCAAGAACATGGTCATGTACGTGTATGGACAGTTCACAGCGCCAAGCCCAGAGAGAATGGCCATCAGCGTGACACCTACATGCATGACCACAGAATAAAATGGCGAAAAAGTGAATCCTTTTCTTACACAATCCCGCAGCCTCCCATTTCCTCACCAATCACTCCAACTCGACTAATGCCCTGCTCGATGGTAAAGATGCCATGATGGGCCGACAGGATTGGAAACGAGTCTCCGAGGCGCCAGAAAAAGTAAATGTAAATCTGGCCATGGCAGTGGGGTCAGCACCAAAGCATTCAATACATCCCCGCAAAACTTTCAACACATACTAGCCAGAGGGATCCAGCGGCCAAGGAAGCTCTTCGTGTTGGAATCTTGATGTTCCGAAGACTGAGGAATATCTGTAAAAAGGGCGATGAGTGCGGTCGTCGTCTTGCACAGGCAAACGGACAAGCGCTACAAGACGTACTTGATAGAGCGGTATTAGTACAATGAGAATAAACAACATGAGGCAAATAGCCAGCCTCCAATGGAACAACCGAGACGACTGTGACGATCGGATGAATGAGCGTCGAGGACAAAACAAGTCTGAACAACAGCAACAAGAACAACACGAAGAGAGCCATTCATACCCGATCCAAAATGTCCAAAATCTCGAATATGATGAGCTCGAACATTGCACATGAGATGGCGAACGTTACTGCGTAAATCTGCTGAACGACTGCGCGCGTTGAAGCAAAAGCGATTCAAGTCAGAATCACCAAACGATCCAACTCGACAGTTGCCGCCGACTTACGAGAATTGCGAACTTCATAATCCTTGAATAACTGGCTCACAAAGAAGTAGCCTCTGTCAGAGTGGATGAGCACAATGGTTGGCGATTTGTATGGCGTTGCATTGGCGATTGCTTTGGCTGGCAGTCCCTTACCCGAAGACGTAGAAGAGGACGTACGACGCGAACACGGCGAGCGTGTTGACGAAGAGCATTGGATTTCGCGCGGATCGGGGGGTTGTGTGTTGGATTTGGCGGGAAGCGGGGGTGGAAGAGAGAGAGAGAGAGAGAGAGAGAGAGAGAAAGAGAGAGAGAGAGAGAGAGAGAGAGAGAGAGAGAGAGAGAGAGAGAGAGAGAGAGAGAGAGAGAGAGAGAGAGAGAGAGAGAGATTTGATGACTGGGCCAAGCTTCTCAGATTTCAATCCAGCATCTCATTTGCTAAAGTTAACACCAAAGTACATGGTTGAGGGAAGCGCGAAACGCATTTGGAACAAATTTGGCAAAGACGAGGCCGCTCAGAGCCAGTCCCCCCCCTTTTTTTTTCAAAGAAATGCTGTCATATGAGAGCATGACTCCGAGACAGCGCGAGCTGTATGACTACGCCGTGCAGCGGGAGGGTGGATATCTCTAGTACGAGACAGCCGAGCTTATTGGAGTGCATGTGGCAGTGCGAGTACTGACGAGAATGGAGATGAACAGTCTGGATCGGAAGCAGATTGGCGACGCGGAAGCACAGGCGATTGCTGAGGGGCTCAAGGTGAACACCACGGTGCATACACTCGGGTAAGGCATCTCACTTCATTGGTGCATGAGAGTGGGTGATTCAGAAGAGTGGCTCACTGATGGAGGGGGATGTGGACAGTCTGTACGACAATCAGATTGGCGACGCTGGTGCGATTGCGATTGCTGGCGCATTCGCGGCGAACCCCAAGCTGCAAAAGCTCAGGTAAGGCATATCACTTCACTGATGCATGTGAGCGGACAATTAAGAGTGCTCACTGCTGGAGGAGGAATGGACAGTCTGTACGATAATCGGATTGGCGACGCAGGAGCACGAGCCATTGCCGAAGCAATCAAGGGAAGCTGCGTGTGGGAGCTTAAGTAGGCCATCCACACATTCATGCATGCGTGTGAGTGATTTCAGCCCAGGACATTCAGAGTTGCTCATTGATGGAGGGGACGGACAGTCTGCAAAAGAATCAGATTGGCGATGCTGGTGCCCAGGCCATTGCTGAAACTCTCGACGAGAACTCGCGCTTGATGACTCTCACGTAAGGCGCCTCGCGTTGACGAATGCATGTGAGTGGGCCATTTCAGCCACGGGTATCCACAGAGTGCTCACTGATGGAGGGGACGGATAGTCTGTGGAAGAATCGGATTGGCGATGTGGGAGCAACTGCGATTGCTGAGGCACTCAAAGAGAACACGACGCTGTGCTCGCTCAAGTAAGGCGCCTCGACTTGACTGATGCATGGGAGTGGGTGATCCAGCCGAGGGCGGCAAAAAGTGCTCACTAGAGGGAATAGACTTGGTGAGAATCAGATTGGCGATGCTGGAGCTCAAGCGATCGGTGAGGCACTCAAAGTGAACTCGGATCTGACTCGGCTCAAGTAAGGTCTCTCACTTTGATGGATGCATGCGCGGTTGTTTTTTGAGGGTTTGACGCTCACTGATGGAGGGGATGGACAGTCTACAACAGAATCAGATTGGCCATGCCGGAGCGCAGGCGATAGGTGAAGCACTCAAAGTGAACACCTGTTTGAGTAAGCTCACGTAAGGGATCTCACTGTTACTGGCGCTTGTGAGTGGGCTGGTTCAGAAAAGGGCGTGAAGAATGGCTCACTGATGGAGGAATGGACAGTCTGTACGGCAATCGGATTGGCGATGCTGGAGCGCAGGCCATTGCTGAGGCGCTCAAAGTGAACAGCTCTATACAGGAGCTCGAGTAAGCCGCCTCACACTTCCAAATGCATCCTGCAGCGGGTACTTTGAGTGCTCACAGCGTTGGACAGTCTCAGCAGCACCCAGATTGGCGACGCTGGAGCGCTTGCGCTTGCGGAACGCATGGTGCATTCGGAACTGGCTGAGCTCGAGTAAGCCGTTGTTCGAACTCTGCTCGTCTTGGACATTGAGCTTGGGTTAACCAGACCTTTGTAATTTATGCTGGGGACGGACAGTCTAGGTTACAATCGCATTGGCGATGTTGGAGCGCAGGCGATTGCCAAAGCAATCAAAGATGGAGCGACGCTGACTGGGCTCTAGTAAGTTGCCGCGTGCTTTGCTCGTCTCGGTTTTTTTTTTTTTTTGGTTTTTTTTTTTTTTTTTTTTTTTTTTGGAGGCTGGCTTAGCTAAGTCATCCAACTCACCGTTTGAGCGACAGTCTATCACATAATTGCATTGGCGATGCTGCTGTTGATTTGATTACAGAGGCACAGGAAATCGAAGACATGCCGCCCTACCTTACGTCAGTTGGTTGTGTCGAGATATTGGAGTTGCCCTTGCTGACTGCAATTTTTTTTCTCCTTGCACAGGGTCGATCCTCAGATAAACCCTCTTGCATTCTCCTTACTTCCACGCTTAGCAACCGCTGACGACCTTCAGACCGTGCTTTGCTTGCTGACCAGCGGACCGGAGCTGCAGGATCAGCTCGCAGTTCTACCGGCACTACCAACCGAGATTGCCGAGCTCATTATGGACGAAGCGTCTTACTGGCAAGGCGTGCAACCCACCAAGCCACGGTCGCTTGGTGGAAGTTACCCCGACCCCAGGCTGGAAGTCACCATGCCTCGGAGCATCGCTGAAAGTTCAATCCGTGTGAAAGCAATTCAACTGCTTCGTGACTGGGAGACACGCACCAACAACATTGGTGACAACGTCTTTGATTTGACTGTCCGAGATGAACAAGGTGCTGTTCAGTACGAATGTGCTGTGCAGCCGACTTTTGTCGATTCGAACCTTGCGCTTGCGACAATCTGGCCAGCGAGTACTCCCATCCTCCGGCAAATGCGCGAGGGTTGGCAAGTTCAAGTTCGACCCAGCAAGGCTGCTCACAAGGTGTGCCATGAGTCCCTTTATGTGGGATATGTCTAGCACCTTGTTCTTGATGTGCAACAACCAAGCTGTGCCTCGAGTTTGTGAAAAAGCGATTCAAGCGCAGGGACCTCCCCCTCTTTTGTTTTTCGGCTTTCTACTGAACAATCCTGTGCATGTCGATTTCTCCTGCCAACTTTGCTCGCCGCCTATGAACATGAAAGTTGAAAACGGATCTTCAAGGGTGGTTTTTTTCATGGAGTTTTTCCATTCAACGCCTGCCAACGTCTAGCTTTGTTTTGCTGTTTGATTTTGTTTGTGTTTTATGGTTTTGTTCGCTTTGTGGGGTTTTTTCTGAGATTGTTCAATGTTGAGTGAAATGCACACCCTTTTCTCAGTTTCCAAGTTGTTCGTTTCGTTCAGTCCTCGCTTTTCCTGCAGCCGTTGACCAACAACAATCCAAGTGCTTTACCTGACGCCGCTCTCCGCCGGAATCCGTCATGAGTGTGCATGGCTATCCCGGTGCTGGCGGCGGTGGCATTGGCTCGACCAGCTTCAGCGCATGGAGCGATCACCTGCGAAACGCAAAGAGCCAGTATTCTCACTCGCGACCAACGACGACCGGCGCCAACCCGCGCTCAGGCTCAAACAGTCGATATCAGCACGATCGCCCTCGTGCTGCTGTCCCATCTGCTGGGTCTGCTGCGGCTGTGGCTGGACTTGGACGACGTGTGCGCGCGTGCCTCAATTCGTCCCAATTGCTGCTAATTCTCATTCTCACGCCTGCCATTGGTCTCGTCGTCTTCCAAATGCTGCTGAGACCGCCGATCGAGCGGATGATGGCGCCTGCAATCACGGCGCACGACCAAAAGCTCGTCCGAATGGCGGACGACAAGCTCGCCCTGCACTTTCTAAAGCTCAGCAGATTGGACGCCGGGCACGAGCACGATGACCAACTCGAGGTCATTCATGATCCGAGTGCAATTGCTGCCGCTGCCGCAGATGCTGCAGAATCCAACAACAAATTAAAGGAGGGAGCCAGCGGGGCCGATATAGCTGCTGCTGCTGCTCCCCTCAGTCGGAGAGTGGTCATTTCGCCAGATCTGATGCTCAGCTCGCGAGGCCTCTCCCGCGAAATGCTGCTGCCAAACATGCCGCCTGCCATGCTCGAAACGTTGCGACCTCAAAAGTCTCCGCTGCGCCTCACGATTGTATCCTCGGCATCAGTGCTGTACTTTGATCGCTTGATCAATCTGATTGGCTCGGTGCACTTTTGGGAGCCAGACAAGCTCATTGCCGTGTACGATCTGGGGCTCGAGCAGTACCAGCGCAATGTTTTGTGTTGCATGCGCAACGTCCGGCTGTTGACGTTGAACTTTGAAGTGCTCCCACCGCACGTCAGCAATCTCGCCAACTATGCTTTCAAAGCACTCATCATTCGCGATGCCCTGGAGCGGTTTGGTGCAGTCCTGTAAGTGTTGCTTGTATTGGGGAGGTTGAATCAACTTGTGATGAGAGTGAAGCGCACTGGCATTGACCCGAATCCTCTTGGCTCTTTCAGGTATCAAGATGCCGGCCAAGAACTTCGGCAACCCCTGCACGAGATCGCAGGCATCATCGACCAGCAGGGCTATTTTGCAGTCACGCAGCACACACCACTATACGACTATGTGCGAGATGGTGAGTGGACTGAGCAGTTCTGTAGACCACGACATGAGAACTCGATGTATTGACCCGTTGTTCTTTCTCTGGCCCTGCTGCTCAAACTCAGGTATGCTTGAGCGACTCGGTATTGTGCTGGCTACAATACCAAACAACCCGACTTGCGCTGGTGGAATTGTGGGCTTCAAGTCACAGGATGCAATCGTCACACGGAAAGTCCTCGATCCGTGGGTGCGCTGCTCTTTGGATGAGGAATGCATCAATCCCAAGGGATCAACGCTCGAGAACAGTCGATTCGATCAATCCGTGCTCTCGTTGCTACTCTTTGCCAACAAGCTTTCATGCTCGTACGACGCGCGCTTCAATGCCGACTTTTCGCCATCGCATCGTTCGCGCATGGACATTCACCTCTTCTCTCGTCGCTGGCACTGCCCAAAGCCGTACGTTCCATTCCTAGCTCGGACCTCCGGCGGAGTCAGCTCTGCTCCTGGCGGCTCTGGCGCCGGAAAACCGCATCAAGGGCACCATCATGCCGAGCGCAAACAACATCACGACCACGCCAGCGAGTTGAAGCACGATGAGGACACAGACACCACTGGACTCGGTGCAGCTTTGCAGGACTCGGATGGTTTGACCAACTGGCTCGTGCGCTATCGATGCGAGACAGCCGAGTGTTTTTCCTGGTATACCGAGCCAGAAATCCCGTACACTCGTCGCTTCCACTCTCTCGTGCGTCAAACGGTGGTGGAGCTGCAAGGAGAGGGCCAGCCGCATCGTATCGAGCCCACAGAGCCAACGTCCAGCAGCGAATACATTGTTCTTCCGATTCTCGAGTTTGATGCCGGGCGTGCGCTCGAAAATCCACGACACAAGCGCACCGAGCGAACAGCAGAATACTGCGGTTCACTAGCTCTCGGCCTCACCGAAGAGGTCCCATTCCTGGTCGTTGTGGATGCAATCATGTACGCCACGATATGCATTCTCACTCTATTTATCCTTGTGGTGCGTCGCATGGCGCTCAGCTCAACCAAGGGGACTTGTTCAAGGCGAGGCCTTCTTCGAGCGTTTGGCGTGGTCTTTGCCGGACTCGCTATGGCGTGCTTCCTCGTGGTGCAGTACGGCGCTTCAAAGCAAGCTGCTACTGCCGCGGCGTTGTAGTGATTATTTGCATGATTTGGTAGCTGGGATATTTGGTAGCGACCAAATCAGTGTGTTCAACTCAAGCGGCCAATCTTTTGGAAACACACCCATCTTGTGAAAACACACCCCAAGCTTTTGGAAACACACCAAGAAAAAACAAAACAGGATAACAATAAAATATCAACTTATTTGAATCAATGACAAAGGACACAACAAACGGCGTCTAAACATCGCGGTACAGCCATGCCGCAATATAATACCGGATGAAGAACGCAATGCCCGAGCAGACGGCTTGGAAAAGGAGCAGATTGCAGGTGACTTGCCCTTCTTTTTGCGGACCAGTCAGCATGAGCGAAAAGTTGATGAGGGTGAGATTGCTCATTTGGATGATTGGTTCTTCGGGCTTTGAGGCGCTGCTGGATGCATCGTCCGACTGGTGAGGTGGTTGGTTGCGTTTGAGAGCCCGTGTTGCGCGTGGGGTGGCCGGTGGCTGAGGTTCGGGTTTGGGTAAAGTCGTGGCTTCGGCACGGCCTTTGCCAAGGTCTGCGCCCGTTTTGCTGGCCTGCTCTGCTGCTAAGGCGAGCACATAGTCTTGCTGCGACAGCTCCTTGTATGTCACAAGCCGGAAGATGCGCATAGTGGTGACAATGATGCGACCCACTCCCGAAAGCTCTGACATTTTGAAATACGCGTGGCTATTCCCCACGAGCCCGGTGGCAGGGTCAAATCTGTCATGCGAAAATGAACAGTGAGGAAGGACACACATGGAAACGCGAACAACCAAACGATTCGCTTTTTCGTGTTACTTTGGCATGCGGTGACGTGGGCAAGGAACCAAGTGGAAGAGTTGAGGCAAAGAATACACGAAATTGAGCACTTGGGGAATGAAGAGCAAGAGCAGCGTCTTGCTGAAATGGCCCAGGATGCCAACGACAGCAAACGTCATGCCTGCAAAGTAGCAAAAGGTATCGCCGACAAAGACACGCGATGGGAACCTGCAGCGGAACAGACTTGATAGTGAGTTTACCAAAAGCAAACAAAAAAGCAAAAACGCGAAATTTCATCCAACAATTCGTAAATCCCCCACTCACCAGTTCCACCAAAGCAGTGCGGCTGTGGTGGCAATAAACGGAAGCATCAGATACAGGGAAAAGAGGTGGTTTTGAACATCGGCGTCTTGGATCAGGAAGATTTGGACGGCATTGTTGATGGCGATGGATATGGCAATGACGATGGACTGGCCGGCTTCAAGGCCGTTGATTCCAGCGAGAATGTTGATGGCGTTGGTGCAAAAGACGGCAATCATGCCCATGAAAACGTAGTACAGGGGTCCCAAAAACACGGTTTGGTCGGATTGCAGCATGAAGGAGGGAAGGAATGGCATTGCAAACTTGGGGAAGATCACCGAGGTGACGCCATGGTTGGCAAAGTACACCATTAGGATGGGGAGGGTGGCAATCGTTGGCAGCATCAGCTTGTGTCGCCAGCGCAAGTTGAGCACGTCGTCCGCAAAGCCCAGGAAGATCATGCAGCAGATAGACAGCAATGCTCCAAGGAAGCTTCTGAACATTCTCTGCGGGAGGCGAAGCGTCGAGGGTTCAGGGAGAGAGAGTGTGTGTGTTTCAAAATCCAGATTGCAGGTTCCGCGCGGCGATCATTTTGACCCCCAGTAAGTGAGATAGGACCAAGATGAACCCAAACAAGCGAGATTCGAAGCAAGGTGAGTGCATAGGACATTCACCGTGGAAAGTGCTCAGATTGGTGTCAAATCGGTAATTTCTGAGCAGTTCCGAACCGACCTCGACTTTCCCCCCCCCCCTAACAATCCAACACAGCGATGCTTTTTTTTATACCTGATTCTTCTCATTGTGGAGCACGACGAGCGCTTCGTACGCTGCGTTGGCTGCTGCGCGATCGCCATCGTGGAGGAGGAGCGCGTCGCTGACTGGCTCGGCCACGTCATCCGGCAGATTCTCAATGAAGGGGAACGGGATGAAGAAGAACAGGCAGATCAGGTACACGGCGCCGCAGATCACGCCGAGCGCCTCGGGGCTGAAGCAGCAGGGAGCGAGAAGGGAATGAAGGAAAAGTTGCGAGTAGGAAAAGCAAGGGACGGTTGGTGAACATTGGTAAGTGAATGACCGCTTTTAAAAGCAATATCTGGATACTGATCTGTCTCGATCTCTCAATCTTGATCCCTTACACTTTGACGCGGTTTTGGATGGGTTTGTTGAGGTCCATGCCAAACAAGCCGGCGTTGACAAAGAGCGACGAGAGTGCAGGGATGAGCTGCAGTGTTGCGATGAACGCAGCGACAGAGAGCGCCGCATTGATTGCCAGTGGCGTCGGGATGAGCAAGGGAAGGACGTCCGTGCCTGATGCATAGCAGACAGCGAGCGATGATGGAAGGACGACCAGCAGCGACAGCAGCAACATCTGAATGTGGGGGGGGGGGGAAGGAAGCAAGCAAGAGGACTGCACAAAGTAAAAGCAAACAAACAAGAATGAATGAAAAACAAATAAACTGAGAACTGAGAAAGGTGAGAATTCAAATTCAAGGCTGTTTTTGGCGCCAAAACAACACCTACCTGTCTACCTTGTGTTGCAACTCATCCTCTCCAGAATTTACTGTACATTTGCAATTCCACTTCTCTTGTTATTTTGTTTTGTTTTTGTTTTTTCTCAGCTCTCAGCTTTTTTCCGCTTGTCACTCCCCTTTTTGTGTTTTGCTTTTCCCCCTTCACGTCGATTTCCGCCCACTCCTCAAACAAAACTCCCACAAAACACAAAAACCCCTCCCAACTCCAATCATCATGTCGCAGCAACGCATCAACCGCCGCTGGCTGTATGTGCAGCGCCCGGCTCACGAGTCGACGGCCGAGCATTACCAATTGGACGAGACGACGCCTGCTCCGACGCCCGCGGACGGCGAGCTGCTCATCCAGGCGGTCTGGTTTTCTGTGGATCCGTACATGCGCATCCAGCAGTCGTCGTTCCGCACCTGGGAGGCGCCGCATCCGCTCAACACCGTCCAAGGTGGCGGAGTTGTCGGCGTCGTGGTTGAATCCCGCTCGCCCGCGTTCGCGCCCGGCGACTACGTCTCTGCCTACACTGGCTGGCAGCTCTACGCGACCGTCGCAGCCAGCGCAGTCCGCAAGCTCAACCCCAAGGACGCCCCGATCGAGTATTCCCTGGGTGTTCTGGGCATGCCCGGCCGGTGAGTGCCCGCGGGACGTGAGAACATTCGCATCGGAAAAATCGCCGTGCCAACCCATAAAAAAGGATTTCTCCGAATCTCCGACCACGCGTACTTGTTGTTGTTGTTTGTTGTTGACGAATCTGAGAGCGTGGGGGAACCAAAAAACATTGGCGTTGTGCTTTTGAACGGATGATTGATTTGGTGTTGTTTGGTTTGCTGTTGTTCGTTTTTGCAGAACGGCGTACTTTGGACTCCTCGACGCCGGCAAACCCAAGGCGGGCGAGACGGTCGTCGTGTCGGCGGCATCCGGCGCGGTTGGTCTGCTTGTGGCTCAAATTGGTGAGTTTGGTGATTTTGTGCACGGTTCGCCGAGTCAGATACACGAGCACCATCAACATCAACGCACACAACTTCTCGCCGAATGAACACGACGTGTGCTTGACTTTATGTTTGCTCACTTGCATCCGCAACTATTGCTTCCACAGCCAAGATCCAAAAGTGCCGCGTGGTTGGCATCGCTGGCGGGCAGGAAAAGTGCAACTACCTCAAGTCGCTCGGCCTTGACGAGGTGATTGACTACAAGGCCCTGCCCAGGAGCAAGGACGATGTCGATTACGACGCCATTTTGGCCGCGCTCAAGCAGGCGTGCCCCCAAGGTGTTGATATCTACTTTGACAATGTCGGCGGCACCACCACCGATGCCGTCTTCAACCTGATCAATCTTCGCGCTCGCGTTATCATCTGTGGCCAGATTACTCAGTACAATGGCAAGCTTGGTGAGCTCTGCTTTCTCTTTTTGCGCGTCCTTCTTTTTTGCGGAAGAGGGGGATTGTGCGTAAGACTGGTTTGCTGAAATCTGTTCAATGCGCGCAGATTCGGTGGAGATGGGACCGCGCTTCTTGCACCGTCTGATTTACACGCGCGCGACCATCCAAGGCATTCTTGCGCGAGATTACGTTGATCGCATGGATGAGATGCTGCCTGTGATGAGTAAGCCGGAAAAGTCGCGCTCGAGATTGTTGTGTTTTTGCCAACGCTCTCCATGTCGGAACACCAACTTCTTTTGCTGTCTGGTGTAGTCGACTGGCTCAACTCTGGCAAGCTCAAGTACGAACAGACCGTCGTCGACGGGTTTGAACAGCTGCCGTCTGCTTTGAACGCCCTGTTCCACGGCAAGAATGTTGGCAAGATGCTCGTGCGTGCTTAAGCGAGCGGAGCTGGATGCGCGTGTTGCAGTGTAGCAATGTAGCAATGTTCATGGAACTAAAACGAAAAAAATCAAACTTTCAAACACACATCGCCAAACGGAAAAAAACAAGATGCATTGCACACATCGCCAACTGGAAGACTTGAAATCGACGCAATGTCACAAACTTTCAAAGTGCTCCGACCGCCCTGAATTTTAGCACACTATCTATCTTAATTATGTTGAACAAGAATATGAAGAGAGCCAGAGGCTGGGCGGTCTCTGTGGTTGATTCTGTCGATGCTGGTCGGTCCGAAACAGCAGCTCCTTTCCATCTCGGCTTTTTTCGGAGATCGACGAAAGCAAAGTATAAACCCAACAACCCAATTCTGTTCAATAAACTTGTGCACTCTTTGTTTCTGCGTTATTGACGAAGGTTTGATTTTGCTCACAAAAACCAAAAATCTCAGTGTGAAGGTCAGCTCTGCTTCCATTCGGACTCGCTGCTGGGAGGCTGCCATTGGGCTGTCGTTCCACCAAACACACGACTGTACGGGGGGACTGTCCGGCTGTGAAGCAGAAGACGACACGCGGAGTGTGAGCGACATGCGAAGCGAGCGAGCGGCTTCACACAGCCAAAGAGCAGATGACTGCGATCACACTGCCTGAGCTTGTCCTCGGGCACGAAGCGATGGCTTCGGATGTTGGGATGAGAAGCAAGTAGTCTGCAAGGGTGCACAGTGCTGCAGAGGCCCGAGACTGGTGAGCTCGCAGCGGCTCAGAGAATCATCAATCCAAAAGATAAGATGAAAGACTTGGGGAAATGTTTGACAGGTTGTCAAAGCGACCTCGAAGAGCTGTGCACTTATGCCAAGCAAGCAACTAGGGTCGTGATTGGAGCTGGACGAAGTGGAAGGGGTGAGCAAATGGAGCAAAGACAACAAGGAGCGATTTCCACTCACTCGCTGTGATTTCTGTGTTCAGGTTTGCCATGTCGCTGTCTTACGAAGCGATGACGCCAGAACAGCGCGAGTTGTATGAGAAAGTCAAGAATGCGAGTGGTGAGCTTAGGTAAGAAAGCAAAGACAAAATGACGAAAGTGCTGAATTATGACACTGACATGGGGCATCAGTTTCCGTTACCATCACATTGGTGATGTTGAAGCGCAGGCAATCGCTGAAGCACTCAAGGTGAACACTACGCTCACCCAGCTCACGTAAGTTGACTGGCCGTGATGAATGAGATCGTGACCGATTCGGGCTGCCGAATCGTGATGCTCACGTCGGGTTGATAGCCTGCAGCGCAATCAAATTGGTGATGTTGGAGCGCAAGCAATCGCTGAAGCACTAAAGATGAACACGACGCTCACCCAGTTCGAGTAAGTTGACTGCCAGTGATGATGAGATCGAATGATCGATTTAAGCTGCCGAACCGTGGCACTGACAGTAGCTTGACAGCCTGCACAACATTGAGATTGGCGAGGTCGGAGCGCAAGCAATTGCTGAAGCACTCAAGGTGAACACGGCGCTCATCCAGCTCGAGTAAGTCGATTGATCAGCCAGATTCATCGACTGGTTCTTTCACTCAATGCCTCGACAGTTTGAGCTGGAACAGTGTTGGTGACGCTGGCGCTCTTTCCATTTCGGAAGCACTCCGACAGAATAAGTCTCTGCAAAATCTCCGGTAAGCGCTTCAATGTTGAATGCCCAGCAATAGCATTACTCACTGGGCAATCATTAGTCTGGAATCGAATCAGATCGGAGCCGCTGGGGCACTTTCCATCTCGGAAGCACTTCAGAAGAATACGACCTTGCAAAATCTCAAGTAAGCATTTTCAAAGTTAAATGCCCAACCGTAGCATTACTCACAGATCAATCGGTAGTTTGGCGTACAATCAGATCGGTCATGTGGAGGAGATGGTACTGCGCCACAGTATCCATCCAACCTTGCGATTGTAAGTTTTTTGGCTTGGTCCGTGTTTGTTCGTCAACGACTCCATTTTAGCCTCACTTTTCCAAGACCTCGCTTGTTAGGGGAATCGCCGACGGATACGTGCGACAGGCGTTTTCCAATATGTTCAGCATTGCCAATTCCACCGATGGTATTGACATTTCGACAGTCATTCTGCGTGAGAAAGACGAATCCATGATTTTGATCATTTGGGATTTCGCTGGTCAAGAAGTCTATCTGGTTTCGCACCAGTTCTTTCTTCGTGAACGAACGGTCTACCTGGTCTTGTTTGACGTGCGTGAAGACTTGTCACTCAATTCGCGTCTTGCCTTCTGGCTACGCAGCTTGCACGCTTGCGTTCCAAACGCCGATATCATTCTTGTTGGAACCCACATTGATGATCCGTCATACGCTTCGGAGCGGCAGCAAGAGCAAAAACAAAATCTTGCCAATCTGCTCAGCACCCTGAAAAAATCAAGTGTTTCGTTTAACGTGCGTTCGACCGTCTACATTAACGCGCGGAACTCTACGGGGGCCCCGAGCATGCCGGAACTCAAGAATGCATTGTTTCAAGCCGGACAAAAGATGCCGTTTTACACCCAACTGGTGGATGGCCGGTACCTTCAGTTCAGAGACTTGCTCCGAAAGCGAGCCGATCAGTTGGTCGCCCAAAACAAACCGCCTCTCTGTCGATGGCATGAAATTGTCGAGCTTGGCCAGTCACTGCGTCTCAGCGGGCGAGCCATCGATGCATTCATGGAGCTCTTGCGTTTTCAAGGCTGGGTCGTTTTCCACCGTCTCGCCGATTCAGCCACCCAAGACACGCTCAATGTTCCCGCGCTGCAACCTGCTACTCTCCTCGCTTCGTTGGACGATATAGTCATCTTGAACCCTCAATGGTTCACGAAAACAGTCCTGACTGGAGTTATTACCCAGAAGCCTAAAGATCGATGGGTCAAGGATGGTATCGTGACTCGCAAGAACCTGCTTCGAAACGCTTGGAAGGGCATCGATTCTGCGATTTGTGATCAGTTTGTGCTGCTCCTTCAGCGATACGAGCTTTTGTACAAGATGAGCGATGCCGATCTCCTTGGAACCGATTCTGCTTCAAGCGCCGGCACTTGCTATGTTATCCCTTCGTACCTGCCAGCTTACGAGTTTGACTCTAGTAGATGGTCATCGAACCCTGCAGCGGGCGAGCATGAAGTTGCCATTGTGATGGAGACCAAGTTTTTGCTGGAAGGATTTTTCTCGAGGCTGCTTGTGCGCTTTCACGAGCGGAAATTCAATTTGATGGCGTGGAAAGATGCTGTTCTGGTCAATTACGGCGGCCCTCGAGCACTACTGCGTGTTCATCGCAACGCTTCCAATGTGCGCCTCGAGTTTACCGTGCGAGGGCAACATCCAGAGGAGTTGCTGCCAACCCTGATTGAGATATTGGACAAGCTCAGCTCGGATTGGTATCCTGGAATCTCGTGGGAAACCTACCTGCGCTGTCCCATGCAGGTGCCTCATGACAAACCGTGCAGGTGGCTGCTCCGACCTCAAGTTCGAGACGCGGTGATTGACAAGATGAAAAACTTATCTTGTTCGCACACGCTCGCCACTTTCCGCAAGGAGGAATGGCTTCCTGTTCTCAGCTCGCTTTTGCAGCGTCGCTTGAACGCTGTTTCGCAACCCACACCGGAGGATATCAAGGCGCTACAGGAACTCGAGCGGCAACCACCATCTAGCGAGCTTGAAAGAGCTGCGACGGAAGCTGCATCGCCTGCCGCACCACTGGTTGCATCCGAACAGCGACCATTGCTGGCGCCAGCATTGCAGCCTATCATCGATGGACAAACCCAGCATCGAGATTTTGCAAATCCAAGTACACAGCAATCTGGAATTTCCACTACTATTCCTCGAGTTGGTATGCAAGAGCTTTCTCAAGCCACTGGCAACTTTGCCGAATCACGGCGCATCGGGGGCGGCGGCTTTGGCAGTGTCTACTCTGGCACCTGGGGTGGTGCACACGTTGCTGTCAAGCGGTTGGCGGCGAATTCAATGCAAGGTGTGGCACAATTCAAGGCCGAGCTCGAATCCCTCTCTCGTTTTCGCCATTGCAACATTGTGACTATCATGTGCTATGCTCTAGAAGGCAACAACTACTGCCTGGTGTGCGAGCTGATGGCAAATGGTTCAGTCCGTGATCGTCTGGATTGCACGAACGGCACGCCCGCTCTGACTTGGCCACAACGCCAGAGAATCGCAACCGAGATCGCAAGCGCTATGAACTTTGTTCAGACTGCCATTCCACGGCAGCCGCTGTTCCACCTGGATCTCAAGACTGACAATGTTTTGCTGGATGCTGAGTTTCACGCCAAGGTCGCCGATTTTGGACTTACGCGCTCTGTACCCGCTCAGACGGTTGCACAAAGCTACCTCCAGACGCAGACGATTCGAGGAACCCCGCAATACATCGTCCTGAATATTTTCAGAGAGGCCAGATCTCCATCAAAACAGATGTGTACTCGTACGGCATGATTTTGCTCGAGTTGCTGACTGGAAAGCAGCCTGGTAGTGCACTTGTTAGCTCAGTGAAACGTGCGCTTAAACAGCAAGGTCGGCTCGATTCCGAGTTGGATGCGTCAATCGTGTGGGGTGCTCCAGACAAACTCGCTGCCACCTCATTCGCGCATCTTGCTATTGCTTGCCTCAAGCCCGATCGAGTGGACCGACCAACCTTTGGCGAGATGCTGACCACAACGGGTCAATATGTCGATCAGGGCAACGCACATGCTCATGCTGCAATGCCGCACAATCCCAGGATGGAGCATCATGACAGTAGCATCAAGGAGCAGTCGCAACCTAATCTAAATTCGGATCTCGCGAGCTCTAGAATGGAGCCGCAGCTTGACTCCTGCAGCGGATCGAAAATGAGCTCGAACAGCGATCGCGAATGCATGCTATGTTACAACGCTCCGACGACAGCCAAGTTGATGCCTTGCTGCCACGCATGTGTTTGCGTGGCGTGCGCTCAAGAAATGATTCGACGTCAGGACAAGTGCATGGTTTGTCGTGTCATCCCGACCGCGTTCGTGCCGGGTTCTTTCAACCAGACGTTTGTTCCGTGAACGTGTTTGTTTGGCGTTTGACTTTTTGTGCTTTTTGTGGTGATTTGCTTTGATTCAACGACTTGTCAACCGATGCCCTTTTTTTCGTTCAAACTCGATCCTGTTGGCCTCTGTGTGATTCGGCGATTGGAATGGGAACGGGAGGGATGGCGGGTAACATTCTGTTGTGAGATCGAACGGGGTTGCTCGGTTTCATCGAGCGAAATGGGCTCACCTGACGCCAAATGCTCAATGCCAAACAACAGCGGAGCGTGGCTGTGCGCGCTCGCTTCCAATCTCGGATCGTCATGTCAAAGTCGTCAATCGATTGGAACAAGTTCCGAGGCAGGTTTTGAACAGCATTGTCATGAATGAATTCTGCAACGATCATTTTCTCCCCGAATTGCCGTCCTCCAAAAAAAAAGACACGAAACATCCAAACCGGTTCCGGATAGAAAGGTCAAGATTCTTACACGAGCACGAACCTTCCAAAAAAGCAAAAAAAAAACCCTAGCACCGAAAGTAAACGCAAAGAATCTGAGACCAGAACAACGAAAAACAAAAAAGAAGAGTTACAACAAGCAGTATTCCCGCGTGGTCTCCCACCGCAGTACTAACTACTCTCATGGTGGTTTAACTTCGCAGAGCGGAACGGGATGCGGTGCATTCCACCAGATATGGCCGTAACTGAAAAATGACTGGGCACGCAGAGTGATCAGCGGAACGTTTGAACAAACACAGAATCAAAGCGAGATTCCTCATCGATTGATTCACGCGAATCTTGGTGCTTGTACCTGTCGTGAGTTGTTCATGAATTGTATGGTTGTTTTGAACGTCAGTCTTGTTTTGTTTTCTCAAAATCCTCCGTTCTCATATTCTGAGCAGCCTAGTTTCTGCACGTTCCAGCTCGCTCAACCCGCCCGCCAAACCTACTGTACAACCAACCAAACACTTTCGAACCATGCCTCTGTCGCTGGTCATGTTCTGCGCCTCGCATGTGAGCGATGAGGCGCGCCTGGACATGATGGAGCAGATGCTCAACAGCTGGGCTGCCCAGTTCCTCCCTGTTGAGTTGTGGATTTCAGTGAGCTGCGCCAACGACGCCCTCAAAGACAAGGTCAAGACGCTGCTCACCAACCGAGGACCCGGATTGAATGCATTCATCCGCCGCTCGCCGTACAAGCAGTTTGAGCACCTGCAGTGGCTCACCAGCAAGTACATTGAGCGCTTCAGTGGGCGCTCGCACGCCGACGCATGGGTCTGCTTCACCGACGACGACGACACGTTCGCCATCCATCGCACGTCTGTCTTTGGACAGCTCATCAGAGCGCCAGAGAACGACCAGCACGCGGACGACGCAGTCCCGTTCGTCTGCATCAATGGACCGCCGCTCAACGCCCCGCTGCCAAGGTCACCCGAGCAGACCCTGCTAATCAAGGCTCAGAATGTTCACGGAAACAAGCTCGTCAAGCGGGGCAGTGGCCAAGAGTACTTTCAGTATTGCGTTCGACTGTCGTTGTTGGAGTACTTTTTCAAGCACACGACAGAAGTGCTTTGGCAATACCAGTTTGCCGATCTGCTCTTCCAGCGATTCCTACTGCGCGGCGTCCATATTGACAAGCCCGACAACTGGTGGCCACTCCAAGCTGACGAAGACGCTTCGTGCGAGTACGTGTACTGGGATCGGCACGCGCTCGACCAAGCACGCAACCCAAATCCGAACGACGAGGGCTGGATCCCGCTCATGGACTACTTGCGTCTCTCCATGGCCAGCTCGGTCGACTTTAATCGAGAGGACTACTGGCGCTGGCTGAAAGGCTCGTACAAGGTGACTTGGGCCGCTGGCAAATTGTCGCGCGACAATCTCAAACTGAAGGCGCAACTGGAGTTGCCCATTGTGCAGGAGATGATTCGCCTGCCTTCGTATGTTCACTGGCGTATTCAGGATCTCCAGGAGCGAGGGCAGCCCGAAAAAGCGCTTCGGCTTCAAAAGCAACTCGACGCGTTTGTTGCCAAGGCCAACAACACCCCCGTTGCTTTCCAGCAAGGCGAGCGATATGTGTAGAGCGAGTGAGCAAATCGTTGGTGTGTTCATTGGTGTATTTCTGCTCTCTGTATTGAGTACAGAGTGTTGAGCGGTGCTTTGAACAGACCATTGAAGAGTTTCGATGTCGCCCATTTCCGAGTGTGTTTAGATTCGAGTGAGCACGATGTTCAAAGCAGTCTTTTTATCTGATAATTTGATTCTTTTCATTATTTGATTGTTTGATTGTTTGATTATTTTGAGTGTTTACATCGAGGTACGTCAAAAGGCTGATGAACTGTTGCGGTTGACTCTGCTTGTGGGTGCTCGCACCATGCACTGAAGTTGAGGATGATGCGTAGAGTAACGGCGAGAGCGATGCCGAGAGTGTGGAGCAAAACCGCGACGGAAAAGGTCAACATAAAAACATAAACACGGCTTGCTGAAGTTTTCAGTGTTTCGTTCCTTCCCTTCCTGATGTTTGCTTTCCTTCCTTCTATTGTCTGCTGCTGTTGAGGATCGATACGAACAAAGCCAATCCTGTCAGCATGACAGCTGAACCTGAGATAAAGCAGGGAAACACAGAGCAAAGTCAAACAAACTCGTTATGGAGCTTAATTTTTGTTATTGTTGTCGGTTGTCAGGTTGGAAAATCAGACTACCCCTTTCCTTCCCCCGCCAAAGACACGAGCCGGCACAACTTGAAGCAACGTGAAGCACCGTGCTGTAGAGTGATGTCCCATGCTCTGGGTCGTTCTCAGCGGTGGGAAGAAATCAAATTAACTGCGGACAGCAAAACAAACATAACAGCAAACAACAACAAACAACTAGATCCCTATGCTGATCTCAGGCGGGAATGCGGGAAAGCTGCACCTTGAAGTGAGATTCTTGTCACAGCGGGTGTTGAGAAACGACTCGGGCGAAGAGAGCATCGGTCGGAGGAGATGTGCCCAAAACTGACTTTCAGTTGTTCTCCCCGCAGAGTCAATTTCAGGGAAAATGTGCCTGTCAAAGTATCCCCGCCTTGTGAACTACATCATGAAGCTGCACGCCACTCAGCTGGAAAAGCCCAAGCGCATGGGAGCGTGGTGTGTTTCCCCCGAATGTTGTGCTCTTGATGTTGACAATGCTTTCCTTGTTCTGACCAACTCGTCCTTCCACTTGTCCTGCTCAGGTTTAGCGTCCTGGCTCCGCTCTTGTTCTTTCTCTTCCATGGACTCCAGTGGCTGCTTGTGTTTGTCATGGCGTTTGCCGAGCACGCGATGCCATTGTGGTGCACTGCCGGCCTGGCGATCGACACCAATGAGGCCCATTCATCCCCGCGCACCGTTACCGAAGTGCAGACCTACCGCAATGGAGTGCACGTCGGCACTGATCGCTACGACCCAGCGGATGTTTCAGACGCGTGCGCGGCGCTCTTCAAGCTGATCTTCTTCTCGTTGGTCCTTGTTTTGGCGGTCTTGTACGCGGTGTTTGGTGCGTTAGTGTACTTGCTCTCGGCTTTTACATGGCCGCTTGCGCTTTTGCTGTTCTCCGACAGCAGCGAAACTGCCACCGAGCCTGCGAAAGACACCTCCGCGGAATCGGCATCCGTTGACGGCGCTGTCGTTGTTGCAGTTGCTTGAACTACGGTGTCAGAGTTTGGTCTGCGAGGTGTTCTGCTGCTTTCAAGTGTGTTTGTCGTGATAGTGTTTGTCTTTCTGAGGTGTTGTGTGTCTGTGAAAAACAAAAAACGAGAAGGTTGTACAATCCCCGGAATGATTCAGTGGCTATCATCGCCGCTCCCACAGAGCCTCGCATCATGTGCGCCAATGCCGCTTGTAAGCAAATACCTAGACAATACCTGCTTTGCATCAACATGCCATGCATCTCGTAAAATACAGCTTCCACGCCTGATGGTCACCGAACAGTTCAGATCGAATCACCACATAGCTCCCAATATGAAATTAATCTTTTCCATTATTATTACTATTACTATCACTCTCCCCACTCTTGTTTTACTCGTTTGACGCATCATCTCAGATGTCGACTTGCCCCTTCGCCTACGCGCAGCGCACAACGGACGGACCAGTGACCTGCACCTGGACGCCCGGCGCCCCGCTGACCTCATCGCCGCACCACCACGTCCCCCTGTAAGCAAAGCCAAGCATAGCCAGCTTCACTGCGAGAGAGTGAGCGAGTGATACGTGAGAGTGAGAGTGAGAGTGAGTGAGTTGGAGAGAACCACATGCTCCAGTGACTGAAGCCTTCCGCCCCAAACAAAAACCGCCGCAATGCCACACGCACGCATGAACAGCAGCACAGTATAGAAGAATGAGGCTCGGCATTTTGTGATGCAATGGAAGAGTCAGCCGGGACAGGACAGGACGAAAATGGCGCCATCAATCAAAGCGGAGAAACCCCTGCTTTTGTTCAATGGTCGGTCACTTGCGACGAATCGACGGTGAGGAAGATGAGGACAGCGAGAGAGAGAGCGAGACGATGGAATCGAGTGCGTAGTGCTGCTTTACGGATGAATGACTTGCGTCGTGGTCGTGGCAGCAAAAGTGATGAACAAGCCAGCAAACGGGAAGAGCAAACGGGGAAGAGGAGGAAAACAGCAAAAAAGGACAAGGAAGAAAAATCCAATCATGATTCAGTCAAATTTTGAAAAAAAAAAAAAAAAAAAGGAAGGGAAAAAACAAAAAGATGCGGTTTTGTTCGGGTTTTCTGAGAATGTTTGATTTGAGGCCAAAAACAAAAAGCGAGATCGTTGAGTTTTTTGTGGATTTTCTTGCACTTTCGCCTCCGACGAAATGCCTCGATGTTGACTGACAGAGAAAAAAAAAACCTGAAATACTGGAGGTTTCTGAGAAGCTTTGCTTTGCTCTAACTCGAACTCTATCTCTCTGAATCTCTCTCGTCGTACTCTCTGCATCAATGAACGAATAAACTAACTCGTTGTTCTCGTTGCGTGAATCGATTGAAGGCAACCCGAGCCAAAGATCTTGGACAACGTTCTGGGCCACATTGGCAACACCCCCCTCGTCCGCATCAACAAGATTGGCGCCTCGCTCGGTCTCAAGTGCGAGCTCTGTAAGCAAGAGAAACGCGACAGACCAGCCATGACAACGATCATTGCATTTGGACTGTTCATCAAAATCTCGTCCTCCTCACCTTCCGCCAATCTGTCCTTGCTGCAGTGGCCAAGTGCGAGTTCTTCAACGCTGGTGGCTCCGTCAAGGACCGTATTGGCTACCGCATGGTTGTGGAGGCTGAGCTCAGCGGCCGCCTCCAGAAGGGCGACACTCTCATCGAGCCCACTTCTGGCAACACTGGTATTGGTCTTGCTTTGGCTGCCGCAGTCAAGGGCTACCGTTGCATCATTGTCCTTCCCGAGAAGATGAGCCAGGAGAAGGTACAGTACAGTCTGGAAGCCGTCGCTCTGTAAACGATTGTGTTCGTTTTTTTCCCCGCTCTCACCAACTTCCCGCCATCCATGCTCCTTTTTTTTTTCTCCAATAACCAATCCGCAGGTTGACGTTCTTCGCGCCCTCGGTGCCGAGATTGTGCGCACCCCGACGGAGGCTGCTTGGGACTCGCCCGAGTCGCACATTGGCGTGGCCGCTCGTCTCAACCGCGAAATCCCCCGCTCGCACATTCTCGATCAGTACAAGAACCCTTACAACCCGATTGCTCACTACGACGGAACTGCCGAGGAGATTCTCCAGCAGTGCGACGGCAAGATCGACATGCTCGTCGCTGGCGCCGGCACTGGCGGCACGATTGCTGGTATTGCCCGCAAGATCAAGGAGCGCAACCCGGACTGCAAGGTACTGCTTTCATTTTTCATTGTTTTCGGTCCAAGAAAGCACTGCAAGTGGAGTATTTGGACTGTCTGCTTCTTGTGTTCTGACGCGACGACGTCTGTTCTGCTTGCTTTAGATTGTCGGCGTCGACCCCCACGGCTCCATCCTTGCCGAGCCCGCAGAGCTCAACAAGACCGACGTCACCACCTACCAGGTTGAGGGCATTGGCTACGACTTTATCCCCAACGTGCTCGACCGCGCCATTGTCGACAGCTGGATCAAGTCCAACGACAAGGATTCGCTGCTGATGTCGCGTCGCCTCATTCGCGAGGAGGGGTTGCTTTGCGGTAAGTCTCTCATTGTTTCAACAGCAAAAAACAACCCTCAGTTCGACAACTTGAAAATGAACCACACAAGCTGACCTTGTTGTTTCTTGTTTTGAACGTGCTCGCTAGGTGGCTCGTCCGGCACGGCCATGTGGGCTGCTTGCCAGGCCGCGCGTGAGCTGAAGGAAGGCCAACGCTGCGTCGTCATTCTGCCCGATTCAGTCCGCAACTACATGACCAAGTTCTTGAGCGACGACTGGATGCTTGCTCACGACTTTATCGAGCCGACCCCTTCCAAGGCTGACGAGTGGTGGTCCAACAAGACTGTGGCCGAGCTCAACCTGTCTGCGCCGCTGACCGTTTTGCCTTCCGTCACGTGCGCTGACGCCGTCGACATTCTCAGGCGGTAAGTTCAGACACAGTGTGTTTTCAGCTGTTGAAACTTTTTGTGTGCTCATTCTGTTCTCTACTTGTGGCTCGGATTAGCGAGGGCTTTGATCAAGTTCCCGTGGTCGACGTTGACAACAAAATTCTCGGCATGGTGACTGAGGGCTCGTTGATGGCCAAGTTGGTCAGCAAGCGCATCGGATCGACCGATCCCGTTTCGAAGGTTCTGTACACTCAGTTCAAGCAAATCCCGCTTTCCACCAAGCTGTCTCAGCTTTCGCGCATCCTTGATCGCGACCACTTTGCTCTGGTCGTGAACACCCAGCGCTGCTGTAAGTTTGGATGCGATTGATGAATTTTGTTGATTTTTGGGGCTATTGACTGATCCCTCATTTTTTTTTTATTTTTTGCTCAGATTCGAATGGCACGGATGTGTCGGTCAAGAAGATTGTGTACGGCATTGTCACCCGCATTGACTTGCTGAACTTTATCATGACCCACGCTCCTCAGCAGTAAAAGAGGGTCACAGAGCTGACTGCTCCATCATGATTTGAAAGGACATGGTTGTGTATTTCCCTATCCTCTGTTCGTTTTCCTCCCCCCCCCCTTCGTTGACTGTCGTTACTCTTCAGTGTCCCCGTTATGCCCATTCCGCCCCCCCCCCCTTGCCCCATCTAACAACACAAACGTACCCAATCGTTTGTTTTGTGATTTTTATTTCTTCTTGATGCTTTCCATTTGATTCAATACACATTTATTTCTACTTTTCCGACTGCATTGCCTTCAGTAATGTGCCGTACGGCCCCGCACCTACCGAAATTGACGCGTCAGGGATTCTGCCAATGGTTGGGAGCACACCTGCTCAACAAGCTCACAAGCGGGTAGGTGCAGGTGCTGACGTGTCTTGGCGAGATGCCACAAAACGGCACGTCTGTCCATCTGGCGAGTGAGAACAAATTTCATCCACCGTGCAGAAGCTGGCTTTACCCACACGAATCAGACGATCCAAATGCGCAATCAAGTCGTCTTGCGCGTTGATCTCCCGATCGTCGGTTGTCGAGTAGCGCGTCAGGGCATCTCGCGCAAACCACCATAAGGTCGAACGCTCCGAGAGCATCTCAACGGTGTTCTCTCCAACGATGCGAGTGGCAATGTAGTAGGCAACAGCCTTTTCAGCTGCCGAAACATGGGGCAGGAAAATTGTCCATTTCAGCGCCTTAAGAAGGAGGCACGATTCGTCGTCGAGCTCGTCGCAGTCGATGGCATCCAGAGGGTTCTCAGACTGATCACTGTCGGAATTAGCCGCGACAGGATGTGATGGCGCAGGCACGTTCGATGGTGCCGCTGAAGAAAACGAGCCAGTTGTGGCAGAGGCGGACAGCGAGGAAGCACCAAGTTTCAAGTTTGCCAGCGGCTCGACGAGCGTCGCGGGGTCACCGGCAGGTGCGGCGTGAATCTCGACACAACAAGGCGATTGTTCGATGAGACGCGATAGCGCGGTCTCAAACAAAGCTCTCGGCATGTCACGGGCTGGACCGAGCAGCATATGCTGGTTTTCATCGTCTCGAACAGGCTTGTCGCAGTAGATGCGAAAGATGTTCTGGTCGAATGGAGGACAACCCGACAAGAGCTTGCATTCTGTGGATGTCTTGAGGTGCGTTGGATGCAGGCGCCAGCAGGAGACGCCAATTGTGGTCGAAACTTCCAGAACAAAACCATTCGAGAATGTGAGTTGATGGCAAAGGACGGCAACCAGAGCAACGAATGACGCTACTCACACAACACGTTGTCTCCACTGTCATCAACTTCGATGTCTTGACGACGGGCGATATCTGCGAGCTTGTTGAGCTGGTTCAGCGCGATAAGCTGGTCAACACGCCCAGCTTCCATCGCCTTTTGAAGAGCCTTGGATGCCTTTTCGGCAATCTTGTCTGCCTGGCTCTTCCCAGCTTTGCTGAGATACCTCACTTCGGCAGCCAAACGGTGCGCGTTACGGAAATCGTCATGACTGCAAGAAAAGCGAGTTGTTGGTGCAACCACAGACCTGACGCGCGAGGGGCCACCAAAACCCTCAGCTCCACTTCCAGACGCTGCGAACCCGGCAGTCACGACAGACATTGTATCTTGGAACGAGCAAGAAGGAGTGCGTCTCGAAATCCATTGGCAGATCAACTCCAAATTCGATCTTTACTGCTCCATGTCCAAGCCTGCACCTGGTGCTACACCACAGACTATACATGTATGTTCCATCCATATACCTCGTATCTACCTCTTCCTCCCTTCAGATAGAGCACCTGGCACGTCAGCCACGGCGGTGTCCAAAGCGATTTCGTTTTTTGATGCACTCAAACGGCCATCGTTTCAGAACAACCGTTTGCTACACAATCCAAATCATCTCTTTCATTCACGCACAAAGAAGAGGACGATTGCAGAGTACAACATTTTCGGCGCGAAACAGCTGAGAAATGACTTCCATTGCGTTTTTCAGTCCAACTTTTCTTTTCTTTTTTTTTTTCTTTTTTGTTTTTCTGATGAAGTGCTCGTTGCTCGCTGTTCTTGCGCTGTGTGCCGCCCTCGCGACCGTGGCCCCGCTCGCCAGCGCACTGACGGTGCTCTCCGTTGACTTTGGCTCGGAGGGCTTCAAGGTCGGCATTGTCAAGCCGGGCGTCCCGATGGAGGTCGTCATGAACGCCCAGTCCCAGCGCAAGACGACCGTCGCCGTCTCCTTCCGCCAAGGCGAGCGGCTCGTCGGCGATCCGGCCTTCGCTCTCGTGAGTGCTCTATGCTCGTTACTCACCACAACGCTCTGCGGATGTCGATCCTGCCCCAGCGCCATTTGACTTTGCAGTCAGTCAGTCACCCCGAGATCGCCAACTTTTTTCCCCTCTTCAACCCCGCAACCCACCGAACTTGAAGTGCACTTTCGACCATCGTGGCATTCAATCAATCGTTGTTGTTGTGAAGTCGTTACACACACTCAAACGCAGTCCAAGCAATGGAGAAGCAAAACGACGAAGTGCTCAAAAACAAAAAAAAAAAAAAAAAAAAAAATCTGAAACACAAACGCAGCGCAATGGAGTGCTGCCACGTCAAACTCAACTACCAAACTCAGCGCAAGCTTCAGCGGAAAACTCAATCGAGCGACTGGTTCGGTGATGAACGAGTTGAGCTTTGCTATTATGAAATAGCAGCGAGTTTTGTGTTTGTTTTGACAGCTCAGCATTGCACACCCCGCATGCCAGATCAGCTCACATACGTGTCAAACTCACTCACTCTCGTCTTCAAATCACTTGTTGAACACAGACCGCAAAGTACCCGACCCACGTCTACACCCATCTGCAGCCGCTTTTGGGCCAGCTGGCCAACTCGTCGAGCACAGAGCTCTACCGCCAACGCTTCCCGTACCACAAGATTGTCGCAAACGAGCAGGGTCTGGCCGTGTTCAAGTCGCCCGAGCAAGACGCCGATGGAAAGGACATTTTCTACACGGTCGAGGAGCTCGTTGGCACGCTGCTCGAGGACGCGAAAAACCAGGCGCAAGTCTTCTCGGGCGATGCCATTTTCAACGCAGTCATTACTGTGCCGGCATTCTTTGCCCAGGCCGAGCGCCAGGCCGTTCTCAACGCTGCCCAGCTGGTCGGCTTGAATGTTTTGCAGCTCATGAACGAGAACGCCGCCGTTGCGCTCAACTATGGTGTCTTCCGCCGCCACGAGTTCAACGCCACCCCGCAGTTCCTCATGTTTTACGACATGGGCGCAGGCTCGACGACTGCAACGCTGGCTCGCTTCTCCGCCGTGCCTCCCACTTCCCCAAGTGGCAAAAAGTCAAAGTCCCTGTCCAAGGAAGCCATCCCCGTCGCCGATATCATTGGCGTTGGCTACGATCGCTCCCTCGGCGGGTTTGAGTTTGATCTCGTTCTCCGCGACCACCTGGCCAAGGGCTTTACCACGCAGTACGCCAAGAAGATTTCTCGCCCAGTCACCGCCAACCCGCGCGCCATGGCCAAGCTCCTGAAGGAGGCCAATCGCGTCAAGGAGGTTCTCTCTGCGAACATTGACACGGTCGCGCAAATCGAGTCGCTGCACGAAGACATTGACTTTAAGCTCAAGGTCACGCGTGCCGAGCTGGAGACCATGTGCGCGCACCTGTTTGCGCGTGTGGCGTCCCCGATTGAGCAGGCGCTGGCCATGGCCAACGTGACACTGGCAGAGCTCAACCAGGTGATTCTTGTCGGTGGCGGATCGCGCGTGCCCAAGGTCCAGGAACTGCTCATGCAAGTTGTCCAGCGAACCGAGCTTGGCAAGAACATTAACGCTGACGAGGCCGCCGTCATGGGCGCTGCCTACCAGGCTGCGGCCCTTTCAAAGGCCTTCCGTGTCAAGCCGTTCGACGTGACCAACCGCGTCCTCTTCCCGGTCCGCGTCACCTTCCCTTCCGCCGCAGCACCCATCGCCGCCGACGCTTCTTCTCAGGATGAGGCTATCGATGGCGAGGCCACCGAGACGACCACCACCACCACCAGTGGCGGCTCTCTCGTCTCCAAGACCTTGTACACATTCCAGTCCACTTACCCTTCCAAAAAGGTGATGACGTTCGCTCGCCACCACGAGGACTTTGTGTTGGACGTTCAGTACGGTGATTTGGAGGGCAACCTCTCGGCGGACGCGCTCGTCCACTTTGGCCCGCGTGAGCTGCTCCATGTTGCCGTGACGGGTCTGGACACGGCAGTGAAGGGCCATGAGCACGACGTTGCCAAGGGTGTCAAGGTCCACTTTGAGATGGATTTGAACGGCATTGTGCGCGCCACGTTTGCCGAAGCTGTCTTCCAGCCCCCAGAATTCGAGATTGACGAACCCCAGGCAGAAAAGTCCACCTTTGATCGCATCGGCGAGAAGCTGTCCAGCTTCTTTGGCAGCGGTGATTCCAAGGACACTGCAAGCGACGACGAGGCCGAGAATGCCGCCAACCAGGAGAGCGCCCCTGAGCAGCAGCAACAACAGGAGCAGCAGGAGCAGCAGGAAGAGTCTCAGCAGCAGAAGGACACGGAAACGGAAACCGCTTCCGACCAACAGCAGCAGCAGCAAGAACAACCACCGTCCGAAGAATCCGAAAAGCCTGCTCAGCAGCCCGAAGGCGAAGCCGCGCCTGCTTCTGATGACACTGTTGCGGACAAGGCCAAGCAAGAGACAACTCAGGAAACTGCTTCTTCGACCACTGCTTCCCGGAAGCGCAAGGTGCAGCCCAAGCCAGTCAAGAAGCTTCTCCGCTTGCAGACTGAGATTGTCGGCCAGCAGTCGCTTCCGAGCGAGTCGCTGACGACCATCACCGCTCGTCTTGATGCCGTTCGTGAAAGCGAGCGCAAGCGCCGTCAGCTGGAAGCTGCCAAGAACGACCTCGAGTCGCTGGTGTATTCCATCAGTGCTCGCCTCGAAGAGGACGAAGAACTCCGCGCCCACACCAGCCAGGAGCAGCGCGACGAGCTGTTGGCCAAGTCCAACGAGGTTTCTGCGTGGCTCTTTGAGAGCGGCGAGGCTGAAGGCTTGACCGATGCAGCACCATTCACTGAAAAGCACCGAGCCATTCATGCGCTGCTCGACGGTATCACCTACCGCATTTCGGAGCGCCAAAAACGCCCCGCTGCGCTCGAGTCCATCCGCAAGTCCATCACCTCTGCGCGCAACTTTGTTGATGTCCTTCTCAAGATGAACGAAACGGATCGTGCTCAATCGGAGGACGACATTGAGACCTTCCAGTCGCAAATCAACACGACCTCGCAATGGCTCGAGACCAAGCTGGCTGCCCAAGTCAAGCTGGCCGCGCACGAAGACCCCGCCGTCTCTTCCTACGAGATTTCGCTCAAGCAGCAACGTCTCGACCAGCTTCTCAAGTCAATGACGCTCAAGACAAAGCCAAAGAAGGAATCGACCAAGCCAAAGTCGTCGTCCTCTTCCAAGAAGGCTCCCAAGAAGGTCCTGGAAGATGACTTTGTCGTGGATATTGACGACCTCCCTGAGGCCTCTGAGCAGCAACAGCAGCAGCAACCAGAAGACCATCAAGAGCAACAGGAGCAGCAGGAGCAGCAAGAATCTCAGCAGCCCGAGCAAGAGAATGATGCCCCTGAGCAAGCGCAAGACCAGCGCGAAGAGCACCAAGAAACTCACGAACTTTAGTTGCCCCCAGTCATAAAACGACGCCAAGTGTACAACAAATAAAATGTTTGAAAGTGAATCCAGAGTTTTCGAGTTTTTGTTTTTGAATCTTGCAGAGCGGTCGTGGAAGAGCTGGTGTCCGATGAAGGAATTTGAAGGCGTAAACAAACCCAAGACGATGATGTTTATTGAGACAGTGTAAGCACAGCAACCAAACGACAATGGAAAAAAAAAAAGCACGAGCAAAAAATACGATACAGATCGGTTTGTTCAAAACAAACACACTCACACAACGAACATACATAGGAAACAAATAATGGGTCAATCACACAACATCAAGACAAGGCAAAAATTGGACGCGGAGAAAAACCCGAAACTCGGCCGTTTACATGTCCTCGTGCAACAAAAGGGGGCAGCCAGAAATCGCCCAGCCAGACGCTTCGTGTTGGCAGTTGTGGAGGCATCCCACCATCTTGGCGTGGTGACGGACGACAAGACGCGAGCCAGTGTGCATGTCACGAGCAGACACGGACGCTTCGAATGTGCCGTACAACAGGGGTGTCGCGGTGCGCTCTTTGGCGGTTGCCAAGCGCACCTTCACCGGTGTTGAGCAGGCGCCAGCGGTTTCGAGTGACGCAGTGAAGGGTGTTTTGGAAAACCGCTCGACAGTTTGCTGCGGAATGTCCGAGCGAGCCAGAATCCGCCCAGACACCTTGAGCTTGCCCAAGAACGAGCTGACCTCCACTTCGAGGTAGAACATGAGCGCGAGCAGATGGTGGCAGAGGCGGTGCACGGTTTCGGCTCCTTCGGCGCGCACGTACGCGAGGGCGTCGTTGATCATGTCATCAAAATCGGTCACGCTGTCCAGGGCGTACTTGTCCGACATTGGCGGGTCGATGCGGTAGAGTCGGGTGGCATCCATGCCGCGGGCTTCCATCAAATCCTTCGTGTAGGTCACGGCACGGTCGTGGCTCATGGCCGCCTGGATGGTCATGGCCAGGTTGGACGTCAGAAAATCCGAGATTTTCTTTTGCGGGTTGGCGTACGCGCCCGTACCCATGGACACCAAAATGTCGCAGCCGTGCTCCGACCAGTTTGCATTGGCCTCGACCAGCGATACAAAAGTCGGGTTGTTGTTAATCACGCCGCCGTCCGTAAAGGTCTCTCCGTGACAAGTGAAGGGCTCAAAGTAGATCATGGCTGCGGACGACGCCAGTGCCGCCTCTTTGACCGTGATCTTGGTCACGACATTGAACGCGGTCGAGAAGCGTGCGCGGGAGGCCGGGGTCGGCGTGTACGATCGGAACAAGACTTCATTCAAACCGTAGGGTGTCATGGCGCAAGAGGTGACGGCAACACGGGGCCAAATGTCGGCGCCCAGGAGCGGCTGGTTGGCGTGGCCAGCAAACAGCTCATCAAAGAACGTGTGCAGCGGAGCGGTGCTGTAGCGATGCGTCAGCATGGAGCCACCGAGCGCCCGCTTGAATGCTGTCTTGCCAAACGTCTTGTAGTGCGTGTAGCCAGTGCCGGCAGTCACGCGACGCAGACCCACCGCGAGGGCAATCATGCCGCCCGTGCTGGTGCCAGTCACCTGGTCGAAGAGCTCGTGCAGGACAAGACCCAGTTGCTGCTCGACGTGGTGAAGGACGATCAGAGAGACGGCGCCGCGGATGCCACCGCCGTCCAAGGACAGGATGCGGTAGCCGGCCTGCTTGGGCAGTTGCATGCAGCGGTAGTTGGTGACCTTGTCGCACATTGGGCATGTCTTCGGGGCCGTGAAGGTGGAAGGGGTCGACGACGCGGACTTTGCGCGAGGCTGGATGCAGTTGACGCAAAAGTAGTGCGAGCACTCGAGCTTGGCAGGCACGGCCGCCACACAGCACGAGCACACAGTCACCTCGCTGGTGGCAACGTACTCGCCAAGACTGCTTGCTTGCTTCATCTCTCGCACGCGCTGGAGATGGAACTTGGCGGCCGGGAGGGTTTGCGGCTTCAATTCGGCAACAGCATTCACAAGGACCTGGGGCGACACATACGCAAGGCCGTCCGGGCACTTGTAGGCGCCTTGCGTCACGTGGGCTTGCGGAGGGTTGGACACGTTGAAAAACTTGGCAATCATGGAAGCAGGCGGAGTGACGGTGCAGTAGTGGTAGTCGCCGTGCAAGCCCCGCAAGGCCGTGCAGGGAGTTGGCCCGCTGGCGGTCGAAAACACATGGCCGCACGGCATGCGATCAAACAGCACGGTTCCGGCCTTTTGCAGCGCGGCAGTCAAGCTAGGGCTGTCGCTCAGAGAGGAAATGTTGACGTCCTGTCGCGGATCGTGATGGTCGTCGCTGAGGAGTGTGAACGGCCGCGCGAGAAGAACCTTGAGCGCCCTGGCAAAGGTGTCGGCTGGACTGGCCTGGGTCGCGGCAGCAGCGGCCTTGCTGGAGCGTTTGGACGTCGACGCCGCGGGCGCGGTCGGCAGGGCGAACAGTCCCTGACGAAGGCGGTCAAAGTACGCCAGGATAAAGTCGGGGAGGTTGTCGTCGACCTTGTTGGACTGGTCAATCTCAGCCACGTCCAAGGCGCCGCAGGGGTTGCTGCCGAGCCGGCGAATCACTTGCTCGACGCGATAGGCAAAGCGCGCACGGTTGATGACGGGCGTCTGCTTGCTGGCTTGGCGACGCGCGCGCGCCTCTGTCACGTTGGCCACGAGACGATTGGCCAAGTGGGCAACGCCAGCCTGGAATGCGGCAATCTTGTCCAGAGAGAAGCTGGGAATGTCGACTGCTTCGACCAGGTTGTAGAGGGCTTGCAGCTCGGCTTGGACGCGTCCGTTGACGAAAGCATCCTCCCCCTTGTGCTCTGTGGCAAACTTCAGCTGCTCCTCGGACTGGTTGTTGAAAATGACCAAGAGGTTTGGCTTGAAAGCCAGGTTTGCGATACCGCTCGCGGCGAGCTTGGCGTGCTCGGCAATGAGCTCGGCGACATCCACCTGCGAACGAGGCTTGTTCACCACACAGCAAATGACGTCGGCGAGGACAAAGAGCAAGCGCGGCACGGCAATGTTGGCAAACGCGCGGTCTGAGACGGCGTTCTCGCTGGCCAGCTGGGAGGGAGAAGCATTGCCGCCGAGCCCCTCGCAATCCAAAAAGAGCAGCGGAGTTTGGGTGGTGCTGGACGCGTCCTTGGCATCCACTTGGCCCAAGTACGTGTGGATGGACATGGTTGCGTGCTTGGCGGCAGGTGGGAGGGCGGTTGCGATGCCCGATGATTCGTCTGAGGCGTCCGCAGCAGCAAGGGCGTCCGACGACGACGACGAGGAGGCGTCAGCAGCAGATGCAGAGGCCGCCTTGGTGCGCATCTCACGGAGCAGTCTGCGCAAAAGGAGGGACTTGCCGCAGCCCGCCTCGCCAAACAAGCCGACAGTGCTCAGATGCTCAGACGCCGCAGCTCCCGCAGTCATGGCAGCAGTGACCGCTTCGAGTGCGGGACCCGGCACCAGCGTCCCGGCACTCGGGTCGAAGCACAGCAGCGATGTTCCGTCTTGCAATTTCGACCAGCTGTCGTTGGAGGAGGAAGAAGAAGAAGAGGACGACGACGACGAAGCGGGGGTAGCAACAGCAGCAGCAGCAGCAGCATTGGGAGAAGTGGTCGGCTGGACTTGCAGGTCGCATCGCAGGGTGAGGGCGTCGTCCGCCGAGCACTTTGCATGGCCAGCGTGCTCCTGGTTGCCCATGCATGCGTCGCAGTAGTACGGCGCGTCCGAGCCCGCGAGCCACTCGACGGCAGCCTTGCGTGCGGTTTGAGCTCGCGCAGGCTGAAGCGGCTGCTCCACGCCCGCAGCGCTCGCAGCACTCGCAGCATCGCCCTGCTCCTCGCTCTCCGCCGCCGCCGCCGCCTTGTTGCTGCTCAACGTTGCAGCAGCAGCAGATGCACACGATGTGCAAAACCAGACGGCGCGCTGCCCCGCGCACTGACGGCAGCTCGTTGTTGCGGTTGTTGTTGTTGTTGCTGTGGTCATTTTTTTTTTATTGTTTTTCACAGCTTTTGTTCGTTCGCTTCGTTTCGTTTCGTTCGACTCGATTTCTGCTCTGAATGAGACTTTGAATGACTTTGACTTTGAATGACAAGTCGAACTTTTGAGTGTTTTGCGTCTTGTTTTTTTTGGGGTTCGCTTTTCGTTGTTGTGAAAAGAAAAAGAAAAAAAACGGTTTTTTGAATAATCAACAAAAAAAAAATTGAATGAGAAAAAACAAAATCAAAAAAATAACGTCTTTTGTTGATGAGACGGAAAGAAAGAGGAAAAGGAAGAGGAAAAAAAGTCAGACACTCAAAAAGCAGAGCACTTTGTTTGAGAGCAAAAAGGCAATGGAAAAAAAAAAAGCAAGGCGTTGAAACGAAGTCATATTGGCAAAAAAAAAAAAAAAAAAAAAAAAAAAAAAACCTGATGGGTCGCGCGTGCGCTTTGTGGCTCGTCCTCATTCTCGTTTGCTTGTTGCCGTCCCGTCTTCGTGGTCGCCGCTCGCTTGATGCAAATCAATGCTGGGGGGGAGGCTGTGTACAAGTCGTGTCCATCTCGCGGATGTCACAGGTCGGTCAACATCTGCCAGACTCGCATCACAACCCGCGATCACGCCAAAACTATTTGATCGTCTCGCCCTTTTGTTGTGTCTATTGTTGTGGAATCATTTTGCGCGTGCGGAAACAAGAACGAAAAAACAAAAAGCAAAGTCATAGAAACACAGTCGTACTCGGAAAATAAACGAGCAAACGAGCAAACGTTTTGTCGAGGGTGATGACAACGGTGACGGCCAGCAAGGTTTGGCGTTGGATGGATGACTGAGAAACAATCGATGGAAATTACTTTTTGAGGCCTTATTTGTTTTTTCTTTGAAGAACTCAGACTGGCAGTCCTTTTGTTTGTTTAGTCGTTTTGATTCAACGCTCTTTTGCCAATGTTGTCGTACCAGAATATGAATCAGAGACAGCTCGAGTTGTTTGACAAGGTCAAGAATGCGCAGGACGCTCTCTAGTACGAGACAAGCGACTGATTGGCAACAATGTGACAACGAGTGTACTGACGAAATGGAGGGAACAGTCTGAGTGAGAATCAGATTGGCAATGCTGGAGCGCAGGCGATTGCTGAGGCACTCAAAGCGAACCCGACGCTGACTTGGCTCGTGTAAGGCATCGCACTTTGACTGATGCATATGGGGTTGTTTCAGCAGGGGCGGTCAGATCTGCTCACTGACGAAATGGAGGGAACAGTTTGAGGCGGGGACAGATTGGCGCTGCTGGAGCGCGCGCGATTGCTGAGACTCTCAACGTAAACATGAGGCTGACTCGGCTCATGTAATGCGTCTCATTTGGACTGATGCATGTGATTGGGTGATTCAGCAGAGGGACAGTGAGAGTATCTCACTGATTGGAGGAGATGGACAGGCTGGGTCGGAATGAGCTTGGCGATGCAGGAGCGAAGGCAATCGCTGCAGCAATCAAAGTGAACTCGACGTTGAAAAGGCTCGAGTAACTCGTCTCAGATTGGTTGATGTTTGTGAGTGAATGATTTTCAGTTGAGAATGAAATGTGCTCACTGATGGAGGAGATGAACAGTCTGCATGCGAATATGATTGGGCATGATGGAGCGCAGGCCATCGCTGAGGCTCTCAAAGTGAACACCACAGTGAAAAGGCTCTAGTAAGGCATCTCACTTTGACTGATGCGTGTGAATGGGTGATGTAGCACAGGGCAATGAGAGTGCTCACTGATAGAGGGGGACCGATAGTTTGGACCAGAATCAGATTGGCGATGTTGGAGCACATGCGATTGCTGAAGCACTCAAAGCGAACACGGCGGTGACTGCACTCCAGTAAAGCATCTCACTTTGACCGATGCATGTGATCAGGTAGCAGGTATTAGGAGCGCTCGCTGATGGAGGAGTTGTGGACAGTCTGAGTGAAAATCAGATTGGTGACATTGGAGCGCAGGAGATTGCTGAAGCACTCAAAATGAACACGACGCTGAAGTGGCTCGAGTAAGTTGCTGCGCTCTTTGCTTTGCTGATCTTGCTCGTTGGACCAGCTGTCAGCCATACTTTGCTCACCCTTTAAATGATAGTCTACAATCCAATTGCTTCAGCAATGCTGGTCTTCAAGCGATTCGTGAAGCGAGTCAAGTCAACCCGACTCTGACTCACCTTGAGTAGGCTTGTTTGTCCAAACGATTCATGCTCCAACCAAAAGAGTTGCCCTGCTGAGTGCTCATTCACCTTGCTTGCACAGCCTCGACCTCCAGATCAACCCTCGTGTGTTCTCCTTACTTCCACGATTGGCAACTGCTGAAGACCTTCATAACGTGTTTCACTTGCTGACCTGCGGACTGGCGCTGGAAGATCAACCCACATCTCTACCAGCACTGCCAGCCGAGATTGCCGAGCTCATTATGGACAATGCACACTACTGGCAAGGCGCACAGCATACCAAGCAACTGTGGTTTGGTGATGATACGCCCGCCGATATTCTCGAAGTCAAGCTGCCTCAAAGTGTCAACGCGAATTCAGTCCGTGTGAAAGCAATTCAAGTGCTACGTGACAGTAGTACGCTTCACGGCAGCAACGTTGGCAACGGCTTTGATTTGATTGTCCGAGATGAGCAAGGCGCTGTTCGATACGAATGCTTGGCGAAACCAACTTTCGTCGATTCGAACCTCCAACTTGCGACAATCTGGCCAGCCAATCATCCTATCCTCCGGCAAATGCGCGAGGGTTGGCAAGTTCAAGTTCGAGCCAGAAAGTTTTATGGAGATGTGTTGTTGGAATCGCTTTATGTCGGATGTTTCTAAAGTCAATCTTGAGGGGAACTGCCTGCTCTCCCGCTCCTTAACTAGTGAGCTCTGTGTCATCGTCATCATCAAACCCCGTCCCATCGAGCGCAGCCAACTGTTACACCCAACCCATTATCTGTTAGCTCAGTGCTCAATTTTCTTCGTATCTACCTATTCCTCCCTCTCGGGTGTAACGCCAACAAGCTGGCCAATTTTTCCTGGGTTGTTCATTTTCACTGATGTAGTTCTATGCGGAGGCTCTTACACGGTGCAAAACCTATGAAAACATGATCCGGACAGACACAATCGGCTGGACCCTCGAACTTTGACGGGACGGCTGTTGTGTGTGCAGTCCATGTCGGCTGGGTCGATAAACTAACAACAATTGGCAACGCTATTCACCGCTTGGGTTTTTCTTTTCTGCGCCTCACAGCTCCCGGATGTCCGAGAAAAGGCACGGACGATGTCCAGTACCATCATGCAAACGTGTAGTCAATGAAGGTCGATTGTACTTTACCAGCCGCGTCCTGGCTGAGCGCGTCTTGTCTTGTGTGGCTTAGAAGTGTTTACACAGCTGTCAGATTCGCAGTGAGGTGTGGGGCCCTGCACAGGTACGCTCTCGCTGAATACCGGCGCTGTCCATCGCTCCTGAACTCGTGCCTTGTTCTGTATTTATGTTCCCTCCTCTGCTCTGCTCAGAGCAATTCCATCCAGATTTCAGAACTTCAGTCTTTTCTATTTAACTTGCTTTTCACTCTTTTTTTTTTTTATTAGACAAAGGTAATGATCGACTCCTTTCGTTTTCTTATCGCTTCGTCTTTGCTCTTCACCTCCCTCGCTACTACCATATCAGTTGACTATGTGTATTTGCATGTGTATGTGTGTGTGTGTGTGTGTGTGTGTGTGGAGTGAGCTGGAGCTGAAGCTTCCGATCTTGAGCGCGTGCATCTGGGCTTGGCTTCTCCTTTACCCCCTCCCGACGACGCTTCGCACTGCACCCTCCTCCAGACTCCCACTCCGAAGCGTCGTTTTCGTGTATTCGGTGGACTGCTTCAGTAGCATCACTCGACGCGCACGAACATGTTCAGAGTGCCGAGAGCAACAGTCACTGAAGAAGTAAAAGGGGGACTTATTGCGGTCTGGCTCTGATCGCGGTTGCGGGATTTTCATTTTCAAAAAACAAAACAAGTCCCAAGATTTTTGCCTTATTGTGTGTCGTTTCCGTCGCTGTTGCTGCTGCTGCTGCTGCCTGCACACATCTGAAGACGTTGTTGGTCTTGGGGGCTGCACGACGCGCTGCAGGGTTGTCTTGTGACGCAACAAAGCAACAAAAGCAAAAACCAGTGTCATCACTTCACAATCCAACCAAGATTTCGGCTTGTCGGCTTCTCGGCTCTCCCTCTTCTTTGTTTCGCTGTCGTGCTTTCTTGTTGCTTCAGCACCGGCGTTGCAGATTCGTGCTGCATTTGGTTTTGTGAAAAGTGACACTCGTCGACGTCGCACTTTGTTCGCTTCTTTCGAGGCCTGCAAAACAGCAACAGTCAAAAAAAAAAAAAAAAAAAAACGCGGTTTCTGTGTTTTTGTTTTATTTACATTAACAAAATTCCGATTCAGACGTTTTAAAAAAAAACAAAACAAAAGTGTAGAAAAATAGTATTCAAAACAAGATACAGCGAAACAAAGACAAAGTGTTTGTGCTTTGTTGAGTTGAATGTGTGTTGGTGAATGTGTGGTGTTGAAAGTGTGTTGTTGAATGTGTGGTGGAGCGACCGTTTGAAGGCCGGAGCGAGATCGGAAGACCGTCGGAATTCTCGCTTCCGATTTGGGAGCAGCAGACAACTATTTTTGGTTGGGGAGGCCCAAATGGTGTCGTGAGTGTCGGCTTCTCGTTGGAGCATGGTGGTCGTTTGATGAGCATTGTTGTGGGGAGTGAATGGGGGTGAAGAGTGGAGAAGGAGGGAAGACGACGTTTCGATTGTTGGAGAAACAGAAGGAGAAAATTGTATGGCGTGTTTGTTGCTCCCTGAAGGCGCATGTCGGTCGATATTTCAACACAAATATGCCTGAGACATCATCTATGGCGAGACTTTAAAAGCAAATGGCCAGTACAAAATGCCCAGTGCATCAAAAGCGAGATTGGGAGAACCGAACGGCTTGAACGCTCGCGCTCGTTTTTGCTGCCAAACTCGTCTTCTCTTGCTTCTGCTCTGCTGCTGCTGCTCGCAGCTAGACAACAAGAGGAGAAAGCTGTGGTCGAAGGCAGAGTTGTTGCATCCATTTTATCACTTTTTTTTTCCACAACAACAAATTGCTGAACGATCTAAACCGCGGATTGTTGCGAATTGTTCGCTTTGACCAAACATCCTGATCAAATCTGGATGTGCGCAGCAGATATTTCAAACGTCGAAAAGCATCATTCTTTCTTTTTCACATTCGCTCTTTGACTTTTGGTTGAGAAACTGTAACGCAACTGAACGCTTCGAGTTGAGCACTTGGCGTGAATGAACATGGAGAGAGCAGTGGTTGAGCGTTTGGGGTGTTGGATAGTGGCATGCTTTTTGGACATTGGCAAGTGAATGAGACTGCCGACTGTTTGCATGATGTGCCAATCCATAGCAATCGATATGCTGAGGGGAGGGTCGAGAAGGGCGGGCACGAGGCAAAGAACGACACGGTTGGAGGTTGGAAGGGGAGTGACCTTTTTCGACCCGCTGCTTTTCTGCTCATGGGCGTTTCGCATCCTTCGACTGCGTGTTTTGAAGGGACGTTGAGGTGCTGCGTCTTGCAGTGCCTTTTCCAAAGTGGCTGCCGTCTCAATGCGCTTCACTGGAGCCAAGATTGAGATCCAAAACCAAAAAGCGGTTTTTTTTTTCTTTGCGTTTTTTACCGCTCGCTCTTCAACGCCTCAAAAGTGAATGCGATTCGTAATGAAGCATTGCACAAGTGCTCATGTGTGTGTATGTGGATGTGTCTGTGTGTCGTGCGCTCGCTCTGACGCATCCCATCGGAGCAGCCGAGTGAGTGGAGCGCGAGACAGCGACAGTGGGGGCAGCGGCGTGTCTGTGGTTTGCGTGTTGTTCCTCTTCATCTTGAAGCGCTCCATCTTGACAGTTTCACTCTCTCTCTCTCTCCCATATCTCGTCTCTCTTGTTCTTATTCATCTTCTTATTCTTATTCTTGCTCTCGTTGTTCAGTTTTGTTACTCTTTCTTGCTTTTTGTTCTTTTGGATTGCATTCTTTGGATCGTTTTCCGATGCATTCACTTTTTGATCAATGAATCATCGCTTTGCTTTGTCTTTATCATCATCATCATCATCATCATCTTTCTTCTTTTCCATTTCATTCCGTCTTACTTATTCTTATTCTATTCTGAAGAGGGTGCTTTTTTTGTTCAGTCATTCTCGAATTGTCTGCGAGATCCACTTTTATTGCATTGAATGTAAACACGCTGCCAAAACCCAATAATCCTCCACTCTCTGCTTCTCTCTCTCTCTATCTCTCTCTCTCTCTCTCACTGAAACATGCTCGTTCATTCAATCACCAAAACTTTCCCTCATCCTATTGCATGCTCATTCAATCATCAGCTTTTTTGCTTTTCTTGCTGCTTTCTGTTGCTTGTTGTTTTGGGATCTCGTTTGACACCCACGCTTCCATCCCCATTTCCACCAAGCCACATGTGGCATCTTGCTGATCACTGATTTCGTTGCTTTCTATACGTTTTTCACTCACAACAACCACATCTGCACTTTGCTTGTTTTTTGCGTTTGCTGTTTTTCTTCTTGCTTTCTCAGAAATCCCCAAAACAAAACATCCCAAAAGTCCCCAAAACAACAAAGCCAAAGCCACACGCGGTTCAAAAAGCTCCTCAGAATTAGGCTGCTGTTCATTTTTGCTTCCATCTGTTCTCGCTGCTTTTGAGAGTCCAAGAATGTCTGCCACTGTCGCCAACTCTGCCGACGACGATTCGCTCTTTGCGATGGTGATGCGCTCGCTGCCCTCATCAGCATCAGCATCAGCATCCAACGCTCCTGCTGCTGCTGCTGCTGCTGCTGCGTCCCATTTTGAAACAACGGCCACCCCTGTGGCCACCACAGTCACAGACGCGCCCGTCTTGCACGTGGCTGCAGAACAACCCAAGACCGTGGTGCCCACGCTCGCTGCCATCTCTGTGCGCCGCAACACGCTCAGCAGCGCAAGCAAGCCAAACCAGGCAAACCTCGTGACGGGTCCGGCTTCGCCGCCCACTTCCAAACGCGTGTCGGTCGTCTACGCTCAGGTCATGCCTCCGCTCCACCAGCAGGCGGCCATTGCCATGTTCCCGACGCCCGCAGCGTCCCCGCCGATCTCGCCGCCCGTTTCGCCTCGAGGCAGCTCCACCCACTATGCTACTGTTGGCCCTGCTTCGGGTCTCCATCCGTCCTCCTTGTCCAACCTCGTGCAAATCAAGCAAATGTTCAACTCGACCGGCTCGTTGACGGCTTCCGATGCCATCAACACGTCGACGCACTCGTTGCACAGCATCGGAGATGCAGCCACCCCGAGCACGACAGTGGCTGCAAGCGATGCAGCACCCCAGCAGGGCGGCCCGACGTTTTCTTCGGCCTACGTTCCACGCGGCCCGACCGTGCGACAGCAGCAGTACCAGTCGTTGCCTACGTCTGGCGCGTGCAGCAGCAGCAGCAGTAGCAGCAACAACAACAGCAACAGCGCCTCTGACGCACCTGCTTCACCAGCTGCAGCTGGCGTGCCATCGCGCTCATCCGACCCGGCTTGCTCAACAACGGCCTTTGCGGAAAGCATGGAGCTCCAAATCCGAAAGATTGAAGAGCGCATTGCGATTGAGCGCCGAATTGTGGAGGGCGCTCGCCGTCTCCTCCAGCAGCCAACGAGCGACTTGCACATTACACGCCAACGCCACGCCTACCTTGAGCATTCAACTGCCGCGCTGGCTGAGCTGTGCGATCACCTGGAGCGCCTTCGCGGCGGATCCCGCGCCCGCATCCTGAAAATCTCGCGCATGTCGTTGCCCGCCATCTTTGTCTCTGGTCGCGACTTTGCCAGCACGGGTAGCGAGTCGTCGCATACCTCGCTCAACGCGAACGGAGAGCCAGAAATGGAGCTGAACATTGGTCTGGTTGGCACACCTGCCTTCATCTCGGGCATGTGCCATCCCAATCTGAGCGAAGGCGGCAACAGCAGCCATGGTGGTGGCGCGTCGGAAGATGCTTCCGCGCAACCCCAGCCCCAAGGCTCGCCCATGGCCAAGTCGCGCGTCTCTCAACTTGCTGCCTTCGGTCGCTCATTCTCGCTGATGAGCATGGGTGGCAAGTCGGGCTCCACCTCCAACCTGGCCGGCACGCCGAGCAAGCCGCCAGCTGCTGCAACATTGCAGAAACTGCCAGAGTCTCTGGACGAGTCCGACACCTGTCGTGACACAAAGCCGCAGCGCCACAACTCGGACAGCTCCCCAACCCGTCGCGCAGCTGCAACGGCTGCCGAAGCCCAACTCGCGGCTCAACAACTACGCAAGTCCAAGACTCCTTCGCCCATCCGCAGCCGTCGCAAGCTTTTCTCATGGTACGGCGAGCAACAGGTGGCTGGTGCCGACTGCGACAGTCTCGGTGACGCTAGCGGTTCATCCACCCCGTCTGACTCGTCCAACGCCCTCTCGGTTCCCCGCGTTGCGACGCCACGACGACAATCGCTTGATGAAATGCTGCCTCTCATTCAACCTGTGATGGCTGCAGGCACACCCAACCTTGCCGATGCAACCGACTTTTCGTCCATCTTGACCCGCTTGTCCTACGATGACTGGGCGGCCATCCGCGACACTGAGGTGTAACGATCTTGTCCGACTTATTTTTTTTCCTCCTTTCGCTCGCTCAGTCTCTCCTTTTCCGCGTTTTGTTATCGTTGTTTCAGTTTTTACTCTCCTCATTCTAGCATGTCTCTGTTAATACTTGCTGTGATATTTCCATTGTTACCTTCCCTTGCATGCATCGGGCCCCAACTCGCCACCCTACAAACTTGCATTTCTGACTACAGTTGCGCAATCCAACTGTAGTGCTTGTCTGATTAAACAATAAACCAACCCTGAAAACAAAACACTCGAGCAAAAGTTATCCAAAGTGTTCAGAAAGGATGGGGGGGGGAAATCAAAGTTGTATCTTGTTAACAACAACCAAAAAAAAAAGCGAAGACACTCAAAAGGTTAAAAACGAAAGTATACACACATAAGGGGGGGTGGAATGATACAAAAGGGAAGTAAAAGACGGAGCGTCGCAATGTGTAACCCGTCGCATTGTTTAAATGAACGTAGCTTCGTCAAAGCCCAGAAGCATGTCGCCAGGATCATTTTGCAACATGAAATCAATGGACTCGGCCGGAAGCAGAGGCGCTGACGCACTATTCATAGCAGCCGGCGTGCCAGACAGCGAGAGCAAGCTTTCATCATTTGTCTGCTGCATTTGTTGCAGTTCAAGGAGCTGCTGCTGTTGCTGCTGTTGCTGCTGCTGTTGTTGTTGTTGCAACTGTTGTTGTTGTTGTTGTTGTTGTTGCTGCTGCTGCTGCTGCTGGAGGTGTTGCTGCTGTTGCCCTAAAACTTGCTGCAGAGGACTGGGCGCCTGAGAAAAGCTGGCTGAGCTTTCCGAACGTATCGGCTCGTACGGAAAGTAGGGATGCTGCGGCGATTGGAGGGGTAGGTGCTGGAGCAAGGAAGCTTGTGTTGGAGGAAGATGCTGCTGCTGCTGTTGCTGGAGCGCAATTTGCTGCAGCATGGATTTTGGCGGCACGCGCTGCTGCAGAAGCAGATTTTGCAAATGCTGCAGCTGCAGTGTTGACGAAGAGTTACCCGCCTGCAGTTGCTGCGGTTGGTGCGACGACTGATCATTCAAGAGCTGTGACTGCAAAGGTGCTGCCGCTCGGAGCTGCTGCTCCTCTCGCTGGGCCTTCATGGCGTCCGACAGAACGGATCGATCGAGCAACGAGCCGTTCATTTTCGCGCCATTGAGGTGCTGGAGCTGCTGAAGTTGTGCCTGGAATGCGAGCGGGTCGACATGCAGCTGCCGTTGCTGTTGCTGCTGCTGCTGTTGTTGTTGCTGCTGTTGCTGTTGTTGTTGCTGCAATTGATGGAGCTGATGTTGCTGTTGAAGAAGGTGCTGAATCTGCATGTCCGTTGATAAATGAGTCAAGTCTTGCTGCAGTTTTCCTCCTGGCAACAACGCATTCTGCAACGAATCAATCAGGCCGGCATTGACTTGGAGCTGCTGCTGCTGGCGTTGTACCTGCTGCAGCTTTGTGTTGAACAGTAACTGTTGCTGCTGTTGCTGTTGCTGTTGCTGCTGCTGCTGCTGCTGCTGCTGTTGCTGGCGTGCATTCAACTCTGCTGCTAGCATCGCATTGCTGGTAGCTGTCGCTTGGTTGTTGGAAGGGCTCATACCAGCATAGGGAACGCCGGAATCCAGTCGAGGAGACTTGGTCGCAGCGCCACCAGGAGAGGCAGCATTCAAAAACGCTGCATCATTCAACCCAAAAGTGTCGAGCGCGTCGGCAGCACGGCGTTTTGACAAGGATCCCGATGGAGGTCCGACGCTTGGAGCGAGTTGAGCTGCGGCTTGAGCGGATGCTGCTTTCTGCGCCTGCTGTAGCTGGAGAATTTGTAGCAAGTGCTGCAGCTGAGGATTGAGCGCAGGCCGCGGCGCAGCCGATTGAACAGACAGCAGCTGTTGCAACAGGCTTGCTGGTAGTGACTGCAGCACGCTTGCCGGTAGTGACTGCAAAGCGCTGAGGGACAGGCCAGGTGTGTTGTGCAGAGCAGAGCTGTTAAGACCCGTGCTGTTGAGGGCAGTGCTATTGAGACCAGTGGTACTGAGGTTGGGTGGCGCAGCAACATTTTGAGAATCAATCACCGCTTGGTTGCGCAGAGGAGGGGCTGCGGGGGACGGTGCCGCAAAGTTGTTGACCAGTTCATCCAACGAGAGTGACGGTCCAGCTGACGCCGATGCAGCAGCGGCTGCGGCTGCGGCTGCGGCTGCAGCCGTGGCCATTGTTGGTTGAAAGCGAGTGCCAGCCCCGATCGAGACGTTTCCCGTTGTTTGCTGCAGCTGTTGAAGCAGCGGGTGCGATAATGCGACTTTTGTCTGTTGCTGCTGCTGTTGCAATTGCAATTGCTGTTGTTGCTGCTGCTGCTGTTGCTGCTGTTGTTGTTGTTGTGGAGGTGGTGGTGGCTGTTGTGGCTGCTTTGGCCGTTGGTGCTGCGGAAGCTGTAGCGGTTGTTGTTGTTGTTGCAGTTTCGCTTGTTGCTGCTGGAGCTGCTGCTGAGGTGTCAGCGGTTGTTGCTGCGGCGGCTGCGGAGACGTCGACTGCAATTGGACGGGCGCATGGGGAGGCTGCAATTGCTGCGGACGAGCACCAAACAGCATATCGGCAAACGCTTTGCTGCCCAGGCCAGCGACGGGCGCCGCGGGGGACTGGCTGTGAGCTGCTGCATTCACAGAAGATGGAGGAGCGTGCAGCTCCAGCTGCAACATGTCGAGATGGAACTGGAAGGTGGTTGGAAAAGCAAGGGTCAGCGTGACGGTCATGGAATCGCCGGGGCCAAAGGGTCGGGCGTCCTTTGGGCACGGTAGATAGTGAACATTGTTCCCGACGTCCGCGGGGTCGGAGCTCGGTTGCGGGTGCTGAATATTAAAGGTGGCCCAGATCGCCACGCCCTGGGGCAGCTGCACTCGCAGGCTCCAGCCCTCTGCCACAGTTGCGGACGGCACGATCGTCACGGCGCAAACGAGGAATTTGGTTCCTTGAGACTCTTGCACTTTGAACTGCTTTCGCGTGAATGTGCACGGGACGGACACATTGGACGACATGGAGGCACTCCCAATGCTGCTGAGACCTGGCGTTTCCGGTTGCTGGATTGGTAATGGTGCGCCAGCAGCAGTAGTAGGAGCAGCAGTAGCACTCGTCGTAGCACTAGGATTGGCAGCGGCGGTCTTGGCAGCAGTCATCTCGGCATACGCACCTACTACTTGAGTTGGATCTGAGCTGAGCGTCTGAGCGGGATCTGAGACTTGCCCCTGTGATTGCGCCTGTTGTTGCGGCTGATGCAGCTGCACATGCTGCTGCTGCTGCTGTTGTTGTTGTTGTTGTTGTAGCTGCAGCTTGATCCTGTTGGATGACTCTGTGAGGGACTGCAGCAGGTGTGCATTGGCAGGGTTGACGGCCATCGCTGCGGTCGCCTTGGCAATCGAGTTGAGCGTCTCCATTCCCTGCTGCTGCTGCTGCTGCTGCTGCGATGATAATGATAACGATGATGCTGCTGACATTGTAGTTGATACTGATGATGTTGACGGTTGACTGGTCAGCTGTTGTTGTTGTTGTTGTTGTTGCTGCTGCTGAGGATGTAAAAGGTGTGACGTTGAATGGTGCTGCGACTGTGCCGAGCCAGGCAACTGTAATAACGACTGTGCTGATGCTTGTGATGCTGACTGCGATGATGATGATGATGATGGTGGTGGTAATGGTGCAGGCGGAGTGACTGATGACGACGCTGCTGCTGCTGCTGCTGCTGCTGTTGCGGCTGTGGGTCGCTGTAACCTGAGGGTCAGTTTTTGCTGCTTTGGCTGGGCTTGTATTAGCGACTGCTGCTGCTGCTGTTGAGGTTGAGGTTGAGGTTGCTGCTGGTGATGCTGCTGCTGTTGTAGAGCAGATGGCAGTGTGGTCGGAGCAGCAGTAGTAGTAGTAGCAGTCGGAGTGGCGGCGAGCGGCAGGTCGTCCACCGAGCCGAGCAGCGACTCGAGCCACCAGCCTGCCGACGACCCCGCGGCCACCCCAGTCGCAGCACCACCACCACCACCACCACCACTGCTGGGATTGGACGACGCCAAGCCACCGAGCATGTCCGACGCAGAGAACGGCTGCGACAGGTCAAACCCGAGGCCGAGTCCAAGCCCAAGCGTGCTGCTGTTAGCGACTGAAGCCTGCTGCTGCTGTTGCGGGACTCTGTTGCGGATGGGCATCGCACCAGCATCGAACGACGACGCAGGCAGCCCCGTCGTGTCCATGCAGCAATGTTAGATATACAACAAATGCAAGCTGGGGATTCGGGATTCAAATATAAAGCGAACGTCCTCAAAAGCTGCGGCAGGAGAAGGGAAACAAGGAAACAAGGAAACGAAAAATAAAAAAATAAAAAATAAAAAATAAAAATAATTAATGTTTTAAAAAAATAATAATCAAACAAAAGGAGAACAGAATAAAAAAAAAAAGTGACTGAAAAAAACAAAAAACAGCAGAACAAAAGTGTTGATCTTGCATTGAGGGGGGGGGGTTGAGGAGTGGAGTGTGTGTGCTCAGCAAAGTAAGATGCATGCACGGTGGGGATTTGGTGGGGCGGGTGGGGGGAGCGAGGCGAGGAGGGAAGAAGAGGCCGTATTGGGTGAATTGTTTGGCGGGAAAAAGTTGTGCGTCGCGACAGAGTGACGACGTCCGCATCGAGGGGTGACAAACGAGGACGAGAGGGGAGTTGCAAGCGCGGGTTGGAGTTCGAGTGTCTTGCGAAGGTGTTGCGGCAATTTTGAGGGGAAGAGAGACGAGCATACGTGCGAAGGAAGAGGGTACTAACTGGCCAACAACCATTTCGAGGTAACCAAGGACGTAAAAACGCTGCCTGATCGACGTTTCTGTCACACGAGAGCGATGGTGACAAAATTGATGCTGTGCATGTGTGTGTAATCCAATCCTCGATACGAAACAAATCCACCCTGGGTGGGGTGGACGGGTGGGAGGTGAGTCATAATTAGAACGGAACAAGAAAATTTCAGTATTTCATGGTTATTCAAAAAAAAAAAACCGACAATGCACACAGATTAAACACACACACATCCAGCTTTGGCACAAGGCATATCAAAAGACGTGTCTTCATTCTTTGCTCGAGCAACACCAGGACTCGGCAAAAAAGACCGGGGCGCGCTCATGCGTCGCGGATCAACTTGATGGGGAAATTCTCGGTCACAAGATGGCCGTCTTGGAACACGACGACAATGTTCACCTCAAACTCAATCTTGAAATTCTTGGTGGCAAGCGTTGGGCAGGTGAACAGGCGAGGGAAGATCATGTGGACGGGAATGGCTTGACCCCTGCAAACATCGCCGTCCGCGATTTGAATGTTTTGAATTTCGGTCGCTACGAGGCAGCAGCATTGAGCAAACAATGAAGGTGAAAATGAGGAGAAGATGAGCTCAGGCACAACGGCAACGACGACGACGACAAAATTGAAACAACAACACAAACAAAAAAAAAAAAAAAACACTCACCATCTTTGGCATAGCCTTCCGCGCATCCGCAAGTCTCAACGCGCAGCAGCTGCAACTCGATGGATTTAATGTCGATGGTGGAGGACTCTACCACAAATTGACCCAGGAATGGCTTAACGATGGAGCAGGTTGCCGTGTTGAGCGAGCCAGAGATTTTGAATGGCGATACACGGTCCTTCTGTCGCACATTGTCCAGTGTGTCTGGCGAGATGTTGAAATCCACGCGAACGTCCGTGCGCTTCTCTGTGTCTGGCTGCTCTCGTTGAAGAAGGGGACAACAAAAACGATTGGTAAAATCGTACAACAAAAAATATATGCCTATAATTCAACTGCAAACCCCCCCCCCAGGCTCCCAACTCACCTTGTTCTCCACCAAGAACTCGAGCGTCTTGCTCAAGTCCTTGTTCAGCATGGAACGCTTCATGTCGGCCTTCAGGTTGTACTGGATGTTGACGAAAACACCGTGGTAGGTCTCGTACAAGGACTGCCCGGGCTTTGGCTTGAGCGGGAACTCGAACGGGATTTCAGTGACACCATTGGGCGTATCTTCGTTTCGCATGAAATCAGGGCAGAGGGGGAAGGGGAGGGAACAGTAGCAACAATCAAAGCAACCGAGCGGACAGTGAGCAAAAGACCAAAGTGACAACCAAGCGACCCCACCTCCGACCCCCTGCCATTCAACTTATAGTTTGCCCGGTCGGAGGATCTCGAGCGAGGATGACAGGAGCTGGATTGGCTTGATGGAGTTGTAGAAGGCCTCAAAGACGCCGACCGACTTGGACGAGAGCTGCAGGTTGACCCAGCCGTCGAGCGCAAGCGTCATCCCGTTGTGCGCCATCTCGCCCTTGCTCGTCACAACAACGACGCCAGCAACGAGTTCCTGTTCCAGTCAGAAGCAGGCAGGCAAAAGTCCAAAGTCAGAGCCAGGACGGTCAAAGTCATGGGACGGATTTTTTTTTTTTTTTTTTTTTTTTTTGGCTTGTCGTCGCTGTCGTCGCTGGGGGACTCGCTGTGCTCGGCTTGCCAACGCATGGTTGGCGTGTTGTGTTGAGCTGCGTTGCGCTCGAGGCCGAAGTTGGGAGGGCAGAATTGGCAGATCGCAGCCAACGAAAGCCACAAGGATTGGAAGCCAAAAAAATCACACAAAAACATACGCCTTCATGGTAGATGCGATCGGCCTTCTTGACTCGAATGTCCAGCGACATGGTGATGATAAAAATGTGGACTAGATGAATGCAGAAATGGAAAAAGTAACGAGCAAGCCGAAAGTGCTTTTGCTGCAATTGAAACGAAAGTCGTTGCAAAGGTTCTGCTTTGGATAGAACAACCCGCAATCAAGCGTTCCTCTACAAACCTAAACTGTAAACTGTGCAAGTTCTGGTTCAGATTGTCGGTTGAAGCTCAACCCTGCCGCTCGAAGTTTTGCATCCAGATCTCAACCATCGTTCCATCGGCTTGGCGTTTGCCCGCTGGCCGCATCAACAAGTTGGAGTTGTAGCTCAGTTGGTAGAGCATACGACTGAAGATCGTATGGCCGCGTGTTCGATTCACGCCAACTCCACTTTCCTTTTTTTTTTTTGGCTGCTATGGTTGTTTTTTGTTTAGCAGCAACGAGCGTGATTCAATCTGATACACGATTGCCCAACTCGCATCAACATGGAGTTGTAGCTCAGTTGGTAGAGCATACGACTGAAGATCGTATGGCCGCGTGTTCGATTCACGCCAACTCCACTTTTTTTTTTTTTTTGCTCGTTGAGTTTTTTTTTGTCTTTTTGAACGTCCGTTTGCTCGAACTCCATGTCCATATGGTGTGAACAAGCGAGATGTAGTATTTTTGAGGGTTGTGTGGCGCAAAAGAAGAGTGGAAAAAGAAGATGGGGGAAAAAACAAAAAAAATAAAATAAGGAGTCAAAAAAGAAAGTGGAGTTGGCGTGAATCGAACACGCGGCCATACGATCTTCAGTCGTATGCTCTACCAACTGAGCTACAACTCCAACTTGTTGAATTAGCCACGGGGCGAATCGAGCTTCGTATAAAGTGTGAGGAATGACGCGAAGGCTAAAATTGCTGAAATTCCTGCGGGGCCTGTTCTCCCCCTATTCCACCATTTTATGATAGTAAGCCTTGGGTATCAATAATCCATGGCAAAATTAGGGCATGAAAATCGAACAGTTTGAGAGGGGACGAGCTGGTTGTCGGTTAAAGCGACAATCGCCAGTTGCCCATGACACAGCACCGTCCTGTTGGCTTCTTCGACCCTCGCTACACTTCTAATGTATTTGTATGAGTTATTTGTATGTTTGGGAAGAAGGCGAACTCGATAGGCAGGGAACAGACATCTTGTCGGTGACTTGCATGCACCACTGAACAAAATGAAATGATTCACTTTCAGTCGACCTAACGCGCTATTCGACAATGAAATTCGCACAAGCCGTTAACTTTTAACATAGTAGCAACATAGATGATAGGAAAATAATATAAGCGAGAGCGGGGGTGTGGTTTTATGGGCAGTCGTCGCTCCACCCACTCCGAGAATTTTGCTCAAAATGGCCTTGGTTGTTGTCGCTCCCAACGCAAGCAAGGGCACGTTCGCACTATATGATTGACTTGAAATTATATTGTGAATCACCCAGTGGTGGAATTTTCGATTTATAGGCTGGTGGAAGCGCGCAAAAGGGAATCGCGCTGCAACCATTGTGGTTCAAGTCGCCAAGGCCATCGACGTTGTGCCGGGTCTCCAAGTCGGCGTCGGACCCGCCAACCCTCATAGAATTGTTCCAGTACCCGAAAATCTCTTGGTCCGCTGAAGGAAGTGCTCGGCGTATTGGAGAACGGGTCTGGCGACTCTTCAATTCGGTCGAGCTTCTGTGTTCCGACTGCGTTTCGAGCCTTCCGACGCTGCCATCTTTCTTCTCTTTTGTAGCCAGAGAGAATGGAGTGGGGCAAGGCTTTTAAAAGTAGTGTTGCTGCACAGCACCTCGAGCTCTCCAAGTTCGAGCTGTCCGAACTTTGAGTAGAGCGTTCTGTGTAGATGCATGCACCGATCTCCCGTCCAGCAGTAGCGGGTGCCGTCTTGCTTGTGTCCCAATTGTTGACATAAACTAGCACCTGTTTCGCACATGATACTAACGAGCGGAAGGCTCAGCGGGCCAGAACGCCTCGCCATGAAACTTTGCATTCAAACCCAGCAAACCGAGACCGATCTGTGTCTTGAGCAACTGAGCAGTGTTAGCCGGACTCTGACAACACCTTCAGGTCGGCCCAACAGCAATTTCATTGCATCAGGCCTAAAATGGCGCGAAAATAGTTGAACTGCCATCCTCGGTCGAGCGAGCCCAAAATCTCCACAAAACCAAGTCCGTCACCTACACGCTACTTTTGGAGACCTATCGCTTTACAGGACGATTATTTCATGTGTCAAGAGTGTCCAGTTTAGGTGGGGAGGCACAATCATCGCCAGACTCGGAGAAACGGAGGTCGTAGCTTTTCGGCCCAACTTGCTGCAAAATTTGGATGCTCGCCAAACTTCGCATTGACGAAAGCCACTTAGAACAGGTAAGCCCGACAAAGTCGATTACGCTCAGACAGCAGTGATGAGACAGTTTGTTTTTTTGTGTGTCTACATCATCCCTTCTTGTTTGAGTTTCGTTTTGCAGCGTAAATCCATTCACGAACAAAATCCATTCATTTTTTTTTTTTTGTTTCTTTCTTCCCATTCATCCTCCTTCGAAACCAATGGTGAAATCGAAGGGCACATACAACGCCACTGGCCGCCGCCTGACTGAAACGGCTGCTTCCAAGAAGAGCGGCTCCACCACTGCTGCTGGATTGTCGTCCGACAATGGCGTGCGATCGAACGTGCGGGCGTCTCGCGCGGCGGCCTCGTCGGAGGACACGATCGACCTGCGCGACACGGTCGACCGCTTCCACAACCGCAAGCACGGCAGCATGCTCGCAGGCCGGTCTGTCCAGGCACGCGACGCGCTCGACAGCGACGGCGGCGACGAGGACGAGGGCGAGGACTTGATGGGCGGGTCCACGAGGCGCCACATGGCTGCTGCTGGCGCACGGGGAGGCGCATCTGGCCGCCGCGGGGCCGCTGCCTACGACCAGGGCGACATGAGCGACGACGACGACGAGCAGTACGAGGAGGCGCTGGGTCTTGGTCTGGATGACGAGGACGACGACGATGAGGACGACGAAGACGAAGACGACGACGTCGACGAAGACGATGCTGCGACTAACGCGGTTGGTGGCTGGGGCAGCAAGCGCCGAGACTACTACAATGCAGACGACGCCGAGGAGCAGGCCGAGGATAGCGAGGACGAGGAGAATATGGAGCGCGACGAGGAGCAGGAAGCACTTCGCCTGCAACGGCAACAGGCTGCGCTGCTCGACGAGGACGCCATGGACGTGGACGACTCGCTCGGTGCTCGGGCTCGTCAGCAAGCAAGCGGCGCTACTACTGCGTCATCCAAGAAGCCGCTCAAGGCATCCGCTGCCTCCAAGAAGGCTGCCGACAGTGCGCTCTTGGCGTCCGGCGAGGATGTGGCTATTGAAGCAGTTGCTCGCGACATTTCCAAGCTGTCACAGACGGAAAAGCTCGAATTGATAGTGAAGGACAGCCCCGAGCTGCTCGAGTTGCTGAGTGACTTTAAGCTCAAAATCGGCACGGTCGTATCGCAAATCCAGCCCTTGATCGAAAAGACCCGACGAGGCGAGTTTGCCACCTCCAGCGGCGTGTCATACCTCGAGGTCAAGCTGCACATTCTGTTGTCGTACTGCATCGACATTTGCTTCTACTTGTTGCTCAAGGCGGAAGGCAAGCCCGTGAAGGACCATCCCGTGATTGAACACCTCGTTCATCTTCGCACGACGCTGGAGCGTCTTCGGTATGTTGCTATTCTGCTGCGGATGCTACTTTGTTGCTTGACGCTTGACGCCTTTTTTTTGTTTTGTTTCGGATGAGTTGTTTGGTTTGGTTTGGGGGAGCGTTTTTTTCTTTCTTTTTGGTCATGTCGTTTGCTCACCCTTGCCTCTTCCCCTTCCCCTTCTCCCTCCTTCTCTCGCTACAGCCCACTGGACTCGAAGCTCAAATACCAGATCGACAAGCTCGTCAAGGCGGCTGCGACCGGAACACAAAATTCGGCCGACCCATTGCGGTTTAAGGCCAACCCCGCTGCATTGCTCGCAGATGGTGCCGAAGAGGAGCGCGGCGGTTCCAAATCACTTCGCGGCAAGCGCAATGCTGACGCGTCCGACGAGGAGGATGAGGCTGAGGTGGCCAAGTACGTGGCGCCCAAGCTGTCCGCGGTTGCTTTCGACGACGACTCTGCATCCCAACGCAAGCAGACTCGCGAGGACAAGCTTCGCCGCAAGGCGCTCAAGAGCTCGTTGCTGCGAGACATCCAAGAAGAGTTTTCCGATCGCCCGCGCGAGGTGCGAGACACTGCTGGCTTTGGTGGTCGCGACATTCTGCCCGACGAAGACCAAGAGGAGGAGCGACGCCGATTCGAGGAGAGCCACTTTGTGCGTCTCACCACAAAGAAGGGCTCTGGCCAGAAGCGCCGTCTGCCGAACGCGCTGGACGAGATTGTCGATTTCGGCGACATCAACGGTCTCGAACGTTTTGGCCGCAACGCCGCAGGCAACGACGACGAGGACGACGATGCCGAGCTCCGCAAGGTCTTCAAGAAGAGCTCTATTCGCGACAAGCTCAACGAGCTGCGCAACAACCGCGACGACGCGACCGAGGTTGGCCGATCGTCCAAGCGCGCGCGCGTTCAAGACGAGGAAATCGAAGAAGATGACTATTACAAGGAAATTGAAGCCAAGACGCTCCGGGAAAAGGACCGCAAGGCCGCGACCAAGGCAGCCCAGTTGAGTACATTTTGTTTTTGTGAAGTTGGTTGGTGGGTGGGTGCTGAACTTTTGAGTCAACCAATATTTTGTTGTGCTCACTTTCGTCACCCTTCCCCCCCCCTTCGTGGTCATGCAGTGGTCTTATGGCTCAGGACGATGGCGAAGAAGAGACCGAGGGAAAGCGCGCCATCACTTATCAGATTTCAAAGAACAAGGGCCTCACCCCCAAGCGCCGAAAGGAGGTGCGCAACCCGCGTGTCAAGCACCGTGTCAGCTACGAGCGTGCCCTTGTCAAGCGCAAGAGCCAAACGCCCAGTGTGCAGACCGAGTCCAAGCGTTATGGTGGCGAGTCCACGGGTATCCGAAGCACGCTGGCCCGTTCCGTCAAGCTGGGATGAGGTTGTTTTTTGGTGTCAAGTACCATGTTTTTTCTTCGTTGCTTTCTTTTGTGCTTTTGAGCGTTTGTGTGTAATTCGGTTTTTTCCCCCCTGCCAGACAGATGCCCGAGTTCTTGGTGGTTTTTTGGTTTTTCTTGTTATTAAAGCAACAGGTTGCAGGTGACATGCAGTTGTTCTTCGCGTCATTGTTTCGTCGTGCTGTAAGCGTTTGCACATTGGTTGGAGGATCTGCGGTAATTCGACCGCAGGCGTTTGATTAGATCCCGGTCCACCTGTTCGGATTGGACAACAGCAGTCAGTGCCTCATTCATTCTTCTTGTTCGATCGCTGTGGCCTGATGTTCTCTTCCACTCCAAATTGCTGACTCGACCATTGCGTTTTGGGATCCCAACAAAAATCACCAGTCTTTTTTTTTTTTTGGTTCTTCACGTTTTTTTTTTCCCCCGCTTCATTGCTTCATTGTTGCCTAAATCAACCTTTCAGCTTGAAGTGAGTACTTTCACGAGCTCTGCGCTCGTTTTTTGCTTTAGCGATTTTCAAATCCATCACTCCAACACTCTCTCCACTCTCTCTCTCTCTCTCTTCCGAAGCAATCCCCACGCAATTCTCCCTCCCCTTTGGCAGACCCAAAGCACGATCGTCCTCCATTGCATCAAAAGCAAGCAAAGCAAGAAAAAAAAGAAAAAAAACTCACCGCAATTTACGTTTTTTTTTTTCACCTTTTACTGCAAAAAACGCTCGTGCAAAGGTCGCCATGCGTTGTCGCCGTCTTCCTTTTGCCCCAATTCGCCCTCCCACCTCGCTCCCCTCCCAACTCTCCCAACTTGTGCTCAACCTCCACTTCGAGTGTCGGCATCCACACACGTATGCAAAAACGAAAAGGTGTAATGCAAATGTGTGACATCTGCGTTGGCGGTTTTTTTTTCCTCTTTCTTCTTCTTCCCATCATTTCAATTTGCCTTTCCAGCGCGTTACTCCGCTTCGTTGGTGCGGGTCTCGACGTTTTAGTCCGACTGATGCAAAGAGCACATGCGAATCTCACAAGCTGGAGCTTTCACACCAACGTCATCCTCCTCCTCGTCTGCATCATGATCCAAACCCAAACATGGCAGCGAGATTCCAACGTTCGGCATTTTTTTTTTTTTGGGGGAGTTTGGTTTTTTTTTTGATCTGGTTTTGGTTTTGCGGTTTCAACGGCCAAGTGCAGGAATCGAATGCGAATGGATGAACAGACGAACAGTCGGGGTGAAATTGAATGGCAGATCAACAAACGCAGCGATGAAAAACGGACGATGAATCAGGTTTGGGGAAAAAAAAAAAAAAAAAAAAGGCGTGAAGTTAAAAAAAAAAAACAAAAAAACCCCAACGAGATAAACAAACAGCACAAAAAACCACAAAACAAAGCCAGATCCACAACGCAGTAGTGCGCACAACTTGCTTCAAAAGGAGAGACTTGAACAAGGTGAGGCGGAGGGGGGAAGTGGAGAAACGCAAAAGAGCAAAAACGAGGACAGAGCGAAGACTGGGCGGCCTCGACCCGAGCCAATCCCACCTCGGTCCTTTTCGCTCACCGCAAAAGCGTCGGTATTTATTTACCTGACAAAGTGTGATTTTTATGCTTTGATTTTTGTTTGTTGTTGTTATTTGTTGTTGTGTCCCGCACGCCCCCTTTTGATCTTGCATTATGATCGAAAACGCTCGCTTTCCCCTTCATTGCTTTGCGTTTCGATGGTCGTTGCTTCACTTCCATTGCGTTCATGCTGCTGGCAGTTGGACTCATCTCGCACTTGATTTCTTGTTGTCCCCTCTCCTTAGCCTCCTCCCTTTTTTAGAATTGCACGCGCTCGTCGCATTCAGATCTACCTACGTGGCGTGTTCAAAGCGAGCCGAGTTCAACCCCCTTTCACTATTTCACAAAATGCTGGACACCCCCAAACGAACGCTGCCTCTGCACCCCGATCACGAGGCCAGACTCGCCCGTCGCTCGTCGTCCGAGCTCAATTCGCTGGCCATTTTCGTGTCGGAGAGCCGAGCGCTGGACTCTCCTGCTCCTGGTGCTTTGAATCCGGATGACCTGGATTGCTGCGAGCCGCTGGAACCTCTCGAATCACTCGAACCTCTCGAGGCGCTCGAATCAGAGTCTGAGCAGCCCGCTTCTGAAGTTGAGCAGGTCGAAGAATGCCCACCAAAGCAAGCCGAGGACAACGACGACACTACTCTGCCTGATTCAACCGAGTCTCAATCGCAGGAAGATGCTCTGCCTTCCGCCAAGCACACAAAATCCGCCTCGCTGCGATTGTCCGTCATTCATCTGCTCAAGGTCGCTACCATCGGCACCATTCTTTGCTGGCTACTATTCACAACTGCGTTGCCAGCAACTCGAGCCGTTTGGTCCCATTTCACTGCATTGTCGATTCTGGCTCTGGCGGTCGTCTTTGCCAGACCCATCGCCAGCGTAGTCACCTTCTGCAATCTGCTTGCGGGTCCGTCTGCCCAGGACTGCAAGCTGAAGCCACAGTTGCGCCTCAACCTCCACGTGACGAAAACAAGCCTTCTGGACGAGGTCACCATGAACGAGCTCTTCACGCTTGCCTTGAGCACGTTGGACACAAACCAAAGCTTGTCTCAGAGCCTGGACATGTTCCGCAGCTATGTCCTGTCGTTTGACTTTGTCATCATGTACCGCAGCAAGTTGGATGGCAGCCTTCGCGGCATGTTCCTCATGGGCCAAGAGTCGACGCATGCACGGCCCGACGGCAAGTCGGCGGCCGTGTTGAAAGTCGGCTTGGCGCTGTTTCGCGAGGGGTACCACGGCGGACCGTGGTTTCCACTGGCAGTGCTCTACATTGTCCTGTTGACAAAGTTGTCGCGGCCATTCACTCAAGTTTACATCATCATGAAGTGCTTCTCCATCCGGTCGTACTTGTTTGCCGTTCGCAACGCCCAAGAGTGCTACCCTCGGCACGATATGCCAACCCCTGCTTGGGAGAAGACTGTGATGGATGGGTTTGGTCGAGCCATGACCTCGCCGTCCGAGCAGTACGATGCCGTCCACGGCGTCATTGAGCGCAAAAACTCTCATCTGAAGAAAGGTATTGCCGAAATTTCCGAGAAGGACAAGCAAGACCCGCACATCCGCTACTTTGAGGAGCAAAACCCGGACTGGCAGCAAGGGCACCAGCTCGTTGTCATGGGTGCTGTCTCTGCTGGATGCTTTTGCCGCGGCGTTCTCAGCGCAGCTCGCCGGTATCTTGGGAATTCTCGCTGGGAGCTGCGCGCCAAGTAGCCATCTCGTCATTCTATCATCATGCCATCATCATTCGTTATCTTGTAAACCTACATTTTTTAAATCTTGTTTTAAATCTTGTATTACATCATGTTAATACAAAAGTCGTTCATTGGCTTCAGCGAGATGGTACAACAACCGGAAATTGAGCCATCCATCCCAGACGCCAACTCTACTAAACTTGCACTTTGAAGGGCGGTTGGAAAAGGCGCAAGGGTGATCGATCAAACAAGGCATTTTCGCAACAAGGTTTTTTTTTACGACCGAGCCTTCGCGTCACAACGCGCCGATATCACGAACCGGTTGATGCAGGGCCATCTCTCTGAATGCCTGGCGCAGCGTAGCACCGGTCGGACGTTTTTCGGGTTCCAGTTGCCAGCACGAAAGGAGCAGCACGTAAGTGTGGAATGGGCAATCCTTTGGTTGAGCCAGTCGGTTTCCAGCTTCGATGTGAGCAAGAAGGTCGCGGCCGAGCACCTTTGCAAACGGAGACGTGCCGTACGAGAAGACCTCCCCTGTGTTCATTGCCAAGTCATTGGTCAGCGCTTCAATTCGCCAGTCCCCGTGGACAACCCGACACCAGCAACTCCAACTGACAAGAAAGAACACCAAACGACCAAATATCGCTTTCGTGTGAGAACTTGAAGAAGCTGAGCGACTCTGGAGCCATCCACTATTGTTGTCGTTTGTTCAAAACATTGTTTCAGCCATTCCAAGAGTTAGCGTGTGGGGGCGACTTCTCGAGTTCCAAATGATGTTGAAACACAACTTGAGGCTTCTTCCAGATGAACAACAAAACAATACACAACTCACCCTGACTGGCAGACGCCCTTTGGTTTCCATGTGATAGTAATCCTTGACAGACAACGACCGAGAAAGTCCAAAGTCGGAAATCTTCACCGACAACCCAGCTCCTACCAGGCAGTTGCGAGCCGCAAGATCGCGATGCACAAAACGGATAGACGCCAGGTACTCCAAACCGGAGGCCACCTGAGCGAGCACATGCCCGAATTCGGCTAAGGTCCACGAGAGGTTTTGCTGCTTGGACTGCTGCATCACTTTGCGCAAATCGCCGAAAGGCATGAGTTCCAAGATAATCATGCATGGCTCAGCCTCGAGCAGCACTGCGATAGCCCGCACAATGTTGGGGTTGTTGAACTTGGCCACCATGCTTGCCTCTTCCACAAATTCGCTGCGGTTTTTCTCGCTGGCACCTTCCTGGAGCGTTTTGATTGCAACGTTCAAGAAGGGTTGGTTAGGAGTGACCAGCAGATCTCGCGCCATGGCCGGAACCAAAGAGCGGGGCAGTTGTCCAAGCCGCACCACGCCAAAGGCACCAGATCCAAGCTGCGAGCCAAAGTCGAGCCGTTCGCGCAAAAGGTGAGTGAGTGGGAGGGCGTAGTCGTAAATCCTGCTCGACGTTGCCGAGTTGTACTCCTCCAAGTCGACCACGGCCACTACTTTGTCATACAAGCTGTCTGTTGCTGGCTTGCTACTTTGGGATGCATCGACCCGTGGGTAAATGGCTGCAGTCATAGAGCTCGCACCTGCAGCGCCTACATTAGCGTTGTCGTACGTCGGGCTGCGAACATTTCCTGCGTAATTGCTGAATGCATCGCCCGCAGTTGCTTCAGTGAAACCGGGGGCGGAGGGATACGTGGTGTTGTCCGATGCTTCGGCATAAACGACGGTCGACGACGCAGCAGCGGCGTAAATCGCAGCAGGAGTTGTATACATCGGCTCTTGAAGCTCCAAGGAGTGAATAGCAGGGACAGAAGATGGCTTGGTTTTCAAATTGGGGTTACTTTTCTGTTGTCGGCGCCGACGTTGTCGCAAAAGGACGACGAGCACAATCACAATGATCAAACCAGCACCGCCACCGACCGCGCCAGCGACAGGCGCAACGGAAAAGCTGCTGCTGTTCGGTGGGGGTGCTGTGTCTGAGACTACGGGCGCGCCCGATGCTGACGATGCCGAGGCGGCTGATGCTGATGATCCTGAGGCAGCTGATGCTGACGCCGCCGATTCTGACGATGCCGAGGCGATTGACGCTGATGATGCCGAGGCCATTGACGCTGATGATGCTGAGGCAATTGATGCAGACGATTCTGAGGCAACTGATGCAGACGATGCCGAAGCAACCGTGGCGGAGACTGTGGATGCAATCGAAGCAATTGAGGCAACGCTTGCAGACACGGTGGCTGCAATCGAAGCAGAGCTTCGGGAAGCAACAGAAGCTTGCGTGGCCATGCTGGCAGCCGAGCTGACGGACGGCAGCGCCAAAGGCAAGTCAGGAGCCGCAAACATGATGGTGGACAAGATCGAAGCCATCAACTTGTCGCGCTCGTCTCGCGAGTTGATCGTTTCAAAAGGGAAGGCAAGCAAGAAGGAAGCATAATATCCCGTCGTGCTGCGTGAGCTGACACCAGCGACATTCGTCCCAGACGAAGGGCCGTAGAACAGCGCCGCTGTTCCTGTGCCTGCTGTGCCGATCTGATCCGGCGAGCTGACAGCGTATGGGTTCCCCAGCGCCACAATGCTGTTGAAGGCCACAGTGCCGCTCATGGTGAATCCAGCGTTCGGGCGAACAACGAAAGTGTTTGCATTGGTGTGACAAAGGTGGACTTGAGTTGACTGTTGAGGAAGGTGAGGCTGGTACTGCCCGCAGCACTAAGGCCAGCAGCGACGTTCGAGCCACTGACGAAAAGTGAGCGAGGGCTTGCAGAGGAGGCACCTGCAATCCACGAGTTGATGGCGGTTTGCGCAACAGCAGGGAAGACATTGATGTTGGCGGCCGTATCACCCGACGCCCAGACAACCGTCTTGTACATTGCTAGGTGGGTGGTAACCCATTGGGACTCAGAAAAAATGTCTGCAGATGCAGAATCAAACGAGTAACCGGCTCCAGCAATCGACAGGGCGTGCTCGACCACATACTCCCGCGTGTACCGACCCTCGATGTTGGTAGAAGTGTGCACAAAGCCTTCGACAAAGCAGTCGACGATGACAATTGGCGGACGAGTGACACCAACAGCAGGGTCGGTCACGCGCGCCGCTGCCGTCCATTTGGTCAACGCTTCGCCTCCTGCATTGAGACCAGCAACCTTGAAAAAGTAGACTTGCCCGACTGTCAGAGATGTAACGTCGTAGCACAAGCTGTTAAGGTACGTAAAAGCGGCGACGATGACTCCATCATCCCATCCGCGTCCATCGGTAGACCGGTAAATCTTGAACGCGGTCGCAGCGTCAGTGGACTCTTGGGTGTCGTCAGGTTGGCGCCAGCAGACTCGAACCACGTTGCCGCCTTGGTTGATGGTGTGCAGGTAGTTGACAGGGAGCGGAATGATGGTGGCGGTCGATGAAAAGTACTTGGCAATACCCTTGTAGTATGCGCGCCCGAGCTGTTTGATGGAGGAAGAAGATTCGTGTGAGATTCACTGCACCAGCTCATGAAAGCAAAGCCCACAGCGTACGTACATTCTCGCGACCCGCTTCGGACTGAGCCAGTAGCATGTCTGCATTGTTGGTGATGTAATAAGGAACGGCCATCATGGTGGGCATTCGTGAGGACGAATCAAGCGGCGGCCATTGATGAAGGTCCTTGGCTTTGTCTACAAGACCCGTTGAAACTGCGGCCGCATGAATGGCGTCGCAGAAGCTATCCGAAGCGGCCTGCAATGAGGAGTTGTAGATCGCCGTACTGGTGATGCCCGTGTATGGCGAGGTACGACCCTATCGAGCAAAATCATTAATCGAAGAGTAGCGCGAAAAGCACACATTCCGTTTCATGCACTTACGTTGCTGTAGCTGAAATCCTGGGTGCCACGAATTGCGGAGTCGCCAGAGTTGTAGGTGCTATAAAGGTAGAAAAGCGCCCAATTTTGCCAGTTGGCAGTTTCCAGATCGCCTTGAATCATCTGCTTGCTGAAATCAGCCATCGCTGTTGCCGAGCTCGTGCTGACAGTGTAGTTCATGTAGGTCAAAAAGCTGGACGTGCCGTAGTGGAAGCGAGGATAGCCGCCAAGGGAACCGCAACCGACGCGAACTGCATCTGCAATGACGCATCTGCCAGCGTCGACGGCAAAGTCAAGCTTGTTGGAAACTTCGACGCGAAAGCCTGTCTTGGTAAAGTAGTAGCGACCGGCATACATCCACTGCCTGCTGTACATGTTTTGATTCATGTACAGGGTAGTTGTGCCACCAGAGTGGAAGATACGAATGAGCGTGCGAGAGGCACGGTTTTGGCCGTCGCCCAAACCACGAATGTACACGGGATAGTACCCATCGGCGGCAAGGGTGGTCACGAAAGCTGCGACGGCTGTTTCTGCATTCAGGTTGCCAAATACGTACGAGTGGTAACCGAGGAACCCAACGCCGTAGGAAGTCCATCCACCAGTTTTGATGCAGTTGGCAGACGATTGATCGTCCAGAATCTGCTCGTCGGACGTGCCAAACCAGCGCTCGCGTGTCATGAAGACGGTTGCACCCGCGTTGGCGAGGTACTCTTGAGTGTAACGAATCATGATCTCGTTATGATAGACATCGGGCAGCTGGGAATTGAGCCCCATGTTGTTTTCGTAAGCATTTGAGATGGCGTTTCGTCCACCGTCAGGCGCCAACACGACATTGCGACCATAAAGCTGCGGACGAATGGTCTTGGCCGCGTTCGTCCAGAGTGTTGGGAGATTGTGGATGTCGCCCAGTGTGTGAGGGGCGAGGCAGGCCATGAGCAAAACGACGACGATGCCTCCCCACAAAAGCGTCAGATTCGCCATTTTTGGACTTGGTCGTTGTGAGTTTGCTTCCTGTTTGAATGAAATAGAAATAGTCAGCTCAGCATCATCTCAAGCCGGAAGGGAAGAAGCAAGAAAAGCGAAACCAAACAAACAAACAAAACAAACAAAACAAAAAAAAAAAAAAAAAAAAAAGACGACAAGATAACACCCAGCTGCGGATGTCTCACCCACTCTTTCTCATTCTCACAGACACACTCTCTCACACTCTCGCTATCCCGCACTGAAGAGAGTGTTCTTGCTCTCTTCCTATTCCACTGCTGCACCACGAAAGGCTCTTGATCGCTGTGCTAGTTGTTTGGGAGCATGCTCTTAGTTGGTTTGTGCTTTTTTCTTTCTGCGCCACTCATCCGCTCTCTCTCTCACGCCCTTTGCTTGCGCCATTACATTTCCAAACCAGTGCTTTCACTTGCACATGACAAAGACAGTGCGTCGTTTGCCTGCGAGTGCGGCCCGCTTTGACCAACACGGCAAACCCCGCGTGCAGACTCAACAACAAAGTCGATAAGCTTCCCTCAAACTCCCCTCTCAAACGTCTCCAGGGTTCCTCTCACACTGTCAGGTGTTCTCAGGACTCGCGTCGTGACAGCTGAGTATTGGGAGGCGAGAAATGTGGCACTGCAGGGTGTTACCTGTGCTTCACGAAGGGAAAGAGACAAAAAAACAAAAAAAGAAACAAAAACAAAAGAAATGAAAAAAAAAAAAAAAAAAAAAAAGAAAAAGAAAAAAAAATGTGTATTCGAACAAACACCAAACGGCGCGCAGAGCCAAATGCAATTCAACCCCTTCCCTTCAAGCAATCATCAAAACGTCTTCAAGACTCAGTTGCACTCGCCGTAATCACACACATTGCCATCCTCTTCAGCATACGTGTAAGCAGAGGCTCCGAAATCACCGCGGTTGGCCTTGTCGAGATTGTCTGCAATGACGAGCTTGATACCCCGACGGTACCGAATAGCCAGCGTTCGATTCACGCTGAGCATTTCGCTGTCGTCGGTTTGAGCGCTGTCGGCCAACAATTCCGAGTCCTCTTCAGCGGTCGTGCCAAACGCTTCCATCAACTCTGTCAAAACGCTCGCAATCGATTCGGTAGCTCGCGTTCGCACGTCTTCGGATACGTTCGACAAGGCGTCAAGGGCCACTTGGCGGCGCAAGAGTTGGTTGGCAGCCTCGTTGTGCTCTGACTCGCTCTGCAGCGCCAGCAAAGTCAGCGTTTCTTCACGCACAGCCTCAAATTCTTCAGCGGACAGGACTGTCGCACAGACACATGGGAGGAGGAGCGACGAATGCATCCCACGCGCAAGCGTGTGAGTGCGCGGCAAAAAGTGCTCGTCCATCCACTTGGCGATCGGACCCTGGTCGAAATAGGAGCCATACAATTCTTGCGCCTCGTCATCGTTCAAGTCGGCGTCCAATTCGTCCATGGCAGTGTCTGACTCATCATCACCGCCCTCCTCGTCATCAACAACAGCAGCAGGGGCTGTGTCCGCGTCTGATGAACTTTCGTCCGGATTATTGGCAGTAAAGTAGACGTCAACGGTGACAGTGAGGGGGTTCAACTCAGTGCTCAGCATGCCATAGTACAGCAGCTGCTGCCAGGAAGGCAGCGTGCTGTAATGAAGCGAGAGCTGGGTGCCAGCTGCACAAGCTCCGAGCGTGGTCAGCACAAGTGCCTTGGCCGACGTGTCATATCGACGAACCGAAATGTGCGAATGCTCCTCGTGGTTGATCATGTCAACGAACGGGATGAGGTTGGCCACGAAGGGGGTTTCAGTGGCGTCCTCAGGAGCCGCAGCAGCAACAGCAGCAGCAGCAGCCGGAACAGGCAGCTTCATGGCTCGACTGTCAATCATAGCTCGCACCCACAGCAAGTTTTCGTACGTAAACGCGTCGGTGGGGAAAAGAGCAGGGTACGCCTCAGCGAGCGGACCCAGCGACTCGTGCAAGACGCGGAGGCCATCTTTGATCTCGAACGTTTCATCAATGAGACGCGTGCCTTCCAGCTCCAGCAGCTCAGTCACATGGAAGAGCAGCGGCGAGTTGTACGTCGCAGGCAATGTTTCAAAGAACGGTGCCCAGCGCGAGGCCGACCCAGCGACAAGCTTTTCGTGCAGAACGTAAAGCAGCAGCAGCGTGTCGTCGTCATACTCGTCCCGCAGGTCTGATAGGACTCGGCCGATTGGGTGGGATTCGTCCAATGCAACGTGAATGTTGATGAGAAGGTGCTGAGGCAAATGCAGCACTTCAACACCAGCTTCGATGCGTTCGTTCGCCAGCACTCCACGCCCAGTGTGCTCGAAATCGGCAATGCTCAGATGATTTTCCGCAATTGAAGTCATCCCGGCGTTGTGCAGCCACTGCAAGAGGTCTGTATGCGGTTTGTCAACGACTGCGTCATGAAATAGAATGAGATCGAGTTGGTGCAAACATTAAAGTCGGTTCAGAACGTAAGAACTCACTATCGCCAATCTTCCGTGATTCAAGAGCGGCGGGACGAGTGCCAATCACGGCAGTCCAGTACTCGTATGCGCGATTCCGCAAATGTTCATAGGTGGAATGAACCAGCTCAATGTATTTTGCCACATGGTCGGGTACTTGAACGAATGTAGCGCTCGCAGGGGCGGTCGTCGCAGCCATCATGGTATTGCAGAGCTGCACAAGCGATGTCACGGCTTGTCGCTCGTTGCTGAGATTCAGGATGGAGACGGCGCAACCATCAAACGTGCCGCCTTGTAGCGTCAAAGTGGTTCGACAATGCTCCAGTTGATTTTCAAAGTAGACCTGCACAATGATAACAATGTCAGGAATGATGACAAGATGAACTTGAGACAAAGCGGAGCAACGTCAAAAGCAAAAAACGCTTGGTGCACAAACCTCGTCTGCAGTCATTCGCATCAAGCGCAGGCTCTCCAGGATGGCCAGCACCACCGGCGTCATGGATGAGGTGTGGTCTGCGTTTTTAGAGTAGAGAAAGGAGCGCGGGCAAGGGCCTGTCATCAGCAGCTTCAAACGGACGAGAATGATGAGGAAGGGGTGAGACACAAGCAACACAAAGCGAGCGGGAGGAACAACAGACACAAGCAACGTTCGTGCTCGACTGGCACACACACACACACTACATACTTGAAGACGTTGCTCGGCGACCAGCGCGTCGCTGCCATGGCACGTCAGGATGCGTGGCAGAGTAACGCGCACGGCGTCCGGAATGCTCCATTGCACACATGGCAAGTCTTCCACAAACAGCTTTTCCGTATTCAAATCCATCCAAGCGAGTGTCCTATCGATGCGAGTGTCCAGCCACGGCTGCAACGTTCCCAGCTGAGCAGTGGCGGCAACGTCCGGTACGTCGTCCAGCAGTCCGACATTGTCCAGCGTTGCCAGCCATTCCCGATCGCTTGGCAACGTGCTTGCTGACAATCCCAAGTGCTCTCGAGCAGTATTCACGAGCTGAGCATAGACTTGACGTTGCATTGCAACTGCACAGATGGCCGGCACACGTGCGACCGCGGGTTGCTCGAGTTCGCTCCACCGCCGCTCCGAGGCTTCGATTTGCAAGGCAAGGTGTGCATCAACGTCCTGCTTGAACGGGCCGGTCTGGCGCGCACGCCAAGCGCAGACACGGAGCGCGCGAACTGCGACCTGACCTTGCTGCGCCTCAACGTGCTCCAAGAAGGCCAGCTCGTCGTCCTCGGCCAGCGCGGCCAGTAGATCTGCATTCCACGTGCTCGAAATCCCTGCAGAGGCGGCGGACGCGGTCGAAGCAGCTGCGCGCGCGGTGCTGATGGCGTTTCGCTTTGCTCCCAGCAGAGCGCTCGCTGCAGCGACCATGCTCGCCATCGCCGTCTGGCAGGCATCATCATCATCATCATTGCTCTCGTTATTGTCGTGTTTGGCATTCGATCTGCTGGCCTCAAGCACGGCGCTGATCTGCCGCTCGACCTCGACAAATCGAGACATGTCAACCCAAAATGGAAGTCAAAATGAAGGAGTGGCAAACAAAATTCTGAGAATAGTCGCATCAATGAACATTCAGCAGATAAAAGCGACATATTGTCAAGTGATTCAAACCCCCAGCTCGATATTTCATTGCAATGGGATTTCCATACAACACAAAACCCACTTTGATCATCAAATGGAACAAGGACAGTCTGAGAAATGGGAATTGAAACATTGAAAAACTGCAAACAAACTATAACGAACGACCTTACCGATGTTCAATGGTGATCACTGTGGTTGCTCTTCGACATGCATACAAAACCCTTTGTTCGTCCCAAATCGAGGCGTTGAGCTCAGTCTGAATTTTTTTGTTTTCGTGATCATGGATGATTTGGCAGCCCGCGTCGCGGAGATGATGGAGTTCTGTCCACACATCACTGCAGACGATGCGCGCCAGTACCTCCAGGTACCGCCGCATTCAACAAAAGCCTCAACAGCGAAGAGAGAACGGGGGAACGAGCCGAAAAACTGTTTCAGACAATCGTTTTCCAATCGTTCGCAGCTTAGCAGCGCAGAGAGAGAGCGAGAGAGAGAGGGAGAGACTTTTGGCAAGCTTGAATCAACTAGCAGCCAAAATGCACTCGAATCGAGTGGACGGAAGGGGTGGAGCGGGTGATTGTGGTTGAAACGTATCAAAAGCCATACAGTTTAGCTCGAAAACAGCCAAACAACAGCTCAGCGTGTCCTGCTGTTCGAGGTCTTGTTGGTCGTCATCTTCCATAAGCAAAGGCACAGAACAAACTAGGCGACATTTTGTGCTCTGAATTCGGACACTTTTGGGTATTTCGCTGTGTTTCTGAGAAACTTGAGCTGATCTGAGCCCATTTCCTCTCGCCTTTTCCCCACCTCCCTCTTGTGATTGCTGATGCTGATCTTGATCTTGATGAACAACACTGTGTTATTACACCTTCCCTTATAGCGGCACGGAGGCAGCGTCGAGCAAGCAGTGCAGGTGTTGTTCAGCCAGCCGAGCCGCTCAGCACCGAGCTCGACCAGCGGCGGACCAGCTCCGTCGTCATTGCCATTGTCATTGTCATCATCATCGTCGCTGTCATCGACTAGTACGCATGCTGCAGCATTGGCGGATGCTACGTCGCCGAGGGTGGCTGATCTGCCGCCGACGCTGTCATCGAGCTCGACTGCGATCGTGCCGTACAACGACGCGACGGCCGCCGCCAGGCCCAGCACTGGTGCGACTGGGACGAGTAGCACGACTGGCAGAGGGATCAAGCACGTCCCGACGGTGGCGGTGGAGGGCGACGACGACCAGCTCCAAGCCGCCCTCTCGCGCTCGCTGCAAGACCAGCAGCACACTGGTGCCGGTGGACGCAACGCAGGCGGCAAGGGAATGGAGCACGACGACATTGAATTGTCGCGCGCAATCGAGGAATCGCTGAGCACAAGCCGGAACGCGAATGGCAGCAATGGCAGCAATGGTCATGGCACAGACGAGGCCAATCTTATGCTGTTCAGCGAGCCAGTCCAGCTGCGTGAGCCGGGCGTCCCGACGGGCCTCCGCAACATTGGAAATACGTGCTACTTTAACTCATTCCTGCCATTGTACTTTTCCATCCCCGAGTTCCGGAAGGCGGTGCTCGAGGTTCACGTTGACACGCAGCAAGCGGAGGTTCGCGGGCAGATTGCTGCGTTGCGCGATTTCGACCCAGCCATCAGCACTCTCCGGAAAAGAGACTTTGCATTCACGTTCATCAAGGAGCTGCAGGCGCTGTTTGCGCTCCTGATTGTCTCGCGGGAGAAAGCCGTCAACCCGACGCTTTTGCTAAACTCGTTCGTCAATGACAGCGGTCAGAAAGTCGAGGTTGGTCCCCAGCAGGATGTTGGCGAGTTTGCCCAGCTCTTTCTCAACCGGGCCGAAGAAGGCCTTGGGTCGGGACTCTCCACGCCTTCTGGAACGCCTTCCAGGTCTGAGAACATTGTGAAACGGTAAGTTAAACCCAGCTACTTTTTTTTTTTTTGGTTCCGTTCATTCTAAAAGTTAAGTCTTGTCTATTGGCCCTGACTGAACCTGTGCGTTGGAATTCAGACTCTTCTTTGGCTCAATCACCGAGCGCAGCTATGCACGAGAGCTCGACGGCACTGAGGTCACCAACACGAGCACGGCCGAGTTTGACTCAATCATCTTGCCAATTCAAGACCATCATTCTCTGCAAGACTCCTTGGATGCCTACACCTTTGTCACGGACATTGAGCACTTCCGAACGCCACGAAACCACGTCACTACTGCACAAAAGGACGCTTGGTTCCGAGTCCTGCCTCCGGTGCTCAGCATTCAGCTCAAGCGCGTCGTCTTTAACGCTAAGACCAACAGCGCCGAGAAGCTCAACTCAAAGTTTGAGTTCCCGGCCGAGTTTGCCATGGATCGCTTCCTCGATGAACATCGATCTGCAGCCCTCGCTGTGCGCGAGCGGGTCGTGATTTGGCGCGGCCAATTGCAGGACGCTCAAAAGCAGCTCAATACGCTCACCAATTTCGAAGGCGGCGTCAACTCTATTGAGGAGCATATTCGCTGCACCGGCAGGTTTATCGAAAATGCAGCCAAGGGTGGATGGCCCGGCGGCGCGGTCAGCGAGCCGCGAGAAGTTGACATGCTCCTCCGTTCCCTTCAAACTTGGCTGGTGGAGGTGCACCGGACCACCGCCGGTGAGTGTCTCTTTGCGCTGCTTGAATTCCAACTGTGATGTCGTGCTTGTTTCTGTCTGTACTGTGGGGTTTGGTGCCCTGGTCGATGCCATTTGTCGTACTGACATTGAGTGCCAAATTTCTTGCTTGCTGTTGGCATCAACCATTTGAATGGCACGCAGAACTCCGCGCAACCATTGCAAACCTAGAGATGAAGATTCGAGGCGCGTTTGACGCCACCATCCCTCCCCGAACCATGTACCGCCTCCATGCAGTGCTTGTGCACCGCGGACAGGCCATGTTTGGTCACTATTGGGCCTTCATTTTCGATCCAACATCTCAAGAGTGGTGGAAGTACAACGATTCGGAGGTTTCCCGCGCGAGCTTTGAAGAGGTAGAGCGGCAGTCCATGGGCGGCGACCTGACCAACAACACCAGCTCCGCGTACTGTCTCGTCTATGTGGCCGCCAACTGGTTCCCTCATCAACAGCCAAAGGCGGCACCCGACCACATGACTCCCGAGCGCCTCATGGAGATGGTCTCTCCGCAACTTCGGGAGCGCCTCATCCGAGAGCGTCAGACCTTTGAAAAGAAGGTGGCACAAGAGCGCGGCCTGTCTTCTCAAGCGGCAGCAAGCGTCGACGTCGCTGCTCAAGGCGACATTGGTCCCTCCGCCATGGCTTGGAGCGCCTCGTCCGCTGCTGCGCCCCCGCCTAGCTCTCCTCAAGTCGCGCAAGACGAGAATGTTCCACCTTCCGTCATGGACCAACCTGTTGAGATGGAGATCATCCCACTGACACCCAGTCATCACGGCGCTGGAGCTGTCCCAGGCTCCCCCACGAACGGTGTCAAGCGTAGCTACGAAGCACCTAGCTTGGAAGACAACCAAGGTGGAGACACCACTCACCAACACAAGTCACTTCGCATGACGATCGATTCTGCTCCCCCATCGGCCGCATCCACGACGACAGACTCAATCATCTCGCAACACCTACGCGATCAGTTTGCGGTGAAATTCCAGCGAGCTCTGGCCATGCGCACGAGCGAAGTACGGTCCAACAGTCCCGGCTCGACTTTTGACGTTCGTATCGGGGATTTCACTGCCTACCTGTTTTGCTCCCGTGCCCCCGATTTCATCAAGCGACATGTGCTGAGTCGAGCAGTGCTTGCGGAATGTTTTTTGTTTGAAGCATCCATTTCCGAGGCCTCGCTGTCCGAGGCTTCGCTGTCTGAGCACGATTATGCTCTGTTGGCAGCTGTTGGTCAAGAGGCTACTTATATTGTTCTGGATCCCGCGCACGCGTCGATCTTGACAGACTGGCAACGCGCGTACAACGAGTTTCTTGAAGTGACTACTCTTTGGATCAACGGACTCGATTATCAAAGGCAGGCACAGTGAGTGGACTGCTGGTTTGAAATTATGTTGGCACAATTTGAGAGGGCGAAGAGAACGGCTGTAAATGCAACTGCAGCAAGAGAGTTGAGCTTACTTGACGAATGCTTGTTTCTTCAGGCACAATCTGGCGCTCCCGTACTTGTTCAACGCGGTGGTGGCGAATGCAGAGTTGAAGCGACTTCATTTCGGCGCATTCCCGGACAGCAAAGTCTCAGCACCATTCTTGATTAGTCTGCGGGTATGTATTGAACGCACAAGAAAGCGAGAGAATCCGTTTCATGTTGAGATTGCTGTGCCGATCATGCGAAGGAAGTCATCCCCTCGTTCACGCCGCTTGCCCTTTGTACCTATCCAGATGCTCTTGGTCGTTCCTCCTCCACGCACGGAGACTGTTCAGTTGCGCTCTGCCCTGCTTCGAGCGATGGCTGCCTTCGAGGCTGCGCAGCGATTGCGATCGATGATGGATGATTTGGATGGTTTGGAGGAATTAGTGACGAATCAAAAGCAGGCCTGGCTGTCTTTCCTCCAAGATTTGGACAACCAAAGTGTTGGTAAGCAAGCGCTCATCCTTCTCACCCCTGGCTGTTTGCGAAGGCGAGGTCTGATATTTGTCATCCTGTTTGCACAGATGATTTGAGCGCGCCCTTTTTGACCCAACTGCTGAACGACGGTGTCTCCGAATGTCCTGATCTTGAACGGCCCATTGTTTCGGACGATGTAGAGAACATTGGCAGCCGGTTCAGGAGTATGTTTGATACTCAGACCTTCTGAGAGGATTGTTGGATTTTTTGTTGGCTTGTTTGTTGGTGGGTTTTGGGTTTTTGTTGGTGTTTTTTTTTTTTGGGTTTGTGTTCTAGCAATGCGCATGGTATGGGAAAAAACAAAATAGCAACACCTTCCAGAGCACGAGTTTTTACATGCGCATGTTTGTGCTTGTGTGAGGCAAAGCTCACAACCAGCCCATGACCGATCCGATGAACGGAATAGTGATTTGAGTCATCTTTGCCTGTCCATCAAGGTTGGGGTGTCCATCACAGCCCCAGTCGGTCGAGTTGAGCGCTGGATGAATATCAATGTAGTAGGTCGCCGACTTTTCTGCAGCTGCCTTGACGTTATCGCACGGATGCCCAGTGAGCATCGGACCGCAAGCGAGGAAGAAGACAATGTCAGTCGTGTAGGGTGCATAGGCGGTCTGAATCTGCTTGACAAAGCCAATGAGACCTGATGGTCGTCCACGAGATTTGCATAGGCAAGCAGCCCCCCAGAACCAAACGTCAGTCTTCGGAATGAGCAGAAAAGAGCAGAGTGCAAGTTCCACCAAAGCCAACACTTCGCCCCGCAAAGCCTCACCATCAATGAACTGGTCATCTGTAGGATACGGAGTCGTCCAGTAGTCGTTTGTTCCCAGATTGATGACAACGGCCTGTGGAACCCAGGCACCATAATCCCAAAGCAGATTGCTGTTGGCCAGTGTGCGGTTAAAGTAGCATGGGAAGGGGCAAACAGAAAAGCCAGTGTCGCCATAGTTTCTGTGAAACAACAAGAACAACAACATGATAACTTTTGATCGTGAGAAGAAGCGAGGCGCGGCAAAGCCAATCAGAACAAGCGAAAAGTGTTGAACCGTACCGGATGACACCCTTGCCACTCCACGCTTCGATGTGGTACTCAGCCTTCAACGCGCGCGACGTGATGGGGCCGTGTGATCTGAACAAACCATCGGTTCACGCACATCAGCAGCGGGCAACAGTATTGAAAATCAAAACAAAATCTGTAGAACGAGAACGAAACGTACAGGTAATTGTTTTCAGTGTACCACGAAAAGTCGCACGGAGCGGTTCCTTCATCGCCAAACCCGCAGGTGAGCGACGCGCCGAGCCATTCAATCCTCCGCCCCGCGACAGCAGCAGCAGGATGGTGCGATGGGCGATGCATGCTTGGGTTGGCAAACTTGTTTCCAGTCATTGCCATCCTTTCGTCGGTCTTGATCTCGACATTCTTGCCGTGCTTCTTCTTGTTGCTAATATGATCAACATTCTCGTTCTCATGGCTGTCGGTCGCCATCGTGTCATCGGCTACGCCCATGCCGCAAAAGTAGACAATCCCGCCGCTCGCTTCGGTGCGCTTGTTGATCTCGACCGAATAGACCTGCGCCGGGTTGAGCAGCGGCAGATCGTCCACAGGCAATGTTACGCACTCGATTGTGGACGCATTGGCGCTGTACACAATGACCCTTGCTTGGTACAGGATGGACTGGTTGCTCAACGGCGTGGCTGCGTCGCGAACGAGCACCTCAAAGTGTGCCTGCGACGAGTTGTCTGCGCCGTCCAGCGCGACGCTGAGCACGATGCGAGTCGCATTCATCACCGTCGTCGCGACGCTCACGCCAGACCAGTCGAAGCGGATGGCTTGCTGCTGCTGGATCCCAGTCCGTGCCGGGATTTGGCGGGAGATGTGTGTTCCCACGCGGTCCTCGTTCGAGCTCGGCTGATCCTCACCCGTGACACTGATATCGATGTCGGTCAGTGTTGACGATGAAGAAGCCGCGGCGATGGTGGTCGTCGCCGGTGACGGTGGAACATGGCGTCCGCTCACAATAAACACACTCGCGTCGCTCTCAACCGTATACATTCGCCATTGCGTTGCAGAGCTCCAGCCAATGCAGCAGGCCAGGAGCACAAAAGCAAGCAGAATCAAGGAGCGATGCGCTCTGCCCGACATCATTCAAATACGGAAAATGACTTCAAACGAAAGCAACAAAAATACAAGAAAAAGAGTGGATTTTCTCAGATTTGGCAGTAAAATAAACAGAAACTCAAGGAACGTCGAATGCTTGCAAACACACGAGAACCTTGTGCGTTGGCATCGATGCTCAATACTGTACGATCGACTTCATTCGTTCATTCAGGCCTCACATTGAGGCTTTGTCTTCACGATTCAATACATCACATCCCGTTTCGCCGCATTTGACGCATTTCACTCTTTCATTCCGCTCTTCTTCTGGAACTGCAAATTCCGACACCTTCCATCACTGGTATTGTTATTTGTTGTTTGTTTGGTTTTTTTCCCCAGCAACAAGAACAAAAACCTGGTTTCACTTTTGGTTGTTTGATTAACTTGACAGGTTTTTTTTTTTTTTTTGCTTCTTTGGTCTCTCTCGACTCGACTCTCGCTGTCCACGCGTCGACAGCACACGCACACACACACACACACACACACACACTATCCAAACGAACACACGCACACGACTGCAGGGCATGAGGCGTATCGCAGCAGCCACGCGCGGCACAGCGCTGCTTGTCGTTGTGCTGATGCTGCTCATTTCACACATCGCAACAGCAGCCTTTTCTCACCGTCAGCTCGCGCTCTTGCACGACAAGCTGCTCGCCATGCACGTCGCAGACCAGCCCAGTGAACCGACACACAAGCAAGAGCAACACACAGCGCCCAGCAGTCATGTCCCAGCCGACGTACAAGCCATTGAGGCTGCGAACAATTCGCCTTTTGGACCTTACTCTGGCGCTCGTCACCTTCATCAGCAGGACCCTCAGCAGGACCCTCAGCAGGACCTTCAGCAGCAGCAGCAGCAACAACAACAACAACAACAACAAAAGCAGCAGCTACTTCGTGAAACACCTCGGGCTGCACTCGATCGGATTCACACCGAAGTGCGACTGGAAGCGCGCCGTCACGCCATGACGGGTGGATCGAGCCGCGCAAACAGCTGGCGCAATGCAGTCCTTGTCACTGGCGCCACTGGGTTTGTTGGCTTCCACAGCGGTACGTCCCATTGTCTTTTGCATGCTTTTGCTTTTGCTTTTTTTTTGCTTCTTGTCGGTTGGCGCAGCTTTTGAAACTTTGGTTTTCGTTGTTTTGCGTCAAACCGGCCGAGACAAAACCAGCCTCATGTTTCATCTCTGAAGTGCAACTGCAAACAACACTCTCCGAGACTCACTTTACTGGGACGTTGACATGCAACAGCGCTCGCACTGAAACGTCGGGGCGATTTTGTGGTTGGCTTGGACGGCTACTTGCCCGATTCCGACGCCACTCTCAGGCAGGCTCGAAAGCACGAGCTCACCAACAAGGAAGTGCCGTAAGTGTCGACGCACACGGCTGTGCAAAGTTTGGCAGGGTCTTCAAGCTGATGTTTTGGATGCCACAGAGTGATCAAAGGGGACGTCTGCGACAAGGAGCTGTTGCGAACGCTCTTCAAGGCAGCCGTCATCACCAACGTTCTGCATCTTGCGTCGCAAGCACAATCCAATGAGCAGCAGCAGCAGCAGCAGCAGCAGCAGCAGCAGCAGCAGCAGCAGCCCGAGGAGCTTCGCCATGACGTTCGATGCTTCGTTACCTTGCTTCAGGTCGGTAGAGCCGATTGACTGCTGCTCATTCTAGCTGTCTCTATGGACCAGCGTCATGTGTTAACCCGTTCACTTTTGTGTGCGACTAGGTTGTCCGCGAGTTCCAATCAGCCTCACGTCCCATCAGCGTTGTGTACGTTTCCGAGTAAGTTCCGTTCTCCCACTTTTGCCGCTCGCCTTCTTGAACCTGAACCCAGTATGACGCCTGTTTCGTTGAATCTCACCCGCGTCTGAGCAGCTCGACAGGCACCGCGGAGGAAGAGCTGCCCAGCTTGAGCACGGTTTCCCGCCACGACGTTGCGCAAGTCTATCACCAGTTCTACGGGCTGTTCCTGACTGGCATGCGGTTCTCCAACGTGTATGGGCCCTACGGCCAGCCGAACATGCCCTATTACTCGTTTACTGAGCGCATCCTGGCCGACCAGCCAGTGGTTGTGCAATACAACGCGAACGGCAAGGAGCCACAATACGACTTTGCCTACGTCTCCGACGTCGTGGACGACATTCTAAGATGCATTGATTATGAGGCCGAGTTTGAGGTGTTCAACCTGGGCAGCGGCAAGCGCGAGTCCTTGAGGAGCCTCATCGCACATTTGGAGCGGGGTCTCGGGCGGCACGCCAGGGTTGTCCGTGAGCAAGCGACTGAAGGTACGGCTGTGCAGAGAGTTGCCAATCCAACCATGGAAAGGGGTGCTATTCTGACGTTGCGACTGACTGTCGCATCTTGTTGTACACAGACGTTCTGACGCCAGATTCTTCGGAGGACATCCAACGGACAAGAAAGACTCTGGGCTACTCACCTCGGGTTGACTTGAGCGCTGGCATTGCACACTTTCTGAACTGGCACAAGCAGTTTCGAAGCCAGCAAGGCGGGCCTGCGCCGATGGTCTGAGTTGGAGTCAAAGTTGAAGTTGGAAATCTTAGTATTTGCACAGCATGTTGTGATTGTTTTGTACAGATTGTTCGTTCGCTCAAACCTTATGATGTGCAGCGTATTCTACTCTTATGAACGAGAGCCTTCCTACTCCAAGCAGTGAAGGACAGTTTGTGCTTGGACGGAAGGAAACTCGACAGCCAATCTACAATGCTGATTCAACCTTTGCCAAACCTGCAACCGCCCACTCGATTCGCCTTCGAGCCAAAATCTCCCGCTTTCCTTCCTTCCTTCCGAATAATCTGAATCTGAGCAAATCCAGTGTCTATTTCTCAGCGGCTTTCGTTGTTGGCGTTCCCACCGTCCCCCCCCCCATTTTCCCCAGACTTTAGATCTCCTCTTCAAATCCCATATTTCATCCACTCGTCCACTCTTCCAATCCCAGTTTCCAAAGCTCATCCTATTTCTTCATCATACAGCATCTCTACACACAATGTCGCGAGGCGGACTTGCACCGGATTTCCTGACAATCACTCCGACGCCGCAGCAACTCCAGCAGCAGCACGCTGCGTATCCTCCGCAGCATCACCCGCAGCAGTTCAATCCCTACGGCGGTGCGGGTGGGATGGACGGGTCGGGCGGTCCGCTGCGATGGGGCGTTCTGAACGTCTTCCTGCGCGACGCGGTGCTGGTCAAGAGCTACAGCTTGCTCAAGATGGACCCGTTCGTCCAGCTGCAGATTGCAGGCCGCTCTGCACGCTCAGCCACGGCCACCAAGGGCGACAAGAACCCGCGATGGAACCAGACAGTCAGCCTGTATGAACAAAAAATCGAAGACAACAAAATTTGAAAAAAAAATGCGAAAAAAGTGAAGAAAAGGGTAGTCGAAGTGGGAATGATGAAGAGAAATCAGTAGGAGAATTGTTGCTGTTTTATGAGCGATCGCTCTTACTAAAGCGAGCGATTCTCCGATTTTGATGACGTCTGCACCGCTCCCGCTCCCCCACTGGAAATCTCACTGCGTTTGTGCGTTTTGTGATCTGCCAACCAGGACTGTCCCGAACGGACATTCACACTTGGTGCTGACCATTATGGACGAGGTGAGCCCAAAGCAAAGGAGACGCCTGGAAAACTGCAGTAGACTACAGCTTGTTTTTGGCTGTGCTGCTCAGAACAAGGGGAAATCATGCCAAACGTGCGAACGAGCTGAGCTATTTTGACTGACACTTTTTGCGATCTTGGGATGACGCTTGGTGTGTGCCAATGTGGTGTGGCTTGACACGGAGCAGGGCATGACGAGCGACAAGGCGATCGCGCACTGCACAATCAATCTGGAGGAAGCCTTCACTCAACGCAATGTCCCCACCCGCCCGTACGACCTGCAAGGCAAAAACCCCAGCGAAGGCAGCATTCAGCTGGATCTCACATTCTTGGTAAGAAGCATCGAGGTCGAGGCGACGTGTTGCTTTTTTTTTTTCTCTCTTTGTGGAACAACACTCTAACGACAATTTACCTGTGTGTGTGTGATTGCTTGGTTGTTGAATTGTGACAGCCCGGCGCAATCTTGCAGGCAAACCCGGTCGTGTATTCGAGCGGTGATCTATTCGATCCAGCGGATTACGGATCTGTGCCGACAATCATCATGCCACAGCAACCGCCACCCATGATGTACCAGCCACAGCAGCCCATGCGGTACAACACTCAGCCTTCGCCACAGCAAGACGATGCGCAGAGGAACCAGCAGGCATTGGAGTTGCGCACCATGTTCCCCAACCTGGACTTGGAAGTCATTCGCAGCATTCTCGACTCCAACAACGGCAACGCAGACACGACGCTGACCACCTTGCTCGAAATGAATGAGGCTCATGTGGATGAATCCTCGACCTAATTATCTCGCTGGCCTGTGGCTTGTTTAATGTCGTTGCTGAAGAACAAACCAAAACTACAAAGACCCACAAAAACAAAACACCACAAAACTAACTAATGCCTGCGACTAACTAATGCCTGCGTTTCGGTTCTGCTTTTGTTGTCTTTGAGCGCTAATTGAGCTTTATGAGCTTGAATGTTTGATGTATTCGTGTGGAATCACAACGATTTTGAGCATCAGCATGCATCACAATTCAGACTATCAACAAGGGGAAAACGCCACAGCAAAAACAAGACCTCCGCAACCGTTTGTTTACATTTCCTGCAAATAGCTCGCGGGAGCAACGCCAGAGCGACTGGTGCCCTTGTGCTTGCAATGGGACCAGCCATCAGTGTCAGTATGCGAAACAATCACGACATCACCAACAGAAAGCGCAAGTTCGTCCACAGATTGCGGCTTGTAGTCGTACAGGGCGCGGAATGTCTTGCCAGCTGCTGCAGCACCGCCCGCGCCAGTCGGAGGGACCGGGGCATTTCGGCGAGGTGACGTGGCGGGCGCGGTCATCGCAACGGTCTCCGCATCTTTGAGATACTCGACGGACTGGCCACCCACGGCACTAGACTTCTTGGAAGACGCCGGCTTTGGCGAGCTCCTACGACGGCGAACAATCACGACGGCAAGAATGACGAGCAGAAGAAGTGCAACGACACCTCCAACAATGCCCCCAATGAGGGCAGCATTTGCGGAAGATCCGCCGCTGGTATTGGCATCGGGACGGTACGGGTCATTCGGGAAGGCCACCGTATCTTTCGCAATGTTCAGATAGGTGACGTTGGGCCACCGGAAGATGGTGGGCTGGTGTTCAAAATTGTACAGCTCGATCTGCTGGTTGGCCTTCTCAGACCAACTGTGGCCCCACGCCCAGAAGAAGGAGCGGTAATCGCGGCGGTTCAGCCACGAGAAGGCCATGACCATGAAATCGTTGGCTGGAATGGAGGTCGAGTCAAAGAGGCTGAGGCCGTAGTTGTCGCGAGCGGCAGTCCAGTTCTTCTCGGCATCAATGTTGCGCGACATGAGGTAGAGCATCGGGATGATCTGGAATCCGTCTTGTGTCCAGTAGTTGGTGCCGGCAATCTGGGATCCGTCTCGTGCCCAAGTATCCGAGCCCGAGAGGATGAGCGTTTCGTAGAATTGCAGATCGGCGGGTGTAAGGCCGGCCTCCGTCGGCGTCTGACCGTTGGCGATGGCATTCTTCATGGTCTGAATGCGGTCGGGAATCTCAGATCGGTCACTCCGGAGGGCCACTTGGTCACCAGCACGCGCGCGAGCATAGTTGACAGACAACGGGAAGATGTTGTTCGAGACTTCACCGGAAGCGTCATCGTTGATTTTGAAGCGGCCGTACTGAATGTTGTGGCCAAGCTCGTGGTGCTCACCCCAGCCATGAGGAGCAAATGCCCAGTCAAGGTCGATGGGATTGCCAGAGCAGCCAGCGCCGCACTGCGAGTACCAATCCGAGTTCATAAATTGCACGCTTGTCAGAACATGTTGAGGTCCGGTGTAGTTCATGCCACGCAAGCCAAAAGCAGCTGCCTTCTCGGGGATGCCAGCAATCGGCGGGTAGGGGACTTCGACCGAGGTAAAGCCAGCAAGCGCATAGTGATATTCGTAGAGGTACTGGCGGGTGTAGGTCATGAATTTGGTCACGTTGTAGTTTGTGACCGAGCCGACCTTGTAGGCGTAGCTCGAGTCCTTCAGGGATTGAGGCCCACGCTGGAAGTAAATGTTGACTTGCAGCTGCGGCATCAGGATTTCGGCAGAGCCATAAACTTTGCTGTTGACGGCGTCGATGAACGGCTGAACAGATCCGCCGGCAATGGCGTCATACACTGGGTGCTGGACGACATTTTCAAACTTGATCTGTACGTTTTGCACGGTGCCACTGGTGGACGGGGGAACGGTCACGTAAATGACGCCACCGTACGGGTTGTTGATCTTGACGGGCACATTGGCAGGCAGTGGGATGGAGTTTCCCCACAAATAGTACGGGCGGTTGGACGTGTGATCACGGTAAGCGTGTGTGTTGGCGCGAATGTGGTTGATGTGGACAGTAACCTGGCCAGTGGTGGAGACAGAGTCAGTGCGTGTGATGATGATGGTTTCACCAGAAGCCTGGCTGACGGTCGCGCTTTGGGTCGCAGTGTAGGCACGCGTTTTGAAAGTTAGGTTCTTGGTCAAACGAGGAACAGTGCCATTCAAAACGCGGTTGAAATCACCGAGATCAGCTTGCGCCACGCCGGAGGACCGCAGAGAAATGGCAAAGTTGTCGGCAATCACATTGCGGGCCCACGCCAAGGACGAGTTGCCCACATTGAGAGGGAACTTGACTTGTGCGCGGAGTTCATCGCCGGCGAGAATGAGCTGCTGCATGACAGGAGATGTGGGGTCTTCGACAGGGGAGACTCCTGCCGACTCCAAGTTTGTAATCAGGCTTCGGACGCGATTGGCAGGGGTCAGCAGCTCCGAACCAAACTTTGGGTCTTTTGTGCATGTGTCGTCGTCGCAAAGTGCAAGATTGAAGGTGAATCCGTTGTTCTTGTACTTGGTCAGCAGATCCTTGACATCAGAGTACAAGTACTGGACGCCAATCTTGGTGTTGATGGCAGCCACGGTATTTGGCACCTGGATGCGTTGCTGTTCCCACCAAGTGCCGCCGTACGGGAATGGCGCGATATCAAAAGCCCTTGAGCCGCCCATCGAGTCGTCACCCCAGCCAGCTTGATGAATGTACTATCCCGATCATTAAATTTCGACCCCCCCTCTTTTTTTCACTTTTTCGCCCTCCCTGGGACCTGTGTTGCTTTCCGTCTCGCCCGCGGAATGTTCATTCATGGTACGGTGTACCGAACGTCTGATGAACACCGGGAGCGGGGGTTGTGAGTCATATCAGAGCAGCAGCGAGCAAAATAAAAAATATAAGGAAACTCAAAAAATTCACTTTTCCCGCCCAAATTTTGGTTTGGGTTCAGTCTTTTTGTGCGCATGACTCGCACACGCAGTCAGTCCACGTCCCGCGTGGCTCCCAGACAGCCCCCGGTATGGCTGCGTCCAACTTCACCAAAAAGACCGCTGCCCGTGCTGGACAAGATGCCCAGGGAGGTCGTCCGCGGTCAAGTGCTCGCGTTGCGAAATGCTGGCCTCTCCTACAACAAGATCGCCACCCAGCTTCACCTCCCACGTTCTACAGTGATCAGCATCACCCAACGTTTCTCGGGAAGGGCGACGACGAGCGACAGCCCCCGCCCCGGTCGCCCCAGCAAGCTCAAGTCATTTCACCGCAACAACATTGTAGCACAGATCCTCCTCGATGAGTCCGACACCGCACCCGAAGTGGCCGCCACTATGCGCACATTGTCCAAAGTTCGTGTCTCTCCATGCACGATAAGAAGGGTGCTGCATGGTGCAGGACTTGTCAACGGAGCGAAGGTCAAAAAAGCCCTCTTGAAAGAGACACACAAAGAGCGACGCTTGGCCTTTGCACTCGCTCATCAGCATTGGACCGTCGATGACTGGCTGAGGGTCGTCTTCTCCGACGAGACTGCTCTCTATCTCTACAGGAACAACAACGGTGGTCGTGTATGGCGTCTGGTTGGCGAAACGTTGACCGATCGATGCGTGCAGGGCACGGTCAAGTTCGGCGGTGGCCATATCAATGTTTGGGGCGCCATCTCTCGTTTCGGAATTTCGCTTTTCTGCGAGGTCGGCGACGTCATGAACGGCGACACCTACCTCTCAGTTTTGGAGAGCGAGTTGCTAGCAAGCATTCGCGTGTGGAACAACAAAAACGAGATGATTTTCATGCATGACAATGCCCCTTGTCACAAAAGAAAAGATGTGGCGAAGTGGTTCGAAACCAATCAGATCACCGTCCTGGACTGGCCTGCGAACTCTCCCGACCTCAACCCCATCGAAAATGCGTGGAACATGGTCAAGAACAAGATCTACCAGGAGAGGGAGATCAAGAGCAAGGCCGCGTTGTGGGAACGCTTCCAAGCGGTCTACGAAGAAGTGCTCACGCCAGAGGTCTGCCGCGATCTCATTTCATCGATGCCGCGCCGCATTCAAGCTGTGATAGATGCCAATGGTGGTTATACCAAGTACTGAAGTGGAGCGAAGGCGCTGCGACACGTTGTTTGTGTGCCATGTAATGCTTTGTGAAAATTGGGCAAAAAATCCGCTCTTTTTCTGTTTTTTTGAGTTTCATTTTTGTCTGTTCTCGCTTCGAATCTTAACTCCCAGCCCGCTGCTTCACTTCTAAAATGTGTCTGGTACACCGTACCATGAATGAACATTCCGCGGGCGAGACGGAAAGCAACACAGGTCCCAGGGAGGGCGAAAAAGTGAAAAAAAGAGGGGGGGTCGAAATTTAATGATCGGGATAGTACAAGCATGGGAAGCCAGCATTAATGCGAGCGCGGAAGAAAGACTTGACGTCCACGGTGGGTGTTCCACTGCCAGACATGATGTGGAGCTCACCCGTTGCGAGACATGCCGTCAGATTCGACTGCAGGTTGCACACGTTGACCGTCCAATTGGGGAAGAACGACTTGAATGTGTTGACCCAGCTATTGGAGATGAAAGACACGGTCACTGTACGACTGGCGGCCCTCGCTGCTGCATAGTCCGCGCTGTTGGTGAGAAGCCACGCGATGACACGGCTGGTGGTGTTCTTGACTTCAACCGGCGCAGACGAGATCCAAGGATCAAAGCCAAAGACACCAACGCGGGTGTTTGTGGTTGCATCCAAACCAACGCCGGCCATAAGATAGGTCTGGCCGATCAAAACCGGGGTGATCTTTTCGATGCGGTTGAACTGGACGAGCTGGTTGGAGTTGGACGGGGTGTAGTCGATCGCGACGCCGTTCGTCAGCGCGAGAATCAGGGTTGCCTTGTCAGACATGCCGTTGATGGCCGCGAGGGCGTCGTCGACTTTCGTGGCTTGAGTTTGCGCAGTGTGCATCTGCACCATGCAGGCGACCAGCGCCAGAAGCACCAGAGCGGGTTGCTTCATTATTGTAGGGCAATGAGGAAGAACAAACAAATAACGTTTTGCCTGCTCGATCTATCGCAAAAAGAGACCAACATTCAACATCAAAGTTAGTCAATGTATGTCGATGCCAAGACGGATACGAAGAATGTGGGAGAACAAAAAAAAAAAAAACCAAACAAAAAAAACCTCGTCCAAAAAAACCCCAAACGGGAGTTGCGGTTTGGGCATTTTCCCATGACATGCAAACCAGTTTGTTGTTTTGTGTGCACTGTTTTGTGTTGCATTTTTGTCGGTGTATTTTCCTTTTTTGTTCGTGTTGTTGACAGCCGCAAGCAAAAACCACAGCCCACAGAACAACAATTTCCATTTCAGATTTGCCAATCGATTGGCAGACATGGGCTTGTTTCTGCGGGTTGTTTTGTGAGTCGCGCAGTGTCAGCCCCAAGCACGTCGAAGAAGGAGGAGAAGCAGGGGGGAGGATCAAGCGCGTTGATGGTGGGATGGAGGAAGATCAGAGGCGAAATAGAAGGGCGGAGGGTGAGTGTGGGGGGAATGGGTGTGAGAAACTCACAAGCGAAACAACAAATTAAAAAAAAAAATGGAGAAACGAATAAAAAGAAGACTGAACTTCAAAATGTTGGTTTGGATAAACTCATAACTTTGTTTCGATTGCTATTACGAGCATCAGCGCGTGTTGGAAGTGTGAGAATGTGTGTGTGTTGTGTGTGTGTGTGTGTGTGTGTGTGTGTGTGTGTTGAGGAGTGGACCGACGCGCATTCAAGACACACGGCGAGCAGCGAACGATCAAACCAGAGAACAAGACATGACGCATCGAATTTTTTCAGGTTTTTTTTTTTTATTTCGAGGTGTTCCACGTCAATTCTGTCCTGCGACATCAAGTCGAAAAAAAAAAGAAAGACAAAAAAACAAGAAGTAGAACCAGAAAACCCCACCCCCAGAAGCGACACGACTGAGATCGAACGGTCGATTTTTGTTTCTCGGTGTGATTCCCCTGTGCCCTTCTGCTTCCCCCTCCCTGTGCGAGTGCGCATCTTGGACCAAAGGATACTCCCCCTCCATCTCCATCCATCCATGCAAACCACAACACACATCAGAGTTCTCGCGGTGGACGCACGTCGATGCATGCGCTCAATAGACCTTCTTTTGTATTTTGGTGTAAACCGCAAGCGAATCTCGTTCTTTCTCTTTTTTCGTTTACTTGTTTTGTTGGCTGCGTGTCCAGCTTTGTTTATTCTGTTTCGCTAAAATTGTGGGAATCGTGGAATGAGGAAGGAATGGATTGAAGATGAAGAGTCGATGGAGTTGATATTGAGAAACGGGCGCGAATCCGATGAGAGCGAGGAAGCGGGAAGGTTGAAGAGAAATAGCGAATCGAAGACGGGCGATATGAAACCAACCACGACAACGGTTCGCTGTTCCCGGATGATGCATCATCTCTCGCCATTCCATTGCTGGAACGGAAGATAGGGAAAATGGAAGAGCGAAAGGAATGAGGAAGAAACGCAGAGAGCACAGACAGCGATTCAATAGACAGAGGCGGGGAAGAGCAGCAAGAGCGAGCGGCAAGAATTATGGTTGAGCGTTACAAGTAAATCAGCTAAAAGGGAAAAAACCAGAAAAATGAAAAGAAGAGTAATTTGATCACGGATTGGGAAGTTGGGAAAACACAGAGTGTCACGGTTGGTCAAGGAACATCGAATCATCCGAAAGAGTAACGGGGGGGGGGGAGAACCAGCGAGGGAGAACCAGCGAGGGAAAGGGGGAGAAGAAGCGAGCTGAAGGACAGCGAAACAAAACAAAATGTCGAAACAAACAATTTCGCCAAGCCACCGGCCACCCAACGCCAGCCACAGTCCGTGTTACAATGGATGACGTAGGTTACAAAGGAAGAATGTCACGAATCACACCAAAAACAAAGAAACCGACAACTGTGCATGGATCTGCCGTTGCACTCTGAACCAAAGCTCGAACAAGTGCAAACCGCACACACACGCAATGACACAACTTTGTGGTGAAGGGTCAGTGATGGGAAAATTTCCGATGCTGGAAATCTGGCCAGGTGCTCAGTGCTGCCCGCAGATTGTACGACTGATGACGGGCTTGGGTGCTCGCCTTGTCCTACCGCTTACCGCGCCCCTTGCATTCCAGGATTCAGCAAGGTAGGGCGACAAACAACAAGGCAGCCTGAGCACTCTTTCGCAGTTCTCGCCGTGTTTTCGTCAACAATGAAGGTTTGCAGTGTGATGATTGTAAAGTTTAATCAACCCAACTGCATATCTAGCAGAACGGCACATCCACACACACAAACCAAAACAACATCACCCTTCACGAAATCGGCTCGCTTGGTGGTGGCTGGTGTGCTGCCCCTCAACAACCACCCCGCTTTATCTTGGTTTACGAACGGCGGGTGAGCTGCTGGAGATAACGAAGCACAACGGAAAAGTCCTTCTCGCTGAGCTGGGCGTCAGCAGTGACGGTGTCGTAGATTTCCTTGGCGCGGGAGCCCATTGGGGTCGGGGCGTTGGCGCCCTTGGCAGCGTCGAGGGCGAGGTTGACGTCCTTGAGCATGAGCTTTGATCCAAAGCCGCCGTTGTAATCGCGGCTGGACGGGACGCCTTCGATGACGCCCGGGAACGGGTTGTACACTTCGCTGGACCAGCAGCGACCCGAGCTCGTGTTGATGATGCCTGCAAGCAGCTTGGGATCGAGGCCCATGGTAACGCCGAGATTCATGACCTCGCTGGTGCCAGCCATGGAAATGGCGAGCAGGAGGTTGTTGCACAGCTTTGCGACCTGGCCGTTGCCTGCAGCACCGCAGTACACAATGTTCTTGCCCATCGCCTGCAACAAGGGCTGCGCGCGGTCGAAGGCGGACTTCTCGCCGCCGACCATAAAGGTGAGGGTGCCCTTCTCAGCGCCACCGACGCCACCGGAGACTGGGGCATCAATGAAGGCGCTTGCCAGGTTCTTTGCAACGACGTCCTTTGCGATCGCGCGTGAGATGGACGGATCGATGGTGGACGCGTCGATCAGGAGCGAGTCCTTCTGGAGCGCCTCGAAGATGCCACCTGCGTTGTAGTAGACGCCCTTGACGTGGGGGTTGGACGGCAGCATGGTGACAATGTTCCTGGCCTGCTCTGCGACTGCGCGCGGGGTGGCTGCTGGGCGCGCACCCTCGCTCGCGAGATCACGCACGGGCGCCTCGTTCACGTCGTTGACAATCACAGGGTACCCAGCACGAAGCAGGTTGCGCGCCATGTGCTTGCCCATGTTGCCGAGTCCAATAAACCCAACGGCAGGCTTTGCGCCAGTCGCAGCGGACAACGCAGAGGCAGAGGTCGACAGGGAGCGACGCGTGGACGCAGCAGCAGCAGCAAGCATGACTTTTTGTTCAGTAGCCGATTGTTATGACTTTGGGAGAAAGGGAGTGATCGTCCAGTGCTTGTTGTGAATTATTGATTGGTACATTGGGATGAGGTTGGATCTTGCAAAAAAAGGGAGGTTGGAAATCAACAGAGACGAGTCGAGTTGAGTGAGGAGCAGCAGCTCAGTAACATTGCCTGGCTTATCGACACACACCACCAATGTCGTACAAAGTCACACACCATCTTCCATCATTCGGATCAATCGACCGAGGTGGACGGGTTGCTGAGCCGCGAGCTATTGCATTGTAGCTTTTCTTGATGGTAAGCAGGGAAGTCACAAATTTATTCGCTAAACGCATCTAACAACGAGCGATTCAAACAGCACATCTCGGGCAGACTTGCTGGGTTGAACCTGAACTTGCCAACCCACGCGGATTTGCCTGATGATAGGAGTACTCGCTGGCCAGAGCGTCGCGGATACGAGCGTAGAATCGACAAAAGTAGCTTTCGCCGCGTATTCATATTGAACAGCACCTTGCTCATCTCGAACAATCAAGTCAAAGACATTGTCACCGATGCGGTGGTAAAGTTTCTTCGTGTCCCGAACCACTTGAATTGCTTTCACACGGGTCGAATTTCCATAGATGCTTTGAGGCACTGTGACCTTGACATGACGGTCATCGTACGGGCTTCGTTTGGTATGCTGCACGCCTTGCCAGTGTTGCGCTTCGTCCATAATGATGTCGGCAATCTCGGCTGGTAATGCTGGTAGAAGTGAGGACTGATCCTCTAGCGCCGGTTCGCCGGTCAGCAAGCAAAATACGGTCTGAAGGTCGTCAGCGGTTGCTACGCGTGGAAGTAAGGAGAATGCTAGAGGGTTAATCTGGTCGTAAATGCTGCGCAACATGAATGAGCAATCGGAAGGCACACTCCGTTGGTTGAAGCAGCTCGTGTGAGCTTCAATGGCTTCGTTTGGCAAGGACAACTTAGCTTACGTAGGACCCTGTGTGAATTGATTGCTTGAGCACAAGCATTGCTAATGCAATCTCGCACTAGACTGTTGAGCAACGCAAGTGAGTGAGCAGGATGACCCTGGCTCCAAGTCAAAGTGCACGACACCGTACTAAACTTCCACCAGCTTCGGGTTCATCTTGAACACTTTGTTAATCGCCTGGGCTCCAGCATCGCCAATCTGATTGTCTTCCAAACTGTGCGTTCCATCCATCAGTTAGCTCTCTGCGCCAATTGGAACTATGAGGGATAGCTGTCTTACTAGAGCCAGGACATTGTCGAGTTCACCTTGAGTGCCCCAGCAATCGCCTGCGCTCCCGCATCGCCAATCTCATTCTCATCCAAACTAGTCCACACAATCAGTGCGCACTCTGTGTGCCCTCCACTGAATCATCCACTCACAAGCATCTGTCAAAGTGCGATGCCTTACACGAGGAAGCGCAGTTTATTGTTCACTTTGACTGCCTCTGCAATCGCCTGCGCACCAGCATCGCCAATCCGATTTTTCCCGAGACTGTCCGTCCCCTCCATCAGTGAGCACTCTGCGTGCCCTCTGCTGAATCATCCACTCACAAGCATCAGTCAAATTGAGATGCCTTACTGAAGATAGCGCAGATTCTTGAGTGACTTAGCGATCGCATTTGCTCCAGCCTCGCCAATATACCCCAAGTCCAGCCTGTTCGTCCCTTCCATCGGTGAGCCTTCTAAAAGCCCTCTACTACAATCACCACTCGCACGCGTTAGTCAAAGTGAGATGCATTACCTGAGATCAGTCAAGGTCGTGTTCACTTTGAGTGCCTCAGCAATGGCCTGCGCTTCTGCGTCGCCAATTTGACACATACTGTCGGTCCGTTCCATTCAACGAGCACTTTGAATACCCTCTGCTACCCAATCACATGCATCAGAAACTATGATATGCCTGACCTGAGACGAGTCAGCGTGTTCATTTTGAGAACTTCAGCCATTGTCTGCGCTCCGGCGTTGCCAATCTTGCCCAAACTGTCAAATTGCTCCATCAATGAGCCTTTTGCTGAAAAGACTCGCACTGAAAAGCGTCAGCCAAATTGATGTGATTTACTGGAGCGTTCGCAAGGACGTGTTCACTTTGAGTGCTTCTGCAACTGCGTTCGCTCCAGCATCGCCAATCTGATTGTAGTCCAGGCTGTTCATTCCCTTCCATCAGTAAGCACTCTGAAGACCATCTCCTGACATCACTCATTCACAAACATCAGTTAAAGTGAGATGCCTTACCCGAGCGAAGTCAGTATTTTGTTTACTTGGAGCATCTCAGCAATCGTCGTCGCTCCAGCATCGCCAAGCTTATTCTTGTCCAAACTGCTCAGTCATTGTAAGCATTCTGAACACCTCTGCTGGACCATCCACTCACATCAAAGTGAGATGACTTACGTGAGCTGGGTGAGCGTCGCGTTGACTTTGAGTGTTTCAGCAATCGCCTGTGCTCCAGCATCGCCAATCTGATTATTCCATAGCCTGTCCACATCCCCTCCATCAATGAGCACTCTAAATGCACCCTGTTGAGTGAAAGTGACACCCCTTACTCGATCTTGATCAACGTCTTGTTCACTTTGAGTGCCGCAGAAAGTGCCTGGGCACCAGCATCCCCAATCTGATTCGCACTCAGACTGTCCACCAATTAGTAAGTACTGGCAATGCCCTCTACTAGATCACCCACTCACATACATCAGTACAAAGTGAGATGACATACCAGAGCCTCTCCATCGTCGTGTTCACTTTGAGTGTCTCAGCAATCGCTTGTGCCCCAGCATCACCAATCTGATTATCATTCAGACTTGTCCGTCCCATTTACCACTGAGCACTCTGAATGCCTCTGCTGAAACCACCCACTCACATGCACTAGTCAAAGTGAGACGACTTACTTGAGCTTTGTCAGCGTCGTGTTCAGCTTGAGTGCATCAGCAATCGCCCGCGCACCATCTTCGCCAATTTGATTGTCGTACAGACTGTGCATTCCGTCCTTCCGTGAGCACTCTAAATGCCTCTGCCCACTTACATGCACGAGTCAAATTGAGATGACTTACTCAAGCTTTCGCAGGTCCGCATCGAGTTTGAGTGTCTCAGCAATCGCCCGCGCTCCAGCATCACCAATCTGATTGCCCCACAGACTGTCCATCTCCTCCCATAGTGAGCCACTCTTAATGTCCTCGGCCGAAGCCACCCACTCACACTCCTCACTCGAAGCGAGATGACTTACAAGAGTTTCTCCACGTTCGGGTTGCCTTTGAGTCCCTCAGCAATCGCTTGTGCGCCGGCATCGTCAATATTCTCGCACTGCTGTCTGTCCTCCATTTCATCAGTAAACATGTTGTCGCACTTTCTTTCCAATACTTCCGGCTCTTTCTTACTCGAACGATGTACTGGCCTTCTTGACTTTGTCGTACAACTTGCGCTGTCTCGCGCTCATACTTTGATACGACAGCATTTTCTCAATCTATCAAACAACAGGAATGAAGTTTCAGTCCGTGTCTCTGATCGCGTTTGCTCACGCCACAACATCAATCTCTCACACGCAGAGCAAGAGGCGAGGCCAGACGGTGTGCCAAACGCACAGGCTCAAAAAAAAAAAAAAAAAAAAAAAATCAATACAAACTCAAACAAACAAACAATCAAACCTTTCCACCCACTATCAAGAAGACTGAAAGCGTTGGGCAGTGGAAAGCAAAGGCAAACATGCAGGACATGTTTCGAATGACGTCTTGTGGTGGAGGGCAAGCAAACTACCCGCTGACAAATTTTGCTCGTTTTCGTTCCCCTTCTGCGCTCTCCTGAAGGGTGTTTTCAAGAATGCTAAAGCATGTTCCTCAGACCAACCCCTCCTTCAACCTCAATGAGCATCGCTGGTCAAGACCGTACGTCGTGTTTGGCCAAAACTGAGCCTTCCAATCCTTGCCAGTCCTTGTTTTTTTTTTTTTTTTTGTGGTTTCTCAGACTAGAATGGCCAATGCTGCCGTTGCGTGTGTCTTGTTTGATCTCGACGGGACGCTTCTCGACACTGAGCCGCTCTCTGACATTGCCATGCAGGGTGTGCTAGATCGCTTTGGCAAGACGGTAGGTCGGGGTCGGCAAGGTCGATACGAGTCGTTTAGCACCGTTGGCTGAAAATTTGGCGCGATTTTTGACTCCAACTTTTCCGAAACCAGATGTCCTGGGAGCTCAAGCGCAAGATCCTGGGACTCAAGGGCAGCGACTGGTCTGTGATTGTCGTGGATCACTTTGGCCTGCACGGACTGATCGAGCCGGCCGCCATCGTCGATGGCTGGGAGACCAACTTTAAGCAGCTCTACAGCCGAGCGCAGAAGCTGCCTGGCGCCGACCGCATCACTGCGCACCTGGCGCAGCTGGGAATACCCATGGCCATCTGCACGTCGTCCAACAGCGCGGCGGTCGAGCTCAAGCGCGCTGCTCACCCGGAAATGTTCGCCCGCTGCACGCTCGTCGTCACTGGAGACGATCCTGAACTCAAGAACGGCAAGCCATCGCCAGATATCTTCCTACTCGCTGCAAAGAGACTTGGCATGCGGCCAGAGCAATGTCTTGTGTTCGAGGACGCACTGTAAAAATGCCAGAGCTTTTGAACTTGTGTCGAATCCAACGTGGCACTTGATGATGTGGACTTACTGTGTCTTGTATTGTCACGACTTGCTTGACATTCATCATTTTGGCATGTTCTATGCACTCTCTACCATGATTCCAGCTCTGGTTGCCAAGCGGGTAAGGATACTGAGAGGATTGCTTTTTTTTTTTGGGTTGATGTTGGCTGTTTCTTTTGTCTCATTCGCTAGACCTTTTGCTTGGTGCTCGCAGGTGTTGCGGCAGGGATGCGAACAATCGTCATTCCAGATACGCGGCTCGACAGGCAACCCTTCGAGATTGCGACAGAGATTCTCACGTCGCTGGAAAGTTTCCAGCCAGCTGTTTACGGTTTGGCGCCGTTCTCGGGTTGAGATACTGTACATTATTTAAAAAAGAGCTTGGAAACCACGCTATTATTTCGGAATCTCTTTCGCTGTATTTCCCTTCATGTACAATGTAAAACCAAGTTTCTCGAGAACAGACGGATGAACAACCAAAATGATCGCCCCTTTCCCTACTCACCACTCAGCACACAATCACTCAAAACAAACACACAAGCCACTACACGACCACAGAGCACAGCTCTCATAAAAAATTCATTCGCACCTTTTAGACAAATCTGATTACACATCCGAAACAGAGTGAGCGTTTTGGCTCACTAGCTTTCCAAGCACGGCCATAACCTTGTCGGGCATGTGGTCTGCCACCATCAATGGCGACACGAGAATGTGATCAAACTCGGTCACTTCTGCCCAACGCGCCGCATACACGCGTTCCTTGGCCAGACCGCAGTGGGTTGTCCGCGACTTTGTCTTGACCATGTGCAGCACTCGACCAGGCATGTACATGGCAACTGGTTCGGGATCGGACGCACGCGCCCGATTGTAGCTTCCTAACAACGAGGCAGACTCGTCCTCGTCACTCGTGGGAAGGGCAGAGTAACCAGCGCGACCAGACGATCGCAACGACGCTGGTTGTTGAGAGTTTCCATGGGAGGACGAGGGCGGTGATGATGATGATGATGATAATAATGATGCTGGCTCAGGATTGCTCGCAAGCGTGGTGACATCACTCATCTGGCGGGACGTTGGCTGCTGCGTCTGGGGTTTTCTGGCTGATGGGATGTCAATCTCGACGTCCAGACCAAGAGCGCGGGCACGGTCCTCTGTAAACTCGCCTTCGGCTTCGTGATTCGTCCCACAGCAGCATCCGAGCGGACTGCAGCAAATGCTGCACGTGGCGTGGCCCAGAATATTCCACTTGGCAGCACGGGACGCCGAAACAGCGTGCACCAGCTGGTCACGCAGCAACTCGGCATTGCGTCGACCAAGGCGCGGGACCACATCCTTGCCCAAGACGATGGAGATGATAAAGTCTTGACAATACCGGGACAGCTCGTGGCTGACCATGGCACCAGGGCAAGAGTACGCATAGCACGTCACCTCTGGGTGCTCGGGACGCAGCAACAGTGTCAGCAGACTGGCAGTACCGGCGCCGAGAGAGTGGCCAATCACGACCAAGCCAAAGCCTTCGCAATGGCCGCCAGGGCCAAGCAGCGCCTTCAGTACACCCACATTGTCCAGCGTCGTCTTGACACCTTGAGCGGCATGGAAGATGCCACGGTGGACGTACGAGTCAAAGTCGGTGCCCGGGATGCGCACTTTCTCTTCTGCAGCAATGAGGTCGACGACGGCATCGTCAAACGACAGCGTGCCGCGAACAGTGATGACGACGCATCGCCGCGAATGGTCGATGGCGACATAGAAGGGCGTTTCGAAAACGCGGTTGCTAAAGCTCACGTACGCAATGTCACAGTTGTTCAGCCCCGACTGCTTTTTGAGCGCGGCCAGGTTGCAAGAGCAGCAATTGTCGCCAACATAGACGTCCTTGGTGGTCGCGGGCCGCGAGGTGTGAGTTTGGGCATTCGAAATGTCATAGCGTGCAAACTGGGGCTTGTTGCAGCAAGGGGTGCCCTCGCAGTTGCACACGTTCAGGCGGCACAGACCGGTGCACAGGTGCATAAAGAGGTAGAGAGGCCAGCCGTAGATGCCCAGGGCCAGCTTACCAAAGTGGTGCACTTCCGCAAGGTCGGCCGCATCGACTTCGGCATGCAGGCCAAGGCTGCTCGAGTGAGCTTGCGTTACCTGGTCGTAAATCCTGGTGGCGGGCCTGGTGCCCGACAGGAACGATCTGGACACGCCGCGCGTGGCAGGCTGGCCGTTGGCAGTTGGGTAGTACGGCAGCGGGCCGGTGGAGGTAAACCGGGGCGACAGAGGGCGAGAATTGGAGCCCAGCTCGCTGCTGCCAGCAGACTCTGCACCATTGACGCGGGCGGCCTTGCTAATGATGCGTCGGCGCTCTTCCACACGCTGCCGAGCGCGCAAAATGGCCAATCCGGCGGCAATGTCGGACGGGACGACATCGAGGTGCTTGAAAAAGCCGGCCAAGAGCTGCGCGAGCTCCATCCAAATCTGCCCATTGCCAAACGCCGTTTGCGAGGACGAGCCGGCGGGGAGATCGTCCGACACACAGCAGAAGAGGCATCGCAGCTTGGACGCCCACGCTTTGGCGTACGCCTCGGTGGCGCGGTACTCGGAGCGCGCTCGTGGGTTGGCAATCGAACCCATCGGATCAAACACGAGCCAAAAGGAGACGAGCTCAATCCCGACCAGGCACCAGTTTGCAATAATGATGGCATGCAGCACATCGGTGACGACGTTGTCGAGGTCCTCCTCGCACGAGAGGCGGTCTTGGAAGAAGATTTCGTCGACACCCCACCCCGCGAACGCCAGCTCGAGGACGCTGAGCGCAAGTCGAGCCAGGAGCAGGCTTGGGATGGCTTTCCTTGCGCGCGAGTTCAGGATGCTTCCTTGCAACGAGGTCCGCACAATGACGAGCTCCAGAATCACCACGACGCCGTACAGACCGAGACCAGCGAGCAGGTACGCCTGCAGCACGTCAAACCCGTCGCATTCGCCGTAGCGCGACGAGGCGTGCGTATAAATGACAGCGAGGCCCGCAATCCTATGATGCATTTTCGGTTGATCTCAAAAAGTCAGTAATTTTTTTCTTCTGAAGCCAGTTAGTTGCTCAGAGAGTTTGTTAGTTGCTCAGAACGGCGCTTTTTGTTCCGCTTCGCTCCCTTGCAAGCGATGATGGCTGTCTCGTTGTTTTTTTGTCTTTCTTCTTCTTCTTCTTCTGTATGTTTGACATAGCAAGTCCCTCATGCTCAACGATACAGCGTCTGAGTCTTTTTGGGGTGTGATGTCCATGCACTGCATTGTCAACTGAAGAAGCAGTCCCACCACCGCCTCATCCGCTTTGGCTCCATCCGCGTTGAGCTCTCAACTATGTATCACCAATCTTCACTTCCAGTTGTGGACTGGAGCAGCGTGTTGTGTGACTGGCTTTTGATGCTTTGGATGGCGTGACTCGTTCCCTCCCAGCCTCACTCTTCACTGCCCAGCACTCGCTTGACTTTGCTGGCTGCTTCTTCTTGTTGTTGTTGCTGTTGCTGTTGTTGCTGTTGCTGCTGTTGTTGTTGCTGTTGTTGTTGATGGGCCTTGTCCCTTACCACAGCGATCGCAGCGCAACAGTGACCAGGTCGGGCAGCACAAAGTCGTCCGAGCCGACCTGCCAGCGACGACCAAGAAAGACCAGCGCCGGCATAGAATCAGTAACGCGAAATTCGCTCTTCTAGTCGAAACAAAAAAAGATACTAAAAACTCAAAAAAGAGTAACAAAATAAAAATCGACTGAAACTTTTTTTTTCTTATTTTGTGTTGAGAATTGTTTCAGATTTGTGATTTTTTTAAAAATTTTCAACCAATAAATTCCAGTCGTCTAATTTTCTCAGATTTCCCGACAGAAATGTCGTTCTGGACTGCTTTCCGACTGAGCGGCAGCAATGTCAGGATCGCGGCAGCTTCATTCGCCCGAGCTGGATTGTCGCGCATGCGTCCATCCACAGCAGCAGCAGCAGCAGCAGCAGGCATGTCCATGTCCACGATGGCGGCGCCTGCTGCTGCTGCTGCTCAGCCGCGTCGGATGCGCGCGCTCGCGTTGGCTGCGGCGTCTGGCTTTGCTGCAGTTTCCATTGCTGCGGCTGCCATTGCAGCGGCAAAGCGTGAGGTTGTCCGCGCAGAGCCGCCAAACACGACCCAGCACGACACTGAATGTAACAACATCATGCAAAAGTCATGCCTGCCTCCAACGGTTTGAGTCCGAAGAAGAGAGCTGGAAAATTCTGAGAATTGGAGAAATCTGGCATATTTGGAAACTCAATTTTCGCTCGCGCTTGTCCTTGGTGACGACGTCACTGTGTTATGATTAGATGCGTTTGACAAGAGCTCAGGAGCACGGTTTCCGACACACTTGACGCTGGCAAACACGAACCTGGCGCTGGTCGGAACGGGCGTGCGCACAGTCACCTTCTTGCAAGTCCAAGTCTACGCGATTGGGCTCTATGTTCCAGACTCGGCGGGGTTGAAGCTTGCCATCCAACGTCACCGTGTAGGACGATGAGAATTGCTGCGAGGTTGAAGTCGTGAAAGAACGCTCATTCATTTTCACTCAATGTGCAGGACCAACTTGTGCCATCCACTGCCGCCGAAACCCTGATCAACCTGAAGCAACCGCTCTCCATTCGTTTGGGTATGTCAAAGCCTCTGCACGTCGCACCAAAATGGCTTGGAATGCTGAAAAATGTCGCCTCAACGTGTGTGTGACTTGATCCGATTTTTGCGCGGGTGTAGTCGCTGTGCGCAACCCCGATATCAAGCATTTGCGAGAAGCCCTTGGTCGCGCAATGGCGGCACGATTGAAGCACATCCAGGATCCTGTGGAGCGTGCGGGCGCTCAGATGGCGGTCGACCAGTTCAAAGCCTTGTTTCCTCAGGGCAAAATCGCGCCTGGCGATGCCGTCGACTTTGTCCTGCGCCCTGACGGCGTCTTGCAACTGTCTTTGCGGGTGAGCTCTTGCGTCCCCCCCCCCCTCCCTTCTTTACGAGTGATGACACAAGCATTCGTCCATCCGAACTCTCTCATTTATTGTTGTTGAATTTTATGGTTGTACGTTCCAGGGTGAATCTCTCGGGACTGTCGCATCCAAGTTTGTTCAAACTTCCATCTTGGACACTTATATTGGCGCGTCGTCTGTCTCTCTTGAGGTATGTTACAGGATGCATTGCATCTTTTGCACCGATCTGCTGATTTGCATGTGCTCTCACTCACTCTCTCTCTCTCTCTCATGACGTGTGCTTAGGCTCAACGTAACTTTCTGAGTGGTCTGCAAGCCTTTGCTTCCCAATGAGCCGGGTTCCCTGCCACCTCCAAAGAGTTGAAACTTGTACTTTTTTTTTTTAAAACTGTATTTTTCTCTGCCTGGGTCCATATTCGCCCCTGTCGTGTTTCCTCCCCTCCTCTCTATTCCATTGCGCTTGATCCACCTTGTGATTGATTCCAAATGCCGGTGTGTGGCTTCTTTTGGAGGAGCACTTCACTCCTCTGAATGCACTGCAGTAGCGGCTTGTGCATTTTAACACGGCGATTTCTTACTAATCCATTCACCCTTCGGGCCGCGCTGCCTACCTTTTCCTCCGCTACACTTCGCTGCCTCACATTATTCAGCTCCACCTCCGCTCTCCCTCCGGCCACCCCAATGCAATCCTCCTCCTCCTCCTCCGCCGCGACTACGACTGATGCTGGCCCTGCGCCAGTCTCGCCCGACCTGCTCTTCGTCCACTCGTCCTCCATCCAAGCCTCAGGCCGCGCAGCCCTCGTCGACGCACTCCGCAACGCAGCCGCGCCGCACGCCCCAGTGGTCAGTCCCGCTCAGCAAGCATCGTCCATTGGACCCAAGGTCGACCAGGGTCCCAAGGTCGGCCCAGGCCCCAAAGTCGGCCCAGGCCCCAAAGTCGGCCCTGGTCCGAAAGTAGGTCCCGGTCCCAAGGTCGGCCCAGGCCCCAAAGTGGGTCCAAATGTTGCTGGAAGTGCGTCTGTGCCGCCAGCTGCCGTCACGGCGGGCTCGGTGAGCGTTTCCGCACCAAATGGACTGGATATTCGCGATGCCGGCGAGACGCCCGATATGGTCGTCACCGCCGTCACGACCAAGCCAAACCCTGGTGCTGCGTTCGAGCCGGCACTCTTCTTTAAGCAGCTCGACACGCTGAATCTGGGACACACGCTGCTCTACGGACCGCGGCTGTCGTCCACCCAGCGCCTGCTCACAGACACATTCGTGCACGTCTCGCAGCTCCCGACCGGCTCTGTTTGTCTTGCCGACCGCCAGTACTCGGGCCATGGCCGCGGAGGCAATCTGTGGGAGTCGCCCGAGGGCTGCCTCTGCTTTACACTCAAGGTTTCGCAAAAGAAGCCCGAGCGTCTGGTCTTCATCCAGTACCTCGCCGCGCTGGCCATCATCCGTGCCATCAACGGCACCTCCCTCGGCATCCGCTTGAAGTGGCCCAACGACATTTACACGGTGGATGGCCTCAAGGTGGCAGGCATTGTGTGCAAGACAGAGTACCGCCACGAGGATGCTTCCTTTGACGTTTTCATCGGCGTGGGTATCAACGTGGCCAACAGCAAGCCTACTACGTGCCTGAACGACATTATCGAACAACGCGGAGCTGCTGGTGCCGAGTTCTACACGCGCGAAAAGATGCTTGCCTCCTTCCTGAACGCGTTCGAAACCATGTACGCCGAATTCGGCGGCGGCTCGGCCCAGAGCGGCACCGGCGGCGAAGGCGCTGGATTCTCACAGTTCATCTCCGAGTACACGACCTCCTGGCTGCACACGGACCAGATCGTGACTCTCGAGGAGGATGCTGCCGTTGTGCGAGTCAAAGGGCTCACGCCGACTGGCTTTTTGCTGGCGGTGGACGACGTCACCGGAGTTCCCTACGAGCTGCAGCCTGTACGTGTTGCATTGAATCATTGCTGAGTGTCGTGGATGCGCGAGGGAGAGAAGTGTGGGTGTGTGTGATTGTCAGCAAACATTGTATGTGAGTGATTGACAAACTCGCTCTTGTCATGTGTGACTGCTTTTTTTTTGGCCGCAAAAACAAAAACAGGATGGCAACAGCTTTGATTTCTTCAAGGGCTTGATCAAGAGGAAGTTGTAATATTCTGTGCACGTTTTACAGTTCGTCAGTACGCACGCGCTGTCACACTGTGATGTTTCAATCAACCTGGCTTTCTTCTTACTCGAGCTGTCCACTCGCATTCTTGACTTGGTCATACACCTCGCGTTGTCTCTCCGTCATACTCTCATAGGACAGCATTGCAGCAGGAAGCGTTGAATCAATAGAAAAAGACTGTTGAAGCAAAATTCTTATTAAACAACATAAAAGTACACAGCCAGAAACAAAACCAAAAACGTCCAAACAAATACAAACCGAGAACATCCGCCGGGAACCAGCTAGGAAAAAAAAAAAAAATCAATCATCATACTCTCGATCTTCGGCAATCAGAATGGAAGTGTGGCAGACTGGACACTGCCCTTTTGTGAGCAGCCATGGGTCAATGCACGCACTATGATAGCGGTGAAAGCAGGGCAGGGTCTTGACAAGCTCGCCATCGTCGTACGCTTGCCGACACACTTGGCATTCTTCCACCTCTTCGTGCATCGCAGCACTACTGGCGAGAGGGGAGGATAGAGTCGGCGTGTTGCTCGGTACAGTCGCGGTACTGGAGCGACGCGATCGATACGCACTGGTGGGAAGGCTGGAGGACAGAACAGCAAAGTCGTCGGAAGAAAACACGCTGCGACTGTTCCGCGCAGGAATGTCTCGGCGTGTAGACCACGGAGTTCCAGAGGTGGACGGCACGAAAGGAAGCGACTGGCGAGTCATACTAGGCGTTGTCAAGCCCGACGCGGAAGCAGCCTCGGCAGCTAGCTCGCGCTCAAACTGAGCCGCCAACTCTCGGGCCATTTCTTCATCGCGTCGCGTTTGATCAAGAAGGGTCTGTCGGCGGATGCTGCGCTCGTTTTTGCTCGTCGAATCGGTCGCTTGCGCGCGAGTTGCAGGGGCGACCGGAGACGCACGGGCAAGGTGGTCGGCAAGGATTTCGGTGGAGGTGCTGGCAAGATTGGCCGTGCTCCCCATTGCAACACCACCACGGCTGCTGCTGCTGCTGCTACTACTACTGCTGCCGCTCGCAAGCAGAGCAGGCAGTGCTGCTGGCATGGGATCCTTGAGTTGTACGCTGAACTGCAGAGCGAGCGCAAAATCTTCAGGAAACAGGTCGCTGTTTCGGGCACTGGTGTTCATCTCCGACCGTTGGACGTACAGAGTACTCTCGGCAACAGACACCTGACAGGTGTGGAAGGTCGTATCACATAAAAGAATGCCAGGACCAGCGTTCGACATGCAGTAGACTTTGAGCCAATAGTCGCCACTCAATTCTCGATTGACGGCAAAGGCCACAGTGGTTGCTCCTTGGGGCAACGACTTTGGGCCGCGATCGGCGACCATGGAGGAATAGACAACGTCGCCATTGCGGGCAATCAAGATTGACAAGCGATAGGGCGTCGTCGAGGGTTTGACCAAGTTGGGCAACGACGCCAACGAGATTGACTGCAAGACCACTTGATAACATTTCGTGCTCTGTCGAGGGTGAGCCGTGACCATGTCGATGTCGTCACTGGCGTGCCTGACAGCTGCATGGCCCGCCCCGCTATTCCGGCGCGAGCGCGAGCCGCTCGAGCCAGAGCTAGTTCGTCCGCGCGGGGCCTCGTCCTCCCACAAGTCATCTAGATCACCGCGCGCAAGCAGTGCGAGTTGCCGGGGATCGGCTTCCGGCGCGCTAGCCTTTTGTTTGGCGGAGATGGACGCACCGAGAGTCGTCTGAATCGAGGCGGACAAGAGGGCGCCGAGACGCATGCTGGTGGAATTGTCGCGAGCAGAGCTGCCAGCGTTGCCACCATTGTGGTGCGATGCATCGACACCAGCACCGCTGCCATGGTCTCCAGAGTGCGGCGGCTCGGCGCCACTGTTGCCGTTGGCGCTGTTGACGCTCGAGCTGCGATGGCGGCTGATGGCATGCCAGCTGGCGTTCGACACCAAGCGCGAGGTGTCAATGAGCACGTCGCAGTGGCCTTTGCGCGCGAGAAGCTTAATCCACGCCAGCACAAACCGGCGGTGGGACGGTAGCGTTTGGCCTGTTGCAGCAATCAGCTCTTGGCAGGCGGTCGCCTCACGCTGGTAAAAGTCCAGCACTTCGGCCCCTTCCGTCGCCTGCAAAAAGCTGCAGTACACGAGACAGCACGTAATGACCAGCGACGCATGGCGCGGAGCAGTCACAATCACTGCGACGTTCTTGGGATGCGCGTGCAACCAAGACCGCATTGAGCGGCACAGCACAAGCAACGCATCCAGGCTGAGAGGGTGTGCATCTGGCGACAGGTTTTGGCACGGGGAATGAAACTCGACGACATTGCCATCAAACACGGCATCTGCGTTGCGTGCATTGAGCAGCGGGGTGTCGCTCGTGTTGTACACCATGAATCGCTTGCCATGCTTTGATCGGAGCAGTCGTTCTGCTGCCGTTATCTGACCAAAACGAAGGTTCAGCAAACAGCAAAGGAAGGATGTTAGTTGTTTGAGTTCATGGGCATTTAGCTTTTGAGTTCTTGGGCATTTAGCTTTTGAGTTCATGGGCATTTAGTTTGTGGGTTCATGCGCACTTTTCCATCATAGAAAAAAACAAAGTCATACGATGTTGATCGAGAACAAGAGAGAGTGGAGACATGGCGTGAAGAGGCCGACTTTTTCCCCCAAAACTTCTCACCACTCTCTCTCTTAATGTCACGACCTCTCCAAATACCCAATCCAACAATATCAAAGTGTATGCAGAGCTCTCAGACGGCATGCACTCCCCTAGCATCCATCCTTCATACAATGCGTTTTCTCAGTAAGCGTTTCGAAGCCGACAAAACACAGCAAAAAAACAAAAAAAAAAAAAAGTAAAAAAATTGCAATAAATAATAAAAAAGGGGATTCTGTCATCGGTTTTCGTTACCCTTCGTCGTCTGTTGGCAGCAATGACGGACGCCGGGACTTGCGACTGACTGCGTGGGTAGACGTACGGCGGCGCGAATGCTGACGGCGACGACGCAGCGGGAGACGAGGCTGCAGAGGAGGAAGACGCTGACGCCGACGCTTGGAGGAGATGGTGGAGTGATGACGCCGCGTCGCCGTGCTCGTCCAGCCCAGCGGCCATCGGGTCTGGCAGCGTCATCAGCACCACGTTCGACGTGACATGGCGCAGTAGTCCGCTTGACGAGCAGCACGGCGCAGGGCGAGACGTCCACGTCGACAGCAACGCGCGCAGCTGACGCAGCCAGTCCGACACGGGCATTCTCGCATCCAAAAAAAAAAAAAAAAAAAAAAAAAAAAAAAAAGTGTTTTGGTTTTGTTTTTGTTCGCAAAATCAACCAGAAAAACCGGAAAAACCAAAGCCTGATTTGTTCGGTTGTCTCATCGCAATACATGTATCAGGTGAACTTGTCGCGTTTTGCCACTGGCACGATGCGACAGCAGACAGCATTTGTGAAAACTCTTGAACTGTAATAACACTTTTTGAACACTGTTGAACATTTTGAAAACTCTTTGAAAACTCTGAACTCTGAAAACTCTTGAAGGGCTCGTAGCCCTGTGAAACTCTTGAAACAAAAGGCCTGGCCTTTTGTTGTTGTGACTGGTCTGGCACGCGGTCTACTGCTTGGCAACATCCGAGTTTTCGTACACTGGCGCTTCGCTGACATACACGGAGGCGTTCTGGTACACAGGCTCCACGGTCGCGTTGAGCTGGTCATACATGGGGTTGTTCCAGTTCAAATTCACAGCAGCGGCGTAGGTATTGTCGACAAACGACTGTCGAGCAAGCGGCTTTTCATCGCCGAACTTGAATTCGTCAATGGACGAGTACAGGATCTGCTCAATGGCTTGGCTAGAGTGCGAGCGCTGGTGAGCAGGCGCTTCAACCGGTTTCTTGGGGGAGCGTTGTTGCTTGACCAACAGCAAAACGACCAGGGCAATCAAAACCAGACCACCAACGGCACAGCCAACGGCAATCCCGATGGTCACCGTCGACGTGTTGCCACTGTTTGTAGCCTCACTCAGAGCGTCAAGCGAAGCGGCGACGACGGAAGCGCTGGACGCGGAAACAATCGATGCGGACGCGATGGAAGCACTGGAGACGGAAGCAACCGAAGCGGCGACGACGGAAGCGCTGGACGCGATGGAAGCACTGGAGACGGAAGCAACCGAAGCGACGACGACGGAAGCAACCGAAGCGGCGACGACGGAAGCGCTGGACGCGGAAACAATCGACGCGGACGCGATGGAAGCACGGGAGACGGAAGCAGCCGAAGCGGCGACGACGGAAGCGGCGGAAATGGCTGATGCGGTTGCCGCGGAAGCAGCAGACATCGTGGAAAGGCTCGTGTGTGCCTCCACGCAGACACCACCGACCATGGTGTAGCCAGTGTAGCAGTACTGGCAGGTGGAGGTTGTGTTGCAGTACAAGCAATTTGCCATGCAACACGAAGCACTTCCAGCCGCAAAGCAAGTGTCGCACTGGCCATCGCATGCTGGCGCAGACCAACGAATGCAGTTAACGCGTCTATTTCAGCATTCTGGGGACATCAACCAAGGAGGACTTACCAGCGTAATTGTAAGGGGAGGTGGAATAGGTGCTAGGCTGCTCTCTCGTGATGCCATCCACAACACGACCGTTAACCAAGACGTAAGTCATAGTTAGAGTCTTGAACAGTCCAGGGGGAAGTTGGAAGTTGCTGCCCATGCCGTAGGCAAAGCTGAAAAAAAAAAGCGGACAAATGAGCATCTGCCTGCAGCACGTGGTGCCGCATTCTGTTATTCTGTTGAGACATACAGGTATTTCAGTTGAGTGCCCTGGAGTAACGTGGCAGGAAAGCTGGTCAGCTTGTTGTTGAGCGCGAGATTCCTGCCATGTGACAAAGTCATTTTGCATGAAACCGAGTTAGCCAGCAAGTTCCAAGCAGTCGATGTGATCGCTTCCACATTGCACCAGACGTTCTAAACCAAAAGTACTGACAGATATGTCAAACTAGAGAGTCCTTGAAAAGCGCTGGGTGAAATGGAGGTAATCTGGCTGTTGCTCATATCCCTAAAGCGGATTCCATCAATAAGCGAGTGCAGCGCAAGACAATGTTGGGTATGCAGTTCTCCACATCCTCGAAGTGCATTACAGCGTCTGCAGGTTGGTAAGAGAGCTAAAGGCATGATCTGGGATGCTGGTGAATTGAGGTTGAGACCAGTAACTGAAACAATGGGCAAAAAGTGAGTTAGGCTGTCGATGAAGAGTGCACGACGAGGATCTGACGACTCACAGGACCTGCAACGAAGTAAGTGTCGCCAAGGCTTCGACAGGGACGGCTGTGAGGGGGCTCGCGCCGTTGATAACCCTGAGCATTCAAGTCAGGCTAGTACCACTACAACGCTCGTGAACACTGCATCGCAGACTTACAGGGTTGTGAGGGAGGGAGCAGCTCCCTCAAGCATGCTGGCGGTGAGGCTGGCCAACGGAAATGCCACGCCGCTGGCAGCAGGATACCCAGACGCAAATCCACACCGGTCAGCTCGAATCGCACCAAGGCACGCAACCTCAAACTTACAAGCTCTTAAGTGCGGTCAAAGTCGCCAATGCAGAATCCGGAATGGTCGTGAGAGAAGGAGAGCCCAAAGTCCTGAGTGGTGGAAGCGAGAGAGAGAGGGATAGCGAGCGAAAACAAATCAGTGATGACCAGCAGCCTGCTGCAAGTTCACAAAGCGATTTCAAGCTCATTCTCCGAGTTGGCCAGACAATGGCAAACGTACAACGCCGTCAGATGAGAAAGAGGGCTCAAACGGGGAAATACGGAGATCGGGGCCTGAAGATTCCTGCACAACAATTCGCGAGTGCGGTTGTAAGATGTGGAGCCAGCAAGGTGCAGCAATCGCAAGCCAGAGGGTGATGACGACGAACAGGGCTGTCAAGAGAGGAACGGGGTCGAACACGTTTTGATCGAGGACAGTGATAAGCGTGTTATCAAGGTAGCTTTGTTCCAGAACAAAAGAACAAATGTGAGCACTGGATTGAATAAACCAGAGACCCAGTCTCCTCGTGCTTACAGTTCCTGCAGGTTGCCAAGTCCAGCAAATACATTGCTGGGCAGCGCTGTGATTGGGGCGCTCGAAAGTGCGCTGCATGACAAGAACCAGTCGTCCGCAGTTAGTAAGGTGGACTCACGATAGCACGGCCATTTGCAAGCGTACAGCCAGGTTAGCGCATTCAAACCGGTAAAGAAGTTGACGGGCAAGTTTGAAAGCGAACTGTACGACAAATCTCTGCTCAACAAGGCAAGTCAAATCGAAACACTGAGTGAAACCAGCAAGGCGCGCGACCTTCTTCATCGATGAAAAGCGGTGGCAGTGCAATTTGCATGCTTACAGCGTGGTCAGTGCAGTCAAACCGGAAAAGACATTGGCTGGCAAGGTTGAAAGAAGCGGATTTCCCCCCAGTGCTCTTGCTCAAAAGAAAAACACAAACTCACAATGAGCAAACAAAACTGGCAACCGTTCATGCACGTGGCGACAAGGATGCTGCACATAGTCAAGTACTCGGCACATACAGGCTTTGGAGACGTGTCAAACCAGCGAACGCCTGTGGGTCGATCGATTCAAGTGCCATACCCGACACATCCCTACGAGGCGAATGGGTCAAACGAAGTTTAGCGCGGTATTCTTTTCAGCTGAGCTGGAGGTTGCAGTCACGTACAAGCGAGTCAGAGTGTTGGCGATTGAGGCGAATGCGTTGGCAGGGATGGTGGTAATTTTCGTGTACGCCAAGGATCTGTAGCAGAAGACTCGCAAAGCGGACGATGAGCGGACGGCGATATCGTTGGAAGCAAGAAACAGGACAAACACATGCAACTCGTACAGGTAGCCATCGTTAGGATCATAGCCACTGTAGGTAGCAGGGTCGTATGGCGGAAACGTTGTCGGCACCGTTGTCATGGTGTCGGCACACAGCGCGACATTAGCGCAACTCCAGTCGCAAATGTTGCAAGCGTTGTCGGCGTTGCCCATGGACGCAAAGAGGGCCAGCAGAGCCACAATGGCCAAAAGCGAGTTGCGTGGCTTCATGACGAGAACGAACTGCAATCGAAAGAAAAAGCAAAAAGGAAACAAAATAACATAAATGAGAACAAAACAATACCAAAAACAAAACAATACCAAAAACAAAAACGACAAAAACAAACAAGAAATAAGCCGGACGAATCGGAAGTGACGAGAAACGTTCGATTTTTCTCAACAACAAAAAACAAAAACAATACAAACACGAAAACGAAAGGCCGACACTGGCAGAAACAGAAAGCACAAAAGCAACGAGCAATGGAGAAAACGAAGCGAAGAAACAACCAGGTGGAAAAGGCCTGATGTCAAAGTGACTGAAGGAGAAAGCGAGCGGGAAGAGGAACGGCGGAGAAGTGACACACACAAAAACAAAAAAAGACGAAAAAACAAAAAAAAAAAAAAAAAACAACGAATGAAAACAAAACGGCACGAGAGAAGCGACCGAAAAAGACGGCACGAAAGTGCGAGAATGAAAGCGAAAGAGAGCGAGTCACAGTAGGTTAATGAGTGTGGGTTAGGTTGAACCGAGGCCGGAAGGGGGGGGGAGGTGACGCGTTAAAAAAAAAAAACCAAAAAACCACTGCAAAAAAAAAACAAAACCCCCCGCAAAAAGCAAAACGTTCGTGTCACGGCACAAAACAGCAAGGAGCAGATTGGGAAGAGGGTGATGAAGGCACACGAGAAGCATAGAGCCAATAAGCAAGAGAGGGGAAGTGAGTGTGCGCGGAGTGGGGCTGGACGGAGCGAGTCAAAGCGGAAGTGAAGAGAGCGGAAGACAAACAAAAAAGAAACCAAAGCAACAACAAACAAAAACACTGACTCAACTGCAGAGCAAAGGGGGAGAGGGGGCAATAAGAAAGGGGGGGGGGGAAAGCGAATTGTTGATGATGATGATGACGATGAGGAGGAGGAGAAGGAAGGAGCAAGGGCAGAAGGAAAAAGGAGGGGGAAGGGCGTACCGACGTGGGACAGAGAAAAGAGTTAACAACAAAAAAACAAACAAAAAACAAGAACTGGCTCCATTTTTGGGACGGACTTGTCGAAGATGCGTACGTGGGCCAGTGGGGAAGATCCATGTTGCTTCTACAAAGAGCAAGCAAGCAAGCAAGCAAGCAAAGCAGATGGGCGTGACAGCGGGCAGACCGGATTTGCAACAGCACGTTTTGTTGTGGCTCATGCGCTTTTTTTTTTTTTTTTTGTTTTTTGTTTTTTCCCCAACGACACAAGACTCAAAACATACCAGTTGGCTTTTTCCCATCGGAACCACGAAAAGAGCGACGTCGAAGTGAATGCCGCCATCGCTGTAATAGAACGCCAGCACATGGGCGTGTAGTGAGAGGTGCAGGCACAAGTAACCGGCCTGACAAGGACAAGCGAAAAAGCAACCACCGACAAACCGGTGTGTCACGATGGTTTTGCCAATGTGTTGTTCTCATGGCACAGGGAGGAGAGTGTCACAAAGAGCGACATCACATCACGTAGCACCGTGCACGAGGGCCATCACCTGCGAGCAACGACGAAGAGCACAAAAATTCTACGTTCGGTTTTGAAGGAAAGGCGTAATGTGGGGTCATCAAGGGCAATGGCGTCGTTGTATGTCTCACGCATGAGTGAAAACAACAACACGGTGACAACTGAGTCAAAATTGGCGGCGTTGTGTGATTGTGATGTCAAACAGACGTGCTCTTTTCAAACTTCAAGGAACTTGCAAGTTATCCGAGTCACGTATTGGCTTCAAACCGCGTTGTAGTGGTAACAAAATAATAACCATAAACTAGAAAACCAACGAGTGGATTGCGCTCGTCGAAAAATAAATAATACCCGCGCCACAAAGGTGAGATGCAGCGCGTCATGTAATGTAAGACATGGATTCGCCAGGAACAAGCCCAGACGCCCATCCCATGGGCTCGTGAACGCGAACGCGCTTGACCAGGAATGTCAATTCCTGTGCAACGTCAAACGGCGACTCGACCCCTGTTGCAGGCAATTCATAACCGCCATCATCTTGAAGTGGCCTGTTGATGTTAAACACAAAAGAACACGGATGAAGGTGTTCCAACAGCAAACAAACAAATGAGACACGGAAAAGAAGCAAACAGCAGCACTACCAATCTCCCGAATTCACCGACTCACCGCCCGGAACGATTTGACGTGGCTGGTGGCGTGTTGCACTCGATGACGGCGTCCAACAGATCGTTCATTGAGCGCTCGAGTGGCGTACTGACCAGCCTGCGCTTGTTCGGCCGCACAGGTGCGCCAACCGAGGCATCGCTGGGCGAGTCGTTGGAGATGTTGTTGTTATTTGCCTGCGAGGCTTCCATGGTGGCCGATGCCTTGGGCTGATCAAGCGATGCGTTGGAGCTGGTAGACCCTTCGCCGGACAAAATGGCTCGCCTTGTGGCTGCGCCAAGTACGGTTGTTTGCTGTGCGGCTTGCGCGGCCAGGGCGAGTTCTTCTGGGACGGTATTGTACAACGAGAGCATGCGCAGAGGAGCAAGAACCTCGTCCTCGCTCAACTCGCGACGTTTTGCCAAGCGGCTATTCACCTGCCGGCGAGTGGTGCGTCGAGGGGTGGTCGAGGTACCACTTGCCGTGCTTGCCGTCGCGGGTGCGGGTGCGTCTCCAACACTCGGCCGTGCTCTCGACCTTGCAGGAGACGCAGGTCGATCTGGCTGAGGCGACGGCGATGATGGAACTGGCCGGCGTCTGTTCGGGGTCGGCGAGTTTCGCACCAACACGAGACGCGCGCCACTTGTACGCACAGCACTCGGATGGTCTGCTCCACCACCAGCAGCAGCAGTAGCAACAGCAGCAGCAGCAGGAGCAGCAGGAGGCCACGACTGCGACGCGCCGCCTTGGCTTGCAAATCCAAATGTTCCGGCTGTGACTGCTGTCTCATTCGCACCTCGTCGTGATGGTAGTGGAATGGCTCTACTCGAGGTGCTCACGGCTCGTTCACGCTGGGCGACCAGGCCGTTCTGAGCGCGTAAGCGGAGCGAGCGGACTCTGCCATCCGCGTCGGCCAAGCTCTCGTCGTCCTCGTATTCATGCTCAATGTCATCGTCATCGTTATGATCCTGGCTGTGCTCCTGGCTGTGCTCCCGGCCGTGCTCATGGTCGTGGTCGCTTCCTTCTGGAGTGATGACGCCCAGCCGACGACCGCGATTCGAGACTCGCGCTGCAGCAGCACGTCATCGCAGTAGCAGTCACAGTAGCAGCAGCAGCAGTACACAATGCACCACTCGCACGCTGCTGATGCTCTGGCTGGGGTTGCATGGCTGGCCGCACTGGTCTCGGCCGCTGCAGATGGATGTACAGATTCGCATCGTCCTCGTCATCATTCCCGTCTTCATCGAGCCGTGCAGCGTCGAGCGCGGGCGGCGGCTGGACCAGCATGCGTGTCCCGTGAGTGCTGCTCGCGTACTGATGCTGCTGGTGATTCTGTCGGTCGTTGTGGTTGTGGTCGTGGTGGTGGTGGCTGGACAGCAAAAGCGACCCTCCTCGCCGCTGCCGCACTGGTGGCGATGCATCCGACTGCAACTCATCGTCGTCCTCGTCCTCGTCGTCGTCCTCGTCATCCTCGTCGTCTAGCTCGAGCTCGTCGTCGCCGAGATGCGCGCTGTCAGCATCGTCGAAATCGTCATTCAGCTGCATTGGTGAAAAGCTGACCGGCCGAAAACCTCACCTCAAATTGAAACAATTGAGCGATGGATTTTCTGAGGAAATCTGAGTTTGACAAAAGTAGTTTACAAAAAGATGAATGACTGAGCGGATAATATACTCTACTCACGATCAAATACTAGCAAACAAAACAACACTAGGATGCGACGTGAGGAGAAGAGAGAGGTTCAAAAGACGGGAAAAGAAAAACGGAGTTGAATGCTGGACTGTACTTTGAGAGATAGTACGATTGCACACAGAGGGTTTGCAAGAAGACTAGCAAAAGTTTCCACAATCACGGCGGAGGCGCAGTGGTGGTCGTGCTCGGTCGTAACGATGTGCAGCAACCCTCAAAGCTCGTCGCTCCAATATCCGACAGAAAGCGACTCCATTACCATATCTTGAGGTCCAACGTTAAGAAATTGCCACACAGGAGCTGCCGGGGTGAGTCGAATTTGAACTTCCCAGCCCTCGCGCATTTGTCGGATGCGCGGTTCATCTGCTGCTCGGATTGTCACAAACTCGGTAGTCACATCAGCAGCAGCCAGCGTAACGGCACCTTCGTATCGGACAACACCTTGCTCGTCCTGCACAATCCAGTCCAGAGTGCTGTTGCTCGTGATGGGGGCGGATGTCGCCTTGGCGCGCACGAGTTGAATGCCCTCTTACGCGTGTCGAAAGTCCAGGCGGCACAGTGACTTTCGAATGTCCTGGGGGCACAGTGACTTTTGCAATCAAATCGGAGTCTTTGCCCTCCGCTGTGCGGCGTTGGGTGCGCACTACTTGCCAGTAGCAGGCGTCGTCCATGATGCGCTCGACAATCTCTGCTGGCAAGGAGGGTAAAACAGAGGTCCAATCCTTCTGTTCCTCCTCCGGGTTGTTCATCAGCAGGCGAAACACGAATCGACAGTCCTCAGCAGTCGTCGTCAATCGGGGAAGCATGGACAGCACAAGATCGCTCAGCTGGTAGTTCGTACTGTGCAAAACAAGTTAGAAAACAGCCCCTCCCCCGCCCCCGTCTCGTTTTGTCGCAAAAGGGGACGAGCAACGTACTCAAGTTGACTCAGGTTGGGGTTGACTTGGCGCACCGCATGGATCGCTCGAGTCCCCGCATAGTCAATGCAATTGAAAGTGAGCCTGTCACTCGGTTGGTGAGCGTCAAAATCTCAATAGCCCCATTCAAGCAACAAAGAAAAAAAACCAAACCATACCAAAGCCCCTGCAATTTCGTATTCACTTTGAGTGCCTCGGCGAGTGCTCGGACACCGACAGTGCCAATTTGATTGTAATCCAGACTGTTCGGCGCCCATCTCGCGGTGAGCACTCTTGCTGCTTGCCTTACAATTCAATGATCTTCAACAATGATTCTCATTCAACTCACCGAAGCCGGGCCAGCTTTTGGTTCATTTTAAGACCCTCAGCAACCGCCTGTGCACCAGCATCACCAATTTGATTCATCTCCAAGCTGCCATTCACTCAGTGAGCAAGGGCGGGGGAAAGGGAATTGCACGATCTCCCATAATCATCAGTAGCTACGCAGTGACCTTACTAGAGTTTCTTCAATGTCGAGTTCACTTTGAGCGCCTCAGCAATCGCCTGCGCGCCAGCATTGCCAATCTGGTTTGCAAACAGACTGTCCGTCGCTCCTCGCCTCAGTTAGCGTCTCCATGTCCCACCACAAGCATCAATCGTCGTGAGATGACTTACACGAGCACTTTCAGTCTCGTGTTCGCGTGGAGAGCCTCGGCAATCGCTTGCGCTCCAGCATCGCCAATCTGGTTCGCATCCAGCCTGTGGGGTGCCTCCGTCAATGAGCACTCGCAATGCTCATACGCAGTATCGACTGCTCACTGCAAGTATCAGTAACTCACCCGAGCCAAAGCAGCGTGTTGTTCACTTTCAGAGCTTCCCCGATGGCGTGTGCTCCAGCGGCGCTAATCCGATTATCCCATAGACTGTCCGTCTCACAGTTATTCTGAATGTCCACTGCTTACATCAAACACAAGTAACTGTTGTTGGAGAACGTATTACAAGAGCTCTGTCAGGCTGTCGTTCACCTTGAGGGCCTCAGCAATTGCCTGCACGCCTGCATCTTGGACTGTGTTTGAATTCAGGCTGATCCACGTTCATCAGTGAGCAATCTCAATGCCCACAAGCATTCGTAGTGGCAAGACGACTACTCACTTGAGCACTGCGATCGTCTTGGTCACCTTGAGGACTTGAGCAATTGCCTGCGCTCCGACAGGGCCAACGCGATTGTTTCGCAGACTGTTTATCATCCGCCGCAATCAGTTCGAGCATTCTTCATCAATCACAGGCATCAGAGCAATGCGTGAGATGTCTTACGAAATATGCGTCACTGTTTCGTTCACCTTGAGTGCTTCCGCGATCGCCTGCATGTCAGCGTCGTCCGTCTGCGAACCATCCAACCTGCAAAACGAAGTCAATTTCAGGACGCTTCTGAAACTGTGCGGATTTTTTTGGTTTTGTTTTTTGGCTTACTCAAGTCTTCCTGTCGTGTTATTCTTGACTTGATCATACAACTGGCGTTGCTTTGGCGTCATGTCGTCATACGACAGCATGGTTGTTTGAATTGGATCCAGATCTACACACAAAGCCAAATACATACAGGCAAACAGAAGTGAGTTTTTGGTCGATTTTCGCGTCCAACGTCAATTCGCTCGGTCCAACCACACTCTGAGCCTCATCTGCTCGAGTTCAAGGATCAAGAGAGTAGCAGCAGCAGCGGCAAGTGGGTGCCAAGCACACGAGCACGATGAGGCGTACAGCGGTCAAAATTTACAAGGAAGACTGAAATCGTTCACCATCCCGATTTGGGTGCTTGAGCATTGTGCGTCACGCGATTTGCAGATCACAGCAATGGAATAACCCCGTTCATCGAATAAATTACTTCAACATCTCTGAAACTGCGAGTCCAACTGACCTGCTTCTGTCGTTCTGGCCGAACTGCGCCATTTCGTTAGATCTGCAGCAGTTTTTGGCTCGTCCACCTCTCGCCCTCCCGTGAGGCCCGCTTCGCTTCTGAGCCATCCGCTCCCCCTTTTCTTGAATCATGCCACCATCACTACGTGGACTCTTCTGTGTTCCTTGCAAGGCTCAAAATTCACCTGCTCCTTTTCAGTATCGATTCATCCGTTTCAATCCATTTCCTCCTGACCCTTTCTCTCTCTCTCTCTCTCTCTCTCTCTCTCTCTCTCTCTCTCTCTCTCTCTTTCCCCACCCCCTCCTTTTATTTCGTTCCATCAATCTTCTCATCATTCCATTTTTTGAACAATGTCGATCGTGTCTGCGCTCGTCACTTGGGTAAACGCCATTGCCAATTGCAAACTCCATACAAACTTTCCCTCCGTCTCTCTCTCTCTCTCCGTCTCTCCCTGTCTCTATCGCGCTCTCTTTTTCCATGCCCTGCTGCTTGCTCCTGTGCCTGTCCTCCATCTCCCCCCCTCTCTCCTCTACACTCTCTGTCGTCCCATTGCACTCAAATCCGAGATCTCTTCAATGTTTTTTTTTTTATTCCTCCACTGCTCACTGCTCACTGACCACCTCCGCCCGCCGCCTTCCTCCCCTTTCGACTACCATCACAGGTCGGCACGTGCGACGGCATCCAGGGACCCCACGCGACCGCCAAGGATCTCGTCGACGGCGTTGCACTCTCCGAAGTCTTTGCTCAAATGTAAGGCCGCTTCTTCTTCCCCCCTTCCTTCTGTTAGTTGGGTGGGGGGGGGGGTTTGTCAAGCAAGCAACATTGTCGCAAACACCACTTGCAGGACAAGTCAGTTTTGGCTCTCTGTGTGTGTGTGGGGGCCCGGCGGTCTGGCAATGGGTCAATGGGGACCTGGACCATCTGACCTCCACTTTGAATGTTGAGCCAATGCTCAATGCACTGACTGTGACACACACACACACTTTGACAGTGCGCCAGACCAAATCAAGCTCAACTTGATCAAGCGCGATGTTGCAGACAACCCGCACCTCCGCGTCGCAAACCTGAGGAAGCTCCTCAACGGCATTCGAAGCTTCTTTGAAGAGGTAAAGAAACGCGAAACAACCGCTGCCGCTCTGTTGCTCGCCCCATTCACTCTCTCTATCTCTGAATGTCCATAGGAACTCGCAATAAACATCCAGCAATCGGACATGCCGGACGTGGCGCTGATCGGCGAGAATGAGGACTTGCACGAACTCAGCAAGCTGATTGTGTTGCTGATTGGCAGCGCCGTGCAATGCACTGGCAAGGAGCCGTTCGTCCAGGCCATCCTCCAAATGAGCATGGAGGAGCAGGCCGTCATTATGCAGGCCATCCAGGAGCTTGTCTCGCGCGGTCGTGCGCGTACGTCCTCTGCGGGCTCGGAGCTGCGCCAGCCCGGCCACTCGGGCGACGACGACTCGGTCGATGCCCTCAAAGCGCGACTCCGCCAACTCGAGGCTGCCAAGAACGACTTTGAAAACCTGTACCAGGACTCGTCGCGACAATTGCGCCAAGTGCAAGGCGACCTCGACGACGTGATTGCCGAGCGCGAGCGCCTGAAGAGCTTGCTCGATGACGCAGACTCGCCCATTCCCGGCACGCCTGCCGGAAAGGCTCAGGCTGCTCTGCGCGGCGAGGTCAACAACCTTCGCGAGCAACTCGATCAGATCGAAGGTCTCCGCGACCAGTACAAGCTCCAGGCCGAGGAGCAGCAAAAGACGATTGTCGACCTTCGCCACAAGGTTGACTCTCTCGCCAAGGACGCGGCAGACTCCAAGACCATGCGCGAAGAGTTTGAGGTGCTTCAGCACTCTGCTGCCAAAGTGACCAAATTGGAAGCTTCCGTCGAAAACTACAAGAAAAAGCTCGAAGACATGAATGATCTGAAGCAGCGTCTCAAGGATGCCGATGACCGTAACAACAGCTTTATGCAGCAGCAGCTGGATCTGGAGGATGAGCGCGCCAAGTACAATGCCATCAAAGTACGGCAATAGGGGGATTTTGTTTTTGTTTGGTGTTTCGGTTTTTGTTTGGTGTTTTTTGATTGTTTGGCGTTTTTTTTGTTTGTGAGCTGGTTGTTGCATCACTGGACCACCTGACTCACATTCCATGCAATCACTCTCCACCAGGGCCAAATGGAACGGTATCGTGAGAGCACGGTCGCCTTGCAGGCGCAGCTCAACGAGGCTCAGCTCCAAATGCAAAAGGCCGCGCTGGAGGCGACGCAATTCCGCGAGGAGAGCAAGGCCAAGGCGAGCGAGATTGAGCAGCTGAAGCACAAGTTGTCCGAGACCGAAGACCAACTGAGCATGGGTGGCGGTGCCAGTCTCGGCGCCAGCCTTGCTGCCAGCGCCGGTAGTTCGTCGCTGGCTGACTCGTTCAACGCAATGACCCCGGATCTCCGAGAGCGGCTGGCCCGACTTGAGCGCGAGAACGCCAAACTCAAGGCCAGCTTGGCAGGAGGCGATTCTGGGGCTGGCGAGGGCCAGGGCGAATCCTCCAAGATGCTGCAGGCGCTGCTGGATGACGCCAACGAGGCTCGTGGAAAGCTCGAGCGTGAGATTCTGGATCAGCAGCAAAAGCTCATGCGCTTGGAAGGCGACAAGACCCAGCTCCAGACTCGATTCGACGATCTCCAAAAGCAGCAGGTGCGCTCTGGCGCGGAAAGCATCGCTTGGCAGCAGTTGGCCGAGAGCGAGCGCGCCACCAGCAAGTTCCGCCAAGAGAACGAGGAGTTGCAGGGCAAGCTGGATGATTCCCAACGGACGTATGGCATTGTCAAGGACGAGCTCGAATCGGCGCAGAAGGAACTGGTCGAGCTCAAGAAGCAACAGGCGCTCCTGAGCATGGACAAGCAAGAGATGGTTTCTGAAATGAACACGCGCTTTGCCCAAGAAAGCGAGGCCAAGCTGCAAGCAGCTGTGGCGCCGCTGCAGACCGAGCGCGACGAGCTGTCCGCCAAGCTCCAAGCCCTGCAGGCCAGCTTTGACCCCATGTCGAACGCGCTCGAGAGCTTGCAAGTCAAGCACGACAACCTGGTGACTGTCCGCGAGCAGCTTGAGCACCGCGGCAAGGAGCAGCTCGAGCGCATCAACGCAGTCCTCACCGAGAAGGCCGAGCTGCAATCCAAGTACCTCGATGTGCAAGAAAAGTTTATCACGCTGCAGTCCGAAGTGTCCGACTCGAAAGACGTCATGCGCAAACTCGAAGGCGAGCTTACGAGCAAGGGGCATCATGCCTCCAATGCCGGCGAAATTGCCGATTTGCGCAAGCAGCTGGACGAGGAGCGTGCTCGCAGCTACAAGCTGGAGGGCGGTTTCAATACGCTCAAGGAGGAACGTGATGCCGTCGAGACCAAGCTGACCGACGCGAACGGCCAGCTGGAAGGTGCCCGCACCAAACTCACACAAAAAGCGTTGGAAGTGGAGAAGCATCAAACCTGGCTCAACGAGGCCAAAACGGTAAGTGAGACGGAAAAGAAGAAGAAGGGTTTATGGATGTAGGAGAACGCGAGAGCGCGAGGATTCATGGTTGTGGAAATTGACGGGAATGGCCGTTGTTTTCCTTTGATTTGTTCATGTGTCGTCGCAGGTTATCAAAAAAGAGCGCGAGAAGGTTGCTTCACTTGAAGCGCAACTCCAAAGTGGACAAGGCCAGGCTGGCGGCGAAAGCGACTCTCAAGCACTGGGTGACATGCAAAAGCGTCTTGCCGCCAAAGATAGTGAAGTTTCCGCACTTAAGGTACCGCGTTTGGTGTTTGGGTCTGTGACGACGATGGCGAAAAGACCGGGCCGATTCGGTGCTGATTTTTCCGTTTGTTTCTTTGGCCGTATCAACACAGATCAAGATGGCCGGCGCACAGGACGATTTTGTCCGCCAGCAACGCTTGACCACATCGGCATTCCACTCGATTGTGCTCAAGCTGCAGCAGTCGACCGTGTCGGAGCGATTCCAAGCAAAGTCCTTCCTCGCACGGCAGCGCGCAAATATTACCGGACGCCTTGGCGATTCATAACCTGTCGTCCTCTTCTTCTCCCGTTTCGCACGCATCCTATGTGTGTTTGGCCGAGTTGTGCGTCTGCGAATTGCGAGAATCCGGGTTTGTCAAAACAAACAATCAACACGACAGTTTTTTTTTTGACAATCAACACGACAGTTTTTTTTTTGTCAGCACTCCATCCCAGCAATCCAATCCAATGCAATACAAATTGAACATCACTCCTCTATTTTTCCCAATCATGCCACAGACGCACAAAGTCAAAGTCGAGCAGCTGGACGACCTGTTTGAGCTCTGAAGCAGCCATGGCAGACGGTGAGCCGTTTTTTTGCAATAACATAACCCCATAGCTCATCATAGAATCCAATGTACTACTGCTACTACTGGGACATGATGACTGACGAACGCAAAGTGATCGCAGTGCAACCAGTACCAAGAGTGCTTCCCCCATCCTTGTGACTTGCTCTGTGGTTCTCACTGGCCTGTCTGTCTTGTCTGTTTGTCTGTCTGTCTGTCTTGTCTGTGCAGTGGTTGAAGCGTGGCTGGCCAAGCGCGGATGGACTGTTCGCAGGCAATGCGTCGACGCGGTCGAGCAGCGATTCAACCTGTTTGCCTACTACGAGGACAAGAGTCACCCCGACGGTCATGCCGGGTCACCGTCATTGTCATCGTCGTCTGCATCTGCTGGGACGGATGGTGGTACGCAGTCTGCGCGCCGCAGGGTCGGTCCGGTTGGAAATCCGGCCATTCTGCTCAACACGCACATCGACACGGTGCCACCGTACATCCCGCCAAGCGAGGACGCCGAGTTCCTGTATGGGCGTGGAGCCTGTGACACCAAGAGTCTTTTGGCTGCCATGATGCTGGCTGCACACGAGGCAGTCACCGTGCACGGCGTCGTCGATGTCGGGCTGCTGCTCGTCGTCGGCGAAGAGACCGATCACATTGGCATGAAGCGCGCCAACGAGCTCAAGTTGACCCCACGGCACTTGGTTGTGGGAGAGCCAACCGAGTCGCGCATGGCGCGGCGCCAGAAGGGCATTGTCAAGGCCTCCATCAGCTGCGAAGGCGTCGCCGCGCATTCTGGCTACCCAGAAACCGGCGTCAACGCGCTGCTGCCGTTGATGGATATTCTTGGCGACATTCGAGCGCACGCGTGGCCGAGCGACCCGCTGCTGGGCGATACGACGGTCAACTTTATTGTGCGCGAGGGCGGCGTCGCCTGCAACGTTGTGCCTGCGCGAGCTGTCGCCGAGCTGCTTGTGCGCGTCGTCACGACACCCGAGGACATTCAGGCGCAGCTCTCCAGCATTGTCGGCACCCGCGGCAAGATTGAGTTTACCACCTGCAACCCGCCCATCGACCTGTCTGTCGTCGACGAATGCCACCGCACGCGCCGCGCGCCCACCGATCCCGTCAACTGGGTGCTGCCGTCTGCCATTGTCAACTTTAACACGGACATTCCGTACTTTGAGTTGGCAGCCCCTGGAAAGGCGTATCTGTACGGCGCCGGCTCGATTCTCCACGCGCACACTGCCAACGAGCGCATGTCCAAGGCGGATCTTCGCCAGTGCCGTGATGTCTATGTGGATTTGATCCGGCACTTTGCCACGTCCTTGTAGCAGCGGTGCTGTGACTACATGCAGTGTAGCTGGTAACCGAAATCAAAACGTTGAAAGCGATCTGTTTTCAAAAACAGTAAAATGGATCATTTTTTGCACCAACCCGCGCGCGTCTTTTATTGTTTTTTCGTATGCTCAGTCATTCCCTTGTTTCTGAGATCCACACCTCATTCTCTCCCCACTCTTCCTCGATCCAGTTTTGAACCTCATATTCTGCAACTCGTTTTCATCCCATTGCGACTTGTTTTTGTACCAAGTCGAATGGCGATCAATCACCGGTCGAAGGCCGACTTTTACTTTGACCATGATCATGGTGATGATGATGGTGCAGCAATAGCAGTAGGAGCAGCAGGAGCAGAGCAGGATGACGGCCGGCCGCTGTCTCGCTCATCGCTGCCGCCATCGCTGCTCATGATGCAGTCCCAGTCCCAGTCCCAGCAGCAGCAGCAGCAGCCGCTGGCAAACCTGCATCTGCAGCAGTGGGCGACGTCACACCAGCTCGGAGACCTCCCGTCGTCGTCGCCGCTCTTCCCGTCCGCCATCATGCTCAATGCCAGCAATGCTGCTGCTGCGAGCCCACTGCTGGGACCGACGAGCGCGGCGGCGGCGGCGGCGGCGGCGGCGGGCGGCCAAACACGCGGCGGCGGCGGGAAGCCACAACAACAAACGAGCGGAGGCAAGCAAATCCAGCCGAATCCTGAAAAATCAGTGAGCCCGAGTATCAGCGCAAACGAGCTTCAAGCGGGATTGCTCATAGGATCCGACCCCCGAGCGCGCGACCAAAATAGCACCGCTGGGTCAGTGCAGCCGTCCAGCCAATCCCAAACCGCCCAAAACACCCAAGGCGCAAGTCAGAGCCAAGGTCAAGGACAAGCGTATGGCGCAAGCCAGGGCGCCCCAGGGACCCTCCTTCACCCGCAGGCGCAGGCGCAAGGTCTGGGTGGAATCGGTGACCAAGCTGAAATGCTGCGCAGTGCTGCTGCAGCTGCCGCGTCAAGTAGTATCACTAGTGCAGGTCACGAGCAGCATCATGGCGCAGCGAGACTGGGTCGTGCAAGGTCGCAGTCGACCGGATCGGTCGTTTCAGCCACATCCACTGATTCAAGCTCGTCCAACGCGTCTGCTCCCGCAAGTAGTCTACATCTGATTCGGCAGCCACACGACTCCAATAGTGCCACTGCCGTGTTTCCTGCTTCGACACATCCAGCTCCACGCGGAAGCAACGGCGGCAACCCAAGTTTGGTCTTGCCGCAGTCGTCGTCGTCGTCGTCCTCGTCCCGTGCTGCTGGCACTGTCGTCGTCGTTCCAAGTCATAGTAATAGTGGTGCTGCCGCTGCTGGTGGTGGCGGCGGCGGTGGTGGTGGCAACAATGCTGTTGTGCGACCCCAGAGCCCAACAACTCCAGTTTCACCGCTCGTTCCTCCGCACTTTATGGTCAACTCGCCGCTTCCACAGCTACAACCGCATCAACAACCTCCGCACCTCCATCAGCAACAGCAACAACCGCAATCACCACAACACGCACAAGCACACCAACAGCAACAACAGCAACAACAGCAACAACCATCACCACCACCACAACCATGCTCTCCAGCTACGACCGTCATCGTCGGCCTCAGCGAACTCATCATCACAGATCGAGCGAACGCGCGAGGCGACATTTTCGTGCTCGACCGCAACATGCAAAAGCTGTTTACCTGCCAGACGCAGGGCTTTGTCTCGCCCAACACGCCGGTCGTCTCGTCGCCTGAGAGCCATGGCCCACCTTCTGCCAGGCATTCGGCGGATGAATCAGGCATCGCGCCGCCAGCGTCGACGACCCCTGTGAGTGCCGCCGATGCCACATTCGCCAACATCCCGTCGGTCAACCAGCGACCAAAGCCTCAGTCTACCTCACCGACCGGCTCCCTTGGCAGCGACTACGCAATGTCATCCGGCGTTCTGGTCATTCCGTCCGAGTATCGATGCATGCAGTTCACGATTGTCGATACTGCAGGCGATCTGCTTCTCACCATTCGCAGCCAGCGCAAGGGAGGGCGTGGCCGCTGGTTTCGCAAGGCGTGCATCTCGATTTACCGCGAAGGACGCCTTGTGGCCACCATCAAGAAGCGGCGAGCGATGCCGTCGTTTCTTGAGCTGCTAGGGTTTGGCAAGGCGCTTCAGGCGGATCCTGCGGCGACGTCGCCGTTTGCCATCCACTCGGCAAACCTGTCCGCCGGAAGCCACGATAGCGACGTGGTCGACGGCAACGACATTCTTCGGCTTTCCAGCCCAAACACGGGCGCGGCGACGAGCGGCACTGGTCCTGCCGGCAGCAGCAGCTCCAGCTCATCAGCGAACGGGTCTTCCGCCCGCACTGCTAATTTTGCCGTCGACAAGCGCATCCGAGCTCACATCAAGCTCGTCGAGGAGCGGCGCGAGCTGGGCGATGAAGCGCTGATCAGCATTGCCCGAAACTCGACGTCCAACAACTACGAGTTCCGTCGCTGCGGCTCTGGCTTTCTGTCCGCCGCGCTGCTGATGGGAGGCAGTCGCAAAATCCTGGGCAAAGACGGCTTCCGCCACACTGCTTGGATTGGAGCCGACAACGATGCGGACATTATTCTCGCGTGCATGCTCATGATTTACCGCGGCGAGCTAGAATAGGTTTGCTTCTAACATGCGCATTTGCTCATTCTTTGCGCTTTTTTATTGCTTGAAAAACAAAAGATTTTGGTACATTAAAATTGATTGATATTGGTCTGCGTGTGTTTTCCGGCATGCAACAAGGAAGGGAAGCAGATGGCAAGTTGGAAACAAAATAGAGAAGAAAAAAGTGTAATATTAGTACAGCACATGAACCAACACAGGTCAACAGAAAACGACATTATGCGCGACGAGCCCGCGTAGTCTTGGCACTTGGTGTGCCACTGCCTCGCGCAGGCGTAGCAGGCTTGGCCTTTGATTTGGTCTGCTTTGTGGCTTGGCGCGATTGTGCCTTCACTGCCTCCGGGCGCTCACCGCGTTTGAACTGACCCTTGCCACGACGGGAAGTTCGGCCTGTGGTTTTCCCCTCGTCCTCGTCCTCGTCCTCGTCTTCATCTTCATCGTCGTCCTCGGCGTCTTCATCGTCTGCTGGTTTCTTGGGCTTGGCTTGACTGGTCGCGGTCGCGGTGCTGTTCTTCTGCTCTGAAGCGACGAGATTCTCATCAACACCAGCGTGATCTCCATCCTCTTTGTCGTCGTCGTCGTCGTCCTGGTTGTCGTCGCCGTCGTCGTCTTCGGCTTCGTCGTCATCGCTGTCCAGTCCGCCGCGCAGAGTTGCGGGATCAGCAGTCAGCTCGTCATCCTCATCATTGTCGCCGTCATCGCCACCATCGTCCATCGCCATAGGCGCGTGCTGTGTGTGGTTGACAAGATCGTCGAACGAGAGCATGGGTGGCAACGACGCGCGGCCATTCATGGCGGCTCCGTCACCGCCTTGCATGGCACTGGCCGAGGCCATGCGCATCGTGTTCCAAGTGTAGTCCACGAAATGAGACTGCTGCACCAGGCGGTTCATGCGCTGGAAGTGGCGCTCCGTGTATGGAAGCAGCGATTCGATAATGTCCTTGATCTTGGGCAGTCGTCGAAGCTCTTGCGGCGAGATTGTCCGGAAAACAACCGAGAGAACAACCTGGCCGACGCGAGCGTGTCGCGAGTTGGTGTTCCACTCTCGAATGTAGAGGAGCAGCTGCTGGCGCTTGTCGTCGGTCAAGTTGGACAAGACGGTGGCAATCTCGCCCAGGCCACCCTCCGTCTCATCAATCAAAGACTGCATGATGCCCAGTAATCGGAAGGGCTGCTCCAACGTAAGCGCCAAGTTGACGGCATGTGCGTAATGGCGTTGTCGCAACAAGTTGGAGAGTTCTTGTTCTCTAGCCGAATCGACAGCCAAGAGATCGATGAGTCAATGGGTACAGCACATCACACGCGCGGACAACACCCAACACGCTCTACACATAAAACGTACTGCTCAAGGCGAAGCTCTTGCACTTTGTGTTGCTCTTCAGACTCGAGCTGGGTGTGGTCTTGCCAGACATTCATCACACCATCTGCACCGCCAGAGACGATGCGCTCCTCGTCGCTGCTCACAGCCAAGGCCCACACTTTTTCTTCGTGGCCATCCATCGTGGCCACGCACTCGTTTGTGCGGATGGTCCACAGCTTGACAAGGCCGTCAGAACCGCAGGAGACAAGCTGCAACCCGCGAGTAATAAAGGCAATCTTGAGCACCGAGTTGCTGTGTCCCTCAAAGGTCTGTCGAAGGCGATTGCAAGGTCAGCGTCGAGTCCCAAATGCAATACAAACAAAAGAAGAAGAAGAAAAAAACAGAAAGGCGCTTCCAAATCTCCTACCTTGAGACAGGACAGGTCAGACAGGGCCCAAAGCTTGATGGTCTTATCGCCAGAAGACGTAGCAATGCACTGATCCACTGGCGAGAACTGAACACTCCAAATGCCACGACGGTGACCACGCAGCACGCCTACCAACGACAAATCCTCCGAGCTCCATAGCTGTGCGGAGAAACGAGGAAACAACGGCACAGCCAACACATTCAAAAAAAAAGTCAATGCCTTGTTTGTGCACGCTCGGAAAACACAAAAGAGACAATCGTCAACGAGCTTTCTTTACCTTGGCAGTCTTATCTTGCGAGCCCGTCGCAATCAGCTTATCGTTGGGGGAAATGGCAATCGTGTTAATGTCCTTGTCGTGAGCCTTTTGTGTCATTCGCGCTTGCATGCGCGAGGTTTCAGAGCCGTTGTGGATGGCACCAAGCAAATCCCACAACTTGATGGTGCGATCTTGGCTGCCAGTAACTGCAAAATTGCGCGTCTTTCTTGACAACGCCACGCTTCCAATAGCTTCCGTATGGCCAATACCAACGCCGATACAGTCAAAGCTACGAAACGAAACCCCAGGAAAGCGAACGTGAGTAACAATGGCAAACCCCCTCCTCCCAGTAAATGAGCGAGTCAATCGAAAGTTAGACTCCCTGAACATACTTTAGTCGATCTTCAGATTGCCAAGCGCGAACAGTATTGTCCTTGCCGGCGCTGACAAGCAGCAAACCGTCATTGCTAACATCCAAGCACAAGACGATGTCCGTGTGGCCGTAGAGCAAGCGAGCACCAAAAGTCGCCAAGTCAAACGTGCGGAGCTGTTCGCTGTTTGTGGCCATGACGACGTGCGAGTCGTCATCACCGATAAAACGCAGATCGATAATCTCGTCGTTCTGTCCCACAATCTGCTTTTTGACTTCAAGAGTGGTGTCGTCAAGTTGGAAGATGTTTTGGTCGTCGGTGACGACAAAGATGGACGAGGTGGCGGGGCTTGCGAACGCGTCGACAATCTCGCGCTTGGGTCCATCGAGCTTGCGCGAGTGAACAGGCTTGCCGGTGCTCAAGTCCCACATTCGCACGACACCATCTGCGCCGGCAGTCACAAAAACGGGCCCGGCGGTTGTCGAAGGCTGCTGTTGCTGAGGACGCGACCGCGATCGTTGACTCTCGGGCTCGGCAATCGCTCGCCGTTGCACAAGCATGATTGCCTCAAGGGACTCGAACGTGGTGATGGTACGGGCGAGCGTTCGCGATTTCAAGTCCCACATGGCGACAATCTTGTCGCGACCGGCGGAAAGCAGGCGATCGCCGTCGGGAGAGACGACGAGTGCGCTGACGTGGCTGTTGTGGCCTTCGAGAACAAATCCCTTGCGCGTGTTCAGGTCCCAAACGCGAATCTTGGTGTCCGAGCCCGAGCAGAACAGCTGCATGCGCTTTGCATCGGGATGGAATGCGAGGGCAGACACGATTCCTTGCGCGCCACGGAAGCTGTGTGTGAGATAGCCTTGCTCAATGTCAAACACCTTGACGATGCCGTCGCTCGAGCCCATGGCCAGCAACGTCGAGGTCGGATCGAACGCCATGCCGAGCACGGGGCCGTCGGTGGCCTTCCAGGTGCGCTTCACTGTGGTTGCCGCCCAGTCCCATTGGCGAACCTGCTGGCTCCGACTGGCTGTGACGAGGTACACGCCATCTGGTGACAGCGCCATGCATGTGATGGGTTCCGTGTCCTGTGTGTTGTGTTGAGCAGCGTGAGTTTTGAGAGTTGCGGTACTTTTTTGACAAACGCCCAAAGCCTTATCCACCATCATCATTGTCATCATTTCGGACGGCATTCACACGTCTCTCTCTCTCTCTCTCTCTCTCTCTCTCTCTCTCTCTCTCTCTCTCTCTCTCTCTCTCTTTCTTTTGTCCCTTACGCCTTCGAGAGTGGCAACAGTGCGGCCGGTGGCGAGCGAAGTGACTTTGACCATGTCGACGCAGGTCGTAAACATGTGCACGGATGGCGCTGTGGCATCGCCGTTCTCAACGTCTGAGGTGTCCATATCCGAATCCGATGTGACACTTTCCGCAGCCTGTGCGTCCCTGGGCGAGACGGTCGCGACGTTGGAGACAATCACTTTGCCGCCAGTGAAGAGCGCCTCGAGCTTTCCGGCCTCCTTGAAGCTGGCGTCCAAGCAAAACAAAACAAGAAAAGGGGGATTAGTGTTATTGACATGCTTCAGTCAAACAGGGGCTCAATGGGGGACGGGAATCAATGGTGGATCAATGGTGGATCAGTGAGTTGGATCCCTGTGTGACTCTGGCGCGTGGGTGGTTCCTGCTCTGAGGCCTTGAGCTGAGTTTTGTGGTGGCGTGAGTGAGTGGGAGTGGGATTTGGGGTTTTGGTGGTGATGGGGGGGGGGTTGGAGATTGGATGTACTGAAGCAAAGGGAGGGAAGGGGGGAACGGGACCATGTGGAGAGGCTACCATGCGCTTCCAGTCTCGCTCAAGGTCAGCATTGTGAAGGGGGGAAAAGCCATCAACAATAGTGACGTGAAGACAGAGAACGACAGCACACAAAGTAGAAGGAAAAAAGCGACGGGAGGGGGAGGGGAGGTCAACGGACGAAGTGCTGATGAGGGGAGAAGTGGGATTGCAGAGCGGATTGCTCACTTCTCCATTCACTGCACTCCACTCAATCTCAACCATCAACCATCAATCATCAATAAGCAATAAGCAATATAGGCGTGTTTTTTGTTGAAATGGGCCTGGTACCTCGTCTTGAGCGCAACATGCTCGCCAGACGGCAGCTTGATCGACTTGCTCATGGAAGAATGAATGAAGACTGAACGACCGGTTTTGTGGATGATGGGAGGACATCGAAGGTCATTTTTTGAATGAGTGGTGAGATGGAAGAGTTGGTGATGCAAATGAAGGGGGTGCAGAGGGGAAGAAAGGGGGCAAAAGAGGGGGGTACTCGGTTGAGCGATGTTTAGTTAGTCTTCGTATCTGGTTTTCAGTTTCATTCCAAGCGAAACAAATCCCGATACTGCTGCTCAGTCTTTTCTCTGCCTTTTCTTCTCTGCTTCTGCTTTTTCAATGGCGTTGCATTACACGAAAGACGCCCCGGATCCGCAGCTGCGCGCTCATTTCACTGCGCTCGCTGCGCTTGAGAAGGAGCCCTTTGCACAGCTCGTTACGATTGTGTTTGGCTTCCTGAGCCAGCCGCAGGCAAGTTGACGCTGGACTCGGATCGTGATGATGATGCTTGAGAAGTCCTCACATGACGGAGGATGAGACGAACGAAACGCGCGGACGCCGAGCCATCGCCCCATTCGAGATAGCTTTAGAAGGAGCGAGAGAGAGCGAGATGGATTGATAGATGGGAGGATGAAGGCGGCGTCGCAGCGACTTGGACGACTTGGACTAGGTTTTGATGGATGGACGGATGGTCATTTAGATACCTCATCCCTCATCCCCTCTCCAGCAGACACTCTGAGATCTTGGAAATAGCTCTCTTGAATCTGAGCAAAACCCGGTTTGAAACGCGCGCTCGTGATGCGAGCAGAACTCGAGGGAGCTGCCAAATCTCAACCCAATCCAAGCAACGATTGACTGAAACGGTCGAAACTCATGCAAACTCAAAACATGACATTTTGTTCGTTACAGTCGGGACTGCTGCTCGATCAGCTGCAAGAGTTTGCCACAACGCACGGCACCGACGTCCAAGTCCTGCGCGACATTGTGCGCAGTCTGCTGCTCTTCCTCAAGGCTGCCACGCGACTGTCGCTCACTCCCATCCATGTCAAGGAAGATCTAAACCAGCTCGGTGCGTTGAGATTGGGATGGGGGAGGTGGGAGGAGGGGGGGGGGCGAACGTTCACCAGCACTTTGTCTGACATCTCTTGTACTTTTGATTTGTTTTCGTTTATGTGCAGGTCTCGAGGAACCCAAGGCACGATTCGTTGCCACGCAATGGAAGAACAACTCGGTGGCTGTGACAAAGACGATGGTCGGCCAAACGCTGATGGTCAACCAACTGATTGACATGGAATGGCGATTTGGCAGTAAGTGTCTTTTTTTGCGCGGAAAGAACAAGGCCACGTCCTTCACTGTTGTGCAATGTCTAACCTTCTACACCACCTCCTTTGTTGAAACGCTTGCTCCTCTCGTGCGCCACAGTCACTGCAGGAAGCAGCGAAATCCGATCGATCGGCTCGACGTTCTTGCAGCTCAAGCTTGTGTTGAATCGTGGCAACGGCCCGGAAGACACTTTCATTGGTGAGTCGCTTTTGTGGCACGGTGATGCTTTGACGAATTTCGTGCTTGTGGTTTTGCTAACCACTATTTTTGATTTGTTTTCCCCAACTTTTTTTTCTTTTTTTTTTTTCCCCCTTCTCAGAACTCACACTGCCGCAATTCTACACTTTCTTGCACGAGATGGAAAAGGCCAAGACAAGCTTGGACCACATGACATGAGCTGATGATGCACAGCTGCGGCCACTCGCTGTCATAAAAATTGAATGATGTAAATGCCAAGTGGAAAATGTTATGACTAGCCGATTAAAAAAACACTATGGGATAAACGCGATGCAAAGACAAGCCGATGGTTGTGCACCCTGTCACAAACGCATCGAGTTGCACTCGAACGACACACTAACGAAAACTCGAACAACGAAAAATAGAACTCGAACACAAATTGCAATCATGCGCCCGTCTCCACTTCGTGATTGCCGGAAGCGTTGTCTTGGATGCGAGCAAACGCGGCATGGAAGACGGTGACAATGGATTTGTGCATGGTGAAGGCCTACCAATCACCATTCGAGTTGAGAAGGCCGAAAAAAAAAAAAAAAAAAAGTAAGCACTCTGAGAAGCAAACGAAAACCAAGAACAATCAAACCCCTGCAAGACAGACTGGCTCTTACGGGTGCTCCGCTGCGCTTCAGTGTCCAAGCAACGAAAGGTTGGCTGCCGGGCTCGGTGTGCAATACAGTCAGGGAAATCAGCTTGCTCTTCATGTCAATCTTGTTGATGGTGGTCGCCATGATGTTTGCGAGTTTTGTATCCAGAAGCACGGTGCCGTCCGCAGTTGTGAGCCTGACTGCATTCATTGACACTGTGAGCGTGCATTTGGCCTTGTTGTAGGTTTTCTGTTGCAGGAAAAAGATAGCGACAAAAAGTAAGAAAAATGCCTTCTGTTTTTGCTTCCCGCGCTTCCATTCTCATGCAACGCAACTGCAAACACTCGACATTATTTGTTGTTGTTATTATGACTTTCTTACATTGGAAGATGCTCGCTGGATTGCGGCATTGAGGTGCTCGGCATTCTTCCAGTCGTGAATGGCGGACGTTTCTACCAACTGCAGCCATTTCCCAGCATCTCGTTGAGTGATTATTGAGCTCGCAACAATAGGACAACAAAGTCATTCCAATCTTCCCCCCTCTACTCTCCACGCCCCAGACATCTCATAAGACGTTTCTGAGTCAGAGATCAGAGGAAGGAGCACTGGGGTTGGCTCGTGTGGCGGTTTTGGCTGTGCTCGCCCCGCTCTGCCTCACGAAGCGACGGGGGAAAATGCCTCCGACTGCGCCGCTTCAAGCGTCTGTGTGTCATGTTGGACACGCGCCCCGCAGCGAGAGTGACGGCCGCTGAGGGAGCAGCAGGAGAGCGCGACGACGACCGTGGGGCTCGTGACCGCGAATGGAGGACGACGACGGTTGCCTAGCAAAGCGAAGAGGTTTTCGGGCTTCTTTTCGTTTACCTTGACCGTGAACGTGAGCACTTCGTTCGACAATCTGGGTGCATGTTAGACAAAAGCAAGCAAGCAAGCAAGCAAGCAAGCAAGCAGACGACAAAAGCCTATAGTAAGAAACAGCAAAGCAAATAAAATCAGAAAAATACAATAAAATAAAAAAAAAATCGACACGAGGAATCGGCTTTTAAAAGCAACGGTTGAGTTCATCAGTGAGGACATGATGGAAGGGGGGAAAAGGGGAAGGGGGAAAAGGGGGAGAGAGAGAGGGAGGGAGAGAGAGGGAAGCAGAAGAGGGAGGGAGAGACAGAGAGACAGAGAAGAGGGGGTGTGGGGAAACTGACGAGATGTTCGCATCCTGGCTGAGCGTTGACATTGTAAAGAAAGAAAAAAAAATCAGAAAAAAAAAAAGAATGAATGAATGAATGGAGGGAAAGGCTTTCTAAATGTGGTCGAATGTAAAATGAAAGAATGAAAACATGAACGACATGGTCTTTGGGGCAAGAAGAGGGAACAGGGAAGAGGGAACATAGAGATAGAGAGAGAGCGAGAGGGGGAAAATGAAGAAGCCAGAAAAGGCGTGCTCAGAGCGCAACGAAAGACCAAGTTTGGGCAATGGTGGATCAACACAGAGATGCATTACAGCCTTGTCATCTCATTTCTTGTCAATGTGCTCCTGTTGCACCTTGAAACGGGGGCTCGGAGCTGATAGAGAGAGTAAGAGAGAGAGCAAGCTCTGTTCCACTCTGCTCTGCTCTGCTCTCTTTATCAATTTCAACATAGTACAATCTACACTTGTTTTTACGTTTGCAACACATCTCAGATTTTTCCATTCTTCCACATTCGTTCTCAGTCTTCTTGAATCTTCTCCATGGGCAAGGACAAGGATCCCGAGCCGCACACCATTGAGATGCAGGCGGTCAATCTCGACCCCCGCGACGACAATGACAATGACAATGACGATCGTGACAACGCTGCTCAGCCTGCGACGACGGATCAGCAGCAGCAGCAGCAGCAGCCACAGTCAGTGGAAGAGCAAGCCGAACGCAATCCTCACAGCGAGCCAGCAATCCCGACGACTGCCACTGCCACTGCCACTGCGACGACCACTGACTACAACTACTACTACTGCTGGTGCTGCTGGTGCTGGTGCTGATGCTCCTGTAGTAGCAGCAGTAGTAGTGCCAGAAGTCCCAACCGCTCCAACTGCTCCTGCTACTGCTTCAACTGCTCCTGCTACCGCTCCTGCTACTACTGCCGCCGCTGCTGCTGCTGCATCGACAGCATCGTCGTCGTCCTCGGCGGCCGCGGCGGCTGCAGCAGTGACGGACGCCCGCGAGTGGCTCCAGCTGCTCGCCACAATGGTCCACCCGACCTCTGCCTCGGACGCAGTGGAGCGCGCCGCGTCGCAGCTCATTGAGCGCATCACGGCGTCGTCCATCGAGTCACTGCGGGAACTCGTCGCCCTGGTTCGCAAGGACGCGCTCGTTCTGCCGCGAATGTCCGTTCTGCTCGCAGACGCTCGGAACGAGGTTTGTGCTTTGATTTCTCAGATTTAACGCCAAGCTCGTGGGGGGGGGGGAAAGTTTCCGAGTTTAACTCTGAGTAAACTCATTGTGCTTTTTGGTCGCGTTTTTGGCTGCGTTGCAGGTCAACATCAGCATCTGCAAGCTGATTTACGAGTTGTACAAGCGTCGCGAGCGCGAGTCGACGCGCTTGATTCTGCAATTCCTGCCTGCGTTGCTTTGGGCGTACCTATCCTTGTCCTCCAGCGGTGATTCGAAGGTATGGAGAGCTCTGGTGACCTGTCTTGGAGACGGTTGGAGACGGTTTTTGTTTTTGGTTTTGAAGGAATCAAAGTTTTGGCCAACTGTTCTGTTTTGTGCTCTGTTTTGTGCTCTGTTTTGGGTTGTGGCCAGTCAATTCATGCATTCGAGGCATGCCTGGTTGCCATCTATAACACTGAAATCGCCGACTACGACGGCGAACCCATCACCCAAACCTTCACCCTTCCGTCACTCTCGCGGCCCTCCGTGTACCACGACGTAAGAAACAACACTCTGACGATTGTCTTGAATCTTGAATCCAATCTCTCCGCAATATGCATGCTCAACCACGACCGCTTTCCGACACAGCCGGCGCCTGGATCCACGCAAAAGCTGACCGAGTCGGCGCTTTACCAGCACGAGCACTCCACCAAGCCACAAACGGTGCGCAAGCCACTGCAGTCGGTTTCCAGCATAACGCAGGCAGTATATACGCCCGTTTTGTCTCTCCTATTGAGTCGGTACCACGCGCACATTGGAATTCTCCCGGCCAGCTCTGTCCTAGAAATGTGCCAGCTGATTTGCCGGTATGCTCCTTTTTCTTGGCGACTGCACACTTGCGTGGTTGGTTGCTGCACCGCCGCCACTGCTGCTCACATTCCTTCCCTCCCTCAGTGCGTGCTTTGACGGCTACCAAATTTCTGCGTCGGAGCGGCAGGAGCTTCTTTCGTCGATCGGGGCCGGGCAAGAAAGCCAATTGCCACAGATGGTGCAGTTGTCGCAACTTGGCAGCGCGTTCAACGCTCGGCTAGCGGAAGCATCGGCTGGACGCGCAACACCAGCAGTGATTGCTCGTATCGATCTCGACCACTACATCTTGCTCGAAATGCTCCACATTGTCACGTACGCGCTGTACCAGCCAGCCACGCGCCAGGTGGCTCAGGTTGCCCTGGTTGATCTTCATTTGCGTGCCTCTGCCGCCTTGCTTTTTGAGCCTCTGCTTGTTTCCAGCGCCGCCATCAAAGCTCTCCGCAGCAGCGCCGTGCGTCCTGACGCGTCGTCGGCCGTCACCACCCGCAGTGCGCTCCTGTGGCGCCCTGCCTTTGTTGACAATGTTGATTTTTAGCATGTCTTGTTGATGTGTGTGTGTGATTTTGATTGAATGCAGATGTTTCCTCGCTTCTCTTTTCTCCATTCGCACCCTGCCATTCCCCCTTCGCCTGGTTTATCCATTTTTTTCTTCTTTCATGCATGGTCAGTGATATATCAATGCAAAAGTCAGCAGGATAAGGAGCTTCAGTCCTCATTCACTTTGACAACAAAAAAAAAAACACAATGCTGCCGCAGTCGACCGTCTCCATCACTGAGACCTCGAACGAGCTCACGTCCGGTACAAACCACCCTCACGCTCACAAAGCATTCTGCGAATTTTCTGCATCATTTTTGGTCTAATCCGACTTGCTTGTGTTTTGCAGAGCTCGATTCTGCTGGAGCGGACGAGATTGTTCGCCTGCTGCGATGCTCAGACGCGCAGCTGTTTGGGGGATACCGACACTACGAGGTCTGTTCCATTTATTTATTATTATTATTATTCTTGCTTGTTTACCGAATGAAACGAACCTCCCTGAAGCGAGGACGTTCGGGGTGGGTGGAGTGATTCACAGGGACGAGATTACTACTGCCAGCGACGTGAACTGCGCCGACGATCGTACTCAACCTGTATATCTTGGGCATTTGATCATTGTGGCTTTCAGGGTCTGATGGACGAGACGACGATCGCGACGCTCGAGCAGATTGCCGCGTGCATCAGCAGGAACATTCTGCACAACCGACCGGCTGCGGGTGGCCGCGATGCTGACGCGGCAGCCACAACGACGACGACGACGACGCGTGTGGTCATCTCGGGCGCAGGGACATCGGGGCGCATGGCCTTCGTCTGCGCATCGACATTCAACCGCGTGCTGGAAAAGCTCGGCCTGCCAAAGCTGTTTGCATACATTTGTGCAGGCGGCGATTCTGCCCTGTTCACGTCTCAGGTAATAAGCACGAGCAAGCAAAAAAACCAAGCAACGAGAAAAAAAAACATGTAAAAACGGGTGGATTGAGCCATTGAACTTTGGGCGATTTTGCCTTTTGCCTTTTGCGCAGGAAGCACCAGAAGACAATTGGCGTGCTGGCATCCAAACGCTCGTCGAGGCCAGCCAGAATGCCTCCAAAGTCGTATACATTGGCATTACATGTGGACTGGCTGCGCCGTTCGTTGCCGCTCAGCTCGATTATTGCATGCAGCATTTGGACGTGTTCACGCCCGTTCTGCTGGGATTCAACCCGCTGCATCTGGCACGGCGCATCAAGGTCGAGCAGTGGCATCACACGTTTGCGTCAGTTTGTGAGCAGTTGGTGCAAGTGTCCTTTCCGCAGGTTGAGGCAGCTAAGGCACAGGGCTTCATCTTGACGCCGATTGTGGGCCCCGAGCCCATCACTGGATCGACGCGCATGAAAGGAGGCTCCGCCACCAAGATTATTCTGGACGTGATGTTTGTACGCGCCTTCCAGCTCGCAAAGTTGCTTGGCGGCGGGGTTGAGAGCGCCGACCAGAGTGTCGCCGCGCTGCTGCAGGAATGTCTCTTGGCCATGCAAGAAACCTATCTGCAAGCCCGTGCCATCGGACAGGTCGTGCAGCTTGCCGGCGACTCGTTGCGCTCGGGTGGTCGCATTCTTTACCTCGGGAGCGATTCGCTCGGAATCATGGGTCTGATTGATGCGTCCGAATGCGCCCCGACCTATGGAGCAACGTATGACGATGTGCGCGGATTCTTGCATGGCTGCTTTGACACTCTTGGCAACGTGGAAGGCAATCTTCACGAGAAGGCTGCGCCTGCACAACAGCAGCTGGCGTCCTCGCCCGGCCCGTCGTGCGCGACAGTCGGTTCGGCCACGTTCGACATCGGGCTTGGCTCATTCACTCGCAACATGCTACCAACGCTCTCGCCGCGCGATCTTGTTATCGCCATTGTGTCCGACAATCCTTCAGGCCGCGACGCAGTCTACCGCACGCTCGAGGCTGCATCCGGCCGTGGCAGCAAAACGGCTGTCATTGCTTGCACTGGTGCATCACCAGCCTCTGCTGCGCTGCAATTGCCTGCCTCCGCCCTCGCGGCCGTGCGAGTGCGCTTGCAACGCACTTCTCCAATTTCCGACGGCGGTTTGGCCGCGTCGGCACCCATTCACCTCGAGTTTGCTGCCAAGCTTGTATGCAACGCCATTACCACCGGCGCGCATGTGCTGCGCGGGAAAGTGCTCGGAAATCACATGATTGATTTGCGGGTGAGCAATACAAAGCTCTTCCATCGCGCCATCGGCATCATTTCGAGGTTTGCGAACGTTGATGAGGCGATGGCTCGCGACTCGCTCGTCCGTTCCATTCACACTGACAGCAGTGCTCTCAGTGAATTGGCCAACCTGGACATCTCCGAGCATGTTCGAGTTGCCACGACGTCTCAACGAGTGGTTCCCCGCGCCATCGTGCTGGCGATTGCCGCGCTGCGAAACCAGAACCTATCAGCGCAAGCTGCAAACGCAATGCTCGACTCCCATCCAATCGTGCGCGATGCTGTGCGTCATTTGCTCAACCCGTCGCGCCCATAAACTGTGAACTTGTTGGATTCGTGTGTCAATCTAATTATGATCAATAGAGGGGTTTTCACGAGTAACGCACAAAAAAAAAAAAAAAAAAAAAAACTTGAAGGCAGCTGTAGCACACCCCCCAGTGCGCTCTGGTTTAAGACAATAGCACCACAGTGTCCTCCTGTACAGATGAGCTAAATTCGTAAGCAACAGTGAATCGTAGAGCAAATCCACGACCAACATTGTGACAAACGTACATCGTCATCGTTCTGGGCTCGCTCCGGCGCAGCTGTTGCAGCGGCTACGTTATCGTCCAGTGCCCGCATCTTTTTGGCAATCTCGGGTTGAGGCGAATCTTCCCAAGCGCGCTTCAAGGGAGCGAGTTGGACAGGGGTAGACCGTCCTCGCTCAACACCAGATCCCGGTGAAGCACCTTTAATGAGCGCTCTGTGCAGTCGAGGGTCGCTCGACAGCACGGCTTGAGCGGGAGAGGATCGATTAGCGTTTGAGTGAACGCTTCCGTGCATGGGCTGAATGAGCTGGATGGCTGGGACAGGGGGAATTGTCGAAAAGCGAGCTTGAGAGGCGTGGATGGCGGGGAGATCATCGAGAGTTGCCGGTAAGGATGCGACAGACGATGCTGACGTGAGTAGTGACAAGCGAGTCATAATATCATGTTTATCTGGAGAGGGGCCGTCCAGGACAAATGCCGCAAAGCTCTCGTCTTCTGCCATCGGAGGCAAACCATCGTCGGCCGCAAGGTTGTCTTCAACTGCAGTGTCCAAACGTGCCGGAATATCAGCAGTATCCACTTGGTCATGGGAATGGGGAGAGAGCGCGTCGCAGTGCTCAGACGCGACAACCTCTTCCTTCATCGGCACTGGCACATCCGCTTCGGGCACGTTCAACGTCGCTTGACCTGTCGACACGTGCGAGTCAGTTTGACGCCACGCCGGTCGTGTGTCCAGTAATGCACGCTGCCGCAAGAGAGGCTGGTCAAACACCACGTCACTCTCGCAGCCTGACAGTGGGTAGGGTTTTTTGCTAAGAAAGCTACGAAAAGGGAACAGTGGGCCCAAGAACGGATGGCCCAAGGCTGCCTGTGGTGTCAAGCGCTCAGCTGGATTGTACTTGAGCAAGCCATCGATAAAACTGCAAAAAAAACCACACGACGGTTGACCGTGAGAATGAAAGCGCAAACCCAACTAAACAACAACAAAAACCAACCTCGCACACAACAGCACACACTGATCCTCCCCCTCTTATCGGCCACCAACATTACCTCAGAAACGCGATATCATGTGTACCGAGCATTGATGACAGTCGTAGCAAGCGCTGCGATTGCAACAGGGCGATACGCATGGCTTCCTCGCCTTCGCGATCTTGCGAATCGTCGAGCTGGGCTGGACCCGCATCGAGAAACTCTTGAAATTGAGCATTAAACTTGCCAGCCGCAAAGGGAGCTTGAGGAAATGGACCCAGCAGCTCGAAAATCGACTGGACCAGACTCGCGGGCGAATCTCCCGAAAAGATCGGACGACCCAGGCTGAGTTCTGCCAGGATGCACCCGACCGACCACATGTCAATCTGAAACCCAAACTCGCACCCAAAGAGAACCTCCGGTGCACGATACACGAGCGTCTGCAGTTCAAACGTCTCGTGATAAAGACTCAAAAACTCGGGTTTGCACGACACGGCGTTGCCAAAATCGACCAGTCTGATCGAGAAGGAAGGATGGTCAACCTCATGCCCAAGACTACTGTCATCGATCAGCGAGCGCGGGCAGCGGAGAATATTCTCGGGTTTGAGATCGGCGTGAATAACGGCCTGATCCTCAAGGAAAATCATGGCGGACAGAAGCTGAGCTGCAATCTTGCGCAGACGTTGCATGGCGACAGCAGTGGCAGGACGCTGTTGAACCCATTCACCTAGCAGAGTGCGCGAGCTCTGGTGTGCAGCGGAGGCAGGCGGGATGGTGTGTAGTTTTCGCAGCGGGGTTTCCACCTTCTCGAATGGAGAAGCGCTGTTGTGGTTGTTGTGGTTGTTGTTGTGGTTGTTGTTACTGGTGTTGCTGTAACTGGAGGAGGGACGGCCCCGAGGGGTGCGGAGCTGGTCGTGTTCTCGAGAAACCCAGACCGTGTCATTGAGGCTGAGTGGCACGGGATCAAGCAATTCAAAGACCAGACAAAAATGCCCACACACGGTGAAAGTGTTTAACAGTCGAACGACAGGGGAAAACCCGCAACGGTCGGCGAGGTTTAAGCGACGCAGGTGCTTGGCTTCTTCCTCGCCAATTGCAGCGTATGGCTTGTGCATGATTTTGATTGCCACTCGTCGGCAACCCGGTGGAATGGCAAAGCGTGAGGCCTCGTGCTGGCGATGAGAGGGCGATGGCAGGAGGTTGCGGGGGGAAACGCCAGCTTTTCGATCGCAATCCATGTCGGAGGTCGGCTGCGAGGAACTCTGAGGATGGAGGCGGAATGCTGCATTGGAGTGGGTGAAGGTATCGACAGCTTGAATCATGACGGCAAATGTCCCTTCTGCCACCTGTTTGATGCAAGCGTAGCGACTGTTCAGCAAGCAGATGCAATCTCGAGCAATTTTCGGAGTTGCCTGTAGCTTCGAAGGAGGTCCTGCCAACGAGCGTTCGTGGGACGGCGTCGGATGCCTCGAGTCTCTCCGTTGCTGCTTGACCGGCGTCCGAGGCGAGCTCAGCGGCGACCTTCTTGCAGCATGCACAGCCGGCTCGTCGTCTGAGACAGTTGGACGCTGTTGACGGTACGCGGTCAGCCAGTCGGGCTCGCCATTGTCATCATCTTCCTCTTCCTCTTCCTCTTCCTCTTTCTCTTTCTTGATCTGCAATGCATTGCGATTCGCGCTCTGAGACGCGTCGGCCTTCCTGCTGCCATCCATGGACGTTGAGGTCTGAGCATGCTGAGCGAGAGCTCGATTTTGGCGCCAAAATGTCGACGCGCCGCCATCCTCGCCTGGCTTGCCTGCAGACGCTGACTCGCCGCCGCGCTTGCCTGCAGCGGCACCAAACAGGTCGCGCGACTCGTGTCCACCCTCCGCGTACTCTGGCGCGGACGATGCCGGCGCGCGATGGGTTGACGACGCGGCCGCGGTTGCTGCGAACAACGGCAACAGGACAAAGTGGCCGTCGTGGTCTGTCTCAAACCCGCGCGGTCGCTGCACCCCACTCTGTTCGGACGACTGCAGCAATCCCAACGAGGCAGCAGAAGCTGTAGCAGCAGCAGCAGCAGCAGCAGTGTCGGCGCGGGTCGAGGACGTCCTGCTCTGGGCCTGAATCCGCTCGTACAGGGCAGTCAGTCCCGCAGTCACCTGCGCGACACGGGCGGCATCGGATCGCGTGCCACCGAGCCGGCGTGGCTGGCTCTGCGAATCGAGGGGGAGGAAGCGCGACGCAGCGGCATGGCGCAGCTCCATTTGTGTTTGTGTTTGTGCTTGTGTTTGTGTGGCTTGCTGTGCTGCTCAGACGCACACAAAAAAGAAGCACAGGGAAAGTAAGATTGACATGCAAAGTGCCAATGTCAAAAGGAGAACAAAGCAACAATTTTGGTGCGCATTGATTGTAAAAACGAAAAAGAAAAAGAGAAAAACAAAAGTCGTGCAACAACTCGAAACATTGAACTAAGTACAGTAGGATGATGGAGACAACACGGGTGGCACACAAGCATCGTGCAAAACAAAAACAAACAAAGCACGCTCAAAAACATTGCAAGGTTGGAAAAGGAGGGGGGGGGAGTAAGAGAATGCAGGGCAGGCAAACATGACTGCAAACAAACATCAGCAACAACAAAGAACGGGAGGACAATCCGGGATTAACGAGGGCCCTTGTTGGGCTTGGCGTACACTGGCATGGCACCGGGAGTAGCCGCGGAGGAAGGAGCCTGCGGAGACTCGTACGACTCCGGACCGGACGTGTCGGCGTCGACAGGTGCCGCGTACGTGCTGCCTGCAGCTTGAGCCGAGTCGACAGGAGCGGCGTACACGGCAAAACCAGTGTGGGTGGCCTTCTGAGGAGCCTTCGGATCGAAGGGAGCGGCATAGTTGCTTTCGTCATCGTTGGCACCGGGTGGGCTGGCGTAGCCGCCTTCGACTGCAGAGTAGAGGTCTCCGTCGCCGTTGTTGCGCTGATCACTGGGCAATTGGTAGACGTCCGTCGCATCGGCAACTGGCGCGTACATGCTGTCGGCAGCAACTGGGGCATAGAGGCTCTCCGCCGCCTTGGAGGCAGTCGGTTTGGTTGGTTTGACAGGCTTGGCCACAGACGAGTAGATGGCCGTGTTGGCGCTATTCTTGGAGATCGGGTTGCTGGCCAGCTCCATGGTGGAATCGCGGGTTTGGACAGAAGAGCGATTGCGACGGCGTGACACAACCAGAACGATAATGACAATCAGCAAAAAGGCGATGCCTCCACCAACGCCAGCGCCGATCGGCACCATATCTGCACCGCTGCTTTGTGCTGACGTATTGGGATTGCCTGCGCCAATCAAAAGGGGAAGAAGAAGAAAAAACGAGGAAACATGAGAAAGGATGCGCTTTCATCATCGGGGATGGCAGAAAACAGCAGCAAGCTACATTCCCCCCCCCACCTCCTCCAAACACAGATGCAACAGTATATTTTGGGGGGGGGGTTGTTTTACCTGAATTGGACAGCGTGGTCACGTTGAGAGATGTCGTTAGGAATCGCTGGCCAGATGAAGGAGGAGCACCAATGGTAGCCTTCACCTCGAAATAATAGGCCGTCTCTGGCTCGAGCGCAGTAATGTTCCACCGAATCTGGCGACTGTTTCCAGGCTTGTACAAGAGCGAAGTGTCACCGTTGTAGGCCACAGTTTGGGTGGAAATAAAGGCCGCATCGGTCGAACGACGATAGGAAAGCTGGTACTGCCGCACTGGACCGGAAGTGTCGAGCATCTGCACCGTGTTGAGCGTCACTGAAACATTGGTCGCTTGGATCTTTGTCAGCGTCAGTGGCGGAAGCGGGAAGTTGACGGCCAGACAGTCCTGCGCCGCACCAGCAAGCAGGTTCCCTCGGTTGTCGGCAATGTTCACAGCGGCGGAGCCAGATGGCAACGTCCACTTGGCATAGACAAAGGACAAGCCACATAGGTTTAAGTTGTCGGTGATCTGGAGACTGTTGGTGATGGACAAGCCGTTCGAGCCGATGGATTGCACATGGGTCAGTTTGGTGTTCACAATCGCCAAGTTAGCAACCTGAGCCAGGTCGGGCATGGTGATAAAGTCGGTTGCCGTTTGTTGGAACGTCAAAGTACCGGCCGTCTGCAGCCCACTCAGATCGAGAGTCTGCACCGTTGGAGCGCCGAGAGTCAATGTGGAGACCGTTCGGAGGTTTGTCAAAATCAAAGACTTCAGACCGGCGCTAGCTGAAACTGTGAAAGTGCCCGCTGATGCAAGGGTGACCATCGTGAGAGAGGTCAGCGCCGAGCTCCCAAGGTTGAAGGTTGTCACCGTCTGCAGCTTTGGCAGCGTTAACGCCGTCAAGCCGGCTCCCGTCGGAACTGCGAAAGAACCCACGGATGTCAGAGTATCCAAAGCGAGAGTTGTCAGAGCTGCGCTTCCAAGACTGAGGGTTGTGATGGTCTGGAGCTTGGGCAACGTCAAAGCACTCAAGCCGGCGCCCGTCTGAACGGTGAACGAGCCAACTGAGGTGAGAGTGGCCATGGTGAGACTTGTCAGAGCGGCGCTCCCGAGACTGAGGGTTGTGATGGTCTGGAGCTTGGGCAACGTCAAAGAAGTCAGGCCGGCTCCCGTCTGAACTGTGAAAGAGCCGACTGATGCCAGGGTGGGCAAGGTGACAGTTGTCAGGGCCGAGCTTCCAAGGCTTAGAGTTGTGATGGTCTGCAGGCTTGGCAGAGTCAGGGTCGCCATGACAGCGCCCGCAGGGAACGTCAGGCTACCAATGGACTGCAGGGAACCCGCAGTCAAGGTGGCCAAGGCTGTCGCGTTGAACGAGGCCACACTGACCACGTCAGGGAGCACAAGAGAGGTCAGTTTGTTTGTGGTTGTCAAAGTACCGATAGTTGTGAGGCCAGCGTGGCTGAATTGTGCGCGAACGGCCGAGAACGACACAGAGTAGGCAGAAGCGACAGTAGACAGTGCAGGGAACATCAAGGAGATTGAATCACTGGAGGTGGGGTCGCCAATGTCGAGCTTATCGACGGTAGCAAGGTTTGGGAATGTCACAGTCTGTTCGGAACTCGTGACATAAAGCCAGTTTGCTGAAACCAGGTTTGGGAAGCTGTATGAGTCGCCAAGGTACTGGATGCGCAAGTAGTCCACTGAAGTAAACCGAACAAACAGAGTGCGAAATTGAGCTAAAGAGCCAAAGCTAAATCGAACACACACACACACACGCAACACAATCACAAAAACAAACTGCGTTGTTCCAGAACTGACATGATTTGCATTGAAAAATCTCGGGCAGAAGATAGTAATCGGCAAGGAGTGGCTCGGTAACCACGTTTCCATCGCGTTTGAATGTGCAATCTGGAACAGAAACAGCAAACACAGTTTGAGCATGAATTTGAGCATGAATTTGAGCATTCACTTGCATTCACCATTGAAAGTAAAACTTAGAGTTGTTGTTGTTGGGTTTTTTGGAAGTTTTGGCTTTTTTTTTTTTTTTTTTTTTTTTTTTTTTTTTTGTGGTTGTGATTTTTATGTCTCGTTCTCGCATCAACGCTGCCACCTTCCTTCAGGGACGTGCGCGACTCGCGCCCGCCACAGTACCATGTGCAAGCGAATGCGATTGTTGCTGATGCATCCGCCAGACTCCCCACGAGCGACGAGTGCAGACAAAGTGCCGATAGATCAAAATAGCAAAAGCAGCAAAAAAAAAAAAGAAAAAAAATCCATAAAAATCTCGCTTTCAACTCGAACAAAGCCACAGCGGTTGGTCGAGAGGCGCGGGGGGGGGGGGAGCCCCCAAGGATGGGAAGAAAATTGGCATTGCCACAAAAGGAGGGAAGGCGTACACGCGGGAAGGGTGACCCCCATCGGGGTGGCGGCCCCAACGGGGGGCGGGCCACAGGGCCACAACCCCAACGCCGCCGCAAAGACCGGGGGACGGGGCCCCGTGGCCACCAGCCCCCCAAAAGGGGGCCCCCCCTTGCCTGGGGTTTTTTTGGGCCAGGAAAAAAAGGGGGAAAAAGAAACCCCAAAAAAAAAAAAAAAAAAAAAACCCCCAAAATTTAACCCCCCAAAAAAAAAAAAAAAAAAAAAAAAAAAAAAAAAAAAAAAAAAAAAAAAAAAAAAAAAAAAAAAAAAAAGAGTCTCCAAAACAAGATTTTCCGTTTTTATTTTTATTCTTCTTTGTTTTATTGTAATTTTTGTTTTATCATTTTTGTTGTCACATTTCTTACTTTTGGATGGGTTTTTGTTTTCTGTTTTAGGATTGTGGAGGTTTTTCGCTTTGAATGACGTTGAACGACTTGGACTGAAAAGCACAAACAAACAGCAGAGCTAGAAGCCAGATTTGCAGAAAGGAGCGGAAAGGGTTGCGTCCTGTCGTTTCGTAGATTTCAGGGTTGCGAGCATGTCGAATGTCGGTCGTTGGTTGTTTGCTTGCTGACGCTAAAGCCATTAAGCTTGACAACGCAGCCTTGAATTGCGGGATTGCTGAGGAACAAAAGTTGCCAATTGGCCAAGCTCGGCGTCCTCTCTCGATTTGAAACCACACACCAGACAAGATGGTCCAGACATGAAAAGCAAACGCATCTCGCATCGTGTGGAACGGAAATATCGCATTGAGTACAGCAGAATTCAGCACATCATCGAGGCACGTCAAACAAATGTCACTGCTCTCCCTTCCCCTCCCTTTCCTCCTTTGCTCCAGCGAGCTCAAGTGAATAACGCTGTTGATCTGTTCGGGTAAGTCGCTCCTCTGATTCCGCCTCTCGCCCCAAGACTATCAATTTCTTGCATCTTGAGCGGGGATGCGCTGGCGCTCGGCCCTGTTAATGAATCAGGTCAGAAAGGCAATACAGTCACAAACACCGAACGAGGCAAGTCCAACTCACGCCAACTCGCAATTTGTGGGAAGGCTTTGGGATAAAAGTTGAACAGCACTTGAGGAGATCTGGTTGTCTGACAGACTATGGCAAGCATGAACGCAAAAACAAATTGTCAACGACGCTCAGTATTCGATATCTCATGTTGCTGCATCTTATTCCTCCATGTAGAGCCGCACGACCATCGCCCCTGTGCCGCAACTGGACCTACTGCAGTTTCGACAGGTTTGTTTGGTTCCGAAGTGCAGATCCGATAGCCCGTGCTCCAGCGTCACCGACTTGATTGGCTGACATCCTATGTCAGATAAACATCAGAACCAAGCCATTCTTGAGCAAAGACGGAGGTGCGACAGAAGCTCAATCATGCAACTACAATACCCGAACTGAGTCAGCGTAGCCGTTGCCTGCAGGCCTTCAGCGACGGCACAAGCTCCAGTGTCACCAATCTTGTTCTCGCCCAAGCTGCATCAACTCGGCCAAGTGAGTGTCGCGCGCCCAATAGCCCCTGTTTCAGCACAAGAACGTACGAGAGAATAGACAGGTTGGCCATGTTTCGAAGCGCAGATCCGATCGCCTGTGCTCCCGCGTCGCCGATTTGGTTGATGCTCATCCTAAGTCAAACAATCACCAGTAGCAATGCACTTTTAGCAAAACTGCACGCAAGACGAAAGGTCAAACGTGCGACTACAATACCTGAAATCAGTCAGCGCAGTCTTCGCGTGCAGGCCTTCCGCGATGGCGAGCGCTCCAGTGTCACTAATATTGTTGCTGTTCAAGCTGTGTCACATCAGTCAAGTGAGAGCCGGACGACGAATAGCCCCTGTAACACCAAAACGTACTAGAGAATGGACAGATTTGCCTTGTTTTGAAGCGCAGGTCCGAGCGCCTGTGCTCCCGCATCGCCAATTAGATTGGCCTGCATCCTATGTCAGAAAAGCATCACGTAGCAAACCATTCGTGAGCAAAGCTGCATGTAAGACGAAAAGGTCAAAGCGCCGCAATAAAATACCTGAAGTCAGTCAGCGCAGTAGACGTCTGACAGCCTTCAGCGATGGCACGAGCTCCAGTGCCACCAATCATGTTATTGTTCATGCTGTATCAAATCGGTCAAGTCAAAGCCGTGTGACCAGTCGCCCCTGTTACACCACCAGAACGTACTAGAGCTCAGACAGGTTTGCCTTGTTCTGAAGTGCAGATCCGATTGCCTGTGCTCCGGCGTCGCCGATTTGATTGGAATGCAAGCTATACCAGACAGACATCAGAAACAACTCATTTGTAAGCGATGCTGTCAATGCGACCACAGGTCAAACGTGCAGCTACAATACCCGAGCTCAGTCAACACAGTCGATGTTTGCAGGCCTTCGGCTATGGCTCGAGCTCCGGCATCACCAATCTTGTTCCAGCTCAAGCTGCAGCAAATCGTTCAAATGAGAGCCTTGTGATCAATCCTGTCATTCCTCCTGTGGCAACACAAGTTCGTACTGGAGAATGGACAGGTTTGGTTTGTTCCGAAGTGCAGATCCGATCGCCTGCGCTCCTGCGTCGCCGATTTGATTGGTAAACATCCTAACTCAGTCAAACATCAGAACCAAGACATATTTGAGCGAAGCCGGAGATGCGGCAAAAAGCTCAAGCGTGCGACAACAATACCAGAGCTGAGTCAGAGCAGTCGATGTCTGCAGGCCTTCGGCGATGGCACGAGTTCCAATGTCACCAATCTTGTTCTCGCTCAGGCTGTATCAACTCGGTCAAGTGAGAGCCTTTGCGACCAATCCCATCATAACTCCTGTCAAGACACAAGCACGTACTGCAGAATAGAGAGATTCGCCTTTTTTTGAAGCGCAGATCCGATCGCCTGTGCTCCCTCGTCACCAATTTGATTGCGGCGCATCCTATGTCGGACAAACATGAGTACAAAACCATTCTTTAGCACAGACGAAGATGCCACCAAAGGGTCAAGCGTGCCACTACTACAATACCAGAGCTCAGTCACAGTTGTCGAGGTCTGCAGGCCTTCAGCGATGGCACGAGCACCTGCATCACCAATCTTATTCTCGCTCAAGCTGTATCCATTGATCAAGTGAGACTCGTGCGACCAACAGCCCCCTGTGACAGTGGCAGATCGTACTTCAGGAAACCTAGGGTCGGCTTGTTCCGAAGTGCCAATCCGATCGCCTGTGCTCCCGCGTCGCCAATCTGGCTATCACTCAAACTATTCGACAAATTTCATGTTAGAATCTTCTTGAGCAACTCACTTCCTTGCCACTGCCTTACTCAAGCATCTGCAAATGGTTGTTCTGCTTGAGACCCTCGGCAATCACCAAGGCATCTTCGTCAGTAATTCCCGAGCTGCTGAGTCTATAGTAGATCAAGTCAGCGCGAAGCAACAACCACGCTTCATTCTTGAACAATACTTACACGACCGAACTGAATGACTTGGCGGTTTCAAACAGCTCACGCTGCCGTGATGAATTTGCACCACCCATTCTACAAAGATCAAATAATCAGACAGCTCGCAATTGGGGCAAATCTGAGCTCCACTCCTTCTGGCCTTCTTTAATTTAGCCCACGACAGGTGCAGTCCACCGCTTGGGTAGTGTTTTCCGTCGCGTTCATCGCCCTTGTCATGAGACTCGACGACAGAGCGGGCTCACTCGCGAAGCGGTTATTTTCGTGTTGGAACTACGACGAATGCCAGCCCAATCCCATCACTCCGCACCACCCACCCCACGCACCACGACCATCGTCGACGTCAACACAACCCGAGTCAAGCCGATTGCATGGCAATGCTGGTGCCAGGGCTCTGGGCGATGGCACAGACCGAGCTCAACGGGAGCAATCCTCACCCAAAGACAACAGCCACGCGACTCCGACAACCACAGCGACAACAAGCCATCCGTGCATTCCCATGTTTGGCGTGTTGGATGAGATGATGCGTGTATGTGCGATTGTGTGTGTAGCGGACGTGACATGACTGGTGGATGAGATAATGTGTCTTTGTGTGTTTTGGCGCGAACATGACGTCGCGACGGATCAAGATTGAATAGGAAAAAACAACAACGAGAAACCAACAAAACAACAACAGCAACAAAAAAGGAAAAAAAGGTCGTAACAAACCTGAATTTGTCAAGTAAATGAATGCAAAAAAAAAAAGAGTGAGTTTTGAATGAATGCAAAAACGCACAAAGCATCAAAAAAAGTGGATGGAAACGGAAAAACACAGCGTTCATACGGCTGAGCTCAGGTCAACAACAAAAAGCCGCTGGCTGAGATGCGACAAACAACGCATCTGCACGTCAAGACGGTAATGGTGGGTCTTCAGCCAGAGACGTTTGCTTGAAAATCCGAAGCGCAGGCGGAACCGACTTGGAGCTCGACCCAATCCCGATGTTGCGCGAGCCAGCGGTGAAATCAGTTCCTGCAGCAGATGTCGTAAAAACGCGCGGCTCGTGCATGGCCACGAACGTTGTGGCTGCATGGCGCTCTGTGCTAAACACGCTCGTGCTCGAATGGCGGTTGTTCTGTTGGAGAAAGTTAGTTGACAAAAGTCAGCAGCAAAAACTTTTCACCATCACTCAGATTGTCAATAGGAGCTGACACATTTGATTTTTGTTTGTTTGTTTGTTTGTTTGTTTTTCTATCCGAATGAACGCCGATTCGTGAATGATAGATCTGGAAATACTGCGGCACACCCACCCACAGAGCAGTCGACTGCTGGGGCCACAAATCCAACCATCTTTTGTTGGCTCACGTCATGTCACCACATCTCGCCACACAGCTCGCCGCAAACTCGTCCTTAAAACCAATTGCAATGGAGATGCAATGGAGCATACCGAGGGAACGGACGCTGTCTGCTGCGCAGTGGTGTGCGGCGTGTATGTTCGGCTCGCAATCCCGTCAACGGCCTCCTGCGACGGGAAGATGACCGGGCCAGCGTCCATCGCCGCCGTCGCTGCAAACCCACCAGGCACGCTGCGTGTGGCTTCAGAGTACGATGGGGGCCCTCGCTCGTTCTGCATGGAAAACAGGAAGCACGGTAAACCCCGAGTGAGCCGAGATTGGTCGAGCTCGTTCTCTCTCTCCGACGCACGTCATCAACTCGCTCGTCCTTACTGGTTCCATCCAAAATAATAATGTCTAAGAAGAAGCGAATAATAATATGTATAAAAAAAAAAAGAAGAAGAGTGAAGTGGCCACTGCAACAAGAAAACAAATTCCAAAACAAAAAAAAAAAAAAAAAAAAAAAAAAAACAAGTACCAGCTTTGCCACTATTTTTGCAAGTGAATACTGTAATTGTCATACTCCAACCAAACCAACCAAAGAAACCAACACAGAGTTAGGTTCGACGGCCAATCTTGCTGGACAGATCTTTGGAAAGATTGGTGAGGTTGTTTAGCAGACGCGTGGGGTTGATGTCGATACGAGAGGTCTCCTCGCTGTTGGAAGCTCCGCCAGTTCCTGGCGCGGACGACGGCGGTGCGGGCAAGAATTGGCGGAATTGCTCGAGAAGTGGCACTTGCTCTTGCTTTCGCAGATTCTGTCAAGGAAACGATTTGGATGATGGCAGGCAGAAGGGCAACAGGGTGAGTTTTCGGGTTGCAAGCACTAAAAACGAAACGCAGAAACGACAACGAGCGACTCACCTTCATGTCGAGAATCTTTTGGAAAATGTTAATGTCGGGCTCTGCAACATAGTTGAGGTAGTTTTGCACAAACACCTCGGCTTGCTCGTGGGGCTGGAGGACGACCTTGAGAATCATGTCAATCTTGGACATGGTCTTTTGCACCAAACGCGAGAAGGGCGTGCTGGCAACACCAGAGCCGGAGCCCGTGTCCAACAGCTGAGCCTTGACCGGTTGCATGTCAAGCACGATCGCTTTCAAGGAGGCCATATCGAGCAAGAGCTACAAATTGGGGCAAACGAGAAACACAAAAACACAACGTCAGGTACTGGCCTCGTCATCCAAAACAACAAGCCAAACAAAACAAAACAGTGCCGTAAAATTACCTGTTCAACACCAGTTTGGTTGGGCTTGACGCGGAAAACAGCATTCTGGACGCGCGGCACGAACGAAGTGGCAAACTTGAGGCAAAAGTTCGAAAAGTACCTTGCGTCGGCCACTGTTTCACGAACAGTGGGTACAAAGTTGGCAAACACCTGTGTTCATTTGCAGGTAGAGAGCGAAGAGAGGGCAAGAGTTGTTGCCAAAAAAAAACCACCAAACGTGAGCATACGAAACACCAACCACGTCCATTCCACGAAACCTAACAAAGACGGACCCACCTTGGCGATGGAAGTGACATAATCAGACTGATCGCCGACGCTTTCAACCGAGTTCCACGTCATCTTCAGCATGATTTGGAACGAGGGTTCGCACGCCGCCTCGAGTCCTTGAATCAAGATCTGCAAGCAGTTTGCAATGATGCTGCAACGGCGAAAACAAGGGTCAAGCACGGCGTGAGATATGACAAGGAAAGCGAAGGCGAACGATCTTTGTGCAAACAACAACAACAACCACAAGAACAACATCCAAAAAAGAAAAAAAAAACTTACTCGTGGAAAAAGTCTTCATGTTCACTCATGTCAACACGATCTGCAAACTCGGGATCAATCTTTTGCTTGATTTTCTCCTCGAGCTGAAATCAACCAAGCAATCAAGACGTGAGAACCAAGCAGTTGACAAGCATAACAATCAACCAAACATTCTCCTCCTCTTCCTCCTCCTCCTCCTCCTCCTCCTCCTCCTCCTTCTTCTTCTTCTTCTTCTTCTTCTTCTTCTTCTTCTTCTTCTTTCACAAGACCTAGCCACACTCAAACACGCAAAGCGTGCACATACTTTCTTCGTGGTGGCACTGCAGTGGCTGGCAGTGTTGAGCACGCCACAGACAAGGACCAGCTCCTCACGAGACATGCGAACGTCGCCAGTGTGCAGAGCAGCCGCGATGGCAGAAGCCGCAGCAGTGGACGAGTGCTTGGGGAGCTGACCGGTCAGGAGGCGATTGCCATAGTTTTTGAGGTGCTTGCCAAACACACGCGAAAGCTCGAGCAAGGGTTCCCGCACGGACAGCTGGTCGACGTGCACACGAAGAATCTCCTTGTAGCCCTGGAACAAGTCAGTCGCTGATGTAAAGACAGCGCCCGCAGAGCCGCCGTGGTCGCTCGACGGCTCAACGCCTGGCTGGGTTGAAATGGTGTCGGACGCACGGAACTCGCGAGCGAAGCGCTCAATCATGTCGCCAATGCTCTTGTCCTGCGCATCCACAAAGATGTGCATGTATGGCTCAAAGCACACTGAGATGGCGCCGACGAATCGCGACTTGCTGGCAGCCGCTTCTTCCGCCTGCTGCTGTTGTTGGAGCAGAAGCAGTTGCTTCTTGCGCTCTCGCGCAGACACGGTCTTGCTCTTGCCCTGTTGCTGGCGCTCGCGGGCTTTTTGCTTCTTGTACTCGAGGTAACGGCGACGGACTTCGGCTTGCGGGTCGTTGGGATCAATACCGCTCAGTGCGGCGTCGACTTCCTCCTCTTCCTCCTCCTCGTCCGCACCGCGAATTTGCTGGAGCTGTTGCTCAAGCTCGGCGCGCTGTTGCTGGTGCTGCTGTGCCTGTCGAGTGCCGAATCGCTTTTCGAGCGACGCCTCGAATCCTCGAGTGACGCGAATCATGTTCAAAAGCAGCTTCATGTCGACAGTGTACTTTTTCGAGGCGAGAATGGACGTCAGGTCGCGATAGGTCACCTCGCAAAACTCACGGCACAGGTACTCGGCCATGTTCCACGATGTCGGGAAGACGTCCTTGAACTCGTGGTCAAAGTCGGTCAGGTTGCGCGCAAGCCAAGCGTAGCGACGGTCAATCTTCTCCGGGTGTGCCGGCTCGAGGCCCTCGCCGTAAATGAGCACGTACTCGGAGAGCCGTCGTCGCACAAACCACTTGATGAGGTCCGCCTTGACGTCCTTTTGCAGAACATCCAGCACCATGCATCCCTCATGCAGATGCGGGCCGCCGTAGCTCAGGGCACCCTTGTTGGAAATGGCTTCCTCAAAGTCCGCCATGATTTGCTTGCGAAGAGACAGCTTGATGGCGTCCAGCGAATCGGAAAGCTCGGCAATCTGGCGAATGGACTTGTACGCGGCAAAGTGGTCCATGACAAATCCGCAACCAACGAGCAGATTGGCGGCATCGTGGTACTGCTTTTGCTTGGTCATGGACTTGAGTGTCTCGACAGAGCCAACAAGCATGTTTAGGTGGTTGAGCGTGGTCATGGAAGCAGTCAGGTTTTTCTTGGCGTAGTCGAGCGTCTTGATGTCGCGGGTGATTTCCTTCACCATCGACTCGGACAGCCCTGCGCGACCCTTGATGTCGTTGATGCGCGAGAAGAGCTCGTTGATGGATTTTTGCGCGTTTTCCAGAGCCTGGCGGAAGAAGAAGAAGAAGACGACAGCAAATCAGCAAAAATGGATTCAAAGATTCAAACAAACAAACAAACAAAACAATATGAGGCTCCCGAGTGGCATACCTTGCGACCTTCATCCTTGACGTTGGTTTGTGAATGCACAATGTCATGAATGTTCGTATTCAGCTTGCTACATGGGGAAAAAAACGAGGAATGAAAAGTGAGCCAGCTCGATCTTTTTTTTTTTTTTTTTTTGGCTTTGCGATCAGCCTGCTGCCGGTTGCCGGGTCTGCTTACCGGACACCGCCTTGAAGTTTCTTGATGACGGCATCGACGTTTGCAAGCGACTGCTCGGTCGGGAAGAGCGCGTTGATGTAATTGACGGGGTTAAAGTCAGGGCTGTCCAGCGGATCGTCGCTTGGAAAGACCTGTTGTTGTCGCCCCCCAAAAAACAACAAACAATGTCAAAGCAAAACAAGCGTTGATTGCGAGACAGTTAGTGACAATGTGCTGCAGCAAATGAGGATGAGTGGCCTTCGCTTGGGAACTGATTTCAATGGGATTTGCATTGCATTGATTGTACTCCTCCTCCTCCTCCTTCCGTCTCGAGTCGCCTCGCAGCGCATCACTCGCTGACTGAGTGATTGCTTCGATCGTTTGATGGCTAGACTGATGGACTGATGGACAGCGTGTGCGAGGAGCGCGAGACTGAGCTTCACGAGTGTTCTTGGCTCTCGGTGTCGTCCCCTTTCCCTCCCTTCCCCTTCCCTCCCCTCCCCTCCCCTTCCCTTTCCTCCGTTCTCTTCTTGCCACTTCAAGTGACCTTTTCTGCATCTCCAATGGAATGGACGTTTTCATTGGACTCGCATTGCTTTTGACTCTTTGTCTTTTTTTTCTTTTTTTCTTTTTTTTTTTTTTTTTTTTTTCACTCACCATTGCTTTTCAGTCAGCCATCTCCTCACTCCCCCCATCGCGAATCCTCGCCTTCCATCCTCGCGTGCAATGTCTTTCCCCTTCTTTGCCCTCCTCCTCCTCGGTCCTCCTCGGTCCTCCTCCTCCTCGGTCGCTGCGCTTGAATGAAGCACAAAACCAAGTCCAACAAAAACCGGCTTTTTTTTTTTTTTTTCATTCAATTCAATTCAATTCGTCTCTCTCTCTCTCCCTCTCTCTCTCTCCCTCATTCGTCTCTCTCTCTCCTTCGTGTCTATCTCCCCTCATTCGTGTCTCCCTCTTCCATCAAAGCCGAACGCCACCGCCCAACCCCTCTTTGTTGAGCTACAAATGAGAGATGGTGGTGGTGGTAACCAGCAACCCTTCAGTGATCCGATCCTGCTGCTGCTGCTGGTTCATGAGTGCTGCTGCTTGCCTGTTTGATGGCTGCTTCGACTTGGGGCGCGTAGGCCACTGCGCGCGAGTGCGAGCCAAGCACTTCGTCATCGCTGCCTGCTGCTGCTGCTGCTGCGGGTGGATTGCTCGCGACGTCCATCCAGCAACAAGTACAACAAGATAGAACAAGAAGACTGGACTTCAAATCCTTTTCACTCTTGTTCAGCACAAGCACACATCACAAGACAACAACAAGCGAAACTCAGAACGAAATGGTGCTGGAGAAATTTTGGAGGGACTCGTTCGCTCAATATCAGACGAGACGAACGCGAGACAATCCAGCCACAGTCAGACAGTGACAAGGAAAGAAGATGGGAAGAAGCATTCGTTGTAGAGTGCACAGTTTGACTGGATTGTCTCAGTTTTGTTCTGTAGATTCTCAGATCAGTCCATTTTTGTTTCATTTTGGTCTTTCTTTGTTTTGGGTTTACTTTGAACACACAAACCCCCAACAAAGCAACGACGTTGTTCTGACTTTCATTGCGGATTTTCATGTCGCTGCAGTTGCTGCTGCTGCTGCTGATGCGTGGCGCGACGCACTCGAGCGTGGCAATCTCGCGTGGCTGTGGCAGAATGGTTTCACTGCGCGGTCGGGCGATCTGCGCTCCGGTGCACCAGCGCCACCAGCAGACTCGAGCAGTGTGCTCGTGGATGCCCAGTCCGCTCGCTCCCGTGAGCACGACTGCTGCTGCTGCGAGTGTCGGCGGTGGTGCTCAATCTCAGACATTGCCGCTGCAGCCTCACTTGACAAGCAGCAGTAGCAGCAGCTCTCCGTCGCCCGCGCCTGCACAGCAACGTGACTCCATCTATGCCCTTGCAACAGCGCCAGGCCGAGCAGGTGCGCGGTCGAATATGCCGTCTTGCCCCAGTTGTGATGTGATGACTTGAATGAATGGCTTTTTGCCTGACTCACTCTCTGCACATGCACTCGAAAATTCTTAACATTGGTGTGTGCTTGGTGGATGGGTGCACCATCAGGAGTTGCTGTGGTTCGCCTCAGTGGTCGCGCCGCTGGCATCGCGATTGAGCGAATGACCGGCTCAGCCCAAAAGTCTAAGACTCCGCGCCAAGCTCATCTATGCCGACTGGTGCATCCAACAACAAAGGAGCACATAGACGATGCCATTGTTTTGTGGTTCCCTGGTATGTTTCCATGGCTTGTATGCATTGGGGTCTCTTTTTTTTTTTTTTCTTTTTTTTTCTTTTTTTTTTTCTTTTTTTTTTTCTTTTTTTTTTCTTTTGTTTTTTGGGTTGGTTTGTTTGCTTGTTGCTTGTTTGCTTGTTTGCTCCTGTATAAGAGTCTCACGTGGATTGCGCGGCAATAGGCCCTCGCAGCTTTACCGGCGAAGATGTGGCCGAGTTTCACATTCACGGCGGACGCTCCATCATCGAGGCACTGTTCGAGGCGCTCAGCGAACTACCCGATACGCGAATGGCTGATGCTGGCGAGTTTACCAAGCGGTATGTTGATGGTTTCCATATGATCCAATCTATATAAGTGAATGGGATTTTTGTTTTGAAGTTTTTGCTCATGGACTGGGACTTTTGCAGAGCTTTCTTCAACGGCAAAATCGATTTGACCGAAGTGGAAGGACTGGCTGACTTGATCAACGCTGAAACTCGTGCTCAACGCCAGCAAGCTTTGCGTCAGCTAAATGTATGACTATTCCAACCGCGCAGTTGGTACGAAGGCATTAACACTCACTCTCGACGCTACAACGGGTTTGATGGAGCAGGGTGCCATGAGTCGTACCTTTGAGGAGTGGCGAAGAACGATTCTCAAATCCATGGCTCATGTGGAAGGAAACATTGATTTTGCTGAAACCGAGGACATTGAAGAGAACGTCATGCAATCGGGTGAGTCGATAAAATGTGTTCAGTGGCGTACACAAAAATTGTCCTGTTGCTTTTCGTTGTCATTGATCATTCATTCGTTCTTACTCTGGCTTGGTTGCTCGGAAAATGCTCCTTCCCACCGTCACGAATCCGCACTCAGCAATTTCTGCTGTGCAAACGCTTCGGCACGAGATTGCAGCCTCCCTCAACGACAGCCGGCGGGGTGAGCGCCTGCGCTCGGGTGTCTCAGTGGCAATTGTTGGTGCCCCTAATGTTGGGAAGAGCAGCTTGCTCAATATCATGTGTAAGGATATTGATGTCGATGACTTTTAGATTGGGCGTGGATGATTGTTTTCTGATGTGCGGCGATTTGGTTTTGGGGGGGCGGGTTTGGCTTTTTTTTTCTTCTTTTCGAAACACAGCCCAGCGACCTACTGCGATTGTGTCGGCCACAGCAGGCACGACGCGTGATATTTTGGAAGTGCCACTAGACATTGGTGGATACCCCTTGTTGCTGTGCGATACTGCAGGAATGCGCGACTCCGATGAAGAAATTGAACAAGAAGGCATCAAACGAGCTCGTGCCAGGTATGCAAGTATTCCCAATGATGGTTGCAGAACGGATTTACTTGCTCACAAACACTCACCCGCCCTCATGTGGTCCGTCATTATGTTCGTTTACTCTTTTTATTCATCTTGTTTTTTGTGGTTGATTTTTTTTTGTTTGGTTGTTTGTTTGTTTGTTTGGGGGGGGGGGTTTCAAACAAATTGTGGCTCACTCTCAGAGCGCACGCATGCGACTTACGCTTGTGCGTGTTTGACGCGTCAAAGTTGGATTCTGTTGATCCTTCGATTTTGCAGCTCGTCCAACCAGGCATGTCACTTCCGATCATTAACAAGATTGACACAGTTGAGGCATCTCAGCTAGTTATCCCTCCAGAAATCTTGTAGGTCATGACTACTCGTTGCTGACAGTGACGGAGACATTGTCTGACAACAGCATGTACTTGCAACCCCACTGACTGACGCACACACGCACACTTACATAAAGAGCTGCCAAGCCCGTCTTTCTCTCTTGCAAATCTGGTGAGGGCGTTTCAGTACTGCTGGAACGGCTTACATTGGAGCTGAAACAAAGGTACCATCGCATCTCCAATGTTCTTCACATCACGTCTGGGGATACAAACTCATCATTCTATCAAAATGCTGCAGGTGCGAGTCAGAGACGGGTGAAACGGCTCTCATTACACAATGGAGACACCGAACACAATTGCAGACCTGCGTGGCACATCTTGATCATTTCCTCGGTAAGTGCTTGTCACGTTCATTTGGGCCGTCTTCGTGCGTCAGGCTTTCATTGTGAAATTCTGGGGTATTTTGTAGAGGACTTGTCGGATGTTGCCATCGCCGCGGAACATTTACGTCAAGCGGTGCGAGCCCTCGGGCAGATCACTGGTCGAGTCGATATTGAAGAGATATTGGACGTCATTTTCAGAGATTTCTGTATCGGCAAGTGACGCGCTTGCTACCGACTTTCGTTGCTTGGCTCTAAAGGAGAAATGAATTTGCACCGTTGTTGTATTTAATCAATTACGAGAGCGCTTGCAGGCAATGCTTTTCCAGAACGAGAGACTTGTACAGTCAATCAGGTGTAATCCACACTTGTCGTAATCACCGAGGAGGGGCAAACAGCTTTTTGCTTCCACTAGTTTCCGCATTCTACAACGCATATTAACGCAGCAGTGGAGTTGTTTCCATCGATATGGCATGTTCCGACGACACTTGGCGAACGATGACTCGCGTTCATAGACAGCTGCCCTTCGTTAATGTGCTACTCAAAACGGTGCGTTATCAGCTGTCTGTTTCAAAGCGACATTCGAACGTGTTCGCTTCGTCTTTTTGCCTTCTCTTTCAGCTTTCCATCCAGCTCAGTTGAGTTTTTCAGTCTTCTTTCGTTGCTTTTTTTTTTTTTTTTTTTTTTTTTTTTTTTGCCAACATGCTGTCGTGCGAGTTGTATGATAAAGTCAGGAATGCGAGAGGATACCTGAGGTTAGTAGCCGAAGCTAAAGCAACAGTGTGACTGCGCGCGTATTGACTGTACTGCATGGAGGAAAGGTTGCCAGAGGAAGAGATTGGCGATGCTGGCGCGAAGGCGATTGCTGAGGCACTCAGAGTGAACGCGATGGTGACTTGGCTTGAGTAAGGCATCTCGCTCGAACTGATGGATGCGAGCGAGGAATCCAGTGACAATACAGAGTCTTCGCTGATGTCGAGGACAGTCTGGGGAAGAATCAGATTGACGATGCAGGCGCGCGAACGATTGCTGAGACACTCAAAGTGAACACGACGCTGACTGAGCTCTTGTAAAGCATCTCGCTTGAATATGCATGTGAGTGGCTGATCCAATAATTGGCATTGAGATGTATTATTGACGGAGAGAGGACAGCTTATATGGGAACCAGATTGGCGACGCAGGCGCGCGAACGATTGCTGAGACACTCAAGGTGAACACGTCGGTGACTTCGCTCGGGTAGGCAAAATCACGTTTGGTGATGCATGTGAGTCAGTAATCCAGAGGTCCTACAGAGTCTTTGCTGATGTCTAGGACAGTCTGAGCGAAAATCAGATTGGCGCAAACGCGATTGCTGAGGCACTCAAAGTGAACGCGACGCTGACTTGGCTCAAGTAAGGCATCTCGCTTGAACGTGATGCATGTGAGCGACAATCCAGTGGTTATACAGAGTCTTTGCTGATGTCTAGGACAGTCTTGGTGACAACCAGATTGGCGACGCAGGCGCGCGGGCAATCGCTGAAGCACTCAAGGTGAACACGACTGTGACCACGCTTGAGTAAGGCATCTCGCTTGAACTGATGCATGTGAGTGAGTCATCCAGTGACAATACAGAGTGCTCACGGATGGAGGCATGAACAGTCTAGGCAAAAATCAGATTGGCGATGCTGGAGCGCAGGCGATTGCTGAAGCACTCAAAGTGAACACGACAGTCACTCGGCTCTAGTAAAGCATCTCGCTTTGATGTGAGTGGCTGGTTTCAGCCCGGCATTGAGAGTGCTCACTGAAGGAGAGGATGGACAGCTTGGACCAGAATCAGATTGGCGAAGCTGGAGCGCAGGCGATTGCGGAAACACTCAAAGTCAACAAGACTCTGTCTGAGCTCTAGTAAGGCATCTCGCTTGAACGTGATGCATGTGAGTGGGTGACACATGACAGTAGAAGTGCTCACTGATGGAGGAGATGGACAGTCTTGGTGACAATCGGATTAGCGATGCTGGAGCAACGCCCATTGCTGAGGCACTCAAAGTGAACACGACGTTGACTGCGCTCGAGTAAGGCATCTCACTTTGACTGATTCCAGCAGAGGGTAAGCAGAGTGCTCAATGAGAGATGGGACTTGGACAGCCTGGGTAAGAATCAGATCGGCAATCTTGGCATGATGGCGATTGCTGAAGCACTCAAAGTGAACACGTCATTGACCGAGCACAAGTAAGTCATCTTATTTTGACAGATGCTTGGATGATTTAACAGAGGGCATTCAAGAGCTCACCTATGAAAATGGACAGCCTGAACGTAAATCAGATTGGTGATGAAGGAGCGAAGGCGATTGCTGAAGCGCTCAAGGTGAACACATCGGTGAAGAAGCTCAAGTATGTTGCTCTGCTCGTTGCTCGTATTGAACTTTAAGTCAGAGTCGATCAGAGCTTGCCTCTTGTCTCGTTGCTTACTTGTCGAGAAACAGTCTAGCTTTTAATTGCATTGGCAAGGTTGCGGCTCAGGCAATTCAGGACGCACGCCCTTTGACTGAACTGAAGTACGTGTTTCGAGCCCTTGATGCTCATTCAATGCTTCTCCAAGCAGTGGAGCGGCTTCGCTGACTGCTGATGCATCCTGCTGCTTGTTCGTCGCATAGACTCAATTACCAGATAAACCCACTTGCGTTTGCCTTACGTCCACGATTGGCAACTGCTGAAGACCTGCAGATCGTGTTCCGAATGCTGACCAGCGGGTTGGAGCTGGAGAATCAGTCCGCATCTCTACCTGCACTACCAGCTGAGATTGCTGATCTCATCATGGACGAGGCATATTATTGGCAAGGCGTGGAACGAGTGAATTTGATTGAAGGGACCGCCGATGGTGTTCTGAAAGTGACAGTGCCTCAGAGCATCAATGGGAATTCGATCCGCGTGAAAGTAATTCAGGTGCTTCGGGACAAGAGCACAGAAGGCAAGTCGAAACAGAACTGCGTGTTTTACTTGACTATTCGAGATGAGCAAGGTGTTGTTCGATACGAACACAGTGGAAAATTTTACCGGATTCCGGTCAGTCCAGTTTTTTCGCTCGTTTTCCCCTCATCGTCTTGAGACTCGAATTCGTCAGTTTGGCTCGCTTTTTTCACTTGCACTGTGATGTATGTGTCGATTGTAGTGCACTGTTGTTGAATTCGGACAGCAGGGACCGTGCTGGACCGCAAACCGACGATGAGGCTGGATTGGCTGGCGGACCATTGGGATCAGCACAACCATGCTCCTGCGCTCCAGGCAAGCTCAGCTCGCGCCTTTACATGTCGGATGATGTGACACGGGTCTGGAAACCTTGTTTTCGAGGCGAGGGCGGACGGGGACGGTCGGATAGACGCAGGAGCGCTGTCGAGCCCCGCCAGCCAAATGACTGCACCAATTGCACCAATTGCACCGCATCTCCACTCAGGATATAGCTCTCATTCTATTAGAATATAGACAAATACACTCAACAATGAACACCTATTAGTCACGCATATTCAAATGCCATGGAACGAAGATGAATAGGTTTTCATTCAAGCTTGACGGACGGTCTTCCAGTGGGAATGTCTGCCTCAGCCCCTCGAGTTGGTCGGGTGTTAATGCGTGACAGTAGCCGCTGCAGCCAAATGGTTCGAGAAGCGCGATTTCGTGGGTGTGGGGGGCCCGTGACGTGTAAACGGGATTTCTGCCATACTCGAAACCGGTCGGCCGGTAGTACACTTCAATCTCAACGTAGATCGTTTGCTCGACACGCCAAAACATGGCTGGCTTGGCAAACACGGGCCCAATCTGAAGAACTGCCTCGCAGCCGACCTTGGCGAGCGAAACAGATCGCGAGCCCCACAATGACATCTTCAACGTTTTGAACGCGTGAACTTGTCCCTGGAGTTGCGCCCTCCGCAGGGCCGCTGTGAAGACCGTAACAGACGAACCTCTATTCTCGCGTGTGAGCACACTGGTCACGATGTTATCGACCTTCTCTGGAGTAACAGGACAGCGAGTCAGCACGCCAAACTCGCGACCAGCAACGTAGGGAACCACATCGTCGACGTGCTTGACTATTCTGGCTACCAGTCTTGGAACAATGTCATCATGTGGACCAGGACGGATGAGGCGGCCGTAGCGGTTGATTGCGCGCTCGAACGGAAATGTCGATACATGTGCAGGCGGGCCGTGTTGCTGGCAAGCCCAGGCCAGATGGGACAGATGGTGGGTAGTAATGGGCACATTACAAGTCCTAAAGATTGCAGTAACGCTCTTGATGGTCTCGTTTGACAGTTTCGCGAGCGAGGCAATCGAGTCGTTGTCGACCTGAACCACCTTGGACATGGCCACCAGATGTTTTGCACGCTCTTGGTCACCAATCCCAGAAAGATGTGCTTGCCGCAAACCAGGACGAAGTTGAGCATCTCCTCGGCATTGTACGACTTGTGGTAGACAGTGCACTGTCGAGGCTTCCGCATAACAAAGGAAGGCCAGTTGATGGATTCCAGGCGTTTATGTTGATGAAGACAACTTTTGTGACTTTATCTTTGATGCTATGCAGAGACTGGATAAGAAGCCGGTATGCAGCAGCCAGGCGATCGTTAGGGCTTGTCGGTTGTGGTTCGGGTTCGGGCGCTGCCGGTGGTGCAGTCGGCTCGCTCGTGGCGTTGTTCGTGGCATCGTTCTCAGTAACGTCAGCTTCGTTAGCTTCGTCTTCCGTTTCGTAATCATTGTCATTGTCGCGTTCGACATCCTAAGAACAGAAGAACAGAAGGATGAGTGATGACTGTTTGTGCTCGCACCGCTCGTTGCGAGCTTCGCGGCAACCCTTACCATTGAGTCTCGAGAAATGTCGCCAGAGTCATCACCGTAGTCATCCACTTCCATGGCAGCTGGCTCGGATACGAGCGGTCGCGGACCCGAGAGAGCAGGATCTACCTCCATGGGAACAGTTTGCCCCACTCCAAAGTGCGCCTCGAAGCGCTGTTGCATCGCGGGGAATTCCACGAGGACAGAAGCGACGGTTGCATATGGACGTGTTTTGGTGTGGTTGTAGAAAGTTGACCGGTTAACTTGCTTGAAAGGGCCGTTGCCAAAAGCGAACTGCTAGATGGCCGACACGGTGCAGTAATTACATGGGCAGACTCCCGTGTTCGGCTGATTGCTCTGGCGATGGCGACTTCTCGCTTCATCTGTCATCCATACGTGTACCGAAGTACATGGATCTTTGTGAAAGTCGTCTCCGCACTGGCTGCAGATGCACCGCTCAAAGGAACGCCAAGCTTGAGACATAAAAAAAATGAGTGAGCGCAAATCGGTCACTTTCCTTGATCGTATCACTGGCAAATCCGCGGTAGTTAGTCGTTGCCTGGTTCAGATCCCTTGTAAATATATTTTTACAATGGAAACAAAGTCAAAGGTCACACCGAGCGAGCAGTGTGCGCCAATAAACAAGCTTTCATTGTTGGCTGCTTCTTGGGCCGACTTGAATTTCGCTTTCGAAGGCCTAGAGCCTGCGGGTCCTGACATAATATTTGGGGTGTAGTGCTAACGTGTGTAATGCATGAGTGAAATAACCGGGTTCTCTCGGCTTGATGATGGGATAATCCGAACAGTGGAGTTGAAATGGTGTGTTGAAAGAACGCTTGTTTGTCGCAACCACTCTTCCTTGACCAACACCGAAACTACGCCCGATCCACGACATCACGATACACCGTTACAACGAGCATTCAAAACAACATTACTCTATCCAGGAGGCGGGGCGGGCGGGGACAATGCAGCGGCAAAAACAACGATGAAACGAAGCAGTCGAGCTTGTCGGCACCATTTATGCGTCTTGCCACATCGTTTCGTGCGCCTTTTCTCGTCTTATAGTATTGCGGCATTTAGATGAACATATTATTGTTAAAATAGGTACGATTGGAGCCAGATGGTAATCCTAAGTTTGAAGCCTACGATCGAAACCCATTTCGCCCATGATTGACGTCGAGCTGCTTGCTAGCAAGTCGTCTCGGCACTTTTTGCTGGTTTTCAGGACCAGGTTCGAACCTGGGTGGTTTTCTTTCCTTTTTTTTTTAATTTTTGTATTTTTTTTAATTTTTTGATTATTTTTATTTTTGTTTTAATTTTTATTTTTATCTTTTCGTCCAAGCTCGACTCATTCAGTCTTTTTATTTTTATTTATTTTTTTTTGTGGCATCGAGTGTAGATCGCAATGGCCGACGGTAACAATGTGCTCATTAGTGTTTCCTGGGGAAAGAAAAACGTAGAAGAAGGCGAACACCGCAGAGCGCCGGGCGACTTGCGATGCTTGCCTGTTTTTGAGCTTTGCCACTCTCTGTTTGTGCAAACGCCACTACAAGCAAGCTCTGCAGATGTCAGGAGGAGGGCAGGACAGAGGGAAAGAGGGAAAAAAAAGAAAAAGAAAAAAAGACAAAAGAAAAAAGAAAAAAAAAAGAACGAAGAGATCTCTGGTCGTTCTGCTCCCTGCAGATCGATGGCGACCGTGCGGATGCGCGGAAAGCATCGGCCTCGGTCGAATCCACCAGTTGGATGCAGGGTGAGTCGCGAAGGAACTGCAGAAGCACGAGAGAGCGGGGAAAACACCAAACTTTGGAACAGAGAGGGAGTAAAATGGCGGGAAAATGTTTTTTTTCGAAAAGTTCGCGCCAAAAAGACGAAAGTTGGCGCCAAAAAGACGATTTTTTTTGTACTTATGCGATGATGCTTTTTTGATAGGTGTATGAATCGGCGCGCGGGATACAAAAAACTGCTGGCTTTGCAGTACTACTGAATGCCAGACCACAAGTGTCACGGCCCCTCCTAGACATCAATAGCCACACTGATCTAAGTGGAGACTACAATGATATCGGGATCGACGACAGCAGCATAGTAAACAGCAGCATCGAAACCAGCAGCATCGACAACAGCAGCATCGACAACAGCGCCAGCATCGACAACAGCAGCATCGACAACAGCAGCATCGACAACAGCAGCATCGACAACAGCAGCATCGACAACAGCAGCATCGACAACAGCAGCATCGACAACAGCGCCAGCATCGACAACAGCAGCCGTCCTAGAAAACGTGTAAGTTCCCGCCCGTCAGCTGTAGTGCACGAGAAAGAACAGTGACTAATGTGTGATTCCTGGTTGAACAGGCACGAGTCAGCACGGAGGAGCGAAGCGAAGTTCCGATCCGCCCACCGAGTGCTCGAGTCCAACAGCGTGCCCAACCGCGTGCCCAACCGCGTGGCCAAACGCGTGGCCAGCGTGTTGTCAGGCAAGCCGTCCACCCGGGTAAAAGCATCAGGAGGTGCAGGCGGGGGCGATCTGAGATTTTTGTATTTTCGTCCAAATGTAGCAACGCAAAAAAATAAAATAAAATATTAAAAATATTTTTATTAATATTTTAGACAAGAAAAAGTCATTACCAATCAAACGTCGCCAAACCATGTCGGACAAGCATGTCGAAATCCGGTCGAAATCCGGGGCAAAAGAGAGATTCCGCGGAATTCTAATTTTTCCGGTGCGGATTCCGGTCGGATTCCGGTAAAAAATTTTTCCGCTGTGGAATGTGCTGCGAAACCGACTTTCGTCGATTCGACCATTCGACTTATGACAATCTGGCCAGCGAGTCATCCTGTCATCCGACAAATGCGCGAGGGCTGGGAGGTTCAAGTTCAACCCAGCGAGCCTCCCAGCGATGACGTATTTGAGTATCTTTATGTCGGATATGTTTAACATCAAGTGAGACCTTGGTAGGGTTAGCCAGGCAATGCTGTTGTAGAAAAGTGTGTTTTATTTCACTTTGCAGACTGAACTGCAATTCCAAATGCATGCAAACAATACAAAGACATCAACGCCGAGTCTTCTTAGCAAAGAGCGACCCAGCTGGGACCGCAGAGCCTGCGGGTCCTGACACTCTACTCTCCCGGTCCTTCCCGCGGAGAAGAGTATGAAGGGCCCACCGGTGTGGACCCAGGACGCGACGTCGGCAACACCGATGCCGACTTGACCAGTGGACTTGCTGCGGCAGTCCTCTTTTTAATACTATCCCGATCATTAAATTTCGACCCCCCCTCTTTTTTTCACTTTTTCGCCCTCCCTGGGACCTGTGTTGCTTTCCGTCTCGCCCGCGGAATGTTCATTCATGGTACGGTGTACCAGACACATTTTAGAAGTGAAGCAGCGGGCTGGGAGTTAAGATTCGAAGCGAGAACAGACAAAAATGAAAACTAAACAAAACAGAAAAAGAGCGGATTTTTTGCCCAATTTTCACAAAGCATTACATGGCACACAAACAACGTGTCGCAGCGCCTCCGCTCCACTTCAGTACTTGGTATAACCACCATTGGCATCTATCACAGCTTGAATGCGGCGCGGCATCGATGAAATGAGATCGCGGCAGACCTCTGGCGTGAGCACTTCTTCGTAGACCGCTTGGAAGCGTTCCCACAACGCGGCCTTGCTCTTGATCTCCCTCTCCTGGTAGATCTTGTTCTTGACCATGTTCCACGCATTTTCGATGGGGTTGAGGTCGGGAGAGTTCGCAGGCCAGTCCAGGACGGTGATCTGATTGGTTTCGAACCACTTGGCCACATCTTTTCTTTTGTGACAAGGGGTATTGTCATGCATGAAAATCATCTCGTTTTTGTTGTTCCACACGCGAATGCTTGCTAGCAACTCGCTCTCCAAAACTGAGAGGTAGGTGTCGCCGTTCATGACGTCGCCGACCTCGCAGAAAAGCGAAATTCCGAAACGAGAGATGGCGCCCCAAACATTGATATGGCCACCGCCGAACTTGACCGTGCCCTGCACGCATCGATCGGTCAACGTTTCGCCAACCGGTCCACAGTTGTTGTTCTTGCAGAGATAGAGAGCAGTCTCGTCAGAGAAGACGACCCTCAGCCAGTCATCGACGGTCCAATGCTGATGAGCGAGTGCAAAGGCCAAGCGTCGCTCTTTGTGTGTCTCTTTCAAGAGGGCTTTTTTGACCTTCGCTCCGTTGACAAGTCCTGCACCATGCAGCACCCTTCTTATCGTGCATGGAGAGACACGAACTTTGGACAATGTGCGCATAGTGGCGGCCACTTCGGGTGCGGTGTCGGACTCATCGAGGAGGATCTGTGCTACAATGTTGATGCGGTGAAATGACTTGAGCTTGCTGGGGCGACCGGGGCGGGGGCTGTCGCTCGTCGTCGCCCTTCCCGAGAAACGTTGGGTGATGCTGATCACTGTAGAACGTGGGAGGTGAAGCTGGGTGGCGATCTTGTTGTAGGAGAGGCCAGCATTTCGCAACGCGAGCACTTGACCGCGGATGACCTCCCTGGGCATCTTGTCCAGCACGGGCAGCGGTCTTTTTGGTGAAGTTGGACGCAGCCATACCGGGGGCTGTCTGGGAGCCACGCGGGACGTGGACTGACTGCGTGTGCGAGTCATGCGCACAAAAAGACTGAACCCAAACCAAAATTTGGGCGGGAAAAGTGAATTTTTTGAGTTTCCTTATATTTTTTATTTTGCTCGCTGCTGCTCTGATATGACTCACAACCCCCGCTCCCGGTGTTCATCAGACGTTCGGTACACCGTACCATGAATGAACATTCCGCGGGCGAGACGGAAAGCAACACAGGTCCCAGGGAGGGCGAAAAAGTGAAAAAAAGAGGGGGGGTCGAAATTTAATGATCGGGATAGTATTTCCCTCTTTGCATTTTCTCCCTTGCTTTCCTCCTTCCTTTCGAATCGTCGAAGTCCAATGTCCGACCAACAAGCCTCCTCGTCCACTCGAGACGAGCATTCCCCCACACATGCCCACCCCCAAGGTGGCCCCACGGTCGCCTCAGGCATGGGAGCATGGCGTGGCGGCAACCCCCTCGCCAAGACGGGCGCCGCGCTGCCGGCCAAGTCCGGTCTCGAGATGATCGACGTCAACGACCCCGCCTACGCTAAGCTGAACGAAGAGCTCAGCCTGAACGCCTCTCAGATGGGTGACGGCTCGAAGCACACTGTCGCAGCAGCTCTTCTGTTGCCCTGGATGCTGCGAGCGCCAATGGCAACGTTGTCCCGGCCCTCGGCGGCTACAATCCGGGAGACGCCTACTCGTGGACGGATGGCGAGATGGAGATTGCTCTGGACGCGATGCGGCTGCATGGCAAGAACTGGCGCATGGTCTCGCAACACGTCGGCACGCGAAGCGACGGGCAGTGTCGCGACTTTTACAACGCCTTCCGCAAAAAGCTCAAACTTGATTCGATGATTGGGCTGGGACAAGCATCAACCGCATCCCCTGAAGACGACGTCGACATTCAAGGCGAGGGCGACTTTATCGAAGCTGCTGCAGGCGCGCTGCCCTTCGACGGCGTCATTCCCGCCCATTCCATCCCGTCTGTCACCACGGCCCTTCCCGATGGCACAAAGCAACTAGTCACATACTGGACTCGTGTCGAGCGCGAGCGGCTGATCGAAGGCCTCAAGCAGCATGGCGGCGATTGGAGTGCCGTTGCGCAGGTAGTGCAGACCAAGACGGCCACCCAAGTCAGAAACTTTTTCCACACCTACCGTCAGCAAATGGATCTGGACCAGCTGCTGTCGTCTACTCCTGAGCGGCGGTTTTCACAGTCGTCAGTGGACGAAATTGGTAGTGTGCCAAACGCGACTGCAGTTGCCAACGAGGCGGACAGCCAACATGTGGGCTTCATGAGTGATCATGCTGCGGAGGTGGGCGACTCTCTCGACGTTCACCACGCCGTCGGAGCTGCAACTGAGCCCGTGATCGAAACTGTGACCCAAGTAGATGAGGGCAGCAATGTTGATGCAGCTCCTCCTGCAGCAGGCTTTGCTGATTCCAACGAGCTGGCGCATTCTGATGAAGAGCAGCAACATGCCTCTCCTATGGCTGGCGTCGAAGAGTCCCAGCAACGTGCCGCCGTCGTCCCAGCCCTGGATCGTATCGATTCGAGCCTCGTAGAAGCAACATCCCCTTCTCTGAACGAGCCAACGCTGCCTTTGATCGACGAAGCCGCCGTGTCTCACGAGGACTCGGGCCTGCCCTTGCGTGCTGAAACTCCACCACCACCACCACCAGTGGTGGCGGAAGAAGCATCTGTGGCTGTTGAGGCAGCACCAATGGCCGTGGAGGAACCACCATTGGAAGTTCCCGCAGTTTCGGACGATGCGCCAGCTGCTTATGAAGCACCTGCAGTACTCGAAGAAGCGTCTGCGGTGCTGCATGAAACTCCAGTTGCTTTCAAAGACACTCATAAGGAGCCCACCGCCGCCGCGTCTCCTGCCTGCCACACTGCCGACACCGATGCCATGCAAGTGGAAGATTCTGAAACCTACCCTGCTCAATTGGAGGCTCCCACTGTTCCGACAGCAGAGACGACGTCCATGATGCAAACGGACGAGCACATCGAGGCGCCAGAGCAAACTCCATCCTTTGTTGATCCAGCATCGATCCCGAATCAGCCAACTCCTCTGCCCGAACCTTCGGCACCTCTCGACATTGCATCGGACCTCAGCCAGCACCACCCACCTGAGGACGATACGCCAACCATTCCGCCGAGCTTCGAGCCTCATGTCGAACCTACAACGACGGAAATCGACAAGGAAGTCGACGCGCCAGCGGGCGAGACGGCTGTGGCAAGTGACGTCCCCGACGAGCCGATGTCACGTCGTCGCTCCAATGTCGACAGAGGAGGATGCAGTTGTGGCCGATCAACACCCCGAGTTTGCTCTTCCAACTACCAGCACGGAAGTCTCGCCGCTTCTGCTAGTGGCGGAACCGAGTGAGCCGGATCAAACTCTTCATTCTTCATCAGAGCTCAGCCAGCAACCTGTGCCCGCCGACGCTGGCGAGGATGGCACTGTCGTCGCTCCTGTCGACGCTGCCACTCCTGCTGCGGACGTTGTTGTTGCTCCCACTGACGCGGCAGCCGACACTGTTGCAGAAGTTGGGGTGGAATCCCAACCAGCTGAGCCGCCTTCCTCCGAGTTGCCCGAGTCTCGCAGCCCTGTTGCATCTGAAGTCGCGTCGGCCGAGGAGGCGCCACTGCTGCCTCCGTCCACTACGGAGGAAGGAGCCAACAACAACGAGGCTCTCCCTTAATGAATGCGAACGGAGCCGGGTTGTTCCGTTTTGGTGTTGATTTCACATGTTTTGTTGTTTTGTGTTGTTTCTGTGCGTGTTTGTGTGTTTCGTTATTATTAAGTTTGAATTTTACAAGCAATCGATAGTTCCACAAAAGCCCATCTTGTTGTTTGCATCAGCTTTGCTCGCTAGAGTCACTCGCCGCCTCGACAAGCATGGATACGACTGGCACATCCGGATTGCGCATTTGGGGAGCAGAAAAGGCGGAGTGCGCAGAAGTGCTGGCGTCCGCGTCCGCAGGACTTAACTGTGCTAGTAAAGACGGCCACACGAAGGCGCTGTTAAATCGGTTTGCAAGCTGCTGGAAGGCGGGTGAAGCGATGGTTGCCTGCGAGAGAGGTGGAGGAGCTGGCGCATCGCCGTCACCACGCGAATCACCAATCGATGTGACCAGGCGATGGTACATGGAGAGCGTCGCGGCATTCGGTGGCAGCCGACGCATATTCCTCAGACGAATCGCAGAAATTGCAGAAGCCGCAGAGCCAGCTGCATCCTCTGCTGGCGGTTGTTGTTGTTGTTGTTGCTGCTGTTGTTGCTGCTGTTGTTGTTGCTGCTGCACGTGAAACGCTCGCAAATACAGCGACTCCATGGAGATTGTAGCAGGAGGCTGTGATGAAGCAGTGGTGCTGGAACGGTTGTTGGGCAATCCGATGCTTGAATCGACGATGGCGGATTGAGCTGGGAAGTTAGTGCTCGCGATGTAGCAGGTTGTTGTTGTTGTTGCTGTTGCTGCTGCTGCTGCTGCTGCTGCTGCTGCTGTTGCTCGGCGCTGTCGGGCTCTTCATCGTCGGAAGGGATGGCATCGTCATCTGACTCGTCAAACGCGTTGTTGTTGTCGTCGTCTTCCTCATCCTCGCTGCTACTGTTGTGGCGTCGTCGGCTGCTACTCCCTCGCCGTCGCCCAGCGCGGCTACGTGAGCTCGAAGATTTAGCGCGTGTCACACCCCAACCCATATCTGTTAGCTCAGTGCTCAATATACTTCGTATCTACCTATTCCTCCCTCTCGGGTGTAACATTATATTGAGCCTCAACTGTTTTTGTCGTTACAAGAGGCTGCGCTTTCTGTTTGGTTGTGGATAGCCCAGATGAGTCGGCGAGAAAAGTACGGATACTCTCACTCCGACCAGGTGGGGGATCGGTCGGCGGGCCAGCGGGATGCTGGCCCCCCGGCGGGATGCTGGGGCGCTCCGTTGTGGGCGAGCCGGAACGTGTGTGAGCGCTAGGGGGAATGGCGCAAGTGCATTTGAGATTCTGTCTGGCCCTTGTACGAGTCGTGCGACAGGGCCAGAAGCATCGACGTGCCACCCTTGGCTGCTGGGTGCGGCCTATGGGAGACGTGAAGGTCAGTAAGACCGTCGCAAAGTGCAGTGACGGTGGCCAGGCACAAAAGACCAGTGCTGGCAGGGGCTCTCGCGCCATTCGTTTGGCGCAATCGGGCATGCACTGGTGGTGCAATTGAGATGCTCGTGAGCTCAGGCGCTCGCGACGGGTCGCGAGGTGTTACGTTGCGGCGGACAGAAGGCAACGTGTGTGAGTCATCGGACGAGCGGCTGCGGGGATGACGCTGCGTTGGAACGTGCTAGGCGGTTGCTGCGTTGTGGACACTCTTTTGCAACCAAGTCCCTTCGCCTTTAATACTGTAAAACCCTTGGGATTTTCGTTCCGCTGTATTATTAGTAACGCACAAGAGCTGGCCGGAGAGCCGGCTGGTCAGCGGGATGCTGGCCGCCAGCGGGATGCTAGTTTGTTCTCCACTCGTTTGGGTGAGTTCCTCTCCACTCGCTCTGCCTCCACCCACTGTGGCCCCGACTGCCGGCACCAGTGGCGTTTTTCAGGTGGGCTCACGCTCGCCTAAGCGCTGACCGGTCGCTGCGCGGTCCAGCCCGTCGGTGGGGGTGCAGCATTTCTCTGGCTCGGATGCCCACGCCTTCGACGCTACGCGGGCCACAAGCTCGCCTGGCGCTGATTGGTTGTCGCGCGATCCAGCCTTATCGGCATTAGGCACGACACTGCGGTTTAGCCAACTCTGCGGATGCGGTTTCACCCTTTGAGCCAGCCGTCGCAGTCTATTGACCGCGATCGGCTCGCAGTGGCCTACTGTCGCCTCCACCCTCGATGCGTGACCAAGTCAAGGGCCTGTACTGGACAGGCTGCTTGGAGCGCGAAGCTCGCCCTTCTCCGGATTTGGCGGGCGGAGCGTTGGTCGATCGAGGCGTGCCGTTCCGGAATTTTCCCCGCTCCCGCTGCCGTACCGCGAAACCTGCCAGATACTGATTGGTGGGTGGAGCATCGGCTTGCGGAAGCGTACTGAGTCCGGAACTCCTTGCACTGGAACCCGAAGACGCCGATTGGAGGTTGGAGTGTTTGTGGTCGAAGGTGTGCCGCGGGCTTTACCTCAGGCGCAGCTCCGCGATAAGCCTCCGCCAATCAATGAGGCGCAAGCAGAGCACGTTTTGTTCTGTTATTTGTTATCGGTTCCGGAAATGGAAGGATGAGCTCCACTCTCCTTTCTGTTTTGTATCGTCAATGCCGGCATCGGTGCCCAGCACAGCATCAGCAGGATCAGCGCCCAACACTCGCAGCGCCACCGCTGTGGCCGCCGACGCAACTACGGATGCCACTGGCGCGGGTACCTCGTCCGCCGCGAGCGGCACTTCGAGTTCCTCAACCGCTGCTCCCCCTGCGCCGCCAGCCGTTGCGACTGCCTCTCCTGCGCCGGTAGCCGGTGCAGCGCCAGCCGTTGCAGCGCCAGCCGTTGCGACTGCCTCTCCTGCGCCGGTAGCCGATGCAGCTGCCCTCAGCGCCGCCGCCCTGGCCGCTCCCTCTTCGGGCGAGGTCATGGCGGCCTTCCGCCTGATGTTGCAAGCGCAGGCCGAGTCGACTAGGATGCAAAATGTCTTTGATAATCTCTCGCGCCAGGTCGACAGCATCGGGAAAATCGACATGAGCTCGATCGGCCCGTTGTACGACGCGTGCTCCGCGCTCCTTGGGGTCTGGCGCCAAGCGGAACTGCATGAGCCAGACCTGGCCACCAAGCGCCGTTTCTCCAAGCTGCTGCTGCTGAGGTTCGGCGAACGCTTCACTAAGAAGATCATGGAGCAGGTAGCCGCCAAGGCGCCAGACGATCCCGATCCGCTCGACGACCCAAAGGCGCTCATCAAGCTCGCCTCGGAGGAGCTGGGCAGTCCGCTGTTGCACCTCTTAGCCCAAGCGCACAACATCGCGCTGCTGAAGACCTTGCCGGAACGGCTGGCTCGGGCCGTCCAGCTGGTGTCCGAGGCGAACGACCGCGTCGTCTCGAATACTGTTGTCACCTGTTTAGTGGGGTGTGTTCCCGTCAAGCTGCGGGAGATCTTGGCGGCCCTCAGGAATCTCGAGACCGGCTCGGTCCTCAGCGCGCTGGACAAATGCATCACCACGGCACAAGATCAGGCCGCCATCGCGACGCGCTTGCGCGAAATGTTGGCAGTCGCGCCTGACGCACCCCTCGATGCCGATCCCCAGGGCGGGACCAAGCGCTCGGGCAAAGCCAAGGCGGCCCCTTCAGGCGCTGTCGGCGTCGCTGCCAAGGCTGCTCCGTCAGGCGCTGTGGGCGTCATTGCCAAGACTGCCCCTTCAGGCGCTGTGGGTATCATTTGCCGCAATTGCCGAGGGCTTGGTCACATCTCCGCTGATTGTCCGTCGCCCCGCCTGCAGCCCGCTGCCTCCTCGTCAGCGGCCAGCGGCAGTTCAACTGTCGCTCGTGGCAACACCGGCGGCAACTCGGGCAACGCGCGCAGCAACGCTGCGACCCTCGCCGCCAACAGCGTTCAGGAGGGCGAGCAGTCCGTCGAGACCCTGCAAGTGCTGGCGGTCGCCTCCGGTGGCGCACAGCACAGCTTCAAGGTTCCAGCCACGCTGCATTGCGCTGACCAGAGGGGCAACCACGTCGCCCGTGAGGTCATGGCGTTGTACGACACCGGTGCTGAAGTCACTCTCATCAGCGAGGCCCTAGCAGCCTCCTGCGGTCTGAGCCGCGTGCCGTGTGCTCCCGCCACGCTCGTCGGTTTCGACAAGTCGGCTAAAACCATCAGCCATGAGACGCCAGTCATGGAGATCGTCCTTCAAGGCGTTCGCTATGACATCCGCGCCCGCATCGTTGATGGCTCGCATCACGACCTGGTACTTGGGGCAGACTTCATGAGTCGCCACGCGCTCTGCTACGAATGGTTGCACGACGGCTCTCTGAGGTTCCTGTCGCGCCGCTCCACGCCAGTTCTGGACGCCGCCAGCGCCACAGCGACCGCGACCGCGACCGCCACCGCCACGGCCTCGGCCTCGGACGCTGCAGCAGCAGCGCGTGACTTTCTACAGCAGCACTTTCCCGATCACGTCGTCCTGCTTTGCGCGGACGACCCCTTGTTCGACCAACCCGTCAAAGGCGTCAAGGTGCGCATCGACCTGCTGCCCGGCTCTCGGTTGCCTCCCGTTGCAGCAGTGCGCCGCCGCTCTACCGTGGAGGACGACAACCTGAACGCGCACATCGACAAGCTTTTGGCCGCCGGTGTGATCGACCGCTCGAAGCCGCGGACAGCCGCTGCAGCAATGATCGTCACGTCACAGAGTGGCAAGGACAGAGCAGTCTTTGACTATCGTGGTCTCAACAATATCACTGTTCGTGTTGTGCACCCGATGCCGCGTGTGCAGGACCACCTCCAGGACGCCGCAGGCCACGAGTTCTACACGGCGCTCGACATCGACGCCGCCTTCCACAGGCTCGAGGTGGCGGAGGATTGCCAGCTGCTAACCTCATTCATCTGCAAGGATGGCTCCTTCGCCTTTCGCCGCATGCCGTTCGGTCTGGTCAACGCGCCAATGGAGTGGCAACGCTACATCGACGAGTTGTTCCGCGGCGTCAAGTTTGTCCGAGTTTATATGGATGATGTGCTCATCTTCTCGGGCAGCTTCGACGAGCACATGGACCATTTGCGCATCGTTCTGGACATCCTCAAGAACGCCAGGCTGCCCCTCTCGGCCAAGAAGTGCAAGTTCATGGTGTCCAGTGTCGAGTACCTCGGCCACGTCGTCGGCAAGGATGGTATCTTTCCGCAGTTCTCCAAGACTCGCGCCATCGCGGAGTGGAGGCGTCCCGACACGGTCAAGGCCATGCAGCGCTTCCTCGGTGCCGCCGCGTACAACAGTGACCACATCAAGGGCTTCTCCCATTTGGCCGCCCCGCTGTCTGACATGGTCCGCAAGGACTGCAAAGGGCCGCTGGTGTGGCACGAGGAGGGCATCGCCGCCTTCGAGGCTCTCCGCGAAGCATTCGCCGCGCCGGAGCTCCTCAAGCCCGTGGACTGGGACAAGAAGTTTTTCATCGAGTGTGACGCTTCTAGCCGCGCTGTGGCTGGCGTATTGATGCAGGAGCACACGAACGAGAAAGGCGTGGTCAAGCTGTTGCCGGACGAGTACTTCAGCCGCAAGCTCACCGCCTCGGAGCAGAATTACTCTGCACACGACCTTGAGCTTCTGGCCGTCACCGCCTCGCTTAAGCGCTTCCACTTCTTTGTGCTTTCCAGCAGCTTCCGCACCACGGTGCTGAGCGACCACAAGGCTTTATCCTACTTCACTACGGCTCGGAATCTGTCACCTCGTCTGATCCGCGTCGCGGGCATGCTCGCCATGTACAACATTGAGATCGTGCACCGCTCGGGCTCGCTGCAGGTCTTGACTGATGCCGTCTCCCGCTCCTCTTTTGATCCGGTCAACCGCATGGTGCGTCTGTTGGACCCGTCGCTGCTCGTGGCGTCATCCATCGAGTTGGCGCGGGCCGACCTGGAAGAGCAAGCAGAAGCGCTACAGGTCGTGCGCGCCGATCTCCCTGAGCTGCTTCGTGCCATCAAGGAGGCGACCTCTGCGGCTCCCATGGAGCTCGCGCCAGGTCAGCGCCTCGTGAGCGGCCTCGTGAGAGACGCTCAGGACAGGGTCGTGGTGCCTGCGTCACAGCAGATCAAAGTCTTTGAGGCTTTCCACGACCACCTCATGGCCGGGCACAGCGGCGCTGATCGCACGGAAACGCTCATTCGGCGTTTCTTCACCTTTCCCATGCTCCGCGAGTTTGTCGTGAAAGCCGTCAATTCCTGCCAGCGCTGCGCGCAGAATAAGGCATCACGTACCAAGCTAGCTGGCCTGTTGAAGCCTCTCGGCCGCCCCTCGGGCCCGTGGATGGATATTCACATGGACTTCCTGGGTCCTCTCCCGCAGTCGGGGGAGGCGAAGTACGTGCTCGTGGTCATTGATCGCTTCACTCGCCTGGCGCACTTCCTGGCATGCAAAGATCTAGAGGTCGAAACACTGTTGTTCCTCTTTATCGATCGTGTCGTGAGGTTCCACGGCGTGCCTGCCAGCATCACCAGCGACCGGGGTGCCCAGTTCACCTCCAAGCTGTTTGAGCAAGTGATGGCTGCGTGTGGCATCAAAGCGAAGCACACCACCACCTTCCACCCCGCCACGAATGGCGTGTGCGAGCGTGTGAATCAGCACATCATCACGTACCTGCGACACTACCTCAGCAATGAGCAAGACAACTGGGTCGAGCTCTTGCCATTCTGCGAGCTTGCCTACAACAACAGCGAGCACAGCAGTCTCGGTGTCTCCCCGTTTTACCTCAGCCATGGCTACCACGCAAGCACTCAGGCCATCGCGGCCAACTTAGTGCCAGCGGGCGTTACCACGGTGGATGACTACATCAAGCGGATTCAGCACCTGCAAGCCAAGGCCACCGAGTTCAACGCCAAGCGCGTCGAAGCCATGAAGATTGAGGCCGACAAGCATCGCAGTGAGCCCCCGGTCATCAAGGTCGGTGACCAGGTCGACCTTCGCAGGAAGACCCCAACGGGCGTTGGCTTGCCGTCAGACCGCCCGAGCGACAAGCTGGACGTTGTCAAAGCCGGCCCCTTCGAAGTTCTCGAGTGTCGTGACAACGGGGTTAACTTCAAGCTGCAGCTTCCGCCCATTTTGAGCGGCATGCATGACACGGTACATGTCAGTCGTCTGACTCTGGCTGTGCCTAGCTCGATTGAGGGTCGGACTCCGTTCGTCCCGAATCGGATTGCCGTCAAGGATGCCGAAGGCAACGTGGAAATGCAAGTTGAGGTCGAGGACATTCTCGACTACAACGGTGAGGCCGACCTCTACCTGGTCAAGTACTTGCATTACCCTCAGCCGTCCTGGCAGCCAGCCAGTAACCTGACCAACTGCACACGGTTGTTGAACAAGTTCAAGAAGAAGCAGGCCAACAAGCCCCAGCATAAGGGCAAGGGTCGCCGCAAGCAGCAGTTCGACGAGGACTCGGACACGGAATTCACAGCCGCCCGCACTGCTCCGGCTGCTGCCGCTCCGCGCGTTGGTCCGTCTCGTGCTGTCAAGAAGCCTTGAAACTTTTTTCTTTTCTTGGTGCAAGGTCCTGTTCTTGCTACTTCCGTGTTTGCGTTTCTGGTCTTTCCTTCGTTTTGGTTTTTGGTACTTTTCTCTTCCTCTGGTACCGATTCCTTTTTTTCTCCTGTTTGAGTGCACTTGGTTGTCTGAGTCGCTCCCATTTCCTGTTGTTCGTTTTGGATTTCGTTTGTCGAGTCCATTGTCGCTTTCGTATTTTCGTGCACAGTGCATGGAATCGTGTTTGATATGGTTTGTTTTGTATTGTTCTTTCAGAAGAGTATGTCTCTTCTTGTGGGGGCGAGTGTCACACCCCAACCCATATCTGTTAGCTCAGTGCTCAATATACTTCGTATCTACCTACTATCACCCAAAAAAGTTTTTTACATCGCGATTTGTTTTGGTTAATTCAGTCTCCATCTCCGTGTGACGACGGTTAGTTCGCCCTATTTCACATGTGGGGTGTGCGTCGGTGTACCCTACATCGGAAAATGATGAGGAGCGGGGACGGGAAGAGAAGTGTGCGTGTGGGGACCGCGTGGATGCGGGAAAACATCGAAAAAAGCGCGCGCTTTGGATTGAATTTTTCCCGCCTTTTTCTCTCATTTCTACAGTTCGACGCCCCCATGGCTCGTTCTACTAGTGCCTCGTCCCCGCCGTCTTCGTCCGTGAAGCGAGTCACACGCGGCAATGTATCCCCACCATCGCCGCCGAAGCCCACTGTCATCAAGCCGAGTAGGGAGGTCATTCGGTCGAACGTGTTGGAGCTGCACAAAGCCGGCCTCTCCTACCGCCAGATCGCCGACCAACTCGGTCTCCTTTGGCACACAGTGCGTGCAATCCATGTACGCTACTCGGCGAGGGGCGGGACGCAGGATTCGCCGCGATCTGGACGTCCGACCAAGGTTTCTTCGACTGCCGCCGTAAACATCGTGCAGCAGATTAAGACCGGAGATTCGCACACAGCTACCGAAGTCGCCGCCACCATGCGCAAATGAAGGCTCTGTGATGTCACTGCAGAGACGATCAGGAACGTGCTGCGGCGGGAGGGTCTCTTTTGTGCGGCGAAGGTCAAAAAGGCGAGGCTGCTGCAGCGCCATAAAAACGCCCGACTGGCTTTCGCCCGCGCTCACGCCAATTGGACCGTAGAGGACTGGTTGAACGTCGTTTTTTCCGACGAGACCGCTCTCTACCTGTACAGGAACAACAACTCTGGCCGTGTGTGGCGTGTGTGGGGTGCACCGCTCGACGACAGGTCGGTCCAGGGCACTGTCAAGTTCGGAGGAGGGCACATCAATGTGTGGGGAGCGATTTCGCGTTGCGGCATCTCCTTCTTCTCCGAGCTCGGCGACCGCATGAACGGCGACGTCTACCTCTCCGTTCTGAATGAGGAGTTGAAAGACAGTCTGGCCGCTTGGGGAAACGACCCAAACCTGATTTTCATGCAGGACAACGCGCCCTGTCACAAGCGGAAGGACGTGATGAAATGGTTCAAAAACCAGAACCTCACCCTCTTGGAGTGGCCTGCGAACTCCCCCGACCTCAACCCCATCGAGCATGCGTGGAACATGGTCAAGAACGCTGTGTACAAGCAGCAGGAGATCACAAACCAAGATATGCTCTGGGAGCGCTTCCAAGAGGTCTACCACAAGGTCCTCACCGTCGAGGTCTGCACCTCGCTCATTTCATCCATGCCGCGCCGCATCAAAGCAGTTTTGGATGCCCATGGTGGTTATACCAAGTATTGAAATGGTTTGGTGGGGCTCATGCGTCCGTATGGTGTTGTGTTTGTGAAAGTTGAAAAAAGAACGCCAAAAAGTCCCTTTTTTGGACGATCGCGTTTTGTCCCTTTTTGCATCCTTTCTCCTTCCCCCGTCGTACCAGTCATCACCCCTCCGCTCCTCTCACTCTAAACACATAGAAGGTACATATATACATGCATTAGAGAGGGAAAAGGGAGATTTGTGGTCAAAACGGTCGCAGGGCGGGGTGAGGAGTGGAAAAAAAACGCGATGTAAAAAACTTTTTTGGGTGATAGTATTCCTCCCTCTCGGGTGTAACAGCGCGGGCCTGGCTTTTGCGACCGAGGCCGTTTGATGGAGGTGGTCGTAACGACATTGTCCTGCTGCAGCGCATCCACCTGAGCGTTGAACTCCTCGACCATGGCCGTGAACTGTGTCGCGGCTTGCTCTAGTGCTTGCGGACGCGTTGCTTGGGCGGTGTCCTGAGCCTGGAGCAGCAATTGGGCCGCTACTTCGGCGTTTGCGGGAGGTCGTGCGTCACCCAACACGCCAGAGGCTTTGAGTGCGGTGGCGGCGGCAGCAGCGGCGGCTTGCGCTTGGAGCGCCAGAAGCAACCCGGATTTTGAATTGTTGGTGGGATCGAGGCGAGCATATTGCACAGGTCCTTTTGTAGAAGTAGTAGTCGTGGTAGTAGCAGCGGCAGCAACAGCAGCAGCTTCAGAACTGGCACCAGCTCCGGTGCGCCGGCGACTTTTCGATTTCGCCTGACGGGAAACAACAGCACCATCGAATTCGTCCGAGTCACTTTCCTCTGCATTTGCCAAATCACCCAGCCCGGCCTCGTCCTGCCCTTCATCAATGTCTTGCGATCGCCGTTTACCCGCGCCGTTGCCATTCAATCCTGGTCGGCTGGCAGCTGTCAGAGTCAGTGCAAAGGTACGTCGATTGTCAGGCAATGTTCATGAATAAAGGTATATTGACGAATGAACCATTCCCAGTATGGGAGACATGACAAACAATACAAGGTAATGCATGCAAGTAAGTAGGCATTCCGAACAGCTACCCGCTTCCTCTCATCTCCGAGCTCATCGACCAACTTGGTCCAAGTCGCTCTCGCCCCTCTTGCTCCAAGATCTTCACCAAGGTCGACCTTCGCTCTGCTTATCATCTACTCCGTGTCAAGGAGGGTGATGAGTACAAGACCGCCTTCCGCTGTCAACTTGGCCTCTTCGAATTCCTGGTGGCACCTTTCGGCCACATTAACTCTGGTGCCTGCTTCCAGAGATTCATCGCTTCTCTTCTCCAAGGTATTATCGGTGTTGTTTTCTACCTCGATGACATCCTCATCCACTCCGACACTCTCGAGAACCACGTCCCTCTCGTCCGCCGTGTTTTTACAATTCTGCGCGACAACCAGCACTACGTCAAGCTGGAAAAATCTGTCTTCCACTCCGACTCGGTGCTCTTCCTTGGCTACATCGTTTCCAAGGATGGCGTCAAGATGGATCCTGCCAAGCTTTCTGCAGTCCTCAACTGGCCGGTGCCCGAAACTGTCCACGCCGTCCAGAAATTCCTCGGCTTTGCCAACTACTACCGCCGTTTCATCAAGAACTTTTCCGGTGTGATTACTCCTATCACCAAGCTCCTCGGCAAGGATGTCCCTTTCAAGTGGACACCCGAATGCGACTCTGCTTTTGCCTTCCTCAAGCATTCTTTCACCTCCGCGCCCGTCCTTGCCTATCCTGACCCCTCCAAGCCTTTCATCCTCGAGACCGATGCCAGCGATTTTGCTCTCGGTGCCATTCTGTCCCAGCTCGATGACACCGGCGTTGCGCATCCCGTTGCTTTCCATTCCCGCAAATTCACTGGCTCTGAACTTGCGTGGAACATCTACGATAAAGAGCTCTGTCCCATTGTCGAGTCCTTCAAGGTCTTCCGGCACTACCTCCTCGGCGCCAAGGTTCCTGTCAAGGTGATTACCGATCACAAAAACATCGAGTTCTGGTCTACCGCTCGTCTCCTCAACCCGCGCCAGACCCGTTGGGCCCAAGTGCTCGCCGATTTCTTCTTCCTCGTCTACCACCGCGCTGGTACCCTCCATACTCTTCCTGACGCTCTCTCTCGTTCCTCTTCGACGGGGGTGGGTGACCCCAAGGTCAAGACTCCGACCACCATGTTTCCCGAGAAACTCCTCATTGCCGTCATGTCCGACGACTTCCTGTCCCGCGTCCGCCAAGCTTTAGCGACCGACATTCTCGCACTCGAGATCGCTGAAGACCCTTCCCGCTTCCCCAAGTTCACCACAAAGGATGATCTCCTTTACTTCAAGTCGGCCTTGTACAGCCGATCTCCGTTCTCTTGTCCTCGAGTCCCGCCACGACAGCTATGCTGCCGGTCACTTTGGCATCCGCAAGACCATCGAGTTAGTCCAGCGTGACTACTACTGGCCCAAGATGCACGATACGATCCAGCACTATGTCGAATCGTGCGAGACCTGTATCCGCAGCAAAACTTCCTCTCACAAGCCTTATGGTCTCCTCAAGCCTCTCCCCATTGCCGAGCACCCCTGGAAATCCATCTCCATGGATTTCATCACCCAGCTTCCTCCTTCCAACTCCTTTGATGCAATCTGCGTCGTCGTCGACCGCCTGACCAAGATGGCCCACTTCATGCCCTGTACCACGAGAATCAACGCTCTTGGCACCGCCGATCTCCTGATCCGCCGCGTCTTCCTTTACCACGGTCTCCCTGACGATATTGTGAGTGATCGTGGCAGTGTTTTTGTTTCTCACCTCTGGAATCATCTCTTCACAAGCCTCAACACCAAGATCAACCTGTCCACGGCCTACCATCCCCAGTCCGACGGCCAGACCGAGGCCATCAACCGCATCCTTGAGCAGTACCTTCGCTGCTTCATCTCTGCTGGCCAGGACAACTGGTCCGATCTCCTTCATCTCGCCGAGTTTGCCTACAACTCTTCTGCCCAGTCTTCTACCGGTGTTTCGCCCTTCCATGCGAACTTTGGTTTCAACCCGCGTTTCGATTTTTCTCCCGCTTTGACCCCTTCTCCTGATGCGACCAGTCTCCTCGCGCACATTTCCGATGTGCAAGCCAATGTCCGTGACCACCTCAAGTCTGCTGTTTCTGCTTACACCAAGCATGCGAACAAGCATCGCATCCCTCCCCCGGATTTTCAAGTTGGCGATCAAGTTCTCCTCAGCACTTCCAACATCCGCTCTCTCAACAAGCTCCACCCCAAGTGGATCGGTCCCTTTCCCATTGCTTCCAAGGTCAACGATGTTGCCTTCACTCTGTCTCTGCCCTCTGACCTCAAGATCCATCCGACCTTCCACGTTTCACTTCTGAAACAGTTCCGTTCCAGCTCTGGCTCCTCTCGCCCTCAGCCGTTCCCCTACTCTGAGATCGTTGATGGCGAAATCCTTTACAGAGTTTCCGACATTCTCGATGTCGAGCGTCGCGGTGAAGATTTCTTTTATCTGTGCCGCTGGGAAGGATTCAGCCCTTCCGACACAACTTGGGAACCCTTGTCCCAGTCGTCCAACCTCCTGGTCCTCGTCCGCGATTTCCATCGCAAGTTTCCTCGCAAGCCCAAGCCCGCTGCCCGGCTTCTCCATTCCTGAGCGCGTCAGGGACGACGCGATCCTTTGTGCGGGGATCTGTCAGGTTTCTGGATGCAACCTGCCACTTTGAATGATTTCTTGCATGTTTTCTCACTCTTGTCTTTCTTCCTGATTTTCTTCTGTCTTGCTCTGATTTGTCTTGCCTGATTTTCTGATTTGATGATGACAAATATGTTTGTCCGTCAGTCGTCAAAGTTTGATCAACCTGATTCGATTTGGATCCTTTCTTGTCTTGTCTTTATTAAATCCCCCAAATCCCCAATTCCCTGTCCTGTCTTGCGCCAACGCCTGAGTACCCTTCCCTGTCCAGTCCGGGATCCTAACAGAAGGTCGTCAGCGGTTGCGAAGCGTGGAAGTAAGGAGAGTGCAAGAGGGTTAACCTGCTCGGAAATGCTGTGCAACGAACAAGCACCGTAAATGAGCAATCGGAAGGCACACTTCATTGGTTGGAAGCAGCTCGCGTGAGCTTCAATGGCTTCGTTTCGCAAGGACAACTTAGCTTACGTAGGCCCCGTTTTGCCGGTGTCTGTGCATTTTCTGATTGCTTGAGAACAAGCATTGCTAATGCAATTTCGGGCTAGACTGTTGAGCAATGCGAGTGAGTGAGCAGGATGTATGCTCACCCTGGCTCAAAGTCAAAGCGCATGATACCCATACCAAATATCCACCAGCTTCGGGTTCATCTTGAACGCTTCGGCAACCGCCTGGGCTCCAGCATCGCCAATCTGATTGTTTTCCAAACTGTGCGTTCCATCCATCAGTTAGCTCAAGTGGAACTATGAGGGATAGCTGCCTTACAAGAGCCGAGTCAGCGTCGAGTTCACCTTGAGTGCCTCAGCAATCGCCTGCGCTCCCGCATTGCCAATCTCATTCTCACTCAGACTGTACATCCATCAGTAAGCATTGAAATGCCCCCTGCTGAATCATCCACTCACAAGCATCTGTAAAGTGAGATGCTTTACCCAAGATGTGTCAGCCTCGTGTTGACCTTGAGTGCTTCAGCGATTGCCTGCGCTCCAGCATTGCCGATCTGATTCTGCTTGAGCCTGTGAATTCTCTCCATTCGTGAGCACCCTGAATTCGTTTTGCTGGATCGCACATACACAAGCATCGTTGGAGAGATGACATACCAGAGACGTGACAATGTCGTGTTCACCTTGAGTGCGTCAGCAATCGTCTTCGCTCCAGCGTCACCAATCTGATTGCAACACAGACTGTCCATTCCTCTCCATCAGTGAGCATTTGAATGCCATTTGCTGAATCAGTCACTCGTATGCATCAGTCAAAGTGAATTGGATTACCTGAGACCAGTCAAGGTCGTGTTCACTTTGAGTGCCTCAGCAATGGCCTGTGCTTCTGCGTCGCCAATTAGACCCAGACTGTCGGTCCGTTCCATTCCATGAGCACTTTGAGTGCCCTCTGCTACCCAATCACATGCATCAGAAACTGTGATATGCCTTACCTGAGATGAGTCAGCGTCGTGTTCATTTGGAGTACTTCAGCCATTGTCTGCGCTGCGGCGTTGCCAATCTTGCCCAAACTGTCAAATTGCTCCATCGATGAGCCTTTTGCTGACAATATTCCCACTGACAAGCGCCAGCAAATGTGATGTGACTCACTCGAGCGCTTGCAAGGACGTGTTCACTTTGAGTGCTTCTGCAACTGCGTTCGCTCCAGCATCGCCAATCTGATTGTAGTCCAGGCTGTTCATTCCCTTCCATCAGTAAGCACTCTGAAGACCATCTCCTGACATCACTCATTCACAAACATCAGTTAAAGTGAGATGCCTTACCCGAGCGAAGTCAGTATTTTGTTTACTTGGAGCATCTCAGCAATCGTCGTCGCTCCAGCATCGCCAAGCTTATTATTGTACAAACTGCTCAGTCGTTAGTAAGCACTCTGGGCACCTCTGCTGGATCATCGACTCACATCAAAGTGAGATGACTTACCTGAGGCGAGTGACTGTTGTGTTGACTCTGAGCATTTCAGCAATCGCCTGTGCTCCAGCATCGCCAACCTGATTCCCATTCAGACTGTACATCCCCTCCATCAATGAGCACTCTAAATGCCTCCTGTTGAGTGAAAGTGACACCCCTTACTCGATCTTGATCAACGTCTTGTTCACTTTGAGTGCCGCAGAAAGTGCATGGGCACCAGCATCGCCAATCTGATTCTTCCATAGGCTGTCCGTCACATCAGTGAGCACTCTAAATGTCCTCTGCTGACATCACCCACTCACACGCATCAATCGAAGCGAATTGCCTTACCCAAGGTCGGTCACTGTCGTGTTCACTCTGAGTGTCTCAGCAATCGCCCGCGCTCCAGCATCACCAATCTGATTCTTAGTCAGACTTGTCCGTCCCATTCACCACTGAGCACTCTAAATGTTCTCTGTTGATATCACCCACTCACATGCACTAGCCATAGGGAGATAGACGACCTACCGCAGTTCAGTTACCGTCATATTGAGTTTGAGCGTCTCAGCAATCGCCCGCGCTCCAGCATCACCAATTTGATTCCAGCCCAGACTGTCCGTCCCCTCCAATAGTGAGCCACTCTTGCTGTCCTCTGCCGAAGCCACCCACTCACGTTCCACACTCGAAGCAAGATGACTCACTTGAGTTTCTCCACGTTCGGGTTGCCTTTGAGTCCTTCAGCAATCGCTTGTGCGTCGGCATCGTCAATATGCTTGTACTCCTGTCTATCCTCCATTTCATCAGTACACATGTCGTCACACTTTCTTTCGGCTTTTTCCTACCCGAACCATTCACGCGCTTTCTTGACTTTGTCGTACAACTGGCGCTGTCTCGCGCTCATACTCTAGTACAACAGCATCATTGACTTTCGATCTATCGGAACAACGCGGTTCTTTCAGTCAGTCTATTGGTTGTGCTTGCACAAATCATCACTCAAACGCAGAGTGCAGACTCCAGGCGGTGTCAAACGCACGAAAAGTGCGGCAGCGACGCAAACAAAGAAAACAAACAAAAGCGTCGCCACAACAACAACGAACAAAGACTAACATCAAGAAGACTGAGAAACACAACAGCACAACAATGGCATAGACGAGGATGACAAGTACGGACGCCGACTTGAAACATAAAGGAGAGCGGGGGGGGGGGAAACGAACGAACTGACTAAAATATAACAAGGGAAAACCCAAAATACCAACTCCAAACCATCCACTCCTGCCTTGACCAAACGCTGACACACCCCTCACCGCGCGCCGGTACTTTGCAATCACAGTGTAAATATTATTGCCAACATCTTTGTTGATTTGTATGACGGAATACCTCGCCACATGGTCGCAACATTATTAATTCCGAATCTCCAAAAAAACATGGCTGCTATCGAGTCATGTAAGGTGTTTTGCTTGCATTGTTCTTTTCTTAACAATTGCCCGTCGTAAATTATGCTATAATTTGGTGGGTTTGTGTGCGTATCTCAAATATACCTTCGACTCGAGTGTATACGTGTCCAGAGAACAATTGTGTTCTCAGAGACCATTTCATTGCGCCATGACAGCGCTCCAGGCCACCCATTTCCCACGTTTTCCATTCGCAAATTGCCCCTTTCTCCAAAGTCAAGCTCCTGCATTGGATTTCAGCTCAATGAACTCGTATGCGGCACTTTTAAAAAAAAAAAAGAAAAGTGTTTTTAAAACAAAATGGTGATTTTTTTTTCTGTTACTCGACAATTTATCACACTGTCAACAGCACGGGATCATCTACGCACAACTCGACCAGACTCGAACTCTGCGCAATATCAGGTTGATCGCACATGAGGTGAACACCAAACAGAATCCGTCCTTGATGTTTTCGAAACCGAGCCAGTGTTTCGAGCGGTTCAGATGTGACAACGCCTTTCGCTTGATCCACACAAATCATCTGGCACCGTGTGCATGGG